TTTTTTTTTTTTTTTTCCTTCTGACTTCGATGGAATGGGAAAAACTCTGATTGTCTGTCAGAGTGGGAAAATTAATTTAAGAACGCGGAGGAGGGGCTGGGAGAAAGATGTCTTTTGAGCAGGATAATAGTGAACGATCAGGTAAGCAGCTCGATTAATATTATAAACCCAAAATGATGACTGCCGTTAATTCAGAATCCAAAATATCACAGGCCAAGTGCGGGCAGGAATAGCTTGCAGCCAGCCAAAGTCAAGCGCGAGATTTCAAAGGGACAAGAGTAAGAAGCAAAAAAACAAATATATCAAAAAAGGTTTCCCAAGAGACTTCGGAGAAAAAAGGAAAGAAAAGAAAAAAGGGTACGGAAGAAGAGGAGGAGTCAAGAAATGCATTTGACATTTTTCCTGCATGTGCCTATAAAAGTACTCGACAAGTCAACTTTTATGTATCGGTACGTACCTCGAGATCAATTTGCGGTTACAGTGTCGAAATACGTAAGTCCAGGCCGCATATGGTCAAGAAGCATTCGTGACCCGTGCGCATCTGCAACAGGTCCTAGTTAACTAGGTCCAGCAAGCCGTCCAATCCAGAGATACGAGCGAGCCAGTGAATTCAAATGGCGAAAGAATTCTCCTTTTTGATACTGCGCAATACCCGCGACAACTGCAACAAGTTCCGTTGGAATGGGACCTGAAATGGCGGCTGACCGTTCTCTTTTACTTCTGCAAGCAGACGTATGTTACTGCCCTATTCCGTTGGTGTATTAACTGAGGTCGCTTGTTTCGAGTGTGCTTTTCCCGCATGAATTAGATTGGACGCTTTATATTGAGAACCCGTGGTTCTAGCGGGCCAACCATGGAAAAGCTACTGTAACGTCAATGCGCGAAGAACGAAAACAACGCTTATAATTGTATTATCAGTTTTTCAGTCCCCTTGTCGTATCGCTGGATCGATTCGGCAGGTGCGGATATTGCTTCAACCGTGGCATTTATTTAGTCATTGAAATCGGTTGTAAAAATAGCGACCAAGAAGTATATCAGTATTGTAATCAGATGGAGCCAAATCGAGTCGAGTTATGCAGTGTTCGTTCGTATAAACGTTAAGCCCGTCAAGCTTTATAATATAGCCTATACAGGATGTCGAAGTTGAAGATGCAGTCAGTTTACTTTGAAAAGGGAAGCTCTAGAATGATGCCTGTTGATAAGTATTAATATACCAGCCAAATTTCCCCATCGCTGAAACACTCACGACGTCGTCCAATGAAGACATCTACCGCTGCCCCAGATCCTCGGGTCGACCTGGTTCATCAGCAGCACCTTTTGAACTCAAAAAAAACATGTCTGTATGCAAGAAGTGTGCTCTGGATTGTCTGCCTGACCTGGCCAAAAAAAGGGGACCCGGCGGAAGGAGCTGCCGATCGATCACAAAAGGATTACATCTTCGAGGTCTTCGAGAAGTATCTACAGCTCGTTAGCTGAACTACTACGAACACACACTCTCGCACGACATCTTGATATTGATAATTCGAGACTCCCTCGGCCTCGGACACGGCGAGCTCTCCAAGTTTACACCGTACAAGGCATATACATACATGTATACACCCTTGAACACCATCTAAGACCTTATTACGGTCTTCTATCATTATGTAAGACTCTGGTAATCTGTGTCTGACGAATATAGGAATGCTGAACATCAACCAAACAGCCACCAACCGTTCTCAACATCTGCGGCGCATGGCATCTCGATAAAATGATGATATCGCTCGTGCCACACAGCAACGATCTAGTTTATACGTTAGGGGCCGCCGAATTAAAACCCTTAGCGAGAAACCTCTCAGATGGTGGTTCAAAAAGACGTTGTCAACGTTGGGCTGGATGGCGCCCAGGACTCGGGTCTGCAGCCCACCCACTCACAACGAGGCCTCACATTTAAAGCTGAAAGATCCATGAAAGTGCGCTCCATAACATCATTAAAAGGGTTCGCTGGGGGAAGGATGAATATATCCGTTCGCACCCGATCAGCAAAAGCTCAATAACTACGTCCATATCAGTATCCGATATTTCCCAAGTTCAACTGCATGTATCAGATCTCACGAACGGCTTTACCGTCTCCCCGCGACAATTCAAGGCTAAGCTGAGGGACTTTTTCAAGCATCTGACCATCTGCGCCTGCAAACCTCCTTATACGGAAATCTCGATCTATTTCAACATTAAAACTTTTTCTCCGTCAACCGCTTCAATCCAGCAAATCAGATCTATCAAATCGATAGATTCTCAAATCTCACCTGTGGAAAACAATCGTCTTGGTTTTCTTTTCCTTTTCTAACCCTTGAAGAAAAGCAAACGTGCCCGAGGAAAAGGAACCCAGGTCTTGGAGAAAAAACAAAACCCTTGCTCTTCTCACTTTTCGAGAGTTCCCGTCCCAATGTAAGGCATATCTCGATTCCCTCTCAGCCAATCACATCGCCAATATGGCGTAAGCGCTCGCAATATAAGTTCGAAAAATGAGTAACTCCACATTCCGTTGGGCAAGGATGCTCGTAGAGATGTCTTGATTTGCAGCTCTTTTCGATATCTTGTCTCTTGTTTTGAGCAAAAGGCCTCGCTGAAAACCGACTTTATATCGTTAGTCTCAAGTCATCCTGTCTCTCATCCGTATGCAACTATGTACCGTCGACAAGGAGTCCTTTCGAGCTGCGCCGCCGTAGCATCGTAGCATTTAGCTGGGTTCACAATCCGTATCTTGTGATCCCTTGTTTTCCCTCCGCTCAAAACGAACAGCCCCGGATGTACCATCTACCAAATCTAACCTAAAGAAATGTCCCGAGATGGATGACACTCCGCACCCTGGTCATTACCCTTTTGCTGTTCTCCACTCTTCCTTATAATTCCTTTTGCTGCTGAACGCCCCTTCCTTGATTTTTCCTCGTCAGCTGATGTGTATTCGGATGCATGCAAGAAGGATGGGGCATCCCGAGAACAGGATAAGTTGGATGCAACGAACATGCTTCCCAAAGCTAACGGAATAGAGACATCCCAGCCTATCAGCCTATCAAATGCTCCCGTTCCCTCCTACAAACAGCTCTTGCACTTAAAGAAAAAGTAACTTTTCTGAGTCGTGCATACTGTCTATGCGAGTTTTGTTTTTTCCATTTTGCTTGACTTTTGCAGCTAGTGAAAGACAAGATAAACCCATGCACCACAGCAAGCAAGCCTGAGTTCATTGAAAGAAGAACCGGACCCACATTCCATCAATCCAAGCCTTTTAAGCACGAGCTAGCCGAAGTGATCCAGAAAAAACACGAGGGAGAAATGTGGGCTTCGGTTGATGATTTAAGCGCAAGAAAATTGAAGCCATGCGAACGAATCGTATGTAGCTAACGAGACCGGGTCCCGCTTCATGTGTTGCGTGCGCAGCCTTTTTAATCTCAGTCTCAGTTCGGCCTGCCGAAATTATGCCAATTGCCACGCCCTCTTAACGACAGGCTGATATTGATATAAGAGAACAGGCCATGTAATATCGACTAATGTCGGTTTCTCCCTCGTTTCGTTCCTGTTGTGGAGTCCGGGGCGGGGATCTTCTTTTTTCTATTATGGATATATGAAATTGGAATATCTTACATTTGAGCAAAATTTCTCTCTCACGATATTGAAAAGGCTCTGCATGAAACATTCGTATAGCGTCCCGTCAATGATAATTATTACCTCCATACTATCTCCCAAACATTTATGACTTCAAAGTGTTTAGAAAGGTGAATTTCGCCATCCTAACCTCAAGCTAGTGTCAACTCGGTCTTCCTCCTCCCGGTGGCTTGCTCCTTAACCACGTTGACCATAACCTTAACTTTATCAAACAGGACCACTTTCCTTCCGTCCTCCAATTCGAGAATATACTCATCCGCATCGTACGTCTTTGCCGTTTCAACCTTGATCGTCCCCTCAATCCCGAACTTCGGAACAAAAACAACGAACCCGTTCGAAAATATTTTCGCCACAAATCCTTCTTGTTCTGTGCTCTTGTTCTTAAGCGCTTGCCCAACGTAGTACTCGATCGATGCTCTCCCAGCAAACTGGGCGTTCCGATGTCTGATATTAATGTTCTTCACCACCGCATCCATCTTGTTCTTGTTGTACAGAGTTTCATCCAAGGCCTCGTACTCGATTGCGGCTGCCAGCTGCCGATGGGCTGCCAAGTCAGCGTACCGTCGGATTGGTGAGGTAAAGTGGGTGTATATGTCAGTAGCGAGACCATAATGTCGGAATTCGGGGTAGGCTTGGGTCCCCGAACTGAAGTACTCAGCAGGGAGCATACATCGGGTAGCGATAATTCGGACCAGCGTGTTAAAGTAGGCTTCCTGTGGATCAACGCACCCGTCGAGTGAATCGGCGAGCGCCTTCGATGATTCAACCCGCAAATCAAGACCCTTCCTGGCTCGAAGCTGGCTCCGAAGGTCATCAAAGTTTGTAGCTGGGGGTGCACCGTGTCTCCGGAGCATTGCCGTCTGTGGGAAGGCTTCGTAGATTTTTCTCGCGACACTGATGTTCGCGCACAACATGAACTCTTCGACCAACGAGTTAGTTTCTAGTAGTTCTTTCACTTCGATGCTAGCGGGATCCGATGTTTCCGACTCCATGTGAATCTTGACTTCAGGACTTGCTAGGTTGAGAGCGCCAGCGTCCATTCTTGCTTGCTTTAATTTCTTCGAGAGCATCAGTAATATGCGCATACCCTCCGTCAAAGGGTCTGTTTGTGACCTGTTTTCATCTATTAGCATATTTGCTACAGTAGTTTGCGTTATGTTCAACCTACTTGTCATCTATCCGCATCTGCGCAGCCTTATACGCAAAAGCCTCTCTAGACTTGATCACCGACTTGGTGAATTTCGTGTTCACGATCTTTGCGTCCGGGGTCATCTCCCAAATCACAGAGAACGCGTATCTTTCCACATAAGGCTTCAGCGAACAGAGGTCGGTTCCGAGAAGGGGAGGTAACATATCAATACGCTTATCGACTAAATATACCGTAGTTCCCCGCGATGCCGCCTCGTCATCCATAGCATTATTCGGCTTCACGAAATGCGATACGTCTGCAATATGCACACCAGCTTCGTAGTTCCCGTTTGGCAACAACCGGGCATGAAGAGCATCGTCAATATCCTGACACCCGGGAGGATCGATACTGCAAACCAACAGATCTCGTAAATCGACTCTTTTCTCCCAGCCGGAGGTTCCCTTCTCAGGGACAATCCAATCATGGCCCTCCGACGGCAGACAATCAAGAACAGCTTTCGGGAACGGTCGGTACTGGACATCATATTCCAATAGCAAAGCTTCAGTCTCTGCCTCCTTCGATTCGAGTTCCCCAAGGGCCCGGACGAAATGACCCACGGGGAACCTGGACGTTCGATCCCAAGTATCGATGTTTACTACAATCCGCTGTCCTAGTAGTTGGGTAGCCTGACGCGTGAAAACACGGATCCTGGGTATCTTCTTATCTAGCGGCCGAAAGAAAACAACTTGCTGCCCGCCCGACTTCGCTCTGTTGACGGAGTTAGGATCGATGTGTCCGACATATGATCTCCAGTTACGCTTCAAGACCCCAACAATCTTTGCTGTTGGTTGGACCTTCTGGCTTTCATCCTGGGATCGTTGAATACGCTTAGCTTCATCAATCAGAGCACGTCGTTCCCTCTCCGTAACAATCGCCTCGACTTCATCTACGTCCGCATTCTCGTTCTTCGTTAAGGTGTCCTGGTCTACAAGTTTGTCGGATTGCTTTTTCCACTGGTCTTGTGGCAGCAATTCAACGACAACTTGGTCACCGTCTATGGCACGGTTCATGTTCTCCAATCCGACTATCAACAGATGTTTATCAAATGATGGTACACCGACAGTACCCTCGAGACTGTTGTAGGTAGATGTGTGGAAGGTACCCTGGTGCAGTGTACCATTTCTCACACCAGTGTTCATTTTTGGAAGAGAGAAGTACTAGTAGTCTATTAGTATAGAACATCATGAAGTAAAAAGCAGTGAGCATACCTCGGCATAGACATTAGCGCCTCTGTTAGCCTTCTTCTCAAGATCTTGAAGCGAGGAGCTTATCATGTCGAGCAACTCGTCCGCATTCTTTAGACCCTTGACATAGCCATTAACTAGGCGACGGTTAGCTTCAATCAAAAGTTTTTTTAAAAGAAGGGTAGTGAACCTACGATCAGTAGAATTAAGTCCTTCGCTCTTTGCTTTTGCAAGATTTGCCTTGTCGTTTGTGAGCATAACGATAGCAGGCGCTGTCGCACTGGAGCTTGCAGCCGCTTGTTCGATATGTTTCTGGTACCACTTGCACGCAACCCTGATCGCTCTATCATTACGATCATTAATCGACTCCTCCTGTCCACGCTTAACGTGGGTTTCCTGACGGAATTCGTTGTGGAAGACATAGAATCGTTTCTCATCCGCCTTTGTAAGCGACACGAGTCGGTTATAAAGCGGCAAGCTTTGGTTCTTGACCTCATCGAGGACAGTTTGTAACACGATAACGTCGTAGAAGGCACTCTTATGCTCAATCGCGTCCATACATTGGAGGAAGATGTTCGTGTCTGGCATTAGATAGTGGCCATGCTTGTACTGGGTTGTACCTGCCGGTTTCTCAGACAGGACGAATGGGCGAGCTATATAGCATTCACCGAGTAAGCACTACTCTCATGTAACTTGAATATAATGGTTGTAGATATAGATATCACCGTACATCTATTGTTGGAATCTACTGGCGCATTCGCCAGACAAGCCCGACATAACCGCGACGAGCAGGGAATGTCAGTCCGCAGGTATATCTCACGGACAATCTTTGTCACTTTGCCACTCTTAGCAGAGCGGATGTAGACCTTGGAGGTGATGCTATCATTGCTGGAAGGGTCTACCAGCATACGCTTTATGCTCGTCATGGCTGTGGTGGAGTGGAAATGAAGCGGCTCTGTTATGGTTGTTCGTCAAGGTTTTGGTTCGAACCAGCCAGGAAATTTGTGTTCGGCTGGCGACGGCAGGTCTTGGCGAGGTCGTATGCAACACATTACTAATATCATGAACGAACGAACAAACTCCAGAAACCCGGCTCTGGTGCAAGTGGAACTGAGGTTCTACAACATCCCAAGTAACATCAAACAGGATTCCAAGCACCGTTCTCTCAGAACAGAAGCTGCATTGTTTGTGGTCCTACCGAGGCACATACTATGCATGATCGGAAATTTCTTTGCGAGGCTCTCCTTGGTTCTCCTTGGTTCCGAGCTTGGCCAGGCGCAGAACTCAAACTGAGTCGCTTCTCAAACAGTTTTCCGATTAAGAAGGTGACCCAACCTGCCCACAAGACCCTTTTTAAAAAGCCAAACATTTCTACTGCCCATCGAAGAGGGTTCTTACGCCCATGTGGTGTCGATTCTGCTATCTCATTGGTTCTGCCAAAAGATTCGATCTCCAACCCATTGGAACTCTTCAGTGTCACCCGGTTGACGGTTTTCGCTTTGATTCTTCTTCCTCAGAACGTTGACGTCCAAACTGCTGTTAACTGACGCAGCCAAGCCGTAGGGCCGTTCCAAGACCTCATGGCGCAGCCTAAGAAGCTTCCCTGGTGATAGAAGTCTCCGTGCTGGCGCAATTCACCATCCACTTGGCTCCACCGTCCCCTTAACCGGGTTTCTGGCGAGGTTCTCGGGTCTTCGGCTTGGACCCGGAACGGCTCCAGTTCAATGCAACTGGCGCTCATGCATTGAGATTAACTGTTTTATGCTCCTGCCTTTTCCCCTCCTGCGGATCGAGGATATGTTGCATCGAGTAATTGCGACTCAAAACGGACATCGTCGCCTGCTGCCTGACCTGATTGTATATGATATCATGGACACCCTCTCCGAGTAAGCGCACGCGTCAAACGATTCTTGAGACAGTGATCTTTTATTCTTGGTCAAGCCACCAAAAGCTTGTCGCCTACCTTCTCTGATGCAGCCTCAATATCTCGAACAGCGCTAAACAATAGACTATCCTAACTACGGGCACTTGTCTTTAGTTGTTAACGATCACCAGCGCAAAAGGTCCTGGTCTGATCATGAACATCAGATATCAGCAATCAAACCCCTTGACTGATTCCGGATACTAGCTGCCTTTGGTGATCACCTCCTAGCTTGCTCGGGTCTGCTTTCTTTCGTAGGAATGTCTAGAATCATCTTTCCCCGCGAAATCCACCCAAACTTCCTACCCCCCCATGCCTAAGTAATCTTACATAAATGACTATTCCTATGTAGTGCAACTATCGATCAAACGAAGAGGGTGGGGGAGACAATGTGAGAGGGTTTCACAAGGCAAATCCATAGTCAGAAGAGAAAAAAATTTTAAGTTCACGGTCTGCCCCGATGGTCTTCCCAGAACCAAATGGGGTGTCCGCGCATGAACCCAGATATTTCGCACATATACTGCCTTTTCGAGAGTGACTAAAGTAGATCACCCGCTCAAGATCATAAAAAGGCTTTGGGGTTCCCCGTAGGACTGCTTCCTCTTCTGCCGTTGCTACCCTCTTCCTCCATCTTGCCCTCTCCTCCTCAAACTTTTCTGGAGAGTTGATTTTGAGGTGTCTAATCGTCTGTTAAATAATCGCGATAAGATTCTCTATTATCTTTTGTTCAACAGTTCGCCAATATGTCGGAATCAGCGTTAGCTACAAGGTCGAAATGGGAGGTTCTCATGCCCGTTATCGTATGCGGCTCCGGTCTGTTCTCGGACGGTTACCTCAATGGTTCGTAAATAAATCATATTACTTGACAATAAAATCCGAAAGAATTTATGCTAACAAGATATCTAATTGTCCTTTAGGTGTCATTGGTACCGTTAATACGCTTTTGGGCCGTCTCTACGGCGAAGAATACAAGAACAGCCCGGCACAATCAAACGTCTCCTCGATCGCCTTTGCTGGTACAATCATTGGTATGCTGGCCTTTGGTTGGATCAGTGATAACTGCAGTAGAAAAGTTGGCATGGTTGCCTCAACAATTATCTTGATAATATTCGCCACACTCTGCGCCGGTGCATATGGTGCCAATGGCTCCGTCGGTGGACTTCTCGCCGCCCTTACCGCATACAGATTTTTACTTGGTATTGGTATTGGAGGAGAATACCCAGCTGGCTCTGTTGCATGCTCTGAAGCTACCGGTGAGATCAAGAGTGGACACCGTAATAGGTGGTTCATTATCTTCACCAACGTTATGATCGATTTTGGATTCGTCATTGCGGCTTTTGCTCCATTGTGCGTTCTCTGGATCTTTGGAATGGACCGCTTGAATATTGTCTGGCGTGTGTCCCTCGGCCTTGGTGTCCTCCCACCACTTTCGATCATGTACCTCCGTACAAAACTCAAGGAACCGGAGCAGTTCAAGAAGGAGACTATGAAGGATACTAAGACACCGTGGCTGTTGGTCTTTAAATATTATTGGTGGAGGCTTACTATTCTCAGTCTTATCTGGTTCATCTATGATGTGAGTATCAAGGAACGGATTCCGAATATTTTGGAGTATGCACATGGCTAACAAAAATATAGTTCTCTGCCTATTCTTTCGGTATCTACGGTTCTTCAATTCTCTCCATCGTCATTGGAGAACAGGAAGCTCTCTACAAACCATTCGGATGGAACGTTGTTCTCAATCTTTTCTATATTCCGTATGTATCCTCTTGAACTGCCAAGTTTAGTTATGTTCTTAAGTTCCTAATACTAACATTGAAATAGTGGTGCTATTGCTGGCTCTTTCATTAGCGATTGGATCGGTGCCCGAGAAACCCTCACCCTCGGCCTAACCCTCCAAGGATTCGTTGGTCTCATTATGGCTGGATGCTACGGAAAACTCGCCACACCCGACCACATCGCAGCTTTCGTTGTTGTCTATGGTGTCTTCCTAACCCTTGGTGAAATGGGTGCCGGTGACAACATCGGTCTTCTCGCTTCTAAGTCCAGCGCTACCGCCATCCGTGGTCAATTCTACGGTATTGCAGCCGCTATCGGAAAGCTCGGTGCTTTCGTCGGAACTTACATCTTCCCCATTATCATCAAGAGTGCTGGTGGCAGTGATACCGTTAAGGGAAACCAAGCCCCGTTCTGGGTCAGCAGCGCATTGTGTCTAGTAAGCGCCGCCATGGCATGGTTCTGCTTGCCTCACATCGGACAAGATACCATCACCGAAGAAGATGTCGCTTTCCGAGAATACCTTACCGCGAACGGATACGATACCTCGCAGATGGGTGTTAAAGAGCTCAGAGGAGAGAAGCTCAACGATTCGAACAGCGCCGAGGGCGTCAAGGCCACTATCAAGGAGGAAGATAAGTTTGAGACCGTCCCAATGTAAGACGGAGTATGGATTAGAGTATCTATATAAATCCATTAATTTTGGTTAGGAGAAGTATTTGATGGCATGATTGAAGATCTTTTTACCAGCATGGGATGGCGTAGTCAAACTTTCTGTATATATTAGCCTTTGATATCATTTAATACCTTTAGCTGATAGTTCACAATATCAATGTTTAATGATGACATACAAATGATTCGCAAGAAACAATAATGGGGAACCGTAGTTGTACTAGTATCCGGGTATCGTAAATAAATCAAAAGTAGGTACTTATATGATAATTCAAATGTGCATCCTCGTTCTGTGATAGAGTGTTGGAAGTGCTAAATACAACAAACCCCGATCAAGATATCTCATGAGCTCATGAGCCTATATGAGCATACAGGTCTCAAGTCACCCTGCTAACCTGCTAACCTGCTAACACTAGCTGTTAGACTACCGGCCGAGAATGCACTTTATATAGCCGCTGATATTGATATAATACTGTAATATTATACTGTCTCACATTGGCTAAATTTGCTCGGTCGGGATTTCAGCTTGTCTGACAGGAGAGCTCAAAAGTACGTAATCTAGATTATTATCATTATACATGCTTCAAGCGAGTATTTTCCGGTTTACTGATCAAGATGTCAAGTTTCTATGTTGTCCTGGTCCTGATTCATTCTAGAATCGAATCAACAGGCGTCAAGGCCTCAGGCATTTGGTTATTTTGACAGGATGCATCCTAGCATGCGCATATCTCACCTCGTAAGTGCCGGATCAATAGCCAATTTTGTGACAAAAACATACATTTTCACTGACCATGAATCGCCACTATGGTATCATATCTTCTTTATAAATTACGACTTGTCGGGTCAAAGATAATTGTCCATGCACAAATGCTCGACAACGTGGTCGAATCGTGCCAGCCTCAATTGTACAAGGCTCACCTACAGCAGGGACCTGGGGTTGCAATTGCAATTGCATTGACGAACTCGATTGAGTGCAGCTTATCCCGACATCCATTGGCTGTACCTGTCGGTTAAACAAACCACATTGCAAAATAATTGAAGGTTGACTTTTCAATAGGTACATATGTACCTAAGTATCTGCAAGCACAATTTAGCCTCTAGGTCTTTTTATCCTTTACAGAAAGAAATAAAAAAGAAGATCCTGGCGAGGATTTGACGATATACGGACCCGAATTTGTCTGCGCCCTGACCCGAGGAAAAACCTTCTTCTTGCGTTCCTCGTCTAATCTTGCAAGATAATGGCATGCTATTCCCTGCACTGACGTTTCACAAAAACCGATTGTGCAGGTATACGAATCGGTGGCTGCAGGTTCGATAATATCGGTTTAAAATTTATAACGTTGACATGGGTATCTTTCTGATAGGAATATGCCGTTTTTCAGTTCACTAGTCATGTTGGTGAGCTTTGAATCAAAATCAATGAGTATCATACGTACATCACTTGGCTTTTATATTGCACTTGCATCGCACCTTGATGCTGGTTCTGATTCAAACGTTCAAACAAGGGTATCTGGAAGAGTGGGAAAAGCTAAATGCATTCCAGTCGACTGAGAACGGAGCGCAATGGCTGGGAGTTTTCGTCCAAGGATCCAAATTAATTCTCCATCAAGAGCTTTAAAGAAAGTTTCGTGATAATATATATATATATATACCTTAATCGATCACAGCGAGTTAAGCTTCCGGAATTCCTTTGTCAGCCATTAGTCTAGAGTAGTTACTTCAGTGCGTATAACTGCGTATCAAGATGCAGCTTCAACTTCTAACACTCCTTGTCTCTGGGCTCTCGCTAGCCGCCGCTTTTAAACCTGCTTCGACTCGGGGCACCGACAAATTAGCTGCTAAAGGGTTATTGAACCTCGCGGGTTACTCAATCTTGCATCCGCCCAAGTCGGGATGTAACTTAAGCAAGGTGAAGTTACGGAAGGAATGGTAAGTTTTCGACATATACCAGATCTGATCGAAAATATACGTACATACATAGGTATCGACATTTTCTAACTTCTGTACTTTAATTATAAACTTGCAGGAGTACCCTCTCTTCTCGCGAAAAGAAAGAATACATCCGCGCAGTTCTTTGCCTTCAATCAAAACCCGCTAGAAGTACACCTCTCGCTCCGGGTGCCGTATCCCGCTTCGATGACTTCGTAGCAACTCATATAAACCAAACTTTCTTCATCCATGCCACCGGTAACTTTCTCTCGTGGCATAGATACTACACCTGGGTTTACGAGAAAGCGTTACGCGAAGAATGCGGCTACAAAGGCTACCAGCCTTACATCAATTGGGGAAAATATGCCGAAGACCTCGAGCATGCGCCCCTATTCGACGGGAGTGACACAAGCATCGGTGGGAATGGGAATTATATCGCCCAACCTAGCGGTCCTGTATTCCCAGATCCTGTAAACCCCGTTATTATATTACCACCGGGAAAAGGTAGCGGATGTGTTACTACCGGTCCTTTCAAGAATATGACGGTCAACCTCGGGCCCGGTTTCTTTGGCGCGCAGTATCCCGATGTGGCACCGAACCCCCAGTTCGATGGGTTGGGTTATAACCCTAGGTGTTTGAGAAGAGACTTGGGGTTCACGGCGGCTAAGATAGGATCTACTGATCTGAATTCGACGAATTTGATAACGAAGTATACCACGATTAAGACGTTCCAGGATTTCATGCAGGGAACGTTTTTGTCAGGTGGGAGGGACATCGGTGTGCACACCGCTGGCCATTTTTGGGTTGGTGGAGGTAAGAATCTCACTTTTTATTTATATTTACAAATATATATATAGTCACGATTGACTAGTAAGATGTCGACTTGAGATACTGATTTGAAATTTGCAATAACAATAGATCCAGGCGGTGACTTTGCCGCAAGTCCCGGGGTAAGAAATTATATTAACAAACACACTCATTTTCTGCCTATTGAATCCCTTGCTAATTATATCAAAAACAGGACCCGTATTTCTATCTCCACCATGCACAAATTGACCGAACTTGGTGGATTTGGCAGAACCAAGATCCCAAAGTTCGATACAAGGCTGTGGGAGGCACGATCACCATTCTCGATACGCCCCCAAGCCGGAACGCAACTGCTGAGGATCCATTGGATCTTGGAGTACTGGCGCCATCCATCACTATTGGGGATGCATTGAGCACGATTGATGGGCCTTTCTGCTATATCTATGTATAGATTCTCAATAGCTACTACTAGTATAGGCAGTGAGGCTTCGCAGGGCCAAAGCATATGATTGTAATAGTTTTAAGCTAGTTAGCAATGATTAATGATATTATATTATATGATGAAAATTTATAGCTTAGAGCAGTCGCCTTATACTTAAAATTTAAAAGAAGAAATTAATCCCAAGACTTCCATACAAAAAATACCGTGCTTCACACACGGTGTAAGCATTCACACGTGGACTAAGATCGAGCAAAAGGGGAGTCGAAGTTGTTGTACTTTCTGCGTTGTCGCACCGCCACAAGATCACACTGTGGCTAAAGCTCTTCGCCAAACGTGTCGTCAAGCTCGGTCTCAGGCAACTGTATCCTTCAAAAGGCGCCTCTCCAAACCACCATACACCCCCACAGCAGCCCAGCATATACAAAATAAAAAACTCGCGACCATTCGCCAATAAATCCATCTGCTGAACTACTACCTCCGCCGTACCCGTTTTTTTCTTTTAACATATACCGATATTCACAATGGCGCAAGCCGGTGGCCATGAGGACATGATCGTACGGGCTTCCCCCCTCCCATCCGAGCTCTTGAAGCTTCGCGTTCGCGAGATAGGAAAAAATTAATTCTAATTCGTTACATTTTGGAAATGTTATCTATATATAGCACGATGCCGTTCTAAACTTCTACGGCAATCGTCTGGCTACATGCTCCTCCGATAAAACCATCAAGATATTTGAAGTAGAAGGGAATAACCATACATTGGTCAGCACACTGAAAGGGTTCGCGCCGCTACCACCTTCTTTCCCTTTCTTTCTTTCTTTCTTTCTCCTCTCTATTCCGAGCTTAAACGGGGGACTTGGAGAGCTAACATTGGGTTTGTGGGTGGGCGGAATTGGTGTAAAGACACGATGGTCCGGTATGGTGTGTCGCATGGGCGCATCCGAAGTACGGCAATATCCTCGCATCGGCTTCATACGACGCAAAGGTCATAATCTGGCTGGAGAATAACGGTCAATGGGGGAAACTTATCGAACATACAAATCACACCGCCAGCGGTATATCTTCCAATCCCACTACCAAAAGAGAAAGAAAACAAAGAAAAGACTCTATAGATTCTAATGATATATTATATCTATTAATATATAGTAAACATGGTCTCATGGGCCCCACATACCCTCGGCGAAGTCCTAGCCTGCGCATCCACGGACGGTAAAGTCTCAGTACTGGAATTCAAGGACGGAAACTGGGATACCCGTATCTTCAACGCCCATGCTACGGGTTGCAATGCCGTTTCGTGGGCACCAGATGTTTCACCCGGATCCATCGTTCAGTCTTCTGCCGCTTTGACAACGGGGGTTAGGAAGTTTGTAACTGGAGGCTCGGATAATTTGGTTAAGATTTGGGTTTATAGCCCAGACCAGGATAACTACGTTGTGGAAACAGTATTGGAGGGTCATCACGACTGGGTTAGGGATGTAGCATGGGCACCGTCGATATTGTCTAGGACATACATTGCATCTGCATCACAGGATAAATCGGTAATCATCTGGACGTCTGACGCTGGTGGACCTTTCCAGAAGAAGGTCCTCGAGATGGAAGCAGTCGTTTGGAGAGTTAGTTGGAGTTTGAGCGGGAATGTATTGGCAGTTAGTGGTGGGGACAATAAGGTCACCCTATGGAAGGAGAATCTCCAGGGAGAGTGGGAGAAGGTCACGACAGTTACGGAATAAGTTTTTTTAGTAGACTTTCTTCGGCGGTGCATTTTTCTTTGGTGTATTTTATAGCTACTAGCCAATGATACGCCTTTCGTAATTTAATGGCCATATGATGGACTTTGTGGAGAATCATGAATGTTGACTAGTCAATAGCTAAGGCCGAAGGAATACATCCCGAACCCGATGAAAGGAAATTAACAATTAGAAATTGGGGATCAGGAGAACAGTATAAAGTGTTCCACAGTAGGACAAAAGAGAGGGGAAATAGAAACCACGATTCGCTTTCGATCCCAGAAGAACGAAAAGTCCAACATGAAGCGCTAATGACATGAAAGAAACATAAAATCAGAGGAGTACAGGCTTCAGGAACATATGGAGGAAAGGCCTTTTCGCGGATGCTAGAAACGAATTTAAGAAACGCCATGACACCGAAGGTATAGCATAGGAATGAAAATAATTGTAGTGAAAAGCAGTGTGCCATGGAGAGAGGGACACCTATTAGCAATATCCACAGCGCCATTTCGCTGTCTAGAGTATCGAACCTTTTATGTCATTAAAAACAGAAGTAGCGTGAACAAGAAAGCAGACGTCAGTAAAAGATAACCCAGTTATGATAATCATAGCTTCCTGGGGTGGAAACTAGTCTGATGTAGGGTCTGGAGCCAAAGTCGGAGTCTGACTTTCCCCTGATGACTTCGAGTCTGAACTATGTTCCCGATTAGATGGCCCTGGTTGATTCTCTGCGGAGGGCATTGAAGGTCCTGCCTCTGGGTGGTCAGATGGGGCAGTTGTAGGTGGTGCTGGTGGAGGGAAAGGAACTAGAAGTTTGTCATTGGGGTCGGGAGGCGATGGAGATGACTGAGGATCAGTGGTTGGTCGGATGAAGACCTGGAGGATGCGGTTTGCCAGCCATGCTGGTTGACCAGGATCATTCAACTTCTTCTTCAAGTCGAACCTACACAAATATTAATATCATCACAACGTTTAGCAACTTTAAACTCGTCAGCTGCCTAAAGCAGCCATGCATCTCACTTACGGTTTACCATCCATAAATACAGAAGCCTTGTGGGTGTCAGTGGAGAGACCGGCTTTTTTGACCAGACGTTTTGCGATTTTCTTCACCTTTTCGTCACTCCAGGCTTGCATCGTAACGTCTATGGCATCGTGACCATATTGAACTCGGAACTTGATCATATAAGATATGGTGGTGACGCTATCGCTTGGACCTGGTCCTCCAGACATACTTGCTTTGCCTGATTCACTCGATTCCCAACTGTCGCTTGAATTTCTTGGTATGGATGCTGCACGAACGTTCATAGGATTGGAAATAATGTGACGGGGAACTATGTAATTGTTCCCTGCTTTGTCCCAGGCGCCACCGATGAAGGTACCTGTTGAATTTTGAAGCCATTTTCACCATGAGGTCAGAGGATCTTCCCATAACACCATAACATCAGACAAATTGATTTACTAACCATCGGGGAGAGTAATCTCGGCAGCAGCTAGCATTTCCCTCGCAGTTTTCAGCTGTGCATCGCTCTTGTCGGCCATCAACATCTCGCAGACTGCTTTGATCGTGCTCCAGATCTCAGGCCTTCCCGAGACTTGAGTGAACCAAAAATCATCTCGTAATCGTTGAAGGGCGGAGGCAGTGGGAGCTGGTCCATGAGCTGTATTGTAAAGCCAGTCCTTTGGACGCTTGAGCGGTCGGTCGAGTCTCTGGCCTGGAGGCACCGGTCCTTGATGGCCTCGATTGGTTGATAGACAGCCACCCATTTCGATCAGTTCATTTGAAGACAAATGTGCGCCTTCAGTACCAGTATTTCGATATTTCGAGCCAAAGGGGAAAATGGTATGATGATGATATGATGGTGATGATGGTAATGATGAGGCTTCAGAGCATACGAAAGAGGTTGGTAGTTTGGGAGGTAGTGGTCTCGTGGAGATACCTCTAACTGGTACTTTTACTACTACTACTGGTATTATTATTATTGCTGATAATATACCTGCTATATACCACCAACTGTTTGACTATGCTCTGCATCTGAGCGTCGTATGCATGAACTGATGTGCGCTGCTCCCGTTCATGCCAAGCTGAGAAGACCTGACAACGGACTTGAAGTGCGCCAACATAAAATCCAATCCAATGCCAGCTTGTGCGACAACCAAGCCTGTGGGCCTGGTCTGGTGGTGGTATAGCTCAACCTCCTGGGAATGCTGTGGCTTGGCTTGTTAGTTCTACCTATTAGTGGTAAGTATTATTGTCCTATTCTATCTGCTGCAAGGGGAGAGAGAGAGAGAGAGAGAGAAATAACAAAATTGGGGGGAGGACAGGAAATTTAATTGAAGATGAAAATATCAAAGATGAAGATGAAGAAACGAGGGGGGGAAATCAATCCCTTTCATACACACACACATGTGCATATGTATGCACTATCTTGAAGGCAAGAGGGATTGGCCAAGAGTCATGCCCAGACTCCAGACCAAATCGGTAGGGGCCTGCCAGCGTGAGGTATCATGATTTTTCACTGAAATTCAAAAGCAGGATTTCGCCGATGCAATGTTGGTACAAGGTCCAATCTATCGATGCGGGGGGAAGAATATCAATGCAGATGGGTCAGCTGGTTACATGGAGAGACCGTGGCGCAGAGCAATAAATGGGTCCAACGTTAAAAGTGTCGCCCTCGGCTTGCATCCATGTCAGTACCCACTTGCATGGCCGGGGACTTTATCGATAACCGAGCCATGACCACGCTAGCGAGCGATGGAGCTGACCTATGACAGACGGCTCGTCCGGCTGGGCGTTCGAGTCTCCAATGCATGCGCAATTGGCTTGATGCTTAAAATATATTAATATAAAAGGAATTTTGATATTATTTAGCATATAACATCCGCGAGTATATATATTAAATTATGGAGTCCACCAAGATGTTGATCTTTCTGGCGGCCTTTGTAGTTTGAAATAAAGGATAATTAGCGCGAGAGATCATGATCATTTGAAGTTATTGCGCAAATGAGTACTTTACTGTCATGTTGAGCGCCGCGTAAGCAGTCACTTTTGTATTAATTATACATCTCTTGAACATAAAAACTCGTGGGGGACTAGTCTGTATAAAAAAACAGCTACCCGACTAGGCACTAGATCTATAGAAGGGAGCATAAGTTCTCAGCTTCATCGATATTGTACCTGGTACCGTGGTTATCGGTTTCAGCTGAGTTCGGTTGGACCTCAAACATAGAAAAGCAATTCTTTAGTCATTAAATGTTAATTATCAACCATTTTTGTGAGAAAGTTGGGGCCAAATACTGGCTACACATTCGTAATCAGGAAGGGGACAAGTGCAAATATCTCTTTGCATGTGAAAACGGTGGGTTAGCGACATAATTGCGTAATGGATATTATAATTGTCGCAACCCCATTAACGAAACATAAAATTAATCCTTTGAACCATTCGACAGCTCGAAACATGGAGCTCGGTGTATCCTGTTAGGGTGTAGATCCAACCTATTAGTTTTCACATAATAGGTATCTCTACTCCCAGGCATCAGGGTCCCATTCCCCTAGTTTGCCGCTGATCCCCTCATCCAAAGCTGTAATCCTATCCATATCTTCCTCTGCCAGTTCCCATCCCCACAACTGACTGTTCTCCTTGATCCTTTCTTCCTTGTCCGACTTTGGAATGATAACCACACCTCTTTGTAGACACCACCTGAGAACAACCTGTGCAGCCGTCTTCCCATATTTCCCCGCAATATCCAAAATAACGGGGTCCTTCAATCTCGTTCCCTGTGTCAATGGCGAGTACGCAACGACTACAATTCCCTTTTGTTGACAGTATTCTACCAGCGCTTTATGTTGACACCAAGGATGGAACTCGATTTGGTTGACCGCGGGGGTAATATCAACCTCTTTGTTGGCAATTAACTCCTCAATATGGTGCTTTGACCAATTGCTCACACCGATTGACTTGGCCTTGCCGGATTTGACAATCTCCTGGAGGCCCAACCAAGCTTGTAGACGTGCTGTTGGACCCGGACGAGGGTTATGTATTAAGTAGAGATCGATATAATCGATTCCGGGCCCCATGGCCGCGAGCGATCGATTAAACCCATCGATTGCTCCTTCTTTAGTGTAAGAGGTCAACCCTAGTCTTGCAACGGTGGTTTTCCAAGAACCTCCACCGTTTGGGTTTGGATGTGCCATTGATTCGAAATCAGGTGGCATGCCGGGAAGGGTTAGATCAACTTCCCAGAGTTTTGAGCAGATGAAGATATCAGAGCGAGAGACCGATGGAGTTTTAGCCAGGAATTCAGTGACAGCGGCACCGGTGGCAGCTTCATTGTAGTAAATTTGAGCGGTGTCAAGATGGCGGTAGCCAGCTGATAGAGCAGAGAGGACAGAAGAGTGAGTTTTGGTAGATTGGAAGACTCCCAGACCCAGCACTGGAATTGATAGTGGTGAAGCCAAGGGCAGTGGGATGGATTGCGGGGTAGATTCTGAAGCCATTGTGGAAGAACTGGTAGGCTTTTGATTATGTTTTTTTTAGGAGATGACGAGAAGGGTTAAGAGATCTCTGGAGGTTGTAGGGATGAGTATTTATAATCATCTACCTGACTCGTTTAGATGGGAAGTCGGGCATCTCAGGCCGCTAGCGGGACGGGTAAACCGGGTAGACAGATCCTGCGTTGGAGAAGCGTTGGAATATTAATATGAAGCTGATGCTGTATCGTGTCGACGCTTGATGTGAGTGTTACACGTGCACCTTGACATGCAATTGTATGGCACAGCCGTCGCATCGATGCGTCTCGACAGTGCATTGTATATGTATAGGTAGTCTATATTGCATTTGCATTGTATTGGCCCACCGATAGATCCTTACTTAAAAGAAGTTTTTATTGAAGAAGCTAGAAGTTGAAATTGTCCAATGTGATATGTTTCGCTTTAAATTTCAATTGTGTAGCGCAATGCAATGAGGTGCCAAATAGCTACTTAAGTAAGTAGTCATATATGTAAGTATCTAGATATCGATATCGATAGCCGTGGATATTTGGTTTTAAAACACTTTTTAGCGATGTAGCTAAAGTAGCTACTTCAGTACATATAAAAGCCATTGAACTATTAAGCTTAAGATGCGACAGGGAAGTCCGGCCCGACCGCGGGAGCTTGCTCGCAGATTTGAGACACCTAGATTTTTAAATGCAAAATGATATCATATCATTACATTTACTCTCATTCGTCGTCCTCAGAATCGCTGAATGGGTGGCGGGTAGATAAACGTGAAGGGGGAAGAACATTTAGATCTAAAAGGGCGATTGCCTTGTCAAAGAATAAATCATTGTTCGAGGGGTCCGAGGAGAAATCATAAAGTTGATTCGCGTCCATCCTAAGATCGAGCCTGTGTTCATCATATATCATGCAAAAGTTATTAACTTGAACTAGAAATTCCCCATCAGTCGCCGTGAGACGCTCCCACAACGATATCATCTGCTTATCGCTGGTGGATCTTGTGAGCTCGGAGCATCGTTTTTCTCTAGCGTTTTTGGCGAGCTCTTTCATCTCAGCGATGAGGGCTTTTGTGTAGTCGCTCAATTTACTCGATTTTGTGAGGGTTATACGTTTGGCGGCACCGTGGATTCCGGCTCCAAGTAATGATGGGAACATGCCTATGGTTTGATACTTGTATATAAATGACTGTGAGAACGATATCTTTGGTTCTTCCGGAAGGTCATGATCAGATGATGCATCTTCACCGGAAGTATTTTCGGCAGCAGTTTTGTCCTGATCATTGGACAACTTCTGGGTTTGGTCGTTCTTGCTCTTGGCTTTGGGTTCCTTGTCCGAGTTCTGGTCATGATCTGGGAAAACAAAGAGCGGATCCTCCGCGAAGGTGTTCAGCCCTGGATATCGGCCTTTCAGACCGAAGCGATAAGCATCCTCAGAGATAGAGGACCCTTTATCTTGTACGCTGGGACTATCCTTGAAGAAGTATTGTTGACTGTGACCTATTAGAAGTGCGATGTGGACTTTAAAGTTCCTAGGAATGCCTATTTTGGGGCGAGCTGAAGGTGAGCTGCTGGCAGCCTTATCGTCATCGTGGTAGCTGACATATCGCTTGGCTCGAGCAATTCTAGAAGTCTTCATGATGTGGTTCCATAGTTTGCAAACACCGGCGAGGGCGCTGTGATCCCTAGCGTCGAAGTAATGCTCGAGGAGCATAAAATGAAGCTCGAGAGGGAGGGACAAAAGCCCACTCACGATGGAGCTTGCAGGTTCATCTTCGTCGTGAACACCGACATTTTCGTCCGCATCCAGTGGTGCGTCAGTATTTGAATATGCTATGCCTTGATCATGAGCACATTCGCGTAAAGTCGTAGTACGTTTGATCGGCTGTAGTAGCAGTCTCGGACCAACTCGAGCTCTGGCTGCAGCCAAACGCCAGTTGGTCAAATTATTCTGGAGGCGCAAAGTTCTCCTAATCTCGGGATCAAGTTGACGGATTGAGACTAAGTAATCATATAGAGTCCTTCTACGCTCCATTTTGAGTAAATTGAAAATAACTGTCGATGTGTATATAATATATGTGGAGGATCTGAGATGTTGGTGTGCACTGCGAATATTAATACGATTCGAAGGAGTCTTGAAAGTCAGCGCTGCGATTGTATTTCTTGGCGGATCCTTCGCTGGGAGCACAGAACAGGCAACAGAATTTAAACTTGATTAGATATTGTTTTAAGTATTTACCTACTTACAGACTTGAGGAGTTACTTAAATACTTTGAGGAGTACTGTCTACGGATCTATAGATATTTACTGAGGTAATTAATTAACTTATGCTTATATGCTTGTACCTAAGAAATTAGGATTTAAACCGAGTGATTTCTCTCTCCTAATCTAAGTAAGTAAGTATACAAGATACATGCAATATACAATGTAAAATATGTATATAGCTATCTGACTGAATAGCAAATTTAAAAGGATAGTTCGTGAATTTCCAATACTTGAATACTTTAAATGTACTGTGTATGGCTGGAGTTCGGCAATTGGCCACGAGGAATGGCATCTCCCCTGCACATACATCCATCCATACTTACATACGAAGCAAGCATGTATTTTATTACTTAACACACTGCTAATACTAACTTGAAGCATGTCTGTGCAGTGGAGAGCTCGCATGCGGAAATTGCGGGGCAGGTCTCATTCGGCTGGACCCCGCCGCATATCGACGGCAGGACAAACTGTGACTTAAGTGATTACCTGTAGCACAGCAGGTAAGTACTTAGACTTCTTCGAAACTGACGTACTAAAACCAAAAGTCGCCGCCGCCTTTCTTCCAAGCCAGATCTAACGGATTCCCTATAAATACCTTGTCCTGTAATTCGAGGAAGTAACTTACAAATGCTGTCTCGGTCGAGCATTGTCTTCCTTCGAGCCACTGGTGTCGCTAGATCGAGAGCTAATACTAGCAGACTCGTCTCCAAACTTAAAATCTCAACCATCTCCAATTCCTCATTCTCTGTTTCGAATTCTGCCCGTCGATTAAGCCCTGTCTCCACAGCCAAGATGTCGACATTAGCGACCTTCAAGCTGCCGGCCGTCCAGAACGAGCCAAATGTAAGTCGGTTCTCTTAGTCAATCGATCGATCGGAATGCAAGCGCCTGTGTGGAACGCGGGGGGGATTTTAGGCTAATCCGAACGTATTACAACCACAATAGCAACACTTTGCCAAAGGAACAGCCGAAAGGAATAAGCTGCAGGCTGCTCTCGATGTTCTCAAGAACAAGGGGACTACTGATATTCCCGTCGTGGTCGGCGGAAAGTCTGTATGTTATATCATATATTCATTCTGATTTTATATGAAAGACTGAGGGGGGGATTATGATTCTAATATGGAGGGATACATAGATCACCACCGATAACAAAGTTGCCCAGTATATGCCCTCTCATCATGCCAAAACCATAGCTACTGCGTCGCAGGCGACCAAGGAACATGTCAACGAGGCTATCTCGTCCGCTCTTGCTGCTCGTGAGGCATGGTCTACACTACCCTTCGCAGACCGAGCTGCTATCTTCTTGAAGGCTGCCAATCTGGTCGCTGGTAAATATCGTTATGATATTCTCGCTGCTACAATGCTTGGCCAGGGCAAGAACGCCTGGCAAGCAGAGATCGATGCTGCTGCCGAATGTGCAGATTTCTTAAGATTCAACTGCGCATACGCCGAAGAATTGTACAAGCAGCAGCCTATCAAGAACTCGCCTGGAGTCTGGAAGTATGTGAAACATTCTGAATTCAAAATTTTCTCGGGTATTCTTTTTTTTTTTTTTTTTTTTTTTTTGCTAACAATACCGTTTGTAGTCGAGTCGAGTACCGCCCACTTGAGGGTTTCGTCTATGCTATCACTCCCTTCAACTTTACCGCTATTGCAGCCAATCTGCCATGTGCACCAGCATTGATGGGCAATGTCGTTGTCTGGAAGCCCTCACCAGCTGCAGTCTATTCCAACTACCTGCTTTACAATATTCTCCTCGAAGCTGGCCTTCCACCAAATGTTATCCAGTTCGTCCCAGGAGACGCAGAAATAGTCACAGACGCCGTTCTCTCTCATAAGGAATTCACCAGTCTCCATTTCACCGGGTCAACCGCTGTTTTCCGTCACTTGTACGGCAAGATTGCTAAGGGTGTAGCCGACGGATTGTACAGATCCTACCCAAGAATTGTTGGTGAAACCGGAGGAAAGAACTTCCACGTTGTTCACGGATCTGCTGATGTCAAGAACGCTGTTCTGCACACCGTCCGAGGTGCCTTCGAGTATTCCGGCCAGAAGTGCAGTGCTACCAGCAGACTATATGTCGCCCAATCCATCTGGGAGGAGTTCAAGAAGAACTTGATTGCCGAGACAGAGGCTTTGAAGGTTGGCCCTAGCGAAGATTTCCAGACTTTCGTTGGACCGGTCATCCACAGGGGATCTTTCGATAAGTTAAAGAGAGTTATCGATGATGCTAAGAACACAAAGGGTATAACACTTGTGACCGGTGGCAAATATGATGACTCCGAAGGGTTCATCATCCATCCAACTGTTTACCAAGTTGACGACCCGACCCACGAACTCTTGAATCAGGAATTGTTCGGTCCCGTTCTCGCTACTTATGTCTACCCAGACGCCGAATTCGAGAATATCTTGAAGGCTGTTGATACCACCGGTGGCGGATACGCCCTTACTGGTTCGATATTTGCCAAGGACCGCGAGGTTGTCCGATACGCTGAGGAGAAGCTTAGAGATGCGGCTGGTAATTTCTATATCAACTGCAAGAGCACTGGAGCCGTTGTTGGACAACAACCCTTCGGAGGTAGCCGAGCTAGTGGAACGAATGATAAGGCCGGAAGCATGAACTTGCTGTTGAGGTTTGTGAATGTGAGAAGTATCAAGGAAGAGTTTGATGCTATGGAGAGTGTCACCTATGCTAGCAATGAAATCTAAAGACTGGGTGGATTCTGGTAGATAGAGCGACCTTATGTCTATTTCCCATATCTATGCATTCTTTTGCATGTTAATTGAGAATGAGAAGGCTATGTACTCTATGAAGGTTTCTATTTTAAAAGTCAGATAGACTAATATTAATAGCATTTTGGAAACTAAGCCTGGATAAATGATAAAATAAGTATAAGTTACTCGTATTAGTAGTATGACCTTAGCTTAGATACACTCATAGGCCATAGTACTTTCTATTGATTCTCGACTCTGGTATCAACCCCCACAAATCTTCTGTAGTATTGATATCATTATATCTGAGTACTAGGTAAATGCAGCGTGAACATGTAGAAGTACTTTATAATTATCCCCTGTAATCTTACATGCATATCTGTAGCCCAAAATGTAACTTTTTGATGAATGTCATGACCAAATGGTAGCCCGCTTTTCTGGGTATATACCTATTTTACATATCCTCCTCGTCATCGTCCCCTAGTAGAGCCGCATAATCGTCTGCCGAAGCAAACGTAGGCAAGTTCTTAAGCTTCATCCTCCTCTCCTTCCTCGCGTTCGTCGCAACCTCCTTTTCGGATTTTGCGACCTTTGATAATTTCATATCAACATCTGAGGGGACATCATCATCGCTGTTGATTCCTGCCTCAGCATCTGAGTCGTCGAGTCCGAAACCATCGAACTCTTCTTCTTCTTCGTCCTCATCGCTATTATCCTCATTCATCTCTTCATCGCCAATATCGCCCAAAGCATCCGTTGTAAGGCCTCCCATACCACCTTCTTCGTCGCTATCATCAATGTCACTCATATCTTCGTCCATACCATCCAACTCATCGTCATCAAAGTCATCCATATCCACATCACCGTCTTCGTCGGCATCGATATCAAGATCTGGCCGACTATCAACCATGGCACCCCAAGCTTCTTCATCGTCAAACTCGCTGTCCTCTGCTGCATCATCATCAGCTGCCTTCTTCTTCTCCTTCTTTTGTGACTTAGAGGCATCACTTTGCTTCCGCATGGTAAAGAATTTGTGGAAGAAGACCTCATCCTCCCTAACGTTTTCTTCTTTCATATTGGAGAAGGCATCTGAGTTGACGGGTATGAGACCACGTCCTGCTGTCTTCGTGCTCAAGACCATACCGCGAGTATCGCCACCAGCCAAAGGCTGCATGATACTGGATCCCTTGGTCGCGGAAGAAGCCTTAGCGTTACGGTAAACGAAGCGGTCAAGGAAGTGAGTTAAGGTGTGTAAGGACAGGTCAGGCTTAGATGGCATTGGTGCGTCGCCGTACAAGCTGTTTGCGTATAGCCCCACAGTAGGGTGAAAGTGAGATAGGAAAGGTATCTGTCATTTTTACGGCAAAATTAGTCTTCACGGAGCAGAAAAATTGGGCTGAGGCATAGGAAATACTAGAACTTACCAATTCCCAGATTGAGCTTCGGTCAGCGTTGGCGTATAACGGATCTCGTTTTCTTCCGTCGTATCCGTTACTTTCCTTCTTAGATTCCTCTGGTTTCGGCGCCCCAATGTCTCTCTCATCATCCACGTCTCGGAATACTTCTTCATCGCTATCGTAGTCAATAGGCTTATCTAGCATATTCTTCAAGGTTGGGTAGGTTCCTTCAAGTTCGCGGAGAAGATATAGAACACCACAGATGAATGGTGGCTGGTGCATAGAAGCGGTCTGGATGATTCTCTTGACAAAAGCCTGAACTCTGACAAGTTTATGATCGGCTTTCAGTGCTCTGAATAAGAGATTCAGGTACATCGCTTGTTTCGAGCTTGTGGCTAACCGAGGGTCCACCAAAGACTCGTAAAGAGAGCGGTAGAACCGGTCTGACACCACTTGCTTGCTGTTTGATACTTGAAATATGAGTGTTAAAGCTTGGAGACTGGTATTGAAGTTTGAGCCGTGTGTGATACGGAACAGGGTGTCAAGGTGTTTGTTGAATACATCGTCGTCGATTGAGGCGAATGGGAATGCACGGTTCACACCGGCCAGGACCGCTGATATTAACTTGGAGTTAGATTCCTCTTCTAAATCAGCGTCCTTCTTTTCTTTATCTAGCCTCTTCTTGGCCTTCTTTGAGAGCTTGCCGTCTGGCTTTGGTTTGATGGGTTTCGCTGGCTTTTTAGCCCCTCCCCCTAGGATATCTGCGAATTGGGCAAAGTAAATGCTTAAGAGCTGGTTGGCAACAGAGTCGTCGGCACGGGTGAGGATAGTTTGGTTGAGTGTTATGATGGAGTAGTATTGCGCATGGGTGTTTTTGCTGGATTTTAGCAAGGCATCGGATTCAATTGAAGATATGATAGTTGACTTCATGGCGGGATGTGCCACCATCAACTGAAGAAGCAAATGTGAAGTTTTTGACGCAACTTTCCTGTCTGGGTCACCCAACTTGTTCACTAAGAGCCTCATGAGATTGACTTCTCCCTCTGGTCTCTGCTTCAAAAGTTCAAAAACCATGTCAACCGCCTTCATCCTAACCCATGTTACGCCCGCATCGTTTGCAACAATTTCCATTGTCTTTAAAACCTCAAAATAGAAGTCTTTTAGCCAATCCTCAAAAGTCCATAAGAGAAGGTAAGCCTTGAAAACTTGATCTGCCCCCTTGGATTTCTCGTATGCTAGAAGTTCGCCTACTGGCTGTTTTGCGAACGGTAGTAGTTTCCTGTCGCTAGGTAAAATGGATCCATTGGCGAATAAATCTTTGATAGCTGTCAATGAACCGATTGTTTGGTTCCTTGACTTCTTCTTGGCGAGATTCAAGAGGGAATCGAGTGTTTTTGTGGTATGAAGCGGCGAATCGGTACAAACAATTGTTAGAGCCGAGATCTTGTCCTCAACTGTACCAGATGTCATGATTTGGGATAAGAACTGGAGATTGGTATCCCTTTTCAGATTATTGCTCATATAGGAACTATTTTCAGCAGTAAGAAGATCTTTCCCTCGTGTATGTAACGAAGAAATGACGAATGGTGTGGGACTATCGGATGTACGGGGTAATTCTGGAAGCACGATATTATGCCAGTCTTGTTGAGGGTCAAGTACAAGAGGGCCTTTGGTGGGTAGCTGTGTGAGTTCTCGAGAAGGCGCTGTTATTGTAGGAACTTCGGCTTTTTGTGTAAGTCCCGCGGTATCGCTTTCGTTTTCTTCGGCGTCTTCTGCACCCTCACTTTCGTCCTCATCGTCTTCATCTTCATCCTCTGTCCATTCCTCTTCTTCTTCTGCCACCTCAGCCTCATCCACTGACTTAGCGGCTTCTGAGATGGCTGCGGTGAGCCCTATTTCCTTCATAAATGCTTCGATATCTTTTGCAGATGCATTTTTTACCTTCCCAGCCTCTTTTACAATAGTTTCCTCCTCATCTGAGTCGGTATCTAGTTCTCCAACGAGATCAAGATCCTCCTGAGTTCCACCAAGCGCCATGATCTCTTGGAGGAGAGCATCCTTTTTGGATTTAACGGTCCCATCAGTTGCAGGCGCAGCCGTATCCTTTTGTGTGGGTTTGGTGGACTCTACGGTAGCCGTCGTCTTTCCGTCATCATCGAACTTGATGTGTGTTTTCTTCGCAAGAGCGACTTTCGTTGGAGCGGCCGTATTGTCGATTACCGACCCACTTCGATCACGCTTCTTCCCCCGTGTATCGTCGCTCGGTTGAGCCAATTGACTAGCCTTGCCATTGACTTGGATTCTTGCACCGTTTTGCTTCGTCGATGAGGGTGCTGTGGTCTTATCTCTCGGTTTTTGCTCTTTATGTTCCTTCTTTGATTTCGAAGCACCTTTGGATTCCTTCACACCAGCTTCGATACGTTGGGTCAATTTACTTAGGAAATTGGAGCCGGGGATTTCGAAATTAGCTTGCACCGGTGCATCTGTAGCGGCAGAATCCGTCTTCTGCTTTTTTGAGCCTTTGGCCATGGTTGAGGGTGAGATCTGGTGGGAACCGATGATGGGGATGGGGTTTAAGGTCTGCGACAGTTGAGGATTTCTCTAAAAGTTCTGTCGCTGGTTTTCGCGAAGAAAAAATATTTGGTGCGACTGGAAAGGCTTGGCGGTATTTCGCAACGCGAAAAATGCAACATGATCGCTCATTCTGCAGCTGGGGCTTCGAATCTTTGCCTGGTCATATATATGCAGATACATGTTCACATGAGAAAGCTTTTGAAGAATATAATATTATGAAGGTTAAGAATATGAAGAAGTAGGCTATGGGTATCAAATTTATATATACTTGGTACGAAATAAAGGAAAGTCATTATTTACAGAGGTAATAGATTTACAAATGTGAGCGCGTCACAATGATATAGTGCCCGGGTCAACAGTTTCAGGCTTGTCGTCCTCAATCTGAACTGTAGGCTGTGTCTCAGGGTCCTGCCCCCTTTCTTCTTCATCTTCATCTATAAATGGGATATCATCATCCTTTGGATCGAAGGCCCCATTGTTGGAATTATCCTTGTTATCATCTGGGGTGGGTGTGATTTCATCGTCGAGCTCAATTTCGTCTGTGGGGGACGAAGCGGGAGCCGCGGTAGGGGGTGTCGTTGGAATCTCTAACTCTAAAAGCGTTGAGGTTTCCAACTCTACAATAGATGAAGTCTTTGTTTCCACAATAGGTTCTATAGTTCCCGTTGTTGTACTGTCTGAAGATTCGGAATTTGGAATAGCCATAGATGTGATGACGGAAGATGCAGAAGATGCGGATGTTGTTACGATTTGTGGGTCTGAGGGTCCTTGAATTACGGAGACTTGGGCTAATGGTGCTGTGGTTTCGGCAGAGAAAGTTCGAGTCTTGAACTTGGTTATATCGCCGGTAAGTTCCAAAGTTTTAGATGGCGGTGGAGGCTTAGCACCATTTTGAAGCCCAGGGATTGCATATGGGACACAGAACTCTTCGAACGGATGTTCTTGACCCCAAATCTTTCTTTCGAGCGTTGGGGCCCAGTTCGGTACCGGGATCAATCCACCCTGAGAACCCAGCTTAAACCAAAGCTCTATGTTAGCATTCAGCTTTCCCTTTACGCCCGTGGTAATTTTCTGTTTTTCCGTAGTATTGGCTTTTGGGCAAAAGCCATCTTTTTTGTATCCGGCGTGTAGTTCCGCACCGACATAAGGCATGTTGAGTTGAAGGGCACCCTCGTATTTGAAGGTGTTAAGAATCTTCGCGCCGAAAGCAATCGATGGGCCAATATAAGCACCGGCCTCGCCCTTGGCCTCAAGGTCGTTGACGCGGAATATGGGAGAGATTCTAGCTCCTTGCAAGCCGCTTACGCCGCTCTTCTTTGCTACTACATCCAGAACTATCATAGCAGAATCTGGCATTACGGCTTCAACACCAATAGTGAAGTTGGCGATAGCATCGAGTTTGAGGTCAAATCCAGCATTAAATTGAATGGAAGGACCGAAAGTAAACAGGAATGGAATAGAGAATCCCGGAATAGTTGTATCTGGGAGGATAGACTTGGTGACAGATATCGGGTTTGCCATAGTAGCCTGGGCCTTAACTTCGAGTTCAAATTTTGCCGCGAGCCCCTTTGGTTGCAAGAAAAGGCCGAGATTTTTGACTTTTCCACCCTCAGCCTTTGCTCGGACACCGAGTTCAACACCACCATGAGAACCACAATCGATACAGTTGACCTGAAGGTATGGGTCTTCGTGGAACCGGTCACGGAATAACTCTACTCTTTTTTGAGCCGTCGCAAGGTTCACGAAAATTGACTTGAGGGCTGATATGTCTGGTGCCACACCGAGGAAACTGATAAGCTTGACAGCGAGGCTGTCGAGCCCAAAGAATCTTTTGGTGAGAGCCGCTGGCTCGAAGTGTCGTCTTGCTCGGCTTGGGATATCGTATCTACCAAGGGTGAGATCGAAATTGCCAGCAACTTCAGTCCAAAGTGTTTTCCCAACAGTAAGCGTGGTCTCGAGCCCCTTCTCGTCAATTTTGACCTCCGTAACTTTGTATGGGGCCCTTTGGCTTGATGGGCAACAGGTGGGGTGGTTGGCGATTAAGTAGAAGTAATCGGCTTCCTCGGAGTTGACCCACTTCCAAGCGGCGACAGCGTGATCCATAGCTGGTTTTGACTTGAATTTGATCTTCATCTGTGACCTGGAAGTACATTCCAAGCTTGTAGTAAGTCCGTCAAACTTTTCCATCATGATAAGTGGATGCTCTGGGTCGGGAGCATGGAGGGTCACGTTTGCAAGATACATCTGCTGTTGAACTATTGGACAATTAAAGAATTAGTCATACATAAAGATCTGATAGAAAGGGTATATTCTAATTCTACCTACCAGCGGCCCCTCCGTACATCATTATAACATCTTCTCGGAGATCCAGTCTCGATAGTGGATCCTCTCTCTTGAGTAGGTGCTGGGGAGTTAAGTCATCCTCACGGATAGGCTTCATTTCTATCGCCCTATCCATAGCCTCAGAGATGGACCTCTTTTGTTTAGCGCTCATAATATCACGGCGGCGGAGCCCATCCTCGCGAATTGGTTGCGCCGCTGGGATATCATCTAGGCTAGACAAGTCTATGCCACGCCTTAAAATCGTGTTCACGAAGGCGTCGTCCCGTAGGGGGGTAGCGGGAGCAATCCCATCAAAATCTATAATGGGTTTCGCAGTTGCCTGCGATCCTAATAAGCCAACCGATAAAATAACAGAAAAGAAGGTTGAATATATCATCATATTCATATAGTTGGAGATAGATATTTGAATTTGAAGTTATGAGAAGGAAGTATGCAATATAAGGAGTGGAGACAGGCTAGTCGCCCGCGGCCAAGCTGTAATGATTGAAGATAAAGAAAAGAATGTGATTAATAACGATTGACGATAATCTCAAAATATTGGATACATGGGGAAGGCTGTGGATTATATTTTATAAGATCCCCACAGGCAGTTTGATAACCCGATCGTCCCTGCCAATATCGCAAAGGCAGATATCTAGGGTCCAGGTAGTTGCGACCTGAGGCGCACTGTGCGCACTGTATACTAGTAATCCATGTAAGTACGGTCAAGGATTTGAAGTGAGTCTCAGTCATTATCCTTGACTGGTTCAATCAGTTGTAACTTCCCGAGATATAATTTCCAGCTCTTTTACCTAAGGAGGTCGGCTGCATTCGCTTCATTGTGGTGCTATCAGAATCCCGACTAATTCTCCAAATTCGCGAACAGGAGCTAGTTAGGATTTTAGTCGAAGAGTTCAGACGGTGGCATTACACCTTCACCAATTTCTTTCTTCCGTTAGCAGTTAGTTGAAGGCGCCCCTGTTCCCAGATAACCGTTCTCATGTTAGCTTTTGGGAGTCGCGTGCGCAAAAAGTTGAGGCTGTCAATTGTCGCAGTACGAATGAGTTGATGAAGTTAAACAACTACTTTGCTAGGGGTTTCACGGGGTCGAGAAGATGGGCCTAGTAGCTACGAAGCAGCCGGGGTGGTAGGCGAGTCTGAGCAAGTGGGACAGGAACCAGAGCGCTGTTAAGTTAGCTCGGTTCTCGAAAGGAACAGGAAGGTGTGGTGTTTGGTATACATTGTAGCTTGCCGGGTTCTGTCGCCTTTCACTTGCGACACAGACTGAAAGGGAAAGTCCCTTTAGCACACTGAGACTTTCTGGCTCAAGAATATTCGATGCCTTCGAATTTTGATATAGATCAGCCCAATAAGTCTGCGCTGCGCAGTTAAATCATAAATTTTATGTTTCTGAGTCTATAATCGTACCCCATATATTTCAGTTTTGAGCTACACTTTCACCTTCGAGAGGAAGCTTAGGAAGATGCCGGTGTCATGGTTAGTCAGTTTGTTTAACTTCCTTAACTCTACTAACTTGCAAATCGGTGACGCAGGTACCCACTAATTTTCGGGTACCGAACCGTTCAATATCTACTTAAATTAAAGACTATGTAACATGTAGCAGTAGACTTTGAAAACTAGATGCGGCTGAGTTTAGTCAGCTCCTAGGGTTTCTGAGGGAGCGCCTGAGCTCAAGCTGTTCTCGGATACAAAACCGTCTGCGGCTCCCAGCCTGAGCTAAGTAGTTGAGTGCTGATAGCCTAAGTCTATCATTTAAACATGAGAGGCTACCAAGGGATTAAACACAAAGGCGGGCTAGAAGAAAAGAGGCCTGTGTTCAAACCGGTCGCGCGGGCTATAAACTGTAGATAAATTAAAAGATTGAATTCAAAAGCAATGACGGCCTAGAACGTCAAGGAAGGACCATTGAAGGCTCAAGTAGATAGTAGAAATGAGGATGTTCTGTTTCCTTCGGAAAAAATTTTCTGGAATGTTTAAGGTAAGTTCCGAGAAAACGGTGCTAGGTGAGAGCCCTAGACATGTATCAGCGCCCACGCGGCCACGGCTGCGGCGTAGCTTGGCAGGGTGATTGCAAACATTCTAACTGTACAATTTGATATCTGTATAGTTCCCCAATTGTATTCCAAAAAAAAAAAACTTTAGCTCGATATAAAGAGCTAATAGTGATCCGTATATACGAGTGTCATAAGGGAAGATTTCGGATAATTTCTACAAAGATTGCAAGAAACAACACCCAAGATTACTAGCAACGGGAAGAACGCATGGGAATATCAAACGATCTAGATATATTGACAAGAATTAAAGAATAACTAGCTGCGAATATTTCAAAGCTATTCATTCCCGGGATTTTTCTATCATGATAAACAGCGTAGAGATTTTATAGGGCGTGGAATGTTCTGGGCCGCCGACAGATATCCATACATCTAATGTACGGTGCCGCGGCTCTATATCCAGTTTCTAAAAGTTATCCTCGTATCCCTTTCACATATTGAGATAAAAGTAGAAAGCAAGCAGGATGAGGAAGAAAAGAGATAAACGCCAGCGATAACCGATAGGGAACCATGGAAGCGAATCATCGATAACGACGGCGAGGGCGACGGTGTCGGGGGCCATTTCGATGGCGGGTAGGTCTTCATCAGGTTGTTGATTCTGACACCAGCAGTAGTATTTGCAATGACAGCTATGGATCGTTCGAGTTGTGGGTTAGCCCGATTCCTCTTGTTGTATATGGTCCATGCGGTGGTGCGAGACTAGATTCACGGCACTATGATCTTGTATTCATTGGAAACACACCTTTCCTCCAATTCCTTGCTAGTGCACAGCTCTTTGTATTGTTCAGTCGGAGTAGATGAATTGGAAGTGGTTTCTTCTACTGTCGCTTGTCCACTATCTTCGGATGCTTGGGTGGTATCTCTCATCCTTTTAGAGCCTATCAACTTGTGAGTGATGTAGGTGGCAGAGCGTATTTCTGTACGTCTCGTCGCTCCTCTTTGCCAGTCAAAGATTGATCGTTTCGTTGGCCTTTGCTCATTGTTTTCCGAAACTTCTCTCTTTCGTTTTAAACCTGAAAATTTGCAGGTGGTGTAGGTGCTACAGTTTCTGTGCATTTTTTTGCAGCCCCTTGGGTTTAGGCGCCGTTGAAGGGAAGATGGAATTGGCTTCATAATATTTTAGGTGCCAAGAACTAGCGGATAGCGTCGTGAAGCAGTTGCTGGTGTGAGATGCGAATGACTAGCCTCGAAAATAGACGCTTGAGGTGAGGAAGGCTTATTGAGATAGATGATGGACATAGACGCAAGTTGAAAGGCTGATATACAACACTTACTAAGCTCATGGGAGGACAAGATTAGCCATGGCAGAGACTTGGTATCAACTATAGCTTCAGTATCTGCTAGGCATTCATCGAAAATATACTAGTACACCTGTTCAACGAGTTTCAAACTGACAATATGTTGAGAGCTCTAGATGTTAGAGACACCAATTTTTTGAACCGCATGCGCAGTGACTTCTAGGTAAGTTGGTCATGAATGTTAGGTAGTAATCGCAGGATAGATCAGACGTTTCGGTGTGCTCAGCACCAGACTTGCAACTAGACTAACTAAATGGATCAGATTATTTCATAATGTTTAAACAACTATACAATTTTCGAATGATAATTCTGAACATCACCCAGACTTTTGGACCTGTGCTAGTGCATTCTAGACGCTTATGTCCAAATGAGCTAACTATCGTGAAAGTTTGCAACACCTCGTGTTGTGATGTTGCATATTGAAGATCTCCCAAAGCCCCGGGATTACCGAATTTGGATGGCCGAATGCCGCCCGGGATGATTGTACCACCGGGAAGACCCCGCCGAAGTGCTTTTAACATCATTGTATCCTCCAACAAAATTTCTTCCAAACACCATTCCTTCCGCAAAACCATCCAAATGGCGTCCAGGGCCCTCAATCGCAATCGTAAGGTCGTCGACCTCTCACGAGTCTGCTTCTTGCAGCAGCGAGCCATTTCTACCGTTCCACGACCTTACAAACCGGCTGCCCCACTTCCATCTCGAAGCATCCCGAGGCAGGTTTCATGTGTCCGGTCTATCCCGGTGCGACATGCAAGATATTCGTCCAGCAACTCTGCACCGCTGCTGAAGACCCCATTGTACGATCTTCATGTCCGATATGACGGTAAAATGGTTGAGTTCGGTGGTCACGCGATGCCGGTCCAGTACGCCGACCAAGGGATCGGTGAGAGCCATAGATATGTCCGAGAGGCTTGTGGGTTATTTGACGTATCACACATGGTGGTATGTATCACTATTAGGCCAATTGAGCTAGTAAAGGTTTCTAAATTTACAGATACTAAATGTGCGGTTCTTTCAATAGCAACACCAATTCACAGGCCCGACGGCAGCTGCTTTCCTCGAGTCTATAACCCCATCAGATCTTAAGTCGCTAGAACCGTTTTCATCTACCCTCTCGGTGCTATTACTGCCCACCGGCGGTATCGTTGATGATACTATTATCACAAAGCATGATGAGAATGCGTTCTATGTTGTCACCAACGCTGGATGCCGCGACAAGGATCTTGCCTTCCTCTCAGAGAAGCTAAAGGAATGGAATGCACAAGCTGGAGAAGGAGAACAAGTTCGTCACGATGTCTTGGCCCGTGGCTTAGTTGCATTACAGGGACCAGAGGCATCAAAAGTTCTCCAAAGCCTCTTGAAACCAGAAGATGAGGCCTTGGATTCCACATTGTTCTTTGGACAATCTAAATTCGCTACAATTACTGTCGATGGAGAGGATGTACCTATACACATCGCTCGTGGAGGGTATACCGGAGAGGATGGATTCGAAATCTCTATACCTGCCGAGCAAACCGAACTAGTGGTTGAAGCAATGCTTGACGCTGAGGATTGTGTAACTAAGCTTGCTGGCTTGGGTGCAAGAGATTCTCTACGGTTGGAAGCCGGAATGTGTCTTTATGGCCATGACATCGATGAAAACACAACACCCGTTGAGGGAAATCTTACCTGGCTCATAGCGAAGAGCCGAAGGAAAGATGCCAGTTTCCCCGGCGCAAGCACGATCCTAAAGCAAATTAAGGAAGGCCCTTCAAAGAGGAGGATTGGCCTTATTGTCAACGGAGCCCCCGCGAGAGAGGGCGCTATAATCAAGACTGCGGATGGCGAAAAGATTGGAGTTATCACTAGTGGTTGCCCAAGTCCGACCCTAGGAAAGAACATTGCTATGGGTTATGTGGAGGAAAAGTATAAAAAGGTTGGGACAGAGGTTGTGGTTGAAGTCAGAGGAAAGCCTCGACAGGCTGTCATCGCAAAAATGCCGTTCGTACCAGCGAAATATCACAAATCTGACGGTGGGTCTAGCTCAGATTCTAGCTCTAGCTCTGGCCTGTTTAGCGCCTTTGCGACCGGTGCGATCTTTGCCTCAATTTTTGACTGACCTTTACCTTCTAATGTCTAGCCAAAGCATAAAATATAATTCAGAAGCCCACCCATCAACTGTGTGGAAACCGATAAAATGGCCTGTTACCGGATATTGGAGGAACAAGCAGAACGCTAGTTTACATGCTGGTTATTAATTTCTATATGTATAACACAAATATATCCTTTAGAGAGTCTTCGTCAGCTGAGTAACACTAAATCCTTGAGATCAACCGTTTTCCATTTACTTGTGTAACATTGGAAAATTTGTTGGATTTTGTTTTGCGTTGTATGGCCTCGAAGCCGCCAATTGTGTAGCACACTGACTAAACTTGTCGAGAAATTTCGATAGCCAGAGACGAGGCGGATCTTCTCGGAACGTGGATACTGGTCCCGGTGTGGTAACATATCGGTGCTACGATCCCGGTGCTCTCCCGGAATACCTTTTTTCAAGGGATATTGGAAGCTCTTGACTTTGCTATGTGAATGAATATTATGTCCACGGTTGTAGTTGGGGGTAGAGAGGTATAACATCATCCAATTAAATGTCCGATTTGTATGCGGCACATAGCGAAGGAATTCCGAATTATGCCGCCTTCATATCAAAGCCATTTTATTATCCTATAGTAGCTATTTTATGGTTCAATTCCAAGATTAGAAAATCTCAAGCTTGTAAGGTCGAGATCACATCCCGCGGGTGAAAAAGGCTTTTTAATTGTGCTGCCGAATATGCCATTCGAACCCAACTATAAAAAGTAGTTAAATTCCAACATGCATATACGCCTTTGCAAACCACGGATCGATTGATATTTTACGAATGATAATGGCAAGGATTTTGGACTTCTTTAATGCAGAACCAGCCCTTGTCGACGGAACAGTCGGTTCGAAACTCAAAATTCTATACCGTGGTCCTTCAGGCTAAACCCATGGAAATCCAGACGAGAACCCCAGAAAACGACCCCTGAAAGCTCGTCTCCCTTAGCTGTAAAGTGATGGACCCCACGGTCCGTGGTTCCCAAGGAATCACCATAATTCCACGAATAGTAACGCCGCGGGCCAATTTATATGCTTCAATGCGAAGCCTATTCCTGAAGCTCGAAACAACAACAGCGATATTGGATCCTTGGTAACAATGAGGGAGGCGGAGCGCTGTGAGTTTTAACTTTGGCATTTTGTATATAAGAAAACGGGTTTTAAATATTTCTGAACTCTGGTCACGGATTTCATCGATTCTTTTGTCAAAATCTAAAATCGATATCGAATAGCTATTCATATAGCCCATTCAATTTAAACTTTCTTTCCCACTACTTTCCCAATTCATTCGACCAAAATATCAACGAAATGAAAAAGGTAGCAATAGCCCTCGCGGCATTGACTGGAACCGCTATGGCCATACCAGCCTTCCCCGGAGCAGAAGGTTTCGGTAAAGAAGCCACCGGTGGGCGTGCTGGTACCCATTATCTCGTCACCAATCTCAACGACTCTGGAGCTGGATCTCTACGCGATGCTGTCTCAAAGCCAGACCGCATTGTTAGTTTCGCAATTGGCGGTACAATCAACATCGATTCAAGAATAGTTGTCTCTGCCCGCGTGACAATTCTTGGACAAACAGCACCAGGAGATGGTATTGCTACATACGGCAATGGCTGGTCCTTCTCGAATGCTCATAACTCAATTGTTCGGTATATTCGTATCCGTATGGGCAAACCAGGCGATTCTGGCAAGGACGCTATTACCATCGCGGACGGTGACACGATGATTTTTGATCATGTTAGTGTTTCCTGGGGCCGTGATGAAACATTCTCTATCAGTGGAGATGTCAATAACATCACCATTCAAGACTCGATCATAGCGCAAGGGTTGGAAACTCACTCTTGCGGAGGCTTGATGCAGACCGACGGGGGAGTCTCCCTTTTCCGCAACCTATATATCGACAACAAGACTCGTAACCCAAAGGTGAAGGGTGTTAATGATTTCACAAATAACGTTATCTACAATTGGGGAGGTGGTGGTGGTTATATTGCTGGAGACTCTGACGGGCAGTCTCGATGCAATATCATCAATAACTACTTCATTAGTGGGCCAGACACTTCTGTTACTGCATTTACTCGAGGCAATGCGAATTTCCAGGGATACGTACAAGACAATTATTATGACTCGAATAAGAACGGTGCCCTTGATGGTACAATTCTCGGACCTGCATCCTCCAACTATGGCGGCATGGTCATTGTCGGCACAAAATTCAACTATCCTAGCCCGGCCAACCTTATGAGTGCGCCCAATGCTCTCAACCATGTCCTTGCAAATGCGGGATGTTCCAAAGCCCGAGATGCCATCGATAAGAGACTCGTGCAAGAAGTTCAATCTTGGGGAAAGAGCGGTCAGCTCATCAGCGACGAAAAGGCCTCTCCTATGAATTATAACCCTTCTGCGCTGAACGGCGGTACTAGATGGGTTGACACCGACGGTGACGGTATTCCGGATGATGCTGAAATCCGCATGGGCACTGACCCGAACAAGGCAGATTCCATGCAGGATAAAGATGGAAACGGCTATAAGAACATCGAGGACTGGGCTAACTCCCTGATATCGGGTGGCTCAACTCCTGGTTCTACTACTGCTGTTACTACCAAGTCAACGACCACGACTACCAAAGCTACTACACCAGCTGCCACGACTCCTCAAACCACAGCCATAACGACAACGAAGCCTCCTACTACTACTGCTGCGCCGACAGGATCCGGACAGAGTATTTACGGCCAATGTGGTGGTTCTGGTTGGACTGTAAGTAAACTGATACATTAATCTGAGATAGTCCTGAAACTTTCGAATTATTTTGCTGACTTCGACCTACCACATAGGGGCCAACCAACTGTGTAGCTCCAGCCACCGCCTGCTCTTCTCTTAATCCTTACTACTTTCAATGCTTGTAGAGTGGGCCACCAAGCCTTAAATTTTGTATGTAAAAAGAGATACCAGTACATAAAATTTTGCTTATAAACTTAGATAATATTGAACGAGAAGTCTGAGACCAATTGTCAGGCATGTGCGCAGAGAATTGAATCTAAAGGCTGTTGTGGGAGTTCTATTCTATCAGAAAATTTAAAATCTTTATAGCTATGCATAGTAATGCTGAGTCCTGACACTAGTAAAATATAATTAAGCGGTCGAGATAGAAGGCAGAACCAAAAGCATTAAGTAATATTAATATTATATGGACTATGCACCAAAACGTCGATTCCGCTTCGATAGGTCGAGCAAGCTCTTCAAAAACGTCGACTGCCTCAGAGCAGGCCAATTCTCCTCCACAATAGCAAATTCAGCATGATGTGATTCCCATAGTGCGAATCCACTCAATCTATTCTCACCACTTGTTCTTAGAATTGCATCGATATGTGGTAACCCCAGCTGTGCGGAATATGTTTGACGAGATATGTCCGCTTCCCCGACCTTTTCAACAGCATCCTCTAGTGAAAGTCCTTCTTTCACCATTTGGCCCACTGCCATCCTTGTAGCTCTTGTAACTTCAGAGCGTCCTCCATATCCTATTGCTATTTGGAAGTTGAATTTTGAATTTTCGGTGGTAGAAGTTTCTGCCTTAATTATCATATCATTCAAGTAGTCGGGAAGGATAGATCTATCACCAACGACCCTGAATCGAACATCCGGAACAGAGAACGGGGCGTCTCCCATCATCATCTCATGGATATAATCAGCCATCATTGAAAACAACGGATTAAGCTCTTGGGGTCCTCGTTTCAGATTGTCATCAGACAATGCCCAAACTGTCAAATTGCGAACTCCGGAACTAAAAGCCCAAGACATAACCTGAAGCAACTTATGGGCACCGACTTGATGACCAGCTAATACGCTCCCTAGTCCCCTTCCTTGAGAATATCGCCGATTCCCATCCATGATTACGCCGAGATGTCGTGGTGGGTGCCCAGGACTGGACGAAAGCTTTCCACGGTAGTAAGAGCATTTAATAAGTTCTTTTAACTCCTCGCTGAAACTGGGTATTATGGGCATAGGTCGTTGGTCGATAGCCATTCGGGGTAGGTGAGCCTCCATGTCTGAGAACTGACGAAGCGATCCTCCCGGGAGACTGATTGGCGGGGTGCCTTTACTGCCAAATATCTCGCGATAAAGGTCAAGAGGGACATTGGCCATGCGCGGATTCCCGGAGACGATAAGGTCCAAAGTTCCATCGAAAGCGAGTATATGTGGGCACATGCTATAGTGGAAATATGAAAGAAAACATTGAACTTTTTTTATACACCACCAGAACGAAGATTCGAAAATTCCGTGACGACATGTCTCCATTAACACGTTGTCTGACAGCCGTTGGACGAATTTCGTAAGTAGTAAAAGTGTAATTGAAGTTCGAGGGCTCCTCAGAACTCTTGTAATGCCTTGTTTTTGCAATCCAAGCCGCATCTTTGTTAACTCGTTGTCTTTTTCTTTAACGCCCTTGAGCTTTTCAGTGTCAAATGGAAGCTGCTGTCGTAAGTACTCCTCAATTTCTGCCATCGTGTTCGGCACCTTTCGTCCAAGATCCTTAGGGTCTAGTTTGTCCGCCATACTCATGACGCTCTTGACAATGCCTTCGACTTCCATCGGCGTGGCAGACCCTAAAAATTGGTGGCTCTTCGCTAGTCCATATGCAAAAGTTGAAAACACAAGAACATTGTTCTCGAAATTAAAAAATGGGATTCCACGATGTAGTTTCTGCAGCCATTGTATAACTTGTTTTCTTTCCTTACTGTTCGATCTTATCATGATGAACATAAAAGTCATGGTACGAATAATCCGGCGCCAAGGATCCGTGTAATAGCTGCTATGAGCGTAGAGAAATTTCGACAATTCGGGATGGGAGAGTTGGAGGTTGGAAGCTATGAAGACGGATGCAAGCATAATATCACCACGGTCGAAGAGAGCATGAAGCTCCTCCACGGATGGATAAGTATTCCGCCACACCAACCGAGTAGCTCTAATTCTCTGCCATTCATGCCGGGTTTTGTTTATGAAAAAAAGGATACAGAAAAGTAGGACAAGCGCGCAGTTCGTCACTACGAAAATTCTGAATTCCATAAGAGTCGGTTGCAAATTAATCGAATTCGCAAAGAGTATTATTGATTAGATATCTGTAGATGCTCAGAACTATTCGGGGGGGGCACAGACCACTTAAGTAAGTATCAACTTCCCCTGGCCTGGATCTCTAAAGATCTGTAGTACCATTCCAATCGAATAGCAAGGGGTTTTCTAACCTAAAAGATCATAGACGCCTAGATGACTTCAAATTAGCTTTCTTTCACAGATTTCTAAGTTTCTTGAAAAAGGAATCGATTATAAAGATCTAGCTAAATTCCGTGAATAGCACGGCGCCCAACATTAACGCCAGCTAGCTGCAGCGCTGCAGGTTCCACGCCTAAGTCTACATCCAACGGGCCAGCCGATCTGGGTCTAGCTTGGCTCATGGCCAAGGTAAATTGTTTTGGTGCAGATTGTGGGACTGGTGGGTGAGGCTGACATGACCCGACATAACCGAAGCCCATGTTTGCTCCCGCATACTGCACCGTAATCAGTTATCTGTGTATCATCATAGCTCAGATTCTATCCCATTTCTATCATACAATCTAATAACGGTTCGATATTCATATGATATGATCTAATATTTATATTATCATTAATCGTTATATTCTGCACAGTTGTGGAGTATTTGTGTGATGACTGATTAATGATTCGTATGTCTTAAGTAGTACTTAAGTGGTTAAGATTGATTTGGCTCGATCAAGGTTGCATATCGAGCTCGAGCTCGGCCTTGAAAACCTTGAGCCCGCAGATGATTAGAACACGGTAATATTATTTTCCTGATAAGCTATTTAACTGCAGAATAAATCCAAAAGAAAGATAAATAAATAGATGAATAAAATTAAAAGAATCATGATATCAGTTGATTAAAATATTCTATCCCGGAGAAATACACCCGAAATATTGTGTTTGAAATTATGTTTGCTTCGGAACCCTCCTCAATGTAGTGCAACCCTCGCTAGAAACTAAAGGGCTTTAGAAGGCTGATATCAATCGAAGAGCGCACCATGCAGATGGGAATCTTATGCGGATATCGATCGATCGATCGAAATTGATTATCTATGCCATACCTTTCTACCACGTGTCCCCTGCCTTACATATATTTGTCATCGGGGTACCTTTTCCAAGAAATGACCTACGTCCCATGGCCCACCTTTCAGTCCTTTTTATGTGTACTTACATATAATCTATACATCGGAAATTCAATAGTTATTTCAGAATTTCGTTCCGTCGTGAATGTTTTTATCGGTTCCATGCACTCAATTAACATGCATGCATGCAACAAACCCTCTAGGCCTAGCCAAAATCCATAACTTTTAGGCGGAATACGTACACTCTTAGAAGGTTTCTTTATTATCCAACTAAATAATGTAATGCGCTATTTTAAAGTTTATACATCTGAGGTTTGGTGAAACGTTAAACCATGCATAGATATCGGTCGCTGTGTGCGTGGATTCCAATACTAGATGGTTTTAAAACCTTCTCTAATCCCTCGAGCCGGCCAAATTAGTTTAAAAATGACGGCGGAATTATTCTCAAATCACGAGTACTCGAGTTTTCGGCGAACGTATCGTTCATCTTTCAACGAGATCCCAGATTGGTGACATTAACCTATCACGGAGTTCCATTATTAGTCTAATTATAATACATTGTGGACCAAAATTTTTTTAAAAAATTTAATAAGATGAGAGACTTCTTAGGTATGTCAATCATCTAATTACTAATTTAAATAAGCCTTACAATTAGAATGACATTAACACTACTCTCGAATTAGGATTCTTCGCGCCAGCACCGGCCCCGTGGGCTACTCTACGGCTCGGCACACGAAAAGAGGCTGTTGATCTAGAAAACTACCTACTATTTATATATTACATCCTGCAAGGGATTCTCACAGGAATCCTGAGTACCTTCGTCCTCAACAACACCTTGAACGCCCCTCGACTCCTATCGTATTTTGGCAGCGTATCATTTCTCTTGGGGGCTAGCGCTATCTTTGGAAAAAATGCTACAACCCACTGGGTTCTCGGGATCTGGGGGACGATGGTATCAGCCTTGATTCCAGCGATAGCGTGGAACATATATTATTACGGAAAGCAATCAAGTTTTTGTAAGGTCCTTGACCGGGCCGAGCCGGGGAAGACGGCAGCTAAGTAGCTGGCATAAATAAATGCCTTATTTGTGTTTCTTATTGGAAGTTTGTGATAGGTTCAAATGAATATATTGATCCCGCTAGCCGTGACCTGGCGCGCATGATTTTATGCATCATGCGAGCGCAGAAAGACCTAGATCGGTGGTAGCCCGTGTGCATATGTGGTAACCGCACCGGTGGCCTCGAAGCGACCTGTGGTATTCTACGTCAAAGTTGCGTTGCCGGCCAACAAAGTCCAGCCATATGTAATGCATCATGCACCGTTTGCTACGTATTTATAAAAAGTCCACAAGGATTTAGAATTAGAACGAGGCATGGCTGTTCTTGGTTAATTCGGGGTCCTCCTGTATTAATATAATATTTGACATCTCCAGGCGCGCTACGCGTTCATCATTCATATTATTTTGCTGGGTTTCTTTTTGACTTAATAGCTAGTACTTTGGGAATCATCTATTTAATCCAAGTCTAGTTTCCCAGTCATTCTCCACTATTGTGCGTATTCATGCAGGGTTAACGTTAACGGTTCCTCGGTACCGGTTTGATCAGATCATGGCGAGCAACATTCCTCTTTCCAACCTTAGTACCCGCAAATTCGGGACTCCTTGTCATATCCTAGACCTTCCATACGACGTATACGTCGAGATCTTCTCACACCTCTCATGGAAGACCCACGTCGTGTGCATGGATGTGTGCACTTTCTGGCGGCAGATCCTGTTGACACCACACGCTAAAGCGAAGCGGTTTAGCACCGATAGCAATCCACGAGTACATCAGATGTTCAAATCAGTATTTCTTCGCCATACATCTATCCTTCAGATCACACACCGCAATCAAGAAATTGTTTCAGTGCAATTTAAGAGATCGATGGACGATTATGACGACAGTCATTATGAGAAAGAGGATAAAGTTCTTTGGGGGTTGGAACTCTGGGAGCCCAGGCATCCGATTCTAGACGACTACCTATTTTCTCAAGGGGATCCGGATGATGTTACAAAGGAAGCGATTGAATTTTATCGACCCTTAATTTCAGGCATCAAATTAATTGTCTTGCGGGAAAGGAGACATTTCAGCGTGGGGATATCGATGACCAGATGGATGCTAGATAATACGCCGAAGAAACTGAGAGAAGTTACGTTGAGGGGGGTGATCAGACTTCTAGCAAATCATGTTTATAAGATACCAGGCCTCCAGGAATGCTCGGATTCCAAATTTGAGCTGTTACCGAACGGAGTCGATGACTTGTCCCTATTGACGGTGCGGGGCAGGCTCTGGCTCCGAGACTAGAATAATAATTACTATTAATTAATACAATGGGGTAATGCATGAACGAATGAACGAAACCTCAGGAGCACGTGAGCAAGGATAATAACCAGCAGGAGCGCGACAGTGAATCGATGCTGTCGTAACGTGCTCCGGTAATTTTGAGCATTCCTCTGCAATGCAATGCATTGATTTGTCATCCCAGTCAGACCGAAGATACGTACCTTGTTTTTTCAAAGGATTTTGTGTTGTGACTACAAAATACCACAGATCCAGGAAAATATGCCTTCTTTGAGCATGCGAACCGATGCAATGACATCGAAGCTAAGCTAAGCATATCAGAAAAAATAAAATAAAATATAATAAAAATAAGATAAAATAAAATAAAGGTTTTAACTCGGCGGAAGAAACCGGGCTTCAGAATTCAACCTCGATGGCCTGCATCTTGGCCTCCTGCCGTCTTTGAAAGTGCCTTCAGAACTCCGGCTTCAAGATGCACCTCCCATCGAGCTTCGAATATCCAACTTGAACTGAACCCCGTCCGGTCCTGCTGCTGCTACTGCTGCTGCTGCAAGCCTGTTGGCTCCCACGGCTACGGCCCAATCGAAACTAAAGGAGATGCCGGCCTCTTCATCCATGCGCGAGGCCAGTTCCAATGGCCCCGCTGCCTCAACGGCCGCCAGTACTTTAACTCTCACCAACAACCTCAAACATTTTTCGTCGGGACTTGCCGGTGGTATCGTCTCTGCAATAGTCTTGCAGCCTGCCGATTTACTCAAAACCCGGGTCCAACAGTCGCATGATGCAAGATTAATCCCTACAGTTCGCGCAATCCTCTCCGGTCCGAATCCCATATCGACGCTATGGCGAGGTTCGATACCTTCTGCCATCCGCACAGGGGTCGGGAGTGGACTTTACTTTGCTACTCTCAACATCTTTCGGAAAACCGTTCATAACTCGACATCTACGAAACCATCGACTGTTACGAACTTGTTAACTGGTTCGGCAGCTCGTGTCTTTGCTGGATTCGTCATGATGCCGATTACTATCATCAAAGTTCGTTACGAATCTACGTTCTATTCTTACAATTCCATACCTCATGCTTGCAGAGATATATTCGCAAAGGAAGGGGTACGAGGGTTCTTCTCTGGCTTTGGAGCGACGGCGATAAGAGATGGCCCGTATGCTGGTGTATACGTTAGTTTTTACGAGGCTTCTAAGGGTGTATTCAGGAGGTTATACAGTTCGGGTGAAAGGGTCGGTGTGGTTGATCATGAACAGTCCGCGGCTTTGGTAAACTTGTCGTCGGGACTTACTGCTGGTGTATTGGCAACCGCGGCGACTAATCCGTTCGATGCTCTGAAGACGAGGATACAACTGTTCCCGGAAACTTATACGAATCTGTGGGTTGCAGGAAGGAAAGTCATTGGTGAAGAAGGGTTCATGGCACTCTTTGATGGGCTGGGCTTGAGGATGGGGAGGAAGGCTTTAAGTAGTGCAGTTATGTGGACTGCATACGAAGAAGGGATGAGGAGATGGGCCTTAGCGGCCAAGCAGAAGGGTGGGAATGCAGAAGTCTAAACACCACTTTCTCATGAAGCAGATTCAGCAGCGAATTCGGGAAATGCGAATTTAATGCGGCATGAAATAAATTTAAGTACGCTAAGGGCGCGTACGATTGTACATAGGATGGGCTGGGTTCCGGCGTTCTTGGATCTGCTTTCAACTCTTCTCAAATCAGTCATTTGTGCACTGCAGGCTCTGGAAAAAACAAAAAAATAAACAGAAAAGCTAATAGAATCATAGCTCTTGGATTTTATTTTTGAGAGTACTCGATGTGTATATACAGACTTAACTCGACAGACACAGTGTAGAACGAGAGCGAAGGTACGGTCTGATCAACGTCCGTATCGCGGGGTCTAGTCAAGGATGTCATCCAACTTTTGGGACAGTTCATCCATCGTAACCATATGTTTTCTCCCCGTCCTTCTCTCTTGCACTTCAACCAGCTTGTCTTCCTCAAACTTGTTTCCAATCACCACCACGGTGCTATATCCTATCATGTCCGCCTCTTTCATCTTTCTGGCCACTGATTCATCCCTATCGTCCAAGAGAACATCATCTTCCAGCCAACGATTGCCTTGCACAATCGAATCATACACTTCCTCAGCCGTACCACTCATGTCGTCTCCACCCTTCTTACCCGTGTAAACAACGGCTACACTGTAAGGTGCAACCACCTTGGGCCAGCACAGTCCCTTCTCATCTCTCAACAATTCAGCAATAGCAGCGATGAGTCTAGTAACCCCGATACCATAGCATCCCATCTGTAAACGGGCTTGGATTTGCACGCCGTCCTCGTTCACAGTGCCGACATAAGCCTTCAAGGGATCAGAATATCTCGTTCCCAAGAAAAAAGTATGGCCCAGCTCTGTTGTTTTTGTCGCCACCATTTTGCTATCCTCACACCTGGGGCAGGCATCCCCAGTTATCGGTTTACACAAGAAAATTGGTGTTTTATCATCTTCCCCTTCTTTGCCATTCACATTAGTCCTCACAACAGTTGGAATCTTCTTGTCGGAATAGAATTGCTTGATCATGCTTTGCGATTCAGCGCCGAAGTCTTCTTCGTGTTCGGAGAAAGTCGAGAACTTTGAACCGCCGTCGCCGTCGAGGATGTGGCCGTCATAGATCTTGATAATTCGGCTGTATGATTCTCCTTCTTTTATCTGTCCAGTCGTAGTATCAAGAGTATCGTTGAATGATGTAAAGCTGTCTTCCCATGCGTTCAACGCACTAGCTTCTTCCATTCCAGCCTCGAGACCTCCGCCTTCCTCACCAAGCACAGTCTGAATAACCCTGGGATTAACCTCCCTTCTATGCCATTCCCCTTCCCCACCTTCGACCGAGGCTTGTCTGACAAAACCAGGGTAGTAGGCCTTCACAAGAACCTTCCTGTCCTTACTAACCCCATACCAAACCTTCGTCTTCTTGGTTTCCCAATTCTCTTTGCGAACCGGTATGGACTCCACGCACTCCATATTAGCAGTATACCCGCACGCTTCGGCTTTTCCTTCTTTCCCAGAGCAACTGAGGACCGTGTCTTCCCCAGTATTGCACTCGTAATGGTATTCGTGGGATAGATTTCCACCCATATTACCACTATCCGCCTCTGCGACGAGATAGGGAAGGCCGAGTTCATTGAAGATTGATCGATAAGCACCGACGACGTCGGTGTAGGTGTTCAGTGCACCTTCGGAGGAGTAGTCGAAAGTATATAAATCCTTCATGACGAACTCGCGGCCACGGAGTAACCCAGCGCGAGGACGACGTTCGTCACGGTATTTCCGGGCTAAGTGGTAGAAATTTTGTTAGATTTCCCCAGTCTAACAAGATTAACTAATTGAGGCTGGTCGATCATACTTATTTGGTAGACACGCAATGGCAATTGCTTGTAAGAAGAAATTGTCGAGGAGACCAAGGATGTGATCTCCTCCTCATGGGTGGGACCGAGCAGGTAGTTTGTTCCATGTCTATCTTTGAATTGGAAGAGCTGTAACCAGGATTAATTACTAGAACGTGAGTCTTTAGTTCTCATCAACAGGTAGGCGTAAAAGGAAATCCTGAAAGGAAATGGCATTACCTCTTTACCCATTTTGTCGGCTCTTCCTGTTTTCTGCCATAGCGAATGGGCGGAGATAGAAGGTAGGGCAGTTTTCGAAGCACCTTTTTCAAACCGTCCCACGATATTAGTTTTCTATCTCTCCGTCTTAACAGTAGATAAATATCTACCAATATCGGATTTGGATATCGTACCAATAGCCCTCATATTCTTATCGATCAATTTCTCGATCTTATCCTGCACTCGAAGGCCCAATGGCAGCATGTGAAATACACCCGGGTATGCATTTCGAATGTACCCAGCTTTGAGCAACAGTGCGTGGACATCTTCCTGCGCTTCTTCCTTGGGATTGGGCTTTATCTTCGGAATCGGTAGCCAGAGATTGGATACTCTACTACGGCCGTCTGTCTAATCACCCCACTCGCCGTATTAGCTTTATGCTCGTCGTGCCATTGGCCAAGTGAAGAACGACACCACTTACTGTTAACCGTCGGACAAGGCCATGTCGGTAGGAACACTGGGCGCAAACATTGAATTGCCTGACGCGGAGATGCCGGCCAATGAGGCTGCCGCGAACCATTGCTGGCGATGCTTAGCTCTACAATATAAAAGCTTGCTTCAATAGGTAGAGTGAAGTGAGGTGAGGAATAGAACGATTGCAGGATGGTTGTTTGCAGGTTGCATTGAAGTTGTAACACCGCAGAGCTCAGAGCGAGAGAACCCCGGGCCAAGACCCGACGACATCATCGATCACTCCAACCAACCGTCTCCTTCACTGCCAGACCAGAACTCAACCTCCAAAACATCCAAAAACACCAAGGAACCACCATCTCGACCTCAGAGGGTATATAAAAAGCCAGCTTCACGTCCACGCTCGCAAAGTATACCCCCTTCTCCACTAAGAAAGGAGAAGAAGGAAGGGAAGTGTCCGCCGTATGCCTCGATAGTCTCGAAGCCGTACCCCGCGGACTCGACCCACCACACCTGCATCCCCTTCTTCTCTCCCACAACCATCGCCACCTTCACTACTATCAACAGCCGCTTCTTCACGTCGCCGTTCGACTCTCTTCTCCCGAATCCGATCCCGCATCCTGCGGTTCCTGCGCATCCGTCGCCGGACAGCTTATATCTCCAAAATGAGCTCCTCATCCTACCTTCTTCTCTCGCTACCGACATCTATTGTCAAAACCGGCCACAAAGATGATGCCTTCGACGCCATAAACACTCACAAAACTCCCTCGGATACAAATCTCTTGCCGTTTAATATTCCAGACTTTAAAATCGGGACGCTGGATACCCTGGTTTTACAGGCTGATGAGCTGGCTAAGCTTGATGCTGCTACTGAGGCTGCTATGACCAAAGCTTCGGACGTGCTAAAGTCCATCTTTGACGGGAATGAAATTCGGATGTCGGAGAACAAGTTGGTCAACGAGAGTCCGTATTTCCATACTACTAGCTATGACAATACCTGGCGATGACGGCTAATACTAATACTACTGTCATTTACAGAACCCTTCCAAAACTACCTCCAATCTTTCACCTGGAACAAAGTAAAATACCGTGTCGAACGTCCCATCCCAGACATCGTCTCAATCCTCAAATCCGAAATCCAATCTCTCGACGAAGACATTAAATCCAAATACTCCAACTACCAATCCGTAAAATCAAACCTCCAAAGCCTACAGCGCAGACAACAAGGCAACCTCTCCACCCGCTCTCTAGCATCAGTCCTAAAACCCTCTCACTTCCTGAACTCAGAATACCTTACCACGGCCCTAATCGCTGTCCCCAAACCTAACGAAAAGGAGTTTTTAACCACATACGAGACATTAAGTACAATGATCGTCCCCAGATCCGTGTTTAAAATCTCCGAGGATCCGGAATTCGCGTTATTCGGGGTCGTAGTGTTCAAAAAGCACGCCGCGGAGTTATCGCATAAAGCTCGTGAACAGAGATACATACCCAGAGATGTAACGTACAACGAAAACGCAAACGACGAGGAACAAGCAGAGACCAAATCCGCGGAGCAGCAAGCCGAAAAACTATGGGGGGAGACACTACGGCTCGCTAGGACGGGTTACAGCGAACTTGCGGCCGCTTGGGTGCATGTTAAGACTTTAAGAGTGTTCGTGGAGAGTGTGCTGCGGTATGGTCTACCACTGGACTTTGTGGCTGCTTGTTGGGTGGGGAAGGGGAAAGCGATCGGGAAGGTGAAGGATAGTTTGGAGACACAGTATGCGCATTTGGGAGGGAATGCGTACGGGAGGGATAAGAAGGGGAAGATTGTGAGGAAAGATGATGCCAATGTGGCGGAATTGGCGGCGGGGACGATGGGTGGGAGCGAGTATACACCGTTTGTGGAGTATCTTTTTGAAGTTGCGTAGCTGAATCATTAGGTGTATTAAATGGAGGTAAGGATATATTTTCTGGATCGGAGTGGGAATACGGAATGTAGACACCCGGTCAAAGCCCTGGAGCTCGACTCGGGTCTCTTTTTTGTTTTTTCTCGCCATCATCGTTATTATTTTTATTATTGGGGATACGCATATGGGAAACTTTCCTTTGTCCTTTCTCTCCCTCTCTTTGTTCCCTTGAATATAGTTGGGATGCGTGTTATTGAGTGAATCATGGACGGTTTAATTACATAGAAGTCAATCGTTTCTCCATGTTCTTTTTTCCTTTAGATACGAATGATTATGAAATACTACGAAAGGAGATATACAGATGCCAGGGCATATCATGATATCAATGAATCTCATTAACCATTAGAAAGGTTTGTTCGTCATTTTCGGTACACAAGCAGAAGGGTGCATAAATTAAAATAAGAAAAAGGACCGCTGGCTCGAGCGAATCGACCATGTAAGACGCGGATCAACCTTGAAAAAGTGGAAAGGGGAGGGAAGTGAAAGTGAAAGTAAAAGACGGCTAGCCATATAGTACATTTATATTTGGTGAATGTAGCTTGATAAAACGAAACGAGAAAATTGAATCCGCTATGGTAAAAACAGCCCGGGAAAAATGCAACCGAGAAGAAGAAAGGTTGTAGATCTTACTGGAAACTCCAATCATCTACTTCGCTAGAGTTGCGCTAGTGTTCACATTCCAGATCGAAACTTTAGACTCTTGTCCAGGTTTAACTAAGGTCGGTTCCAAGCTGGCGCCCTTCGCAGCCTGCAAACACAATAAGCTCACATTCGCCAGCTCGTCCACATACTTCGCCATTCTGCCTGTTGCAATAAATGTTTCTGCGACGCCGCTACTAGGCTTCGCCACGAGGACTGCAAGATCAAGGCATTTCGAATAGTAACTTTTGTTGAGGTTAAGGCCAGCTGCAAGGTGGATATTGTGCAGGGCAATAGTGATGTCTGGAACATATGTGTTTCGGATGTGCTTGACTTGCTCTGCGTCTGAATGGTGCTGAGATTGAACGAGCCAGGAATTAACTAGCACTCCAAGCTTCGACTCCGCATTCTCATAGGCAATTTGCAATTCATCCTTGAACTTTCCACGCCGGAGAGCCGCAATACCACCTTCACGTTTTGTAGCGGTTCTAGAGAAAAAACCACATGTTAATAGGCAGTAACTAGCTATTGTAAATTGTAGACTTACCCTGCTGCGAGTAACCTGCTCCACTCATCAAGAGCATCCAACCCTTCGATTAGAAATTCATATTCAATGTAGACTGAAGCGAATCCCTGGTATTCATCGCGGAGATCATCGTTTTCTTCGTCCTCGCTAGACACGATATAGCTGCTGGGTATGCGCTCCGCAAGAGCTCGAGCGGCATCTAAACGGCCAGTCACTAAGAAGAAAAAATACAGTTAGCAAACCAATTTCCAGAAAGATTATTCCGATATTGAGACGTACAGTAAAATCGCTTGAACATCATCACCCCAGCATGGATCAAATCTTCTTTCATCTCATCTAAGTGAAGCATCCATTCCGCCGTTCGAATGAGCTTCTCATCCTCAGGTTGTACCTTCCGGCGATCTTGCTGGGGAATTGAAAACTCGGAAAGTATCTGTATTGGGAGTTCCTCGTGTTTGTAGAATACCTCGGTCTGGATGAAGGCATTCTCCATTGTTCGCTTCAGCGTAGCTTGTGTGTCAAGATCGTAAGATCGGAAAGACCGGATTATATCTTCACGAGTGGCCTCCTCGGTGACGTGCATAAGCACCTCACCCATAACCTCCACACATCGGTCTCGCGACAGCCTAGAAGCGTACAGGGGAATAATTCCATACTTCTCAGCCGCCGCCAACATGCGAATGTACCCAGCCACTACCTCCTGCGCAGCATCGGCATCAGGACCAGACTCGGGCCACTGACCCAGGTGCTGCAGGAGGATAATGAGATGTGTCACTATACGCAATAGTTTCCAATCAGTGCAGTCCACTGGCGTATTTGTATCCTTCTCGGGTTCGTATCCTGGGTCCCTGCGGAACTCCCCCAATTGAAAGGCAAAAATGTTGACAAGTTTCGGTATCCGATTCGAAATGATAGCCCCTTGCACCGCTCGCAAAGCGGTATTTTGCGGCGATGCGGCAAATCTAAAATCATTCGGACGGGAAAGGCTGTCGACGATCTTTGCCACCAAATTCCTAGTCCCCAAGGTTTCCAAAGCATCGGGGGCAGGAAGCTTGAGTACCTGAGCCGATACTCGCCCTTCCCTGCGAAGAAAGTTTTCGTATTCCGCTTCTATTAATGCATTGACTTGAGTATAAACGTGGTCGTGCCAATTGTCACAAGCGGGGATAGTCGAGTCGATGTCACCAGCCAGTAAACCGTAGGCGGCTCTTTCCCAGAGTTCACCAGGTCGCTTGCTACTCCGTCTCGCTAGCGCGTAACACGCACGCCTCCATAGCTGCCTCCGACGATTGCCGCTGGGGCCTTGTTCCGGCGACGCATCATACATTTCATCGTCAGCGACCTCCTCATCAATGACCCAGTCGACAGCATCCCTGCCACCTAGCATAACAGGTGCCCTCCAGGCCTGGTCACACTTCCTGCACCATTCAGCAGCGCCGACAAAATCTCCTTTACGGATAAACCCCCATAGGACTTTATAAAATGTCGTATCATAGTAATTATCTCCCTCCGCAACATTTCTTTCTTGGCGAATTGGGCCATCGGGATCCAGTTCGGTGGTGATGAGCTGGGATTTGTTTTCCGCCGACGGGATACCTCGTTCGGGGTACTCGAATTGCGCGTTTGGTCCTTTCGTAACAAATTCTTCAGGATCCATATTATCCCTTTTGTACTGCTTGAGAGCATTTAGAGTGTACATATGTCCAGAACCCATGACCTCGTCGTCTTCCATATCCTCGTTTGGGATCTCGGGGTGTGGCGCAATCGACCTGAGCCAATCTCTAATTATATTCAGTTCTCGAAATGTCGGTGATTCGTCCAAGAGCTGTCGTCGTAGAACTTCGTTGCTTTCATACTCAGAGACGGTCCTCAAAGTGTGAGTGTATTCAACACCCCGTTCAGGTAGTAGGCGAGAGACAAGGTTCCATGTCTCGTACTCCATCTTATAGAAAGCCGTTTCCGTCATTATTTCCAGAATAGCATCGTCGTCATCGCCGGAGTACTGATTCGTTCGTCCTTGAGCCTGAAGGTAGTGTTCTTCTGTATCCTTGAGGAACCCATCGATAAGCTCTAACGCAGATTCTCTGCCATCTTCGTCAGACTTCCGTCGATATAAGTCAACATATCGTGCGAAGCTATCGACTTCGGGACCAAGCTGCTCTTCATCGATGGCGACATCTTCTTCTTCGTAATCCTCGTCCTCCTCGCCAATGTACAGGGAGTCGCCGTAGCCAGACTCTAATTTCTAATTAGTACAAATAAGCTGGATTAGTAAAACCGAGGGGAGTCCAACCTGCACCACCGTAAGGAACCATCACTCTAGAATCCTCTGGGCCAAACATATCGCTCCCAGCTATCGATTCCTTCTGATCCTGCAGGACTGTTAGCATAGGAAGTATGAAAGTTTGAAGTTGTCGCACATACATAATCATCGTCAGACATCAATAACGAGTTCTCTCTCGAGAATTGCTAAAGAAAAATTCCATCAGAATCAGCTGGTGTTCCAGATATCGACGATATGCCGTCCAGAGTCGAGTTTTTTGTGGTTTGTTTTGAATGGTGTACCTGGTTTCGTGGAACTGCCTTGACAGGGTATCGCGCCTTTTTCGACGTAAACTTTGTCGGCGAAAATAGAGCTGGACTCATATTGCCGGTGAGTGGGGTGTATGTGGTTGAATCGACGCGTGATTCGCGGATTGGGGATCAGGAGTATAAAATCGCGGTCAGGTGAGGCGGCTTGAAGGTAGTCGATTGGATGCTGGTGTGTTTTTTTGGATGGACGAACAGGATTAGGGAATTCGATTGTGGTATTTGATAGAAAGAAGAAGAAGAACAGGCAGAATGAACTAAGTATGCCGAGATAGCTGTCTGCCTATCTATCTGGGAGGTGGCGATGATGGATTGATGAAGGCGAAATGGCGATGATGATGGATGAATGGATGGATGGATGTTGATGGGATGAGAAGGAGGATGTATGTTTACATGACGACGTTTGTGGAAATTTCGAAGCGGCGAGCGAGGTGTGTTGCATGCCCGATGTGTTGCCAGATGTGTTGTGCCCCACAAACAAGAAACACACGCAACACAAAAAAGGAACAAGGAACAGGGGTCCTTTGTTTCTTTCGGTGTATAAATTTTCTTCGCTTGTTCCTTTGATCTGTTCTTCTTCTTCTTTTTCTTTCTTCATCAATGTCAATAGGCACCTTTTAGAGTCTCGGTTCAAACGACAAGTTTATTATTATATACGCTTCAATGTTTGTTCAAGCGACTGGAGCTTTTAAGTTCTAGCATCGTTTCTTTGCGTGCTCCAGGTGAACCTTAGAATCAAAATCACACGCCTTTGCCCTTCTGCTCGCCCTGACGACAATTCTCGTGATTGTTACTGGAGGTCGAGATCGGATACATGGTGGACGCGAAATACTCTTTCCCTCTGTAGTACTACTCTTTCTTCCGATACTTGGAAGTATCAAAAAGGATAACCTGGAGATTAAAAGCCTGATCAACCGGGCTGGGCTGGAATGGACTGGGCCGGACTGGACTGGACCGGACTGGACGTAGCCTTAGAAGACTGACCACTCGAAGTCGAGATAATTGATACTATTCTTTTTTACCATCCACCCATCCATTCATCATCCTTGATAGATAGTGTATGAATGAATGAATGAACAGTAGTGGAATAGAGGCCTCATCGTCTCTTTGGTTCGTGATACAATGGACCATTGTTTCCCTTTTCCTTTTCCTCCTTCCTCTGCTTGATCCTGAGGTCGAGTAGATTCGGCTTCGGACAGGAAACAGTACGTGCATCTCTGCCCTGTCGTTTGTAGAACAGTTCACAGCAGGCGTAGAGGGCATCGATCTGGTCCTGGCACTTGGCTTCATTATAGCCATTCTTCTGGATGCAGTCCTGGATTGCACACTATACAAACATAGTACATATGCCCGTTATTATGATATCGTACACCATATTGAATGAAGCCATGATACTCAGAGCCGTAAACATATAAAGAGGAGAGAGACATACTGCTTTAGAATGGCAGGCTGGATCCTGCTTGACGGTTTCTTCGACTGATGTACCCTGTCAGCAACAGCCCACCAGTCAGTCTATATATCCGCTTGCAATGTATCAATAACATAATATCGATAGACTCATACATACCATAGTCTTGGTATAATATTATCGGCAATATCCGCGACCCAGTCGATGTTGTAATTGTCAAGTAAAGTAAACTAGTCCAAGGATACCCGCAGGAATGGGCAAACTCTCCCCTGCAGGGACCATGACATAGGCTGGAGAAAAGGGCCCAGATGCCCGCTGCGGTGGGAAGATTCTGACATAATCACAGTCACGTGACCTGAACCTCAGCAAAGCTGCGCAAGATTGACTATCACGTCTCCCAGCTTCCACTTCCCACCTCCCACTTCCATTCTTCCCCTCCACCAGCACCTGCTGCTATACATCAAACCAACCGTCCTCCTCCTCCTTCCTCCCCCACCCGCCAATTACTATCCGCAAGACGGTACCTCTTCGGTTGCTGCAGTCTTCTAGATCCTTCTTCTAAAGGCCCCTTGTTTATAAATATATCTGTCTAGAGCTTTTTGGCTTGTTCTTCTCCTTTTCCTTTTCTATTCTCACAAACACGAGCATTCGGTTCTCCACCGTCGATTCGGCCAGATTAACTGTTGAGAAAGAAAAAAAAATCACAGCCTTCTCATCCTCCTCACTGTCCCCACTTCTAAATCCTTTAGACGAAAGAACAAGCTCATAAAATTACACATACAACATGTCGGACTCTTCTCCTCCACCACAGAAGAACGAGGGACCATCTGAGGGAGCTAGCGAGCACCTTAACATTAAGGTGACTGATAACAACAACGAGGTCTTCTTCAAGATTAAGCGATCCACGCAGCTAAAGAAGTTGATGGACGCGTTTTGTGAGCGTCAGGGGAAGTCTCCTACCACCGTCCGATTTCTCTTCGATGGCTCGAGAGTACAGCCAGGCGATACGCCCGATACTGTAAGTTTCTTCTCTGTGATTTGCCACCTTTACTTTTAAGCTCGCGACTTTGATTTATATGCATCCTGCAAACTACTCGGTTCGATGGATGCACCTAAGCTGTTTTCCCGACTGGTGGTGCTGGAGCCATCCATGTTAGTTTGCTTAGCATGCCACCTTGTTACTTAACTAGGTAGCTAGGTGGTGGTACATAGCTATGAATGCGTTCAACTTTAGGAAAATCAAAGCTAACTCATCTCTAACTCATCTCTAGCTCGACATGCAAGATGGTGACACCCTCGAAGTTCATCAAGAACAGATCGGAGGCTCTTGGTAGATACGGTCCCATAGCTTCCTATTTCTGGACCCATTTCGTTTTCGAGCCATGTGCCCTCTCTCTCCTACAAGAAGTTGATTGCCTCTCTATCTGAGCAAATGGCCGGAGGATCTACTTAGTATTCTTTAAAATCAACAAAAGTCAAATTGAGGGATCCGATTTTATCACATCTTGTTTCTTCTTTTGCTGGTGTTCCTCGGAGTTTCCCTTCCCGTTGTTTCCGTTTCTTTGGATCACTTTGATCACTTTTTTGGGTTCTCCGATAATAATAACCTTGCCGAAACGCTCGATGCCTCCTTTCTCCCAATGGACAATGCTTTCCCCTTTCCCTTTTTCACCCTTCCTTCCCTTCCTTCTCCGATACTCCAGTGTTAAAGATATTGATGATTGTTATACACGCGGTGGAATACTTTCTCCCTTTACTATATGTACGTAGCTTGAAAAAAAAAACCATTGATACCTAGTCAATTCTGATGATGACAAGCTAGGTTGTCCCACTGCCCGAGATTCCACTCTCAAGACCCAATTGAGCTAAGGGTCCTCTCACTTCAAATCCCGAGAGCTGTTTGGTCGAATTCGCGAACTTGACCCCCTTGAACCCCCGACCCCTAACATGCAGCTTGACTGCTATTATATAATACTCCCTTTGCCCAGAGCATCATTATCCATCCCCTTCAACCAGTTCTATACAACCTTCGATCCGGTCCAGCCAATATTACAAAATTTCAACCCTATCCATTGACCGGAATATACAAACAGACTGCGTTCTCAGGGATCGCTACGCTAGCCAGATTTCCAGCGACTGCTACCAGTCCCTGGCCGACACTCGGGGCCGACCTGATCACGACACATCGACACCCATTACTCGCTGATCCGCAGGTACTCGCTTCCGTGCAGCTATCTAGCATTTGAAGTTAAATATTAGCCCAAGCTTAAGCTTTTATTTTATTTTATTTTTCAATTCAGGATAAGGAGGGTGTATCTACAGGCATACAAACTTACTTCCAAGATTTGTGCATTTATTCGCACGGTTTTCAAGAGTTGAACGGGCGGATATTGAAGGATTTGGGGATTTGAAGTCTCGTATGTCTAGCTCTGGTCAGTTTGAGGGTCTGATACACCGCTTTCTCTCTTTTGCTGGCTAAAGTTATGGTTTCCATATGCATACCGATATAGTTTTCAGGTAGGTCTGCGCTATATCTGGTAGGGAGGCATTTCCCAGTGCTGGTGAAAATCACCATCCAGAATAATATCACTAAGAGGTCCTTCATTTTGATTTGAAGCCCATACAAGATTATAGTATGTCTTTTCGTATTTTTTTGTAAATGGCAGCTATAATTTCCCACCCTTTATGCTCTCGAATCGAATTTATATCGGTATTGCGGGCATACGGAAAGAATAAAATAACTGTATCGTCCCATCCCGCATCATAGCAGAGTTTTTATAGATTTTATACATCACGAGTTCTGTAGAATCTTCCGTTTGCCCGTCAGAGGGTAGACGGTGTTTCTTGCAAGGCCCAGAACCAAATCTCGAAGATCGGCTGGATTCTTGACATGTTACACATTGAGGGTTACCCTAACGGCTCCAACTCTATAGCTATCGTGATACTTAGAATCCGGGACTAGTCGACTTGAGTTCGAAATGAGGGATATGTGTGAAGGGCTGATGACTTGTATATTGTCTAATATCTATTATAGGCAGCATCTATGGCACAGATAGTTGCACATGTACAGATCCATAGACAGCCACATCGATTCCATATCCAAATTCAATTGAATCCACGGTCCAGACCAGGATCATATCGTTATCACTTGCCAGAGTCTCCAAATATCTTAATTTAGTTTAGTGAAACATCCAAAACACCAACGTTCCGAAAGAATGCAGCCCTCCGGCAGGATCTAAGCTCACATGTAGCTACCTAACGTACTAACCAACGTACTAACCAGCTTCCCCGCCTTCTCCTCTTCCAGGTAATCAAAGAACCATTGACAGAACATGTACAGCGGATTTTCTACCGCCCGCAGATATGCAGATATGCAGATATGCATATTCCGTCTACCACAAAACGCCGTAGATGCATAAATCCTCCACCTCCCGTGACCTCGTGACCTCATAAACCTAGCTAAAAGCTATGTCCTAGTTAATGCAAGGTTCCTACATCCTACAGATACAGATACGAGGTCCGGTCCACCATATATCGTCCCACGAGCTCACGAACCCTCAAGGTTTCCTATCATGCGCCCTAGCTGGCTATACATCGTCTTCCTAGAACCACCCTCTTTCTCTCCTTCTCTCTCTCTCTCTCTTTTTTTTTTTCCCTTGCGGCCTTGCATGAATACCGGCCAGAACTACGATATTGTGCATACATACATGAATCTTCCATGTTGATGATATCAGGCAATCCCGTAGACGAATAATATCCGTACAACCACCCTACCGTCGAATCCACAAATCACATTCCAATATATGTATCTCCCAGGATCCCCTCCCCAGTATATCACTCCCAAGAAAACATTCGCACTCGCATGAATATTTTTTAGCCTGGGCCCTTGAGTTTTTTTTTTTTTTTTTTTCTTTATTTTTTACATTTTACATTTTACTCTCCTGCAGATATATCAACCAATGATGATATATAGGATATTCCACGAGAACAGATTATTAAGAAAAAAGGTTCAATCACGCTGCACTCCCGGTTCACGGAAATTTAGCCCAGGGAGTAATTTCTTACTTACATACATACATACATACAAGGTTCTTTTCGAGGTCAGTCTTGATCTCCGGCGTTTATGAACGATCGGGTATTTTGGTGGTTTTGTTTCCCTTAGATCATGCATGCGCATGGCCAGCTCAGTCGGGCTCCCATTCGATCGATTTGTCGAGCTCCCCTGTTACAAGCTACCTTGCCTGACTTTTTTTATATTGGAAATCTGAAGCACTTGATACTTCCCTCTCTCTTTTTTTTTTGCCTTAACGTACTAACGATGCTAAACTTATTTCATGATGAGGCACGGGGTTTACGCCTTAATGTTACTTATCGATATTACCCCATATTAATATTCTATAGCTTATAGGATTCAACCTTTTTTTGTTTTGTTTTCATCAACTTGCATTGAAACTTTACTTGCTAACTACCTACTAACAACTTTTTCTCTCTGAGATCCCTTTTTTTTTGTTTTTTGATAGAATTTTCCTGTGTTTTTAGAAAAAAAAAGTTATGCATGTGATCGTTAAAAAAAAAAATAGTAAAAGAATAAAAAGAATTTGAAGAATACTTAGAGTCAGGAGGTAAACTAAAGAACCTTTGTAAGAGGGGAAAAAAAAAAAAAAAAAAAAAAAAAACCAAGGAGCTAGGGAGATCTATATTTCGCGATCGTATTCGTGTCTACCATCCGATCAATGATTGGACGGGTAAAACACCATTTTGGTGAATGGGTGTGATGTGTACCTCACGCATAGGCAGACCTTTCAACCAAAACCCACAAGCTTTTTTTTAGGAAAAAAGAAAGAAAGATAGACAGAAGGAAACAGTAGAGGAAATCAAAAAAATGCGGCAGAAACTTTTAGGATTGGAAAGAAAGAGAGAAAGGAGAAGAAGAAGCAAGGTTTCTTGGATGTGTTCCCGCAAAAAAGTGGGGATTGTGGTTTTTGTACCAGCTCGTTAGGAATGGAATTTCATCATCAGAAGAGGAAAAAATAAGTTGGCAGGTCACAAAAAAAGTTATCCAAAGAGGAGTGCGTGGGTCAAAAAAAAAAGGAACAGGAAAAGAAGCCACGAGGCCATAGACGAGAAGTACAGTGTAAAAGGGAATCGAAAGCAATCGCTTGTAGTAAACCTATAGTCCCAGTACATATATAAAAGTCAAATGAAAAGGATATGAAAAAAAAANAAAAAAAAAAGAACGCTAGAGTCATATGCCAAAAGTGAAGATGCTGTACGTAAGAAACCAAAAATTCGTAAGGAAAGTGTGTGTGCAGTTGTCAGAGGAGAAAATAAAAGAAACTAATCAACATCATTAAAAACAGTTTGATGGTGGGTATAAGTTATCCAACAGCGCAGCGCACAGGTATCATGATCCGAAATGTAATAAAAAGAAAAAGAACCAGAGATAAATAGATAGGAAGCCATTTTTAGAGGAGAAAAACAGACATGCCGATGCTAGGAAAGACCAGGAACCCGAGGAAGAAATATATAAGTATTATAAAAGAAAAAAGGGAAAATAAGAAAAAAGGAGGAAAATAAAGAGTTGGAGTCGTGTATTAGGTATCCAGGGGAGAGATTATCTCAGTCCGCTTGCTTGGAGCGAGGCTGCGAGATCATCCCATACACGAGGGTCCACGGCTTCGTCTTCTTCGTCGTAAACTCGAAGGTTGCCTCCGATCTTCTTGTTCTTAAACGAAGCAAGTCTTCGGACGGGGCAGTTACTCGAGCCGAGGACTTCATCGACCTCGCTTTGGATGTTGACAAGATTCTCCATGGAGCGTTGAAGCTATAATAGTTTTCATATTAGCAAATGTATTCTTATCATAGTAGAATATAATAAAAACTTACAGAAAGGTCTAGATCCCGCTTAAGGATGCAATATCTCGTCCTCAACCCTCTTTGCTGAACCGAATATCCTTTTCGGCACATCCTTTCGGCGATATCACTCCAACATGACATGCCCTCGACATCTTTAAGGTGAAGCAGGTACTGGTCGTCTTTAGCAAGACACGAGTACTGACTGCTATTATCGCTTGAGGCAATGCTATCCATTGATCGTTTTCTAGCAACGACCTTGTAGCAAGAAATTTCAGAAGAAGAGTGAGAAGATAGAGAGTCCGAGATAGATTCAGGAGATAGAACTGGCGTAGTACTTGTGGTTGTAGAACTTGATCTGGAGAGGTCTGGAGTAGATGATCCACTAGAGGATGTCTTGGTTCTTCTTTCGTTCTTGATAGAAGGTAATCTAGTCAAGAGGCGTTTTGTGTCTTTTACCTCGGACCTGGGGATGCAGTTATAAGGTGTCATCTTGTTTGTGATTACTGACGGGCGAGAGGGTAGTGGGGTAAAACCAGAGGTGCCTGGTGGAGCAGCAGCGCCGGAGACGGAAGAGAAAGGCTTAGAAGTATTTGATAAAGTAATGCCGTCGGGATTCTCAAGATTAAGCCTTTCCGGTAAGAGCAATGGCGACGGGGAGTTGAAAGACGACAAAGACGACGACTGCTGTTGGACAACCGCGGCTACCGAATCCATCATTTTTTTCTAGAAATTTTCTTGAAAATTTTCTTTTATCTAAGCCTTTTATATATATTTTTCCGGCCTTGCAGCTATGGATGTAAGATAGATCTGGCAGTAAGTGGTATAGCGCGATGGATACCCCGTGACCTGGTCTGAGCGATTAATTGAAAGATGATATAAGATGTTCCTGGGGAAGAAGGGGGGGCTGCTGGGGCTGTTGGGGCCGGTATCTTTGTGTTGATTGTGTGGTATGTCAAAGTAAGGGCTGAGCCAAAGATAGAAAAGGAATATTCCGGGTGAGAAGCAAAAGGTGTTCGAATCGAAGGGAAAAGAACCAGAAAGGAAGAAAGTGCCGGACAACGGGAGCAAGCGAGAACGTCTAGCTTGCAATGGGGGAAGATATTCCGAGATTTCAAAAAAAGGCTCTCGGGATGTTAATATAAAAATGAGGGAGCTCGTGGGGTTATGCGTTACTGCCTTCGAGAAGAAAGTAGTTAAATAGGAAAACTTGGTAGGAAATATTTCGTCTGAAGAATATAAACTGATATGGAAGCCCAATAGAAATCTGAGGCTGCGCTGCACTGCACGGCACTGTACTGTTTCTGCAAGGCTGTGGCTCTGCCAGGAAAGAGGCACCGTATCCTATCGTCCCTTACTGGATCCAGGATATGCAGCAGAGAAAATCCGTTCCGAATAGGTTGATTCTTCCCTTCCCAAATGCCTCAATGCAATCTCCAAAAGCCAGACAATTTGCGAGAAGGTCGTCTATGCAAACTGCGGTTTTCCCAGGTTCGGTAATCCCTCTGCAGGGATTGTTCTGTTTCAGCTCCAGCCGAGGAGGTCCACCGCGGCCAGGTTAATTTCTGACTGGCCTGTGCAGGTAAGAAAAATAAAAAAGATTTAATCTTTTTTTGTTTTTTGCTCCTTGTTATCACGACAATTTGGTTGCAGCAGGAGAGAAAGAAAGAAAAAAAAGTAATCGTTCCCTGGTATCAGTGGTAGTGGCAATTAATGCACAGGAGGAAAGTCTGGTATCTTGTTCCGGTTGGATTGTCTCCGCTTAAAGCACAACTTTGCACAGGCCTGTCAGATGAGGCCTTTTTGATGACCTTGCTTTTGTTATAAATATAAGAGCGAATTCAGGAAAAAAAGATTTTCCTCTTGATTCAAGATCCTGAAATTTTTTCTGTCGAATAGAAGTGCTTCGGCGCTAGTTGTGGGGAAATATAAAAAACCTTGACTTTGAAGGTTGAATGAGAAAAAGAAGGAATGCAATTAACATGCACCTCGTCAAGAATGGAAGAACTAGGGCGAGAAACGAAATATCGGGGTTGCGATTCATGGACATGGGCACGTTTTTAAACAACGATAATTCAATCGACTCTTGATGGATCGAACCAAGGCCTGCCCGCCAACCTTACCGGTTAGCCTTCTTGGTCGTTGAACAGGGGCCGTCGATTGGATTACTACTCTGCTTTTTTTGAAAAATGACCGCAGTTAGTGTACGTATTTGCCTATTGACGACAAGCAAATCGAACGGAAACTAAGCTAAATGTTGCAGGATAGCCTACCCGGACTTGGATGGACGTAAGTATATCTTCTGCCCTTGTTGGATCCACGTTGGCACAAGGCTGGCTGTGTGTGCATGGACCGACGCAATTGGTTTCGGAACATCGTGAACAGTCAATTTATCATCGTGTCGTCGTCGCTTGGGAGAAAAAGGCTAGACCGACAGGTACCGACTAATCTGGTGGTAGTGTTCCCGTTTCGCCCTTGTCCTGAAGCATATCTGTCCCCCCTCCGAAGGTGTATGTATGTTGTGTGTAAATACGTATGTCCGCTGTGCATGTAGCTATAAGCTAGTTAGCTAGCTAGCTGGGCTGGGCTGGAAAGAGAGACAGAGTTGCACTGCACCACATGTCAGCCTGACATCAGACATGCATAACGGCCATATCATATCAAACGCGGACCTTTCCCACCTGATCTACAGAGCAAAGACGGAGTCCGCGAAGGGAGTAACGTATGTAATCTGGAGAGTTGATTTTTGAAAGGTTCATAGCTTTCTTGCCTGCTTGCCTGCTTGCTTGCCTGCTTAGCTATGCATGGCCGGCCAGGTGTGCCTGTGCAGCTAGCTGTGGCCCCGAACAGACGCTTCCGGGCATCACGAAGAGATATCGAGATATGGGCAATCCATTCCATGCCATTCCATTCCATCGATCCGAGTGGTCCTTCAATTGAGTCAATCTGCAACCCCCCCTCGGCATTAAGCTGCAATCGCTGTTTGGTTACCAACTGCCCGGGCCAGTTTTCACTTCCGAAGCCACGACTTACCGAACAGTCCTCTTGACCTTGATATCCTTCCTTCCTAAAAGTCCCGCATGCTTGACGCCAATGAATCCTAAACAGGTAAAGCACATGTGAAGAACCTTGGCTTTTCGAAGGAGTCAGCTCGTGTGGTTGTGTTGCTTGTCGTTACTTTTCAAGGTTTGTTTCACGATGTCACGATAGCGAAAGAGAAAAAAAAAAGCTTTCTGACAGTTATCCCTGTTCCGAATCATATCGTATCAGATACCTTGATGAAGACGATGTCGATCTTGGGGCTTTAATCCCATGCCATACCATCAGGTCATATTTTAGTTTCTCCCTTTTAACTAACAGTATTGGGCTGAGGGATTTATTCTAGATACTATATTACTATACTCGTCGATATCAGAAGGAAATCGATATCGATCCTTAGAAGACCACCTTGTTTCGTCAGATACTAGTCGACAGACCTCGTAATTATAAGCTCAAGTACCAGTCATATATGGCCAAGCTTCTGAAACAAGCCGCAGACGTCGAAACCTAGCTGAAAGATTTGCTATTTCGTCCGTTATAACGTTCCCGTCTCGTTCCAAGCAGTGGCCATCCCTCTATCCCTAGCTTGGCCGGGATCGATTACGAGTTCATTACCCAACAGCATGGCTTCTACGACTTTCTCAAAGAGCGCTTGATCGTCAGTGTAACCTTTAATTGGGACCCATTGATAAGGAAGCCGTGGCCATGGCCTCATAAGAGAGTGCTACGGAGACCTGTTCAACATTCCGGATTTCCCTCGTGCTCGATTCTTTGCCTGGAAAATGCAAAACTTTTGTACGACCTGAGGTTTGAGGCATATATACTTTACTTAAAAGTTTTTATTTTATTTTTATCCTTTTCTTTCCTGTTCAAATAAAATATTGCGCGGTTCGTCGCTGTTAGGTCGCAATTGTTAATCGACATTGTGGTCAATGCATTGAGGTATCAATCGAATCAGGGTATAAAAGTTGTTAAGTACAGGGCAAATGACATATAGAAACGTAAAAGTTACGTCGAATCCGGGTCTCCTGCTAAAGGTTCCTACTCGCCAGCGAGAGATTAGGGAGGAAGGATCAGGCCAGCATCGTGACATTCTTCGAGATCGAGACTCTTCGAAATTTGGGAAGAGAAAAATTTTTATTTTTTTTTATCCTTCCCACCAGCCATGCCGAGACATCTTCCCGGCTTGAAATCCGAGAATAGTTTTTTTTTGAGGGCAGAGATTGCCCAGCTACTCTGAAAGGCATGGTTTCGATACGCTAACGAGGTTATCGCCCCATACTTCTGGGTCGTCGCGAGGAAAACATGGCAAGGGTAAAGGACCGCCTTCCATGTGCCGTGTCTTGACCGTTTCGCTAGCCTGAAAGTTCGAATCGAAAGGGCAATGTTACAGGGCCATCTTGAATTGCCCTAAGAAATGTCGACGTCACTAGCGATTTTACCCGTTGGAAACCTCGCGATGACAATCTCCAGACTAATATAATGAAAAATCAAGAGACAGCAGCCTGACTATCTCCAGTTAAGTTAGCTATAAAGGTTTTTAAGGTTGACGACTTTCTAAAAAGAAATCTTCATCCGCGGCCAACGGAGTCCGCGCAGGTGCCCCGCTACCCGGTTAGACCACTAAATGTCTTTGGCTGAAAAATTAAAAAAAAAAGAGGCGTTAAAGCTCTTTCCCCAACAAGTTGAAGTCTCGGGATCCTGGTTCTTTTCCTTACGAGAGGGGAAACTTTCCCTTTCCCTTCCCATTGCCCCGCATTTTGGAAAAGAAAAAGTCTTGTGCCAAGGTGTGATGGTCTCAATCGCTACATGCAGCCGCAGGGTGCCTGCAAGATGATAGCTGATACTCACACGTGCCGCTGCATGCGATGCCCATTTTCCTTTTGATGGGAAGAGAAGAGCGCTAAGAGCCCCATCCTTTCTTCCGTCTTCAAAGAACATTAACATATGCATTCCAATCACAGTAAAAAGATTCGTCCAGAAGATGAAACCTTGTGATCATAAGGGTCTAGATGCATTGGCGTACAAGTTTTTTCAAAAACGGTTTTAAACGGAAAGGTTGTATCGGGAACGGGAACATTCTGGGTACTGTACAATAATCGGATGAAAAGAAAAAGCCCATTTGTTTTTTTCCTTTCTCGCGGAGCAGGTGCAATTCGATCGAAAGAAGATGCCACATGAAAACTGTCGTACATACACTTCAGCGATGCATAAATCCATACGTATGTATTCTTATCCACTATTTTGTGAACTAGCCGCCTTTTTTTGGTCCAATTGAAGTATACTAGAAACGAAAATCATTATTATACTAAACGGGGATCCGGACAGGAAGAAAAATGCATAGTAGAATATAAAACTCTTGGGGAGATAACCGACTGGATCTTAAGATCTGCAATTGTCTGGGGCTTTTGCATTGATGAACCCGAATCCGATGGCCAGGTAGTTGACAGCCGGTGTGGCCTGATATCGATATGTAGCCCGAAGTCTTATCATTACCAATGTCGTCAGTATTTCGCAAACATGGGACCGCGGCGGGAAGTCGCAAGAGAGATGCAGCCACATTGGTGGCGAGTGCATATGGGCTAGCATAGCCGAGGGTTCGAAAGTCCAAAGTTGACAATATTCATATTGATGGTAGCATCTTATCGCTGGCATACATGTTGTAATATTTGACCGCGGTTAGGATATTATTTGTTTATCGTATATCTTCTTCGCTGGGACGATCATATCATTTTTTTGATATTATTTTTCGACGTAAGTCGACAGCTGATCCAAATGCATGGCCAATGTCGCAATTGAATGCCAGGATGCTGTTGACCACTAAAGATGAAGAGCAGCTTAGGGTAGTTCGATGAATAAAACTATATCTTCGAAGCGAAAAGCATGTATCCGATGCTTCGAGAAGCGAGAAATGACCTGTCAGAAAGGCGGCTAGCGCTATAGCAAGGGGATAGTAGCAAAATGGAGTTCAGAAAGCCTCATAAATTATTAAAATATAATAGGAAAGAAAGAAAGAGAGAAAGAAAAAGTAAGTACTTTTGAGCAACTAGTAAACTAATCGTTTAACAGACCTCGTTTAAAACATCTCGAGCATCAGACAAGAGCAGGAGGAGGCCGTAAACGAACACATTCATTATTAAAAAGAAAAATTCCTTGAATAAAATCATAGTCCAAAAATATATCCCTGGGTATCTCTAGTAATCCGAACATTAAAGAAAGAAATAAATGATTGCAAGGCAGCTTAAGGCGTCCAATGACACCTTAGAAGACCCGAAAAGCAGCGGGCTTCGGAAAGTACCCTCCCATTATTGTTAGCCTCGTAAAGGTTGAAAAGAAGAAGGGGCAAGCACCCAAGAACTAACGTAAAAAGTGGAGAATAAGCAGAAAAGGAATGAAACAAAAGAAGTGTGTGGTCGATGAAGCAGCAGTTGATACTAACGACTGCTACTGATTGATAAAGGGAATGGGCCGCCCGGAAATAGCAATACGATAAACAGTAGCGTAGTAGAGAGTCGTTCTAATGTTCAAAAAGCTTTAGCGTTGGTGGTTGATGTCTGCGGCGGCATCTGCATCCGCTATAAAAGTAAATTCAAGGGCGAGCTAGTGCCTCAGGGAGTGGCTTCGGGCAATATTGATGGTGTAGTTGTATCATCAGGGCGCGGCGATGGGGATGCTGCTCTCAGCTCGATCGACGTGCCAGTCGGCAGCAACTTCTCCTCCTCCAAGACCGGAGATACGCTGTCCGTTGCAATGGTACCGGTCTCCGTTAAAGTTTCACTAACTTGTTCAGCTGCCGTGGCTTGCATCTTCAAGGACTCTCTTTCCTGAATAGCAGCCTTAGTCGAGCCCTTTGGCCGCCCTCGCTTCCTTTTGACGGGTGGCTCGCCACCCATCAGACTATCTGGACTCGCATGGATATGCGAGAGCTCCCCAAGCGAGGCATTTCGCTTCATACTAAGGAGCTTGGAGATAGAACCGTCTTTATCTGCCTCTGACTTGCGCTTTAGTTTTCGAGCATTGTTAGGCTTGTATTCGCGAGGTTCGAAGAGCTTTGGCGCGATAAGTACTCCACCAGGCATCGGTCTAGGTATAGCACCGGATAGACTTCGTCTTTGTGCGGTTGCAGGGGTGGAGAGTCTTGATATCGCAGATTGAGGAATAGGTGTCGATAGCTCAGGCGCAATTGGTGTCATTCCATTTGGTACGGAGGTCGGCGCAATGGACGATACCGGGTGGCTTGACAGTAATCGAGAATCCAGAGACTGAATATGGCGGTACATTTGTTTGGTGGCATCGTCGAGGAATATGTCGCCCAGGGTGGAGACAATTGTCCCAGGGCCGGATTCCGGGTGATCGGAAAGTGCATCAAGCAGTTTCTTGACAATTGCCTCCAGCGAAGTCGCCTGGATACTGCGAACGACCTTATTCCATTCTACAGACCGGGACGGATCGATCGGAGGCGGAGTGCGCGCTTCAGGTAATCCGGCAGACGGGTTGTAATGTGTCGGTGGGACCAGTTTGAGGTTCGGCAGGGACCTTCGGGCTTGCTACGCCAATTGTTAGCAAGTAAAAACTTACAAGTAGTCAATATATTATGATTTATTAGGAGATATACCTTTGCCTTGGTTAATCCTGGTGTAGTTTCTCTGATAGCTGCTAATTGGACAGGCCTGGAAGCAATCGGCGTTGCAGCTGTTGGTGTGCCTTCTCTAAGTTCCGACTGCAGCAGGAGGATGTCTGAGACAGCATCCGAGCCTTTTCTAGAGGCATGATCCTCAGGCTTGACATGGTTGTCTTCTAGTGCCGGTGGCGCGGGAGTGATAACAGTAGAAGCAGCAGAAATGGATGACCGTTTAGCTGGGCCTTCTTCCCCCGATGCACTTTTTGCGCCATCCACGTGCCGGCTCTCGCGAACAAACTGAGTGATGCGAAATTTTGTTCTCATAGAGCTCGAGAAAGCATGGAGGTTGGTGGGAGAGCCCACACTAGTGTCCTCCGACACGGCCTGAGGATTCGGTCGCGTGAAGCCCGGTACTCTGAACTTGAATTCTGACATGGTTTGTGTCTGTGTGTGTGTGTGTAAATATGTGCTTTCTTGTTTGTCGAGCTTGTGATGTCTGTCCTCTTTTAGCGGTGATGTTTGGCAGCGGCAGCGGCTCAGTTAGATCCCCTTCTTCGGTCGTCCCCTCCCTTCCTTGCTCCCCTTTCTACTTCGGATGCGCAATTGCCACAGGCGAGATGTCGTGGAGGTACCCGGCTTAAAAGGGCGGGAAAAAAAAAAACTTGCAGCTATGTCGGGGTTCCCCGTTTCTTTTTTTTTGGTTTGTTGGATGGTTGTCGATTGCAGTCGACGATTGGTGTTTGCAAAGGTTTGAATCGAATTGGGCTCTCAGATAGAAGAATACTGGTGGTCTCGTGTACTAGCGGTCCAGGTCGCACTCGCACTGGCGGTCAGAACAGCGCCGACATCTACTATTGGCTGAACCCGCAAATTGGAATCCTCATGGGAATGGCTTCGAGCTTGATCTTGATCTTGAGCTTGTCCGTTTATCTGGACGGGGACTTCGGGTTTGATTTCTGAACCTTTTGGAGCTTCTGGCAGGGAGCTTGCGGCACCGAATCCCATTATATTCCCAAACCCCCACGATATGTCAGTAGTAGGCAGGTATCAGGGTGGTATAAAAAAAAAACCTGAGAGCGAATCAAAGACCTTGGATGAAGTAAGAGAAGAAGAAGAAGAAATGGGGGAAATGGAAAGAAGGAAAGAAGGATGAAAGAAGGAAATGAAAATTCTTTTTTTTCTTCTCTTCTCGTCGCCCTGACTAACTCGTCGTAGCTGACTGAATGCCAGACTAAACTATAGTTACCACCAAGAAAGCCGATGAGTCCCTTCGAAGGTGGTTCTGAAACGACCAATTTCGAGGAATGACAAGAGGGAAAAAAAGGGAACCAAGTGGCACAAGAAAGGAAGTTCAATTAATATTAAAACGACGCCAGGCGGTTTTTTTTAGGGTGCAGCTTTGTGCTTTCTTGAACTATTCCCATTCCTCTTCTTTCGCAACAGTCTTCTCGAAAAGAGGCTAAGGCAGGCAGGAGACCCGGTTTCGCGCTCCAGCAGAGTCCTTTTCTCGATTCACACAACCTGATACGAGACGGGAAATCCGCAGCGAGAGTGCAAGAGTCGACTGAACAGAAAAAACCTTCAGGGAAAAGGACCTGCGAAGAGTAAGCCTCTTTGGTAAATTGGGTGCTTCGTGCTTCAGTTAGCGTCAAGAAAAACAGACCGCTTCTTCCTGTGCGCAGGTTAAACCTGGAACAAATCTGCCAACGTCTTCATGAACGAGTTACACGGGCGTTAGATCCAATATCGAAAGTCAAGGCGGGTCCGCGACCTGAAACCAGTTAAAGCGGCGTAGATGACGGAGAAAAGTTGCCAAATAAGGCCTAAAAGGCACCTCAAAAAGAAAAATATGGCCTTGTTCAAATGGTTTCAGGGATATTTTGCTTGCTTGCTCTTGAAGCTGTCAATTAAGCCAGCCAGTCGACTATCCCTAAGTCCTGCATTGAACTAGGCCCGTTTTATGTAGACGTATGTTGGCATTACCTGCATATGTAATTAGGCAGATTCCTGTTAAATGATTGGCGCAATGGTAGCGTCAGCTTATCCAATCCACGTTCTTTTATTCCTGCTCGTTCCTGAATGTAAACTAGTTCCTCTGGGCTTTTCTCCATTCTCTTGCTTCCTTGTCATTGTCGATATTGTCAGTTAATATCGCTCGTGCGGGCTCGATGGTATAGCCAAATCTGAAGAGGAAAAGTTCGAAGTTAGACCCCCTATCGCCTACAGGTAGTTTCTGGCGACCTGCCGGCTCCCTTTGCCGTTCTTGAAAACTGAAATTCTCATCTTGATCAGGCATTCCCCACCTTAGCTGTCCGGGACTTCTGCAGACTGGTCCCGATGCATTAGTTCGCAGTTCCCCTGGAATCCTGCAAGTGGAGATCTCTGTGTTACTTTGACGTTCCGGGCCTTCTCTTGCTGGTGGGGCTCGAACAGCCAGCGGCTTCCAGGCTGGACATTGAAAAAGCATGAACATGAAAAGATCATTTCACCTCGGGTCGCGAATCCGCAGCCAGCGATGTCTCGGGATCCTCTGGCTCATGCTAGGTAGCCATGTGGCTCGGAGATTAGACGGCCTGCACGTCTTTTTCACTTCTAATCAGTTGCGTTCATATATATAGAGTCCTGCCTGCCGGATGGGGACCAGGTTCGCGAACAGACCTTCGAGATTTCACGGACATAACGCCATAGGCTTAAGCCACACAACAGTTTATTTTTCGCTATCGTGATATATGTACAGGTGTTTGCTATAAGCCATGGTACGAGGTTGTAACAATCGATTAATCAAAGGGTCAAATCGCTAGGTTTTAAAATTAACTAAAAATAAGAGACAATACTCAGAAAGAGAAGGTGTGTGTGTGTGTGTGTGTGTGTGGATGATGGTGAGGTTCGAATAGTAAGCCATCATGATCAGATACAATTGCGCCCAACACATGCTGTCAACAGAAATCAACATTGCTTCGAATTCAACATGCAACATCAGCATCAACGTCAAAATCAGCATTGAAATCTCGTCATGCGATCAGTTACACCAATCTGACATTGACGAGGTAATAAATTTTTAGAAAGAACGGGGACAAAAAACCTCTTCTTTCTCTTCTACCCAAAATACGGCTGGGTCTACCTATTTGGGAATCCACCAGCTCGAGGGAACAGTCCTTGCGTGTCATCATCTTGTCTGTCATAACTGCTCACCCCTCGGTATCCCAAGTCCCCACCGCCGTAAGCTGCACGGTTGTACGAAGTATCTTGCTCCTCAAGGCTGCTCCTATCCTGGACGTATGGAGGTGCTCCCTCGTTACCAGTTGGTTGGGGTCCAAAACCCATTGCTGCAGCTGACTGGGACATCGGAGTGTTATCTTCATCGTCTGCACTACGAGGAATCATTGATTCAGAAGCCCCAGGACCGTTCTTCTTTCCTCCAAATGGGTTCTTGATCGCTCCGAAGATTCTTCTGTTACCACCAAAGATTCCTCCACTTGCTCCTCCAGCCCCAGCTGCACCGGGTGCACCTGGTACAGGCTTCCTGCCCTTCTTTCTTGGATGACGGATGCCAATGATTGCTCTCCAAAGGACAAGACCAACAATAACGGCACCAGTAATACCAGCAAAGACTATACCGACGATGGCCCCGCTGGATATACCCATTGGAGTATACAACGTCCCGTCGGCTACGGGCGATGAAGTTGTTGTTTCGGCAGCATCAGCAGCGTTTGTGGCTGTTCCAGACTGTGACGCTGTATTAGTCCCGGTAGAGGAAGCTTCAGCAGTTGAAGGCCCGGTGGTAGTTGGAGCTTCGGTATCGGTATCAGTATTCGTTGTTGCTTGAGAAGTCGTACGAGCCGCTGTGGTTGTCTCCGGAGCGTCTGTTGTAGTCTCCTGGGCTGCTGTTGTCGTCTCTGGAGCTTCTGTTGATGTTCCGCCCGTTGTTTCAGATGGCCCTGAGGACGCTGTTGCCGGTGCAACAGTAGCTTGACTTGGGGGCGGATTGGTAAATGATTGCGGCGGCCTAGTATCTGTGAAGGCACCCGGGATATCTTCTTCCCCAGGCCTAAGTGCAGGACAATCTCGAGTCGCGCATATCTGCCCAATTTACAGTGTCAGTATTGACTCTTTTAATTTCTGAATATCCTACTACGATGGGAGAGGAGCTACATACTCTACCATTCGGACAACAGCCACCTCCATATTCAGGCCGACATCGGAAGTATCCTTCTCGACAAAATGGAGTATCCTGACGCTTAAAAAGCAGCATTGCCTCTCGACGTGGCTCTAACCTTTTGTCCGCGCCCAATCCATAGTCTGGTACTGCGGTGGCAATATCAAGCAAGTACAACAGCTGCACAGCTGCGGCAGACGATAGCCAACGCATTGTAACCTGATAAACTCGATGAAGCTGCTATTAAAAATGTCTATGAATCCTCCCGGGGGTATCGCGATATAACAAAAGAAATTCGTAGAAAGTAGTCGGTATCAAAGGTATTTTCGCCCGTTTTCGTTTCCTTCTCTATATTGAAAAAAAAGCTCCAAGCACTGTCGCGAGTCGGTAAGCAGGGGGGCAAGCGAGCTGCCCCTCAATAATTCGCCGTTGACGGGTCGGAAGTAAAAAAATGTCGAATTGTGTGTCCAAAACTGAATTTCTGCCCTATAGGTCACTTTTCGGAAACATGTTCTCCGAATATACAGAAATACCTGGCTAAAAGGAAGAAATAAAAGAGGTTACGAAAGTACAATTGTAAGAGCAAGGAAGGCTTTTATTCAGACCTGTGGAGGTGGAGAGCTGACAAGAGCTTTATGAAAAAAAATCTCCCAGAATGGATAGCCTTGCAGCTGAGGCTGAAGGTGGGACAACTTCTTTTCTTATTTAGCCCACAGTTTGTAGATGGATGTACTTGGACATGGGTATTCAAGCCAACATCACAAATATTGATCAAGACTGACTATACCAAGCCTTTTTATGGTGCTGACCACTCTGACCTGGTGTCAGAAGTCCAAAGCTTTGGTACCAGGAAGTTATATATACCATACAAACCGTGCAAGAACTGTCGAGCTTTGTGGCGTGGGGTCCCCTGATAATTTGAATTCGATTATATACGGCTTCAGTTACTCGTTCTTTCATGCGCCTGCAAGTAAGCCTGCACTCTCGAAACTTCATCCAGAGTGCAGCGGTGTGCAGAAACAACAGCAGCGAAAGTCCAAAAAAATGCGACTGTCAATCACAACGGAAGGATCAGACTAGGCTTGCAAACCGAATCCCCCACAAGGCCATGATATCCCTTCGAAAGAACTCCACCCGCAGCACGAGGGATCAACCCGCCCAAAGTCCCCGTTGTCTCTGAAGAATTTGAGATTTCAAGACTTTTAATCGGCTCTTGGTCTTGGTATTTTCTTTGCACCCATATCGGAAACTCTTTTGTGTCTTGCAGGGGGACCCACCAGAGATCTTCAGCCTCAAACGTTATTGGACCAACAGCTGGGGTCTGTGTGGATGGTGGGTTTAAAAATGGAAACTTTGGATTTCGGCATAGTCTGAACCGATAGCTTAGCTTTTGGGAAGCTGTGTGCCCTTACAGCCGTTTCCCTTCCTTTGTACATGTGTGACAGCCGAAGACCCGGGTTAATCTCCAGGCACCGTTCGAGCTCGTATAACAACAGCGAATTCCAGATTATATTTGCTATAAGCACGGTAATCACGGTAGATGGTTCTCGAAGCTAGGCAAACATTTAGTTCCGTGGCCCTTACGATTGAAAACTGAAATCGGCGGTGGTTTCAAGAGACATTAGTTAGGGAGTGGAGATGGGTACATACTTTGACCTGTGTGTATTTGGTAAGGTAATGGTATACCTAAGATTATTTCGTCGAGGAGAAACTATGCCTGATTGGGGCAGTGATTTCAGCTTGGCGCAAGTCATTATGTCCAGCTACTTTCGATATTCCAAATTCTAAAAATGCTAAGCTCCTTGAATATGCTGGTATCAGGTCACCCTCAGGAAGCTATTACCTGGTGGTGACAAATATTTCATGGGGATCATGGAGAGGCTGTGCAAAAGTTTTCCAGCCCATCAAAGTACACAATTCCACGGTCGTGACTTCAAACGAATTGAGCTGCGGCTGCCGGGGAGAATTGTTCGGGTACAGGAACAAAAATCATAGCTGGGGCGACTTATTGCATCGAAAAACGAACCATCATTCTGGTATCTCTGTATCTTTCAACATGATATCGTATGATATCGTTCGCGTAGAGTCAATTCGGAGTTGTTAATTCAGGTCGGTTACAGGAATGCAATGTTGAATGTTAGAAACTTCTTACTGATTTTAAAATCGGAATCGAAGCCACCGTCAGATACCACACACAACACAGGATCCCGCTCTTTTAATATACACATCTATCACATATCAAATATGGTCTCGGGGCTAGACGGCGTGCTGCACTAAGCTGCTTTTGTATCAAATATAGAAACATGAGCTCAAGCTGCATAAAGTACTATACTTAAATCTACGAAATATAAATTTCCATTCCATAATACTCGTACATACATATTGTATCCTAGCGTGTTCGTCTCGAGCCGAGGTGCCGTACGCACGCTGCACTTAGAGACACAGCTAAACCATTCATCCGAAGGATTCTGGGCTGAGAACCAAATTTTAAAATTCTTTTTGATCTGGACAGCAACTTTTAGCGACTCACTATCAGGACTCTCACGTTATCTCAAATATAGGGCTGGTATTAATAATTAATAATTAATAATTTACGCATGTATCGTCTGAGGATAACATCGCTATAACGATAAGAATCCGTCTAGATCACTTCACCACACTGTGGTTGATGAAAACTGCATGTTGACATTAGTATTACGACCTTCCAACTCTCAAATACTCCATGATTGCCCGCATAGTCCAATTCCTTTCCGCGCCAATTATAGTCCCTTCCAAACCTTCAAGCCTCCTCTCGATTTCATTTTCCAATCTCTCCATGACTTTGACAGTATACCCCATACTCCCTGTTCTTGCAAATATTTTCATAACTAAGCTCTTTTGTTCAGGGAACAACTTCCCCTGTCTGTTTCTTAATAGCAATAAGCTTTCCAATTGTTCGCGATCGTTTAAATTTGAATTATTCAGCGAATGTATCAGTGCGAGGGAATATTTTCCTTCGTCTAGACCTGACGGATCACCTGGTGCCATCGAAGCAAGACTTTGGTGGTCATCTCGGATCTGGAAATAGCGACTCATGAGTGTGACCAAGCCGTCAACGTTTAAATCCCTGTATTGAAGATTATAACAAGTTAGTACCTATAGATAAGCGGTATACCACGGCGAACTGAATGTTTCTTCTTACTTATTCTGTGTGGCCTCAGCCTTCATTAGGCGAGCTGCCAGCCTGAATAGGCTGCCGGTTTCTATCAACGTAGAAAGAAAGTTAGTGATACAGTCCCAAATTTGTGGGTAAGATATTGCTACGGTGGCATTGCTTACTTCCATCTACCATTTTTATATAATCTCGCTCCAATGGAGTGGCCGAACGGAAAGTCCACTGGGTGTTGTAACCTCGCCCAATGTTTATGTTTGCCATTTCATCTATATAGAAGAAGCCGTTTCGTCAGATTTGATAGACAATATAGGAATTGGTGCTGAGGTATACCTGTGAAAATTTCAACAGCTGATAGAGAATGTGGCAACTTCTGGATCTCCTGGAGGCATTTGACAAATAGGTAGTTCGCGGTGTTCACTGCGCGTGGAGTTCCAAAAACCATTGGAGCGGAAGGCGCTCCTTGTTTCGTCGAAGGAGTTCCTTCAATATCGTCGAGGCTGTGTTTTTTTATGTTTAGCATCTGGAAACTTGTCAAAGAATCCGGAATGACCTGACGCCTTAATACTTACATTGATGATGAACTATGCAGCATATCGACGACTGAACTGATGATGTCTAGAGACCGTCGAGGCAAGTTGTACCAAAAGTCGAGTGCTTGGATTGCCTGAGAACTAATCTTCTTCGTCTGCAGAGATAGGAGATATTCGAATGGTTTGAGCACCGTCTAGTTGAATCATGATGGTATATTAGTAACCCACATATTTGAGAAACGGTACGTTGAGAACCTAGTTGCGAAATCAAAACGTCTTCGATGTAATTATAATACCTCTTCTGATAATCTTCCTGACTGCTCTAGCCATATATCTGATTCATATGCTGTTGAATTCTCGTTGAACCCACTCGCCCTTACGTCTCTAAACCCGTTTATAGATCTCGACCTCGAGCTTCCTAGTGCGGTCCCACTTAGTATAGGGCTATTACTCATAGATTCGTATCCCGACCATTCGGCTTGCACACTATTCGCCAACCCTCTCGTATCTTGCGGGAAATCGTTCAACTTATACTCTGACTTGGGATAAAACGGATCACTAGGCTCAATTCGATACCGGTTGCTCCCAGCATGCCATGACAATTCTCCAGCGACGAGGTGATGAAGAGCTGAAATGTACCTCGCGGCTTCTTCTTGAATCATGTGTTCTGTATTATCTAACAACTCCCACGAAAGTCTTGAAAATTGTTGTTCTAGTTCAAGACACTTTCTTTCAACAAGCTTTTTGGCCTGTGCAATTGTAACATCTTGAGTTTGCATCATGATGTATACTGCTGAGACCGGGACTCCGAGTTTATTCTGTGAGATGTGGGAGGACCAATCTCTTTCTGCTGAGGATATGTCTTTTATGAGGGTGTTCATTTTGGCGGTGAGTCTGATTAGGTCGGAGTACCTTGCTAATTGGTCCTTGGATAAATTGATGTCGTAAACGTAGGGAAGTATACTTGGAAGTCGACTGTCATGAAGTATTAAGTTAACAATGCTTACGATGAGACCTAGCAAGCTCGCTCTCGAAGAAGTACTTACCTCCATGTATCAGTGAGATACTTCTCTTCTAGATAATGATCTAAGCCCTGGAACTCTACCAGATGTAGATCTTGACTTTCCAATGATCGAGTCTCTCGGGCACCGAATATCTGGGTTACAGAAATAAGACTTGAATCATTCTCTAGCATTTCTGTGATCGCTTTGGATTTCATCTGATTGATGATGGCACCGAACTTCTTCATATTGGATTCCTTGTCTCCGTGGTTCGATCGATTGCACTATATTTTGAAGTTCGTGTCTATATTAGCTTCCCATCGAATATATATCGCCAATGGTCCACGATTCATTTCTTGCACCTGTTTTTCATGCGGCTTAAGTATTACTTACCACTATCTCTTGACTTGCCCAATCTAAACAAACAATTAGCCTCATACCTCACTTGAAAATACCGTTCCAATTCTACTTACCATCCTGAATATACCCAATAGAAACAATAGCCGCCAAATTCAACAGCCGTCTAGGCTCGGCTTCAGGAAATACAACCGACAAAACCGGTCCGCCATCGACAGACAAAGCTCCATCGCGCACTTGACAGCCTCCACGGTCAAACCATTCTTGATGTACTCTTAGAATAACTTCTGTTTCCTTTTCTGCGGTAGAGGTGTTTATTCGAGGTTGATAAGTGAAAAAATAACCATCTAGATGTTTGGTGGAGAAGGGGATTGAGAACTGGTAGGGCTCTGGCCAGGGCATTGGACCCGAATTATTCGCATCTTGGAGTATGGTGGACTGATGACGGGTTCCTAGCCTTAGACTTGTTGGCATAGTGTTATTCCTACGGAGATAAGTTTGGGTAGTCATGTTGAATATTAATATGTGGTTTTGATATTACTGTGAAGCTGAGGTTCTGGGTATCAATTGTAAATGGACAATGCGCGGACTACAAAACGAGTTTTCGGAAAAGACTACTCTGGGGTATATATACCATTGACCCCTTTCGCAAATACGGCATCTTCTTATATAATGCATCTTTTGTTTCTGCGGTTCACGTTTGCGGAAGAAAGATAAGTTGGGATGTACGATGTAAATGGTATTGGTAGAGATGTTACACATTCCAACGCCTGGAATTCTGAAAGTTCGCACGCGGCGCACGACGTTATCCGGGTCGGCGTAGCGAAATTCCTGATGATCAATTCATCGTTGCCTGGTTTCAAGTTCCTCCCAAAAAAAAAAAAAAAAAAAAAAAATCTATGGCCCATAGTCTACCTCCTGCCGCAGACTTATTATTGTATGTTTTCCAAATCCCTTCTTTTAAGGAAAAGAATTAAAAGAATTAGTATTGTGGAGCAGCTCCAACAATATCCTCCCGATCCAACCAGCTCTGGATCAATCCTTGCTGCGTCGCCTCATACTCCTTGATTGTAACTTCATCTCCGTTGAGCGTGGTATTGGCCTGTACGAACTGTTTTCTCGGTTGCTTCTTCGACATTACGACGTCTCTGAATTTGGCCATGGTGTCATTAACGCTGGTCATCTTGTCGTAGAGAGCGACACCTCCATTGACGTCAGCGGATGCCTTATAGATGTGAAGTTCCTGCAGATACTTCTCTACGGCCTTGAAACCGTGAGAACGGATCTTAGAGCGATCGAGATGGATGGTTAGGTCAGAGTGGTCCTCGGTTGTAGAGTCTAGGCTGACAAAATTGTCTGGCGCGGAGAGGAAGCATTGGAGGATAGAGTAGCGGGCACGCATGTGTGCTTGTCCCCATTTCTGTAATGTGATAAAGGTTAGTATGGGAGTTTTGCTGTGCGGGTTCTTTTAAAAAGTGGTTCTTGCCTTGGTCTTTGGGTCCCAGAATTCGAGGGCTAGGAGACCAGCTCGAGCCATCTGGAGGTAAGAAATATAGAGAACTATATGTTTTGGTTAGTTATATTTTTTTCTGATATTTAAATTTATACGAGCAATCCTTACCATCTTCAGCAGCAGCTTCAGTGTCGTCAGTATGGCCGAAAACCTCAAGGATTTCTCGGTCAGGGCAGAGATACATAGCCACGCATTCGGCTCGGCACCTTGTAGATTGTTAGTTTTCGAAGACCAAATAAATAATGATTACGGGTTCACATACTCTTCGTAGCTGGCGGCAGTGGCGCCAAAGACGGATCCCCAAGTTTCACCGACCTTGTAGTAAGTTGTAACTGGCTTGCCGGTGAGTGGGCTGACTGGTGGGCTCTCCTTGTCGAAGTTGAAAACTCCCTTTTCGGTTTCTTGGAGCAGTTTGCCACTATTCATTCATTGATTAGTCTCACAAAGGTGTTTACTTGAAAATTGTGGAATATGTACCTTCCATGTCCTAAGAGCTCATGGAGACCGACTTGGAGTTCGAAGGCTGGACCTCTTAGTCTCTCGAATAATGGCAAGTCCTTCTCATCGATAAATGTAACCTTCTCGGATGGCGATTTAGCGTTGAGGACGTTTCCGAGAGAGACATTCTTGAAGCCGAGAGTCATTCGGATATCGTCATACTATATCAGTGTTAGTAATTGTGCTCTATATACTCCGGGAATCCTAGAGATCATACGTTGGGGATGTTGATACCAGCGGGGATACCATCGCTGTTGAAAGTCAAGACTATCGGAATCGTTAGACTAAAACTATACTCATTTAAGTGGAAAGAATAACTTGCCTTCCAAGCTTGTAAAGTCTGGCTTCTGGAACTTATCCTTTTCAAAGTCCTTAGACCATGGGAGTTTTGGAATAAAGTCACCAGCCCGTTCAACTAGCTTGCCGAAAACTTTTGTCCTCTCCTTGTTCACAACGGCAACCCAACCCTCGAAGTAAGCCTTGGTGCCGGCTGGATCACGGTAGGTCTCAATGAATCCGATATTGGTTTCGATCTATATATAAATTAGGCCATGTTTCGAATACGGATAGATATCTCAATTGCACTTACGGTTGGGCCAATATCCTTGATCCAGTACCTTTGGCTCTATAATTTCCCTATCAGAAAACTGCGACTCGGGCAAAAGAATTTTAAGTATCTTACCTCCTTGTGGGCTTCAAGGCTACCCTCTCTGAAACTCTTGACATACTCTTCCATCATCTTCTCTTGTGTATCGTTCAAAGCTGCCTTCTTTGCACCGTCTAATTCGTCGGACATTACTTTCATTTCTTTCGAATGGTCTCCGTAGACGGTCCTGATCTTTCTACCATCTTTGGTCTCGTATACGCTTCCCTCGCCGACCTTCTCACTAGCAACTAGCATGTCGAAGCTTCCATCATCGAGTTGCTTTAATCTTGTGTGCTCAACCAAGACCCCGTTTTTAACAAAGGTCTCGCCGCAAGCCTCAATATCCGCTTGGGTAATAGCTGGCGAATCTGGATAGTAGGCACTCATATGATCTGGTGGGTATCCCAATAGAGTAATGCCCTCTGGGGAGATCTGATAGACCTGCTTTTTAATCCCTTCCCAGAGCTTTGCAGCCTCCGGTGTAATGCTCGCAATCTTTGTGAATGTTTCCTCTGGGATTCTAGGAACGAATTTCTGATCACCGAAGCTCTTATAGTTACCCAAATTCGCCAGAACTTGGGCACCGAACTCGGCGAATTTGTTCTTCTCATCTTCGGTAACATTGCATGCCTCTACGATCTTGGAGAAGTCGTTTTCAACATGACGGGCGACGGTAAGGATCAAATCGAACAGTGGTTCGGATTCCGGTGAAACCTGACGAAGAACGACACGGGTACCCGCGAACGAAGCCTTAGAAATATGATGCGCATAAAGCTTCTCCTTGGCAGAAAGATTATCGAAGTGCGGCTGGATTTCCAGACGGCACACTGGTGCCTTCTCGTCAGCTAGGAGGTGGGATGGTACCGACATGGTGGAATATCGAGAAAATGCAGTCAACTGTAGATGTATATTGTGGGGTTGGAATCGCGAGACTCTGGGGAGCCGTAAACATAAGAGGGGACTTGGCTTGGTATTAAATACTAGGCTGCCGGCCACACGGCGGGCGAAAACGTGCATTTACTCACGCTATGCAGGTCTTACAAAGTATTGTAAGAGGTACCTACTTAAGTAACTTGCAGGTATCGACGGCCTGCGCCGACGAGGATTTAATTCCGGGGCGTGGTTTTCTTTGCGTGTGGCCGCGTGGTGGGGGCGGGGCGGCTTTTGGCTTAGGCCGTCGTTACAACCGGCAGAAAGGGTGCCGCAGCTAGCCTGCTTGCACCATTTGAGCACTTCTTTCCAACGACACCTTCTTAGTCTGGCAGCTCCCAACCACACACTTTGATATCAATTGATATCTGCGAGATATAAAAGTGGATATACCTCAGGCCATGCACAGTAGTTACTAACATGCTAACAATGGATAACTACCGCGAGATGAACATGCCAATATTCAACAGTGGGGCAGTTGAGTTCAATTGAGAGCTCGGAGTATTACCTAATATAATATCACGAAGCCAATAAACTTAATCCAACAAATTCAACACGAAGTTTCAGGAGGACTTTGATAACTGATCAATCAGTCATATGATCACTCAATGGCGTTTTAAAAACCTAACTGGGCTACATTTTAGAGATTTAATAGCTGATTGATTAAGCAGAGAGATATGCCGACTTCAGACACGAGATTGGTTAAACATATTCCCGGTTACAAGTATCACTGCAATAACGTATACGTATAATGGACTCTAGATGCTTTGCGTACAACCTTATCCCCTCAGAGAGTATACCCAGGGCAGGTGTTTTAAGTTTTTTTTGTTACTATATACATAAATAATGGCAATGACCCCTCGCTATCCCCAAACTGCCCTTGAACTCTGGGCTAATATAATTGCGATACCTTTTTCGATACATGTATACAACTAGTCATATCTTCAAAACCGTCTCGTATTCGACTCTTTACTCGTGAACTGGGGTCTGGGTAGGGTTTGGATAGCAAAAACCGGATCCGTAGCTAAATATCTCGCAGTGCCATTTCGCAGGGCATTCAGTTGGTCCGGTCCAGTTCTTTCCAGCGCACTAGAATTGAGACAATACAATTAGCAATTGGTCTATCTTTAGAGCTCAATTAATAAAAAATAATCATCGACTTTGGTATTTCCTTACCTGTGCCCATTTTTCGGCAACAGCTCTCTTGGTGACTGGAGTTGGGGTCGCTGAGGCGACAGCCAAAAGGACGGAGGTGATGATAACGGCCTTGATCTGCATTTTTGAGATAGAAGCAGGAGGAATTTTATGTTAATTTGAAAGAATTGATAGAGAGAATTGGAATTGGTTGGAGATATTTATATATATCTTATTGCAATTGATTGTTTAGGGAATGTTCTAATGAGGCTGATAGAATTCGCTGATTATCAGGAGATAATCTACTCTATTTATATTTATGTTTCTTCAATGACATTGTTATCCATACTACAGAGCAGGAGCTAGCGAGTACCAGTTATCGATATCGGCGCCTCAAAGCTTGGTCGAGTCAAGGTTTTACAGGGCTGATAGTTTCCAATCCGATATAGTTATCCAAATTCTATTAAGATCATATCCAGACTTCGGGAAGATGATACCGTCTAGGCTAATTACAAAAAAGAATACCGAACAAACCCGACCACCAAAAAAAAAAAAAGCCACCGGGCCTTTTCAATCCGTCAGAATGTTCCCTGGGATTTTTTTACGTACGAAGCGCTCTCGAAATTGATATTAAGATACTGATACTTGAAAGAAAAAAACCATTGAAGGGCCCTATAGACCCAGGGAAGGGAAAGTTAATACAAGGGACATTACTCGATCGCTAATGGCTCGGCCTAAGCTTAACGTTAACAAGAAAAGTAATCCATGCATGGTCCGCGACTCATGACATCTACGGAAGAACAAGGGGTTTATACTAGAACAATGGGACTGTGTCGTCCGAATACGGTTGACAGGCTGTCTTCGAATTCAACTGCCGGAGCCCAGGATTAAGTATGTGTGTATATAGCCGGGACCCGGGTATAGATTCGAAACTTTAACTTCACTATAAACATTCGGAATCATATTTCCCTGTCAGACGGGATATACAGTACGGAGGCTCACGGTGAGAATTTAGAGTCAAGCTCTTAGATCTAGAATTTAACCTGCGTCAATTACCAGGAAGATGGAAGTTCTGGCCTGTTTGGAGGCCTGGTTTTCGAAATTTCCACCCCGTATATCCTAATTCAAGTACGCACGTACGTACGAACTCTATACTATATACCGCTTTGTATATGTAATTTGAGCAGACATCGATATCCTGCCCGTGAGAATTGCTCCATTATCTGACAAGGTAGTTAAGTAGCCATAGACTTTTCAAACTCCACAAAAGGAAAAAGGCCGAAGTCCAGAACCGCAAAGCTAAAGGACACAATGGATAAAGGTAGAATTACCCCGAAGAAGAATACGTAACGCAGCCTTCTTTGATATCATTGAATATCTTGCGATCAAATAAAACGACAAAATAACAATAACCATAATCAATGGATACCCAATCAATTGACCATGTCCCGGAGTCCCTTGATGATTGCAAGCAAAAAAAAACTTAGTCATCCCACATAGCCGCCTTTGCCTTCTCCCGTTCTTGTTCCTGTCGTTTCTGTTCATCCCGTTCTTCTTGGTGCTTCTTCTTCAAACTAGCGTCGTATTCTTTCTGCTCCTTTGTGCTTCTGCTCCTGACCCCCAAAGCACTGGCGATCATCCTTCGAGCTACAGCATCCGTCTTAGCTTGTCTCTGTCCTTCGAAATTGGCGTCGCTGTATCCGCTGCCCGCTCTTGAATGAGTATCCGGATCGTAGGCATAATAGGATCCTGAACTGCCACCATCTCCTACAAATGGTGTCGCGACGGCGGGCGTAGGCGCTGGTGGAGCTGGTGGTGGGGCGGGAGAAACGGCGGAGGGACCGTCTAAATCGGAGGCTACACCGCTTGCAGCCTCATCCCCGGAGGAAACCTCATCGTCCCATGAGTCTACTACTTCCTTCTTTTTCTTTACGACTTTCTTTGGCTTAGAACCGCCGTTAACTGCAAGAAGGTTTTCTATGTGTTTTCTTAGTCAATGCTATAGATGGGGCGAAGGAAAAAACAGAGAGAAAAAGAAACGTAACAGCAGAGTCAAATAAAGAAAATATGGGGGAAAGAACTAACCGTCTACCATATCGAATATCCCCGGACCTTAATTCTTTTCGATACCGTACACCCCTTCCTTTGATTGATAAGACTGAAAACGGGCAGATAAACCGTAACCCTAAACACAATATAGCTCGTACGTACTCTGATCTGTAGTAACGTATACGTATGAACTTTCCCTTTCGACTCGACTCGAGCTCGCCGGACGTGTATAGGCTGTGTGAAATTGCAAACTGCGCAGGTGTCCAGGGACTTAAAGAGGGAAGATGTCACTGATACCTTCCGTGGTCCGCTACCCGCATACCCGACCCGCTAATTATAACGTCTACGCAGCGCACGTGACAAGTCCTTGGACAAGAACAGGCTTAAAAGGCTCGTGGGTTGCAGACGACGATCATGTTTCGGAGCGCAACACCTTTTGTTGCCGTTGGGGACATCGATCGGCCGATGATGTCGTCTGCTCGGTCTTCGATGGCAGGCTGCTTGTTAGTGGCTACCGTAGGCAGGCTAGTTTACGTATTTACGTTGGTTGTAGCTACTAAAGTATGATTTGCCAACAGACAGAGTTTTTCTAAATCTGCCTCGGTTTGAGTACTTTATGCTCCTCTGATCCGTACGCAGTAACGTTGGCGCTAGAATATCTGCATCGTGTATGTATGTAATGTAATTACAGCGCCGCTTCGTCATCGTGTATCAATCCAGGACTGAAGCGTGCATAAAAGAGCAGGGGGGACGGTAAGAAAAACAGTGCTAACAAGTGGTATCATGACATGCTAAATCGTTGTACGCGTGGAAATCAAAAATCAAGCTATGAAACAGGAAGGATGGTAAGAAAACCCTGATACATGAAATGATAAAGCGCTGGCAGGTCCGGGAACCGGGCCATGAATGCTAAAGGGAAAGCATTAGATCCGAACTAGAAACTCCAATATATGTATTGATCATAGCCAACCAACAACTGCCGTAAATAAGCCCAATCCGATTGCCCATACCCACAGCATTAGCATAGATGCTCTCGTCGTTATCATCTCGCCTCCAAATCCTACTTTGACGCTCCTGACTGCGGCGTTGCCCGTTGGTTGTGCCTGTACGAAAGCTGGGAACTGCACCGTCACGGCTGTCTGGGTCGCAACTCCATTGATAATCGTCTCAATTGTTGTCACGTACTGTCCTGCATCGTTCAAAAAACTCGTATATCCTTGGCCATATCTCGACGTAAAACTAGTATACCAGGCTCCTAGGTCGCTCCTAAAATCTGCATACTGGCTGGTAATGGCGGAATTAATGCTCGAAATATCATCTCTGATAGTAGGGATCGGGAAACCGGATGTCACCGCATCAGAGATACGGGTATAAGCCGATCCAGCCCAAGATGAGGCGGCAGCAGCCGGATTGGCGATATAGGTTGAGTATACGGCTCCTGCGTCTCCGACCAAGACTGTAACCCTTTCACCAGCTGCATCCGTAGCTGTTCTGTAAACGGCGACACCGTCGTTCGCAGCTGAGGTGAAAAGTCCCGGAACTACAGCGACTACTGAAGCGATTGCATCATTGGCACCTATGCAACGGTTTCTGGAGCAATATTCGTAGTTGGAGAGACAGCATCCCCCTTGAAATAAATTGTCGGGGCAGCCATAGTAGCCTGAATTGCAGTCTCCTTCACCAGCGACCGTTCCAACACAATGTATTCCCTTCGGACAGCAAGCAATATGGCCTGCATTGTCGACGGCACAGTTAGCCGTATTAGGGCAGCAGAAAGCCGGATATGAGATCGGAGCACATGAATGTGTGTTCTGAGCACAGTTTCCGTTGTTGTTTTGACGACGAAATATCTGGTTTGGGGAATTTGGGGCAGCGATCGCTGGGAAGAAGGGCGAAGTATCTCTTTCCGACAATTTTTCAGCCCTAACAAGAGCAGCAACCGAAAGGATTGAAGCAATCCGGGCGGCACGGGACAAAGATCTCATCGTGAAGCTTGTATCGAGGATCGAGAGGATTCTATAAAAACGGCTTGGATCGTAGCGATATAATACGAAGGTAGAAAATCTGGAAAGGATGTGATGTTAGATATGAGGAGGAGGACAATCCTTTGGGCGCCGTGCATATGTGGATGGGAAACCCACCAGTCCAAGCCAGCTAGGCAATGCAATGTAACCAGCCTCAACTTGAGACTACTTATTGGCTAAGCTATCTGTGTGCAGTAGTACAATGATTGACAGTGGCAACCGGAAGAGAAAGAGCCGACGTCGCTATAGTATTTTCGGATTTGGAGAAGAACGATAGGGCATCGCAAGTTGACAGGAAAGGATGAGGTGGGAGGGATTCTTGGAATGGAGCATTCCTTCTTCGCTGTCGTCATATACGCCTACATATAAAAGCTCTAGCCAGCCGCTGCCCTGCCATGTGTGTCAACTGTGCGTTGTCATGCCAATCGGTCGCTCGGTGCGCAGGAACAGAAAGTCTTGGCGGGGAAAACAAGGATGTCGCAGCAACTCAGTTTGCTGTTGCATTTTGGTCGATTATTCTCTCGTAATATGCTTATCTATAATCTGTATTGGTCTAGTAATATGTATTAAATTTGCATCAAAGTAGCATGAGCTGGCCTGAAGTGTCTGTTATACTGGCAGTTTACTCTAGAATTATATTATTGATTGGATTTGAGGCTAACGGTTGACCGAATGCGAGTGATAGAAATCGAGCCGCTGCACATCCATGTATGTGCAATCAGAATTGTAAAACTGTGGGAATTCGGTCCTCACAATGTAATAGAAAGTTGAAGCTCTGGTATTTCAGAGGGCTATAAACTATATTATCTATCCTAGCTCTCTAACTAGGAATATGGTGGCATAGTTTAGATCTCACGTACCGAATCAGTAAACCGAAAGAATACAACGGCTTGCTGTCCAAAGCAGATTATATAATATAGTACTCATCAAAAAAAAAAAAAAAAAAAAAAAAAAAACCAAGAATATTAATAGTTTAATTCCTCTCTTTAGATTTCGAAGAATCCCTTTGAGAAGTAAGGTTTTCTTAATTATACAATCTTATGAAATTCAATGCAGCATCCTGGAATAGTTGCATCGTCTTTCGAGTTTTGATTCAAATTTGTTATGTTAACTTCCATCCTAGGATATGATAGTTACTCTAAGGGCTTAGAAAGCCCAGGGGGCTTCCTCTTTTCGTTTTGATCAATTTTAAGTTTTAAATTCGAATACTAGGTAGTGTTATTGATCGATGTTGAGTGAAGTCGTCGCCTAGTAAATTCATAGGGCAAATTCAACATAAAGATTGGATTAATAAATCGAACCTCCAAAGCTCTGTATTCGTATTATTATATCGGTAGAATTTATAGAGTTTCTTGCTAGCCGAGACTACTTGCGCATCAACTAATTTCCAAATACGCCGTACCCAGCATGGCTTTTAAATGGCTTTATATTAGGGCAGAAATGCAGCCCCGCCATAGCTACCCCGCCCACAGCAGTGTGTCCGCAACGCAGCTTCGAATTCTTGGCATGTGCCTCCTGCCAGCTGCTCAATTTGCTGTTCACGGTTGAAAAGGTAATCATGGATCAAATATATGTTATTTCTCAAATAACTAAGGTTTTATAAATTAAATCGAGGTTTAGGATTCACTTAGCTTTCTTCCATTTTTCCCTTAAAATTCATAGTCTAATTCACAATCATGGGGTCATCGAGGGACGCTAAAAACATGCATCTCGACGATCGAATCCAGATATTTCAGCCCTGCATGGATACAGGATGGGATTTAGTTTTCAAGTGGATATACCCTATCTCGATGTCTCCTCCATTGGCTAGTCATATTGGGACTAGCACCACCATACCTTTCTCTCAGCCGTAACTATACTTATTATCCGTTAACGTCAACGTCATATCATCTCCATAAACACTACTATACTACTAGCTACCAGTTTACATCTTCGATTGCTTCCCTCTTTTCCCATCTGTATTTCTCCAGATACTGGTCCTTAATTAAAATGGCTCCTCAAAAGGTATTCTTCACAGGCCTGCCATATAACCATCATACCCTTCCATCCTGGGGTTGGCCGCCAGAAAGAGTAAAGACCGGATTGGAAAACGCGGTGAGGATACTCCTCCAAGAAGGTTATGATGCGATCGGGTACTTTATCGCTCCGGAACAAGGACTTAAAGTATTTGAAGATAAATTATTGGAGCAGAAGTGGGATGCTGTGATTATTGGGTGGGGTGTTAGGGGGAATCAGAAGTTAACGGTAAGAACAGTATCCCGTAGATGCATAAGTGGGATATTTTATATATATTTATGTAGCTAACGAATTATTTCTTGATAGCACTGGCTTGAGGATATGATCAACTGCGTGAGGGTTGAGTCTCCCGAAACGAAGATTCTGTTTAATTGGGACCCTGAGAGTACGATAGATACTGTTAGAAGGAACATACCCGTCACCGACGAGTCGGATAAGACGGCGATGAATGAAGTATTCGAAAAATCTGGGATTGAAGGTAGAATTACATTTGGAAAGTACGATATGCCTAGCTAGGAGGGGGCTGTGAGATGTAGAGATACTGAAGGTTTAGTTTGGAGATTCTGGATCTCCTGGCATAAGGAAAGATTGTGGGGATGAGAACAAACCGAATATATTTTATTTAATTGTCGAGTAATTAAGTGACTTAACCCTCGATTTGTGTCCAGAGATTTCTGCCCCACTTGTGATCTGGTGTTCGCGACTTAATATCGATTTTGTCGCCGACGTTTATGCTGCCTTCTATATTACCGCCAAAGGGCATCAGACCACGAATACTAGAAGATAAAGTTTTGTAAATCTTACCTCTCTCAAATGGAACCATATGCATCCCCATGCATCCTAACAGTGGAGCACCGGGATCGATATTGCGTTGACCGCGGATCGTTACATCCGGTTCATTGCGATTTCGCTCTTCATAAGGCAGATGTTAGAATAGTTGAAGCATTCTTTATAAGTGATGGGACACTTACCACCAGTTTCCGGATCGTTATTAGGGACCTTGCATCTCGGGGTTCTTGACATAACATGGTAATCTTCATTACCTATCTTGATTGTCTGCCAATCATCCTCGTCGTATGAAGGCGAACCGCCAACGATGATGTTTGGCCTGAACCTCCTGACTGATAAATCTGGGATCTCGCCTTTTACCAATTCGTTGAATTCTCGAACGCTTGCGAGACCGAGGATGTGGATTGGAGCCTATGCCTTATGTAAGTCTAGTCCTAGACAAAAAAAAAATGTTTCTGGCGGGATAAATAAGATAGCTGCTTACAAAATCCGCAAATCCGATAGTGTTTGGTCTTCCGAGTACTTCAACGGGAGGTCCCATATGGTTGACACCTCTATTCCTCCCATCTACTACTGCAAACAATCCGACATCCACTTTCGTGTAGTTCTTGCTGAAGATAACGTCCTTAAGTTCTTGCGGGATATGCGCACTCAAATCGTACCCAACCGACTTCTGTCTCCAGATTTCCACTTCGGTGACCGGATACTTGGTCAATTTATTTTCAGGCAGGGCATTGACGTCTAAAGGAACCGTAAAGCTTTTTCGAAATTTGTTTCCGTAGATGAGAGACGCTAGAAAATGAGGTTTGGCTGGGTAGGAAATCGTTAGGGTGTTTTTTACTGGATCTATCGAGGTGTGGATCACGGCCATCTTGGGGAATCCTCGCTGGGATGCGAATACCCAGGCTTCGGTGCCAGGGCTGCAGCTGGCAAACATGAACTGTCGGTCATACTGCAGACTGTTGTGTAACGGAATCGGCTCAAACGGTCAGTTTCAAAAGTGAAGAAGCCCAAGATAGTTCATATGTTTAAAAAGTCCAAAAGATAGCAAGAAATGAAGTCCCCCACAATGCATAGCCTAAGCTAAGGACTTAAGTAAACAGCTAAGACAGTCGAATGGAATTTCTTACCCAGTGTGACAGATTTTCGAAGATGCAACTTCAATACCTCTACATCCTTTAACAGGATATACCCACAAACTTTTTACCCTAAAATCCTGTCCAGCCTTTTGATCTTTCGAGTATTGAAATTCGTCGCTAATGTTGCTAATTGTTTGCGGGAAACCAAAGGCCGGTTTCCGACGGATCGAAATGGGAAGGTATTCCCTGCAAAAGTATGCAATGGAGAGTAAAGCGACGGCATAACCAACAGCTGAATTAATCAAAAAGGCGTGGTCTTTGTAGATATCGGAAATGGAATCCAGATTTTCAAGGCGGGGCAAGTGGGACGCCATATTTTCGAGGAGACCTTTTAAGCTTTTTGGAATGTAAGAATCAATTCAATTGAGAATGAATCGAAGGTTTCGACTGTTCTCAAAAAGAGAGAATTGGTTTTAAAAAGAGCACCAATTGACTAGGATTGCTGATTAATATAATAAGACTAGTCGAAGTATAGTAGTCTGGTTTAGGAATAGAATCGTATCCTTCACGCAAACTCCACATGCGCATGCAATCGAAGAGGCAATCGAAGAGACAATAATGTTACACGCAGACGCAGGTGAGAGTGACTGCTGACTCAATGTCCGGCATTGCTGCCTTTTCGAATTCCGCGGATATGAGGCACTTGATAACCTGATAACCTGATAACCTAACCCGTAGTTAGAATAGTTAAACACTGTAGCCAATTAGAGGTGAAGATTGAAATGTTGAAATGTTGAAGTCACATACTTACATCTGAAGTTAACTGCAATTCAATTGAATTCAACTTTTGGCCGCGATTGGGCCGATACAGGATAAGGCTCGGCTAAACCTGCCACTCTCCACCCGACAGACGAGAATAACCGAACCAACAACGTCAAGCGGATTTCAAGAAACCTTTCAGCTCCATTTCCGCAGCCATATCGCCATATGCACAGCCAATATCGATTCGCGACATAACCATCCCTAGTACCCCCCGCCACGAGTAGCTTCAATTACCTACCTAGCTACTTTACTTCTCTCTATCTAGAGGCTTTATACTTTAAGATACCCAGATAAAACCTACACAATGCCTCCTCGGATACCCCTCCCAATTCGTCGTTCTCCGCTCTCCTCCGCCAGTGCTTCTCTCATCCGATCTCCAAATACCCTACCCCGACCAGCGATCAGGAGTCTCGCTTCCACTTCTCATAGCCATGATGACCATCACGACCATCATCATGAAGAACCATACGATGAACCTTCGGGATGGTTCCTAGGTGTTCCACCAGGAGAGGCACGGCAGAATGAAGGATGGGAAAAGATCATGTGGTACGGGTTCTTCGGGTCTCTTGCAGCGTTTAGTGTAGCGCTGGCATATAAGCCTGATACTTCGTATGTTACTTTCCCTTTCCTCCTTCCGTCTGGGTGATACGATTGCGATATATATACACACCTATATGTATCTATACATAGATGTATCGGATGGGCTAAGCTAACATGTGTTGATATCTGTATAGAATCCAAACATGGGCATTGGAAGAGGCTCGAAGAAGACTAGAGAAGGAAGGAATCTTGCCACCACCATCCGGACAAACCGCGAATTCGATGTACACAATTCAAAACGCCATATTGAAGTCCCGAGGCGATATCCCATTGGCGTACGACGAGAAGACCTTGTCGAACGAGGAATTGGATGTTAAGATTGTCGAGCAATTGAAGTTTGCTATAGTGGCATTGGAGAAGGAGGAGGATTCAGGCGATACTGATTTGGAAAGAAGGAAGAAATGGGCATTAGCGGAGGCGAAGAAGGTCGTCGAAAGAGGTGGCATATACGGAACTTTGACAAGGCAATAGATAAAAAATACCGCAAGGGTGTTTTTTTTGGTATGGTGTGGATGATGGTGATGATGATAGTGATAATTTTTTTTATCAAGGCGAAGGCCCGTTGTACAGTCCAAAACATGGTATGGCTAGAAGCCTAGCCGGGAGCGTTCCATTGGTATTTTTCGATATTGGTTCCTGCCCTTTGTTTATATTTCCCCCCGATTTCCCTTTTCGCTGGTTTTTTATTGTACTAAAATAACGATTACAATTTCCTTTTTTCTCTTTTTCTCTCTCTCTCTCTCTCTTTCTATTTCTTTTATTTATCTCTTTCCTCAGATAGAACTGGAATAGACGAAACAAAAAAAAAGGGGGGAACTCCATATGCTCTCGAGATCCTAAACTAGGGACGGTTCTGTGAACTCATACGCGATGACAGTACTCTCAACAGCCCTTCTCGTTTCAGATTCATTTTCGAGGAAAATAAAAGCACGGCCTCGTCCATCTAACTCGTCGGCATCCATTCTTCTTCGCTTGCACGTTGGCCTCATGGTGACTTCATGGCCCGGTAGCATTGCCGCAGCTTGTTCTTCACCGGGACCACCGGACTCAAATAAATACTCCAGCCTCGAGTATACCGACGGGTTCCCCACTCTAGCTCCGTAATTTGCATACTTTATAAAAAATTCCTGGGTCGATATCCATCGATTGATGATTGTTGGTAAAGAAAAGAAAGCTAACGTCTCAACTGCAGGACAATATGTAAAGAGTTTACTCAGAACCAACATGTTGAATCCGTGGAAAGCGATGTAGGTGATATTTCGCGCAACCGATGATATGGCTATTAAATCCAATGCATCGGTTGCAAATCTCGCCGGGAGATCGAATATGAACCTTCCGTTCCTAGCGATTTCTAGGAATTCCGAAGAAGGCTCTGGGATGAAGCATTTATTCCAGAATCTATTGTCGTCTTCATCGGGGATTTGTATTGCGTCATCGATGATTTTGGAGATTCGAGGACGAAGTAAAACATCGACAGCTCTGACATCGTCTGTGATTATGGGATGAATCAAGAGGAGATATGGTGGGATTGGCCCGATTTCATAGGAGAGTAATATGTCAGGTTCTGCATCTGAATCGTTATCATCCGAATCGTCATCATCTTCATCGTCGCTGTCACAGAGCTCGGTATCCCGAAAATTGAAGAGAACGGTGGGTTGGAGGGCATGACTGAATATTTCCTCGCGCAGTTCCTTGGGCAGTAAAAGAAGCCTTGTTGAGGAGTCATCGTTAGCATTTTATTAACAATCACCGCATGCAAATGTTGGAGTCTTTATATGACGCGTGCAGACTCGACGTCCAATTGGTGGGATAATCCATACCGTGAGCACATTGTGGGCTTATATATTACTATGAGCTTATGAGGCTGTGATATTGTATTTGGTTCTTCGAGCTTCAGCCTTAACTAAGCATCGGGATATATATATACTGATCGTGAAATCAGACTATCAAGGATCTAACTAGATTGAAAGAATTAAGTAGGAGGTATTTTAGATAAGTGAGTATATAACACCAATTATATTGGGATCAGAAGTACAAGCCGGCTGGCCGCTAACTGGTTGCAATTGTATCTAGTGCCGTTCAGTGCGAAGCCCCAGGTTGCACCACATGCCAAGCCACGAGGCCCAAGGGTCCAAATGCTTCAGCCGGCCTCAGTTCAGCTCAGCTCACTAGTATGTTCTCAAACCTCTAATCAGCAGGACCAATTCGACGGCGTATACCACTTCCTCCGCGGTTCTTCTTCCCTGATAATAACAATCTTCAGTTTTGTGAAATGTATTGAAAATATACCGTCCACGATCGTGGGTTTCTTTCCGCGGCATTCGGTAGAGTTGGTACCTGCAGAAACCATACCCTTTAAATTTTCTAGGGATCTGATACCTTATCGGTGCTCCCTCGGGACCCGTTGTAATCGGATCAATTATCGGGGGCATCCTTCTGCCGTGCTCTTCGATTTGTAAATCATGTCCGGTTTCGAATAATTCCAATTGAATCCAATCCTCTTTGTTTCTCTTCCGTCTAGTCGTAAGAAGATGAAAAGCCCATTCCGGAATCTGGCGGTTATCTCCCATCATCACCCCCACTGCTTTTAAATTCGGAAATGCACCTATAACTGCCCCTGGATCCGGTGCCATTTCCCGAGAAAATACGATATTAGATATCCTTTGTCTCATGACGGGCCAGATGGTGCTCCATGTAGCATGAAGACTACGAGAGACATCCAAATCGAAGATGAATCTGCATCTATTCCGAAACAAATCCTCGACTTCTGGGGTGTAATCTCCTTCCAAAAAATCATTGTACCACACTATTTGGTAGGAGCCACATGGCCGAACATTGGATTTTCCTTGCAGGATGATATGCTTGTTAAGATTCTCTTTGATGGGTCTGCATAGCCTCGCCCAGAGACTTGATATAACCGTCTGAAGTGACTTCGAAAGACACAATAAATTCGCTGGGATTGGTGATAGTTGGTATATCACCGACAAGCCGAATGTACTTTGTCCGGATATTTGCTTTACGGGGAGATTGTAATTCTTATTGAAACACTCGCGACGTCGAGATATCGAAGGTAGTGGCCCTTTGTGGCTGGGATTACATTTGCGACGGGCGAAATTATGAGGAGGGTTTTTGGGGAGGATGTTGAAGTGATCTTCTTCTTCAAGAGCGGATGTGTCTCGAATTATTATATTGACTTTGGGACCCGGCGAGACGATGTATTCGAATATCTGTTCCTTCAGCTCGAACGGAAGGGTCTCGAGACTATGGAATAGTAGATGGTTGAGATTAGAGAACAGCTGCAAACAGGGTTCAAGAAATAGCACGAGGAGAATGATGTATAATTATAATTACCTAGCTTTCAAATCCATAGCCGCCAAGATATTTTAGAAATTAGAGATATGAAAAAGACTGATCATGAGTAGAAAGACGACATATGGAAATTTGGGCAGACTTATATATCGCTATTGCAATCTGGACTTTAAAAGCGAAGAGGCTGAATATTTATAATATAAAATAGCTGAATGCGAATGCGCGAACATGCATGCATGGGGCCGTTGTATCCCGAAGTTCACATGCACCCGAACAAAATATAATTATAAAAACATATACGTATTCAGTGGGTACTTGCTATATAGAAAGAAAAAAAAGAGTGGATACCCGCTATAGGCTTCCAAAAATTCAAAGATAGTATAAAATTCCGGTATACTTGGTTTAATTCAGCCTTGTCATCGTGGGATTATACGAATTAGATGAATCATTGCAGCCTTGTCGGTTGGCCTATAGCTATAGCTACGCTGACCTGACCTGACCTGCGAGTTTTGGCGCTAACGTCGGGTGTGTGAAATACAACCTTCAACACAAGAATCGTGCCATTTAGAGAGTCTGCTTGTGTAGCCACCCCTCTAGTGTACATGGATAAAACTGATACTGGAATTAGTGGAAAAATTCTAAGGGGCGGTCTTCTACATAGTAGAATAATTAATTACTTATATATCTAAGAAATGGGTACTTAATTCTATCAAATTCTCAAAATTTAGTGGTATTAACACTAATCCCGTGGCTCCATTTAGTGATTATCCATGATTCCCAGACAATCATAAGAACATCAAACCGTTGATATCATGATATACAGCCATAAGTAAGTATATACCCAGAATCAGTAGGTGTCTTCTGCAAAAAGAGACCACTTTGGGTCCGAAAAACGCGCCGGTTTTTACAGTTAATAGATACGATACTAGATTTGAATCCTCCAGGGTTCGAACTCAGGCACATTGAAGCCATATCTGCTACATAACCCATATTAAACATATGTATATATATATATGTAAATATATGGAGCATTAAATCCTACGCGGTGCAGTATCCCTGCACTCGCGCAGCCTATCGCCATAGGTATTTGAGGTACCGAGTTTGACTCCATATAAGGTGGTAAAAAATATTAAAATTTATTACCGGTTTTAACGACTTCGGCGATCTAATTAGTTAGTATAGAGTCTTAGAACTCCGGTTTAATACTGGTCTTAGAGTCCAGGCGAACTAGCTTGTAGATTCAGTGAGAAGTGGTTGCGTTAGCGTCGTTTTTTTGAATTCTGAGCCTCTACAGCTGAAGTCTACTACACGCGCCGACCAAGATTCACCCACGATACACTCAGCCAACCACAACACCATGCGTGTACTTAGCTTAGATCTGAATGCATATTATAAAAAGAACTAGTTTGACAAAAAAGAGACCTCTCGTGCGTAGGTCCGAAAAACTCCTTTTAGTTTTTTCAGTTACAGTATGGACGAAAGCATTACAGCTCGAACAGAGGTCTTTTCTCTGTTGCACCAGCCGGCTCTAGACATCCCACATTTTACGTGGCGCAGAATCGCGTCGCTGAACTCACGCAACCTACCGTCGTAGGTTACATTCTAGCGAAAGTTGGGTGTATATGTAGGTTTCAGAAACTCGAGTTCTGGTCATATATGGAGAAAAGCTATCTAAAATCTAGCAACCTTTTTTTAAACATTTGGATAGTCGCTTTCTGGCTCCTCGGAAATGTAATCATTGTGGTCAATGTCTTGACGAACCCCTCCTTCGCCGGGAGTGTGAAACTGGCCCAGAAACCGCCGGCCATCCCTTATTATAACCCAAGTACACCCGGTCGCTAAATAGTATGGTTTAAACTCCATTATATACGTATTTAACCCCGCATTCTCATCGCAACTTCGCAGTATCGGTTGAATTTTATCTCCAAAAACCTCGTCCATTGAGGTCCGGACTTTAGACCGCCAAGGCCCCATAGTGAACGGCCATGCCATCCGGAGCAAATCTTCATAAAGTGAGAAGTAGTATGCATCAGAATGACTGTTTGTTGCGGGACCATCACGGACTTTTGCATATTTTTTCCAATAGAGCTGTTGGTCAGAAAGACCGCGACCGGTATGTAGCATATGTTCGGTTGACACAATGTCTATTTTGATAGTTAAATATTCGCCAGCTGCTTCGAAGATGTGTTTGAGGTGGTGTACTAAAGGTTGGTAGGTGGTTTGTAATATCTTCCGAACGGGCTCTGATGGTGATAGTGGTACCCGTATTATACTGGGTCTCCTGAGATCGATAATGTTGATTTGAATATTGCGGAAATGGCGGCAGTAACGGAGTGCTGGGATTGAAGGGGCCGGGGAGTTGATTTGATATGTGCCATATACATAGTCCACTTCGGATGCATCATTGGCTATTGCGTAAGCACGGGCTTCGAAGAATTCATGGAAGCTACACACACACACGTCAGTCATATATATTAAATTAAGTATCTCGAAGATAAGTATATTGCTTTATGGGGGACTCACCCGTAAGGGAGAAAAGCACAGTGAAAAAACCGTTCCCAGAGTGACATTAACTCGGTTTCGATTTTATAGCCTATATTATCTCGATCCTGCAGGTCTCTATCCCGAAGCCACCTAGGAGGGCCTTCAGACCGGATCGTAAGATGAACCGGAAATGTATTTCGGGAATAAAAGAATTCCGAGGCTTCATCGTGGACTTGCTTGTTAAGGAAAAACAAGGAAATATCAAGAGAAGGCCAGTCTGGTAGTGGTGCCGGGATCGAGAAGACCTCTACAGGTAGATCAAAGAGTAGGAAGTAGGAATATATTTCGTCGCGAAGTTCTCGAGGTAGCGAAAGGAATGGAAACGGCTTGTCAATGGGTAGGGAGGGTGAGGAAGTCTGCCTCGACAGCATTTTCTTTAAACTGATATTTAATCGAGGCATTGCACGTACAGATAAATTTTAACTCTGGCGATGTAGATATGGCTCGTATAAAGCTGAATCAGAGGTTCTACTATTTCTTAACGCGAATGGATGCAATGCATACGATCCTCGATTGATTCTGTCGTGTCTAAAGTATAAGAAATGACAAGACTGGACGAATCATGATCGTGCAGTTGCCCGTCAGCCGCTCCCATAGCTAACGTTATTGGATTTAATATTTCCAACATTTTCAACACAAGCATTCTATTAAGTCTCGATAATTGGGATCTCGTATCGAATGATTGGGCGCCTATTTGAGGACTCTGTAAGAGTAGGACTAATAGGAAGATTGTGCTATTTAAAAGGGTTGAAGCTTTTGTAGACAAAGGCCTACTGATTTCCCTTTGGGAACCGATAGCATTGAGTCTATATATCTAAACTAACATTTATAGCCTAAGCCCATCTTGTTCATACAGAAGGGACTAGACCCAGAGCAGTTCAAGGGAGGCTTATTGTTGACCTGTCTGCTGGCCTCAAAGCAGATTTGATTACAAGGTTCTACGGGAAATGCACAGATAACGTTTCCGGGAGGATCCATGAATGCTTGATTCTATCAAGGCAAGGGGACTATATACTGAGTGCGCCTTTTCTGCTGATGAGGATGCGAAAAATATAGGAGGTAGGGAGGGAGGAAGAGTTGTAAGTGGAGGAAGAAGTTGGGGAGAAGGAGGAGGAGGCTCCGAAATGAAGATAATGCTTGTCGTCGTCATATCAAGATAACTCCCCGGAAAAAAAGAAAAAAGGTAAAAAAAGGCGGAAGGGATGAAAAACCCGCATTAGAGATATCCATAGACCGTACAGACGACAAGAGTATAATAAAAACAAGAAAATGCAGCATCATCGTAAAAAGGAATCCCATCATTAAACACAAACTCCGAGTTTATTCCTCAACAATGTTGCCTTTTTCCGAGACGTACAGACCGTCCAAGAACTTTCGGATATCCTTGTTTCGTACTCTGCAGATCTGTTGGATGTCGGCGGCAGACTGGGAGACGTTTTCGAGGGAGTTTCCGGAAAGGACGAGCTCGTCCTTGACGTTCTTGGACTGCTCAACATCGACACCCTCGTGCATGGTAACTCTTCGGACAATCTTCTCGCCAATGAAGTTACTGTGAGAAAAAGTTAGCATACGATTCCGGGACCTGATACGAAGCTATTTCGAGCATCTTGGGTAGGTTTCTGCGAATTTGGCCATTTCCTCGGCATTTCCACCTGGAAGACATTCTTCGCCGGTAGCAGCATTTAGTATTTCTAAGGTCCCACTCTATGCCACCACCAACCGATATCTCCAAGTCCAAGAAAATTCAATTCATAGCCAATTCACCCGATACCCTTGATAACCTCGAAATAACATCTACCGATTCTTAAATATCAAAGTATAGATTCCACCTACCGGATTTCAACCTCATAGAGACCAGATTCGTTGTTCTTGGAAACACCAACGTTGATTGGGAAATGTGCATAGACGTAACGCATCTTGTACTTGAATCCCTTGGTGACACCAGTGATCATGTTCTCGACAATCGACTTGACGGTTCTCAGGGCGGCGATGTTCTTTCGGTTGCCATGGTGCAGGGAAATGTCAATGACTGGACTTCCGGGACGCTGGGTGAAGGAGATGTTGATGTGCTTGAAGTCTCGGACAAGCTTTCCACGGGGACCGGTGACGGTGACGACACGGGCCTTAATGTTGAGGGAGACTGGATAAGAGCGAATTCTGTTAGTTGATATCCTTCAACAGACTGGCCCTATCGTAAATCTTCATTCTTTCTCCTCCTCCTTCTCCACAATATATATATATTTTTTCAATGATATCTCGAAACAGCCATAACTTGAAAATGTCGACAAATTGGGAGCCACATACCGCCCTCAGGGATCGCCAGGGACTCGCTCGAGTAGAGGTACTTCATTTTGTCGGTATGGGGTGTCGGATTATGGGTGTCGAAGATTGTCGAGATAGGTTGAAGTTGACGATATGAAGTCTAGAGGTTTGAAGCTTTGCGGTGGGATATTTCGCTAGACACCATCGAAATCGAAATCGGCCACACCAAAAAATTCTGTGCTAAGGATCACGTGTTCGCTAACATTCGGCCAACACAACGAAAAAAGCCCTTGCCCTAATGGACTCTTGGCACTACTCTTTCAGCCTCTACGCAAGTACACACTCACCCATTGGCTATTTTCAAGATTAAAGAGCTTCGTGGATTTAATCAGAAGTATTATGCAGACTCAGATCTATGATATTTAGTAGTCTTCGAGAGTATATTCCAGTTATTGGGTTGACCTCTGGCTATAGTTGTAGTTCGTATTGTAAGGGAGTCGACCAGGTGTTGTAGAGCTGCTTCGTAGAGCTTGGAGTGGCTGCTTACATATGTTAAAGTGGCTAGTGTAGATATGTGGCTGAGCGACAAGGATATGCCTCCGAACGCAGACTGTTCGACAAATGCGGAAATGCAACATAATCAACACAGATCACCTCGACTCTTCTTCAGCGGTTCTTCGCTCCTGTAGATTGACATCTATGATATTCAATGCATGACTATCAGCCTAATGATATCACAAAAAATACTTCCATTAAAATAAAAGCGTTTTATCTTACCATGACATAGTTACATAGGTTCTCCTTCTGATGTATTATACTCAGTCTCATCACCAAATTCCGTATATATGATGTGATATAGCCGGTACCGCTATTTTCAACATCAACTTAGGCTCCTTATTCTTCCGCATAGATATGCAGAGCTTTATACGGCTCCTTTCTTGTTCTAAGCTCTTCGGCCAAAATAAACAATCAAGAAATACCAGGTTCACTTCGAGACTTCTTCATCACCTTCATCATGTCTGTCCGACGGATTGTCTCTCTATTCAACCAAGGCCAAGATCATTCGAACGGAGGAACGAACGACACAACTGATACCGGCGGAAATCGAGAAGACGAACCACTTCGCGAGACTGAGGGTCAAGAGCAATCAGAAGAAGCTGAATCTCCTGCAGAAAGAACATTTCTAGATCCTATTAGGTCGATGATTTGGGGCGTTAATAATGATACCCCTGAGCCCCCCGAAACAGATCCAATGGACATTGATACCCACGACACAAGTATGCCCCCCACAATAAATGGCCAGAGCCGGCGCCCTGCAGAACCCGAACCTCCTTCCGCGATGGGCTTCTGGACTCCTACGGAATCTGGCTCGCTCTCCAATGACAGCGACATACAATTTCAAACCAACGGCAATAGCATGGGCCCAAATAGTACGGATGTTTATGGTAATGTTGGAAATACCGACGACAATGGTACAATACCCACCAATGGCAACTGTATCCCTCCATCTGAAGAAAGGGATGAAGATATCTACGCTCGTCCTTCATCTCTTCCTAGGCCTGCCACAACAAGTGCCGGGAACAGCCAGCGCCGACGGATATACACCGCAGCCCCTGTTCCAATCATAAACCAACGGCTCCAAAGATGCACTGAAATAAACGAAACAACTAATCTTAATCGATCAGAAATGACGCCCGCTGAAATTGGGTCAAAAATCCCAAGACCAAGCGGGGCATGGCGAACGAAGATCCCGAATGTCACACCGGATTCCATCCGTAGTATCCAAAGCGTCTCAACGCTTCCGCTTTACTCGCCACCGATAGGTTCAGTAAAGGAACCGCGAGGATATTATGAAACCGACCCCAATCTGCCTGGAAAGGAACCGCGGAGATATTACGAATACGACCCCAATCTACCTGGAAAGGAGCCTCAGGCGCGCAGGAATGACAACTTGATCCAGAAGTTCAAAGAAATCGAGCTAGGACCACAACGAAGCATCGAATATTATCTTGGCACCGATTTACCTTCTAGCCACCAAGCACAAAACTCAATTTATGCCCCTTTAACTTGGAATGCTGCGGATAGATCTGACCTTCACAATCGTCTATCTGTTACAGACACTCTTCCAAAAATCAACACTGGCTTTCCGAGAATGGTCTATGACGGCGGCACTTCTAGTCTCCCTGAAAATGAAAGCACACCTTCTTCCGCTGATCGAATTAAGGATCTCGAGTTTGAAGTCAGTAGTCTCCGCGAAACATTGAAATCAACCCAAGAGCAACTTAGAAAGGATGCAGCCAAAGCACTTTCCCCAACAGCCGCAGTTGACAGGCTTCATGAATATCTAAAGCCAGACGAGGATGAAAGTAGCCCCACCAAGAAAGTTTCGCCTATCAGAGTCACCCCTTTTATCCGGGCCAAAAAGCTTGTTGTTATATTGGACGGTAAGTGGAACTTTCTGCATGATTCAATCCAGGAGCAGATATGGCTGACACCGTGGGCCTAAGCTACCAACTCTGGAACCGTCCGGCCAATGTCAGTTGGAAAGCTCGACCACGACACCCGAATCCCAAGAACGGTGTTGAAACGTATATCAGATTGCTTAACCGCAGAGCATAAAGAAACTCACAGGCGACAGCAAGTCTTTTATTTGAGCGGTTGTGGCACAGGTGAAGGTAATAAAACTTAAGATATTCCCTATTACTACTTCCACAGCCTAGGATCATTTCTAACTAATATGATATCAAGAATTCGGCCTCAATAAGAGTCTTCATACAACTATTCTTGATGCATACACCTACCTTTCCGGTAAGTTATTCGTGAATTTTAGATTCCACCCCTCACGCCACCGACCTAATTATCTTTCTTAGATAATTGGGATTACGGAGACGAGTTGTTCCTATTCGGGTTCTCTCGAGGTGCATTTGCTATCCGCGCAATTGCAGCACTGATCACAGAAATCGGGCTCCTTAATAAAGCTGGCATGACCCACTTTGAAACACTATATGATACCTACTTTGATCCTAGGTATGGAAAATGCCGTAGCACTGATGAATATGAAAAATGGAGAGGGCAATGTACGAGTTTGGCGTGGAATCTCAGCCAATTGGAAGGCATAACAATTACCAAGATACCTGTGAAATTCCTGGGATGCCTCGAAACCATAGGATGGTCAAACTATGAGATGGAACCATCGGAGAAGGGACAAGACGCCAAAAAGTTGTGGGAACGAGGAGTGTTTGACTTCAGACATCTCCTAATACACGAGAGTATGTATAGCTAGATGGTTGACCTATTGAGAAACCTTTTGAAAACGAGACTAGTGCTAACGTCAAATGATACAGCTGTTGAGAACGCCTTCCACGCTCTTGCCCTCGATGAGGATCGGATAACACATTCACCACTTCTTATGTTCCGCCCGGGAAACTCCATCAAACCACTCACGCAAGTTTGGTTTACAGGATCTCATGTCAACATTGGTGGTGGCCAGTTAATAATGGAGGCTGAAAAAAACGTTTCCCACCCGACCACAGATCAAAATGAACTCTCAGATATCGTTTTCTTGTTCCTGATTACGGAGTGTCATGAGTTCCTCAGCTTCAGCAAGACCTACGTGAACAAAGCAGTTTCCGACTATATGAGCTTAACGCCAAATTTTGTTAAAGAAATTAACTTCAAACATCATTGGGTATCTGCCAGAATTGACGAGCTTGGGTCTGATACCGGGAAGGCCAACGTATTCAACCGTATTAGAAATGCAACAGGAAATCGGAAGAAGCATATTCGGACCCCGTTACGATATCGTCCACACTGGTTTGATTGGGAACCGTGGAGTAGGTACAAGTCTTGCGAAGCCATCCACGTCTCTTCTCAATATCGGACAAAGCATTACCCGAATTACATACCCAAAGCTTTACTAGACTACAGATGTACAAAAACTTTTGAAAAATTTGGTGTAATACGCGACCCCTCCGAAAATGCCCCTGGGGAAACATCGGTCTTGAGATACAATGCCCCTAGAACGAGAGAAGATACGTTCTATTACGCCGGACAGGAAAACAAGAAGGGGAAAGCGCATCCAAATAACATGGTGCTCCCCGTCGTTAGGTTATCAGCCTTTGAGGTCCTCCTTGCTGGTGGCGACACACTTATCTTCGGATTTGGTCTAGCATTCAGGGACATCTACCGGGAATCACCTCCAGTTTTCCGGTATAGCATTAATGAACTAACCGGTATGCAAGAAGATTGGGTTCTGAGGGTGGAACCCCAGCCACTAAAACAGATGCTCTCACCAACCTCCATGGCCGACAGAACAATTGCGTTAAGAAACACACAAAGTGTACCGACGAGTTTGAAGTACCAACATTACGTTATAAAGCAGGAGTCGCCCTATAATTCGGTCAATGGAAACTCGCGTGTAACTTCGGGAGTCCAGCAAAGGAGTGTTTCCGCGGCAGCTGGATTACCAAGCACGCAAGAAGAATCCCCAGACACACAAGAACAGCCTCCACCCCCTCCACTAGCTAGGCGTTTGAATACCGCCCAAAGTTCTGCTAATCTTCAACACTCCGTTCCTGAGAGTAGTACGCCCTTCTCCTATATCGACACCCCACAATTGGAAGATGAGAGCGGGAATGGCAAGGGCAAGGGACTTCATAGTGCCCATACAAATCATCAACAAGGGAACGGTAGAGCCATTGGATCATCCCAAGGGCCAAAAGGATACGACGGCACTGATGAACGTGAACCGGGGCCAGAGGGAAACCCCGAGCCAATGGAACAAAAGAGCAAAATGGGTTCTGTTAGGCAATTTTTCAGTTTCTCGACTTTGCGAAGAAAAATGAAGGACCCGGAGGCATCGAAGAGTGAGCCTAAAAGACCAAGAGTGAGCCAGATTGATGGACAGAACGATCGTGATTCAGATAGACCGACCGACGGCCCCTCCGATCCAGATCGTGTGGAATCAGAAGTACGCAAACGAGAAGATGCGAAGCGTGAACATGCAGAGTGGCTTGAAACCTTTGATCATTCTCAATTGGTTCTTCCGAATATCGATGAACCGGAGTGGATGAAAATACTCAGGCAAGGTCGAGGTAAGGTTCAACCTTGCAAGTTTAAACACCATCGCAACCGTGACCACGGCCACGGCAGTAACCATCGACACAACGAAGATCATAACGACGAAAATGATGATGACTATGAGTACTACGAATGCGGTCACCGCCGCAAACGCGATTCTTAAGAGGCTCGATCGAAGGGTTTGTATTCCTCCCGACAAGTATTGCTTTACCACATAGTACTGGCACTGACCCGTTAACACAGTTACAGATTTAGGTGCTATTCGACATGGACTGCCTACAGATTGATTGACTAATGAATTGCTTTTACGAGTTTTTAGCGATGGATACTTTTTTTCTATGATAGTGGAAGATAATTAACGTCGTGTAGTGGTTTGATGGGGAGGATCATTTGCGGGAGGAGTTGGAACAATGCATGTTTGAATTGTTGGGAACCTTGATATTCCTTATGTGTACACTATACACTATGAATGAACGTTAGAGCGTGCAATAGAACAAAGTAGTCCTTATCATCAATATTGTATTAAGAAGCCTAAGTTGAGATCATCTTGATTATCTAAGCCCACTGTACTCCCATGGATATACATATATCTTCCAAGTAGGTGTTGAATGTGTGGTATTTTCTTCACGATATTTATTATGAATGAGATCTCTTCGCGCGATGAATGACTTAAAGATTTCAAGATATCGAACATTCCTATTTTCTTTTAAACTTTAGGAACTTTGAAGATGCTAACATGCAGAAAAATATTCTCAACCTAAAAGATTCCAAATTGAAGCTTTTTTTTGATATCCAATATTATAAAAATGAAGAAAAAGAAAGCTAATCTGTAACGCCATTTTCCATACCATCCCAACTCCCACGATCCTCCCAGCTACAGCTCAAACAGTCGACAATTGAAGGCGAAAAGGAGGTGCCAATGTTCTTTTTTGTTTTCGTGAATTTCGGGGCGTGCTGAATTTAAGCACCACCCTCCCTCTTCGCATATTCATCCTCCATAGCTTCCAAATACCTCCTCTCAGCTTCTTCCCTTGACAATCTCCCAGGTTCGGAGCCCTGGCTACCACCGGCGGGATAGTGTTGAGTTTGGGTGGATGCTTGTCCACCGGCGGGCTGTTGGGTGCTGCTGACGGTGGTACCGGACGGGGTGGTGTGAACAGTGCGGGAGGAGGAACCCTGTGGGTTTGAGGAAGACTCGGTGGATTTATATTCGTAGTTGTATGTGACAGGCATTTTTGGAGATTTTGAGTGAAATTCTTTTTTTTTGAATTTTCTTAGATGAAAAGATTTAATTTTATACTCTTCGAAAAGGAGGTTTCAATTGAGAGGGGTTTTTTATACTAAGCTAGATGGGTTTAAAAAAAAACACCTTGAGGAGGGGGGCAATCGGGGCAGTTTTATAAAAAAGTCGGAAGCTATGTATTCTCCGTAGTTTGTACAATTGTCGACATCGACGGAAGAATCCCTGTCCCGGATGCATCGATGACGTCACGTTTTGAACACTCCAACACGCGATTGGAATAAACTATCATTAGTATTACTACTATTCAGGAGTTCTCCTCCTTTTTTTACTTTATAGTAAAATCGGAGAAGTTATTTATCATGATATCTAGTGGTGAATGTTCAAAATTAGCGCACAAGCAAATAACTATCGTAAGGTATCGTAGATGACACAAAAGGAGGGGTTTTTTGTTTGTGATCGGGAAATAGTAAAAGAAGGAAAGAAGGGGAAAAAACAAAAGATATTCCGCCAGCCGTAAAAAAATTATAAGGATTGTAGCGTGAACCGTGGTCGTGGTGCACAGTATTTATAGTTATCCTCTACTCGGAGATATCTCTAAATTAAAAAGAAGGTTTGTGTCGAGTTAGGAGGAGGAGGGTTACACAGGTACAAACATTAACATTAATATTTAGATGAGCTCTCTGCAGCAAGGCTGTTAGACTAGTAAGTACATACCAATGTAATGTACCTATATCGGTTTGCTGTAACCTAGTACTAGTATATATACTACTTAGTAGTAGTTAATAATAATTATGAAGGTAGCGCAAGTCGTGGCAAATGCGTGTCAGGGGTTTAAGAATAAAGGGAGGGTCATGTCAATCAGGCCTCGACGGTCACAATTGTAATATTTATCGGTCGACCCGCTGGATTGGATGCACGAATTCAAAAGTACAGTGAATTGGCCATGGCATATGCAACATACTGGCATGCAGATGTACACATGTACATAAACACATTTTGAGGTCATTCGAGAAGGTAACCAATCTGCCTAGATCTATAGATGTCTAAATTTAGAGGATTAGAGGTTGATATATCCGGATATCCGACTCTATCAGTGAGCACTACACCCATAAATATATTATTGGATTGTACAATACATAGTTACTTTCGTATAATGCTGTAACGAGAAAACAGAAACTGAAGATCCAAGAAGAGTAGTAAATGTAGTAAGAGTAAGAGTAGTAAGAGTAGTAAGAGTAAGCGTAGTACCGTAAATGTAGAAAGTAATATAAGAGAAGCACCCGAAGTCAATCAGGAAAGAGCCAAATGCGGTTAGCCTTGTTGCATTTTAACTGTCTACAACGCAAAACTGGAAATGTCTGATCCTGTAGAATTCCAAAATACAATAAACCTCATTTGGAAACCATCACCATTCACCATACGCCGTTCGCCGATCCATAGCATCCCACTTTAGACAGTGGTATAACCGTCTTTTTTCTTCTTCTGGTTCCGTTCAGCCATTTTAAAGACGAAGAAAGGGTTACAATTTAACTTGCAATGCCTGGGTCTGAATCGGGGGGGACATCTGACGTCCCACCCCTCGGCGGCGACAGGGAGGGCGTCCTGTCAAAGCCCTCCGCCTTCATCACCACGTCAGTTTCCTTTCTCGTCGCGCTCCCCTCCTCAGCTATGGGTCTCAGTCGGTGGCTGAACCCTTGGACCTTCTTTCAAAACCGCTCCGATCCCATCTATCACCATCACTATCACCACCACCATCAACATCATCACCACCATCATCAAAATCACAATCCTTCCCTCCCTTCAGCCTCCAAGGACCACAGCTGCCAGGATACATCTGTGATCCTCGGCAGGAGGCTCAGAAAACCTTATCCTGTAGCACCTGCAGCTACTGTACACCCACGACCTCCATCGGAAACTCCGAGGTCGTTTCCAGCCTATTGGCTTAATAGGATAGCCACAGCAATCTCCATCAACCGGCTACCGAATCCGTTAGCCTGGCTGCATTTGGTGTGGACAGGTGTAAGTACTTCTTCTATTTTTTACTCCTTCTCCTCATGCTCCTCCACCTCCTTCCCACCTTCCCTTTGATTTCTTTTTTCTTTCTTTTCTTTTTTCTTACTTGTCGATGTATTAACCTCCTTTTTGGTACTTCATGATTTTAGTTTACTAGAGTCCTACACCTACGAGAACATTCCAAAATGGAAAGTCACACAGGCGAGAGATTGGACAACTCTCGTCCTCAACCAATTGCCCACCATTTGATAACACCAACAACTTGCAGCTGCGGATCGGATATCAGCAATCCGTTCCACTCTGGCCCCTCCCAAGCATGGGGAGACCGTTTGGCTGCTGAACAGAAAAAGTTCAAGCTGCCAGAAGTCTGGGATCATTTCGAGGACAATGATCCCTACCTACCGGCCAAGAATGAATCAGATCACCGAAGGATGCTGGTGACCTTTGCTGAACACGTCTTGTCTCGAGCAAAATTCTTGGATTACGTTGGCGGTTCTTCTCAGGATAGGCTGGTAAGTTTTCCACTTCTTCATCTTTATTTTCTTATTTTTACTTAGATTTTTTGATTTTTTTTCATTGCTGTGCTATTCCACACTATTCCGTTCCATTCGATACACGTGAATTTTTGTAACTCTTTCACTCTTTGGTATTCTATTTATACTAATTGTATCGAGGTAATTTCACAGTACATGATCAATTCAATCACCGAGCCCCATCGCACTCTCCTCCTCAAGCTCGTGTCTGATACACATATCGTCTCCCCTCTTCGCAATCACTACGAATCAATGCATTTGGCTCCATGTTACTCAGCATCTGACATGGCCCGCGCCCTCTTCCACCACAAACATATCTTCACAAACTGCGAATGGTACATTCTCTGTGTTGATTGGTTCCAAAACTGGACCGGATACTCCATCTCTGACGCCTTGATCAAAGACGTTGGCAACGATGAATGGGAAAAACAGTGGGTTCTAGATATCGCGAGAATGGAGATGGAAGGTGATGAAGAGGGATTGAAGAATGTCCAGCCTAAGTTGAAAAGAGTATTCAGGGCATTTTCCTACTGGGAGGAAGGGTATGAATTTGCTTCCTTCAAGTGATGTCTCTATTCTCCTCTGCTTTGGCTTCCGCCTTCTTTCCATATTACCTTTTTTTCTCCTGCTACCCATCATTATTATCATCGTCATCGTTATCCCATCTTCTTTTTCCTCCTCCTCCCCCTCCTCCCACATTCCTCATCCACCTTTCTCTCTCTCTCTCTCTCTCTCACGCACACACACACTCTCTCTCCCTCCCTCCTCCTCTTCTCTCAACAAAGTAGCAGTACTATGAATACCTTGCGTTGTTTATTATGTGCCCCATTGCCATATATTTTGTCGGAAGGCGTTTTATAGGGGGATCGATTCATGCTTTTTAGATTTTTAGAGGCGCTTCTATGTTTTTTTCTCTTCTAAAGTGTGATGTCGATGGACTATAAACTTATGACTGTACTGTTTTATTTCTTATTCTCTATCCTTCTTCCTAACTCAACCTACTTGTTTCCCCCCCCCCCCTTATTATGATGACTGATGCTGGGCGTTCTACTTTCTTCGTGTTTTATGTCTTCAAATCGTCTAGGCCCTGGATTACTTACTTATCCTGCCTGCGTCCTTTCCGATTCTCTACCCGTTTTTTTTCTCTTTTCTCATTACTGTTTAAACATTACTACTACACTCATCCATATGCATAGCGCTGTAGTTATAACGTGCATGAACCCCATTTTGTATAGTAAAAAACTACATATGTGGGATAGCCTCGAAGTTAAGTAAAGGCTAGAGAACAATGATCACATAATTTTCTCTTTCTTTCTTTCTGTTTTTTCTTTCTGTTTTTTCTTTCTTTTTTTTCTTTCTCTTCCGAATGGAAAAAACAAAAGCTATAGGTGCTCTGATATCATCCAAGTAATCACAATGTCTCAAGTATCTAGTTTATACCGTATTCTTTGCTAAAAGCTATCGATGCTACAAAAAAGAAACAATCCAAAAAAAAGAACTTGCTCCACTCAGTTCAAAAGAAAAACGAAGCATACAGGAAGGCGAGGAGCGAGAAGACCTCTTTCTCTCCCCCTCTCCCTCCAGCCAAAGTCTTTACTCTACCTATCAGAAAAGCTCAGGAGGGCAGTAATGGTAATAGTAATAACACCTGATATCACATCCCTTCACTTTCTTCATATCCTAATATCCTAGAAGGGGGAATAAGAAGGAAAGAGGAGAGAAAACAAAAAAAACTAGCCCCCAAAAGCATACCTCAAAAACTCCTGGACGGCCTTCAAACTCTCATACCTGACTTCCGGATCACTATCGCCCATCAATTCCATAACCCTCGCTTTGACCATAACCCCATCCCACACCCTCCTCTTCTCAGGAACTTCCTTTACCAAAACACCCACATCGTGCGCCGCAACCGCCAGCACTAATTTCTCTTCACTCTCCCTCAACCACCTAGCGAGACATTGTACCAACTCGCCGTTATTTTCTTCCATAATCCTCCTAGCATTCTTCTTCCAAAAGTCCTGATTCCTGTGCGGCGGGGTCCAACTTAAATGACCGCTTCTGATCTCTGTGGCGTATTCGTCAAAGTTTGTTTGTGTCAGCTGGAAGGTTTCTAGAGCTGTTAAAGAGGTTTCTAGATCGGTTGTTAGATCCGGGTCTGTGAATTTTCGAGCTTTGAGGGTTGTTAGGAGCGGGAGGAGACGGGAGAGTAACAGCGAGGGAAGGTTTGAGGATGGTGCTTTGTTTATTAGGTTTGTGATTATTGCTAGGCAGACTCGTAGGATTTTTTCTTTGAGGGCGGAACGGAGGATGTGGACTAGTGGGGGGATCAGGTCGTATTTACTGTTATTTTACCGGGAATATTAGTCATGAAAACGTTTAAAATGTTATACATACCGACTCTGGTAAGTACTTGGATAGACTTGAAAGAAGGGGGTTGGGGAAGGGAGGGCATACTCATCCAGTTCCTCAGCAATCTCCTCTTCAAAGCTCAACTGCCAGATCGCCACAAGCACATGATAAAGTAACTGTAAATTCACACCACCCTGTTTTAAAGGCGCAGCAGCAGCAGGAACGCTACTACTACCAGTACTTAACAAAGGCACGGCAGAAGAAATCCCACTGGCGATATTAACTACTCCGACATCCGTAGTCCTGCTTCCTTTACTCCCCGCCGCAGCAGTTTCAATCACCTCCGTCAACCCCTTCATAGTTTCATCTCCCATTTCCCAGAATGTATTTCTTGAGTAAGAGTTCCGTAGGAGTAGGACGTAGCTTTGGACGGCTAGATCTTGAAGGTTTGATTCAGAAGAGGAGGAGATTGTGGCGAGGTATTTGAATAGAGTTGGTAACGCTTGTTTGGTCGGATTGTCGGTACGGGATTTGGAAAGTGAAGAGGAGATGAGGGTTGTTAGGAGGTAGGAGGAGATAATAGGAATCGGAGCGTCGGTATGGTCGAGAAGGGTCATGAGGTGGGAGTATGGGTCTGAATGGGAGGTTAAGGTGGTGACGAATGATGGAACATCTATATTAAACAAGCAAGTACATATCATTAGCCCATCCTAACCACTAGATACATACTGAAGTATCTACTACAGATTCACATCATATCGGCGGAAGTGTTCGTAGATATATGGAGATTAGAACATACCTTCACATATCTCAACCGCCAGTGCGAGCAGGTACTGTATAAACTCCACCCTCTTCGCACACCTCTCCAGCAATCCCGGCTGCTTCCCCTCCGAATCCCCAACAATCAACCTCCCATATTCACCCAAATCCCCCTCGACAATAGCTACACGTTTGTCCTTGGGTACTTTATCAACAGCTTTGATCAGCTTTAGCTCCTGCTCGTTGATGATGTGGGTGCGTTGGTATTGGTCCCAGAGGATCGGACGGGCGCGTATGCTCTGGATGAGCGAGACGACGATGGCGGGCGGTGGGAGCGACATCGCGGGCGGGATGAGAGGAAGGGAGTCGGGTTCCTCGATGATGGAGATATGTGGATGAATCCGAATGGTCGTTAATAGCGAGGACGTGGAGGGGGATGTTATGAGGTCAGTGGAGCTGCGTGGTTTGACCTGCCAAGACGGATGCCCTTGTCCTGGTCGTCAACCACCTGAAGGCCCTTTCTTACGTAAAATGGACATTACACTGGAGATGACTTCCATGACGACGACGACGACGACGACGACGACGACGATAATGTATATGCTAGTAGATACGAAAGAAAATATATCCTTAATAAGATCATGAATATCATAGGTACTTTTTGATCTAGCGAAGAAACCATTATAAAAAAAAGACATCAAACCCCGCTGAATCGCTTTCAAATGCCGTAAATACTTGCAAATACTACCCTGAATGAAATATATACTTTCCAAAGATCAATAAAACAAGAATAGGCAAAGAGTTCACAATAAACTCTCGTACGCATCGAGTCCAGACTTCCCCGCATTCTTTGCCGGCTGCATGGGCTGCATGGGCTGCATAGCTTGCATACCCATGCCCATGCCCATGCCACCCATACCCATACCCATTGAACTCGTAGGCTGCTGCTGCCCGAACCCTCCACCAAACGCCGGTCTCTGCGCCTGCTGCGGTTGTGCCTGCTGAACAGGCGCACTAGGTGGAGGCGCAATGCCCCATCCTGAGAACTCTGTCCGCTTCTGCGGTGGGGCTTGTTGCCTCGTCTGTCCGAACAATATCGTCGGATGCGACTCTTGTTTCTGCTGCGTAACCCCCCATCCGTTGTTACTACTCGCCGTGGAAGTCGCCGGTGGATTGCTAGGGAATGACGGTTTCTTCAAGGCCGAACTCCAATCTATGTTTCCTGCACTTTGTGATTGTTGCGGTACAGAAGGCCGTGCCGGTTGTATCGTCTGCATCGACGAGTTCGCATGACTGTTCTGCGCCGAGGTATTCCCAATAGCAAGATTTCCCATTCCAAGGCCTAGGCCGCCCATGACAGGACCAGAGCTATTCGAATTGGCAATACCAGGTCTCGACGGCTGTAGCGTTTGTGACATCCCCATAGACGAGGAACCAGGCTTGTTTGGTTGCAAAGTACCAAACCCAGATAGGCTTTGGTCTGGTGTAATCGAGTTCCTACTTGTCGGTGCTGGCGGCGGCGGCGAAAACGTAGATGGCGCTGGTGTAGACCATGAAAAGGCTGGAGCCTCTTTCTTTGGTGCAGATATCGGTTTGCTTGGTCCAGGAGATGTAACGGTAGCCGATGCCCAAGGGTCAGGAGATACACCCCGATCACTACCAACAGCAGACTTCTTCCCAAACACCAGTTCTTCAAAGTCTTCGGCCTCTACTGGTTTATGCGTGGCCCCATTCTTGGCCGCTCCATTTATTGGCCCTGCACCAAATTCCACCGCCGGAGAGTTTGCTTCCGCAGTCGCAGTACCAGCTAGCTTTCCCAGCTGCTCTTGTTCAACCTTATTTGACAACTGCTTAATCGTCGTCATGAATTGTTGGAACTGCCGGAGATTGAGAAGCGGCCCTAACGCCAGAGCCCACAACGAGGGGATAACTTCCGTCGCTAGAGTTGTTGTATCCACGAGTAATCCTATCTGCATGTAGAGATCCAGCGCCGCAATCTGTATTGCTCTGTTAGCATATATGTGGGGCATCCAAAAGTACCAGCATGTAAGGGCCTTACCATGACAGCCGGCTCCCTGGTTTTAATACCCTTGATCAACGGCACCACCTTCTCTTGCACAGTAAATCTATCCAAACATACTGAGCTGCCGTCGTTTCCTTTGATTTCCCCAGAAAGCCCATCGTCAGTACTTATACTGCCACCGCATAGCACCCTTAAAGCTTCAAAGCAGGCAATCTTGATGCCTAAACTCGAGGTCTTGGCAAATACAGTAGAGACAACAGGGAATATATCGGTTTTCACGTTGTTAAATGTGATATTTGGTAGTACTTGTCCAAGAGACTTCAGCGCAAGACCTTGTAAATGGGACGTAGGAGAGTCTAAAGCTAGAAGATAAAGGGGAACAATATCATCTCTGAATTCCGACATTGTACACTTCTCCCTAAGAACGGCAAGGCGTTCAACCATAACGGCTAGAGCTGCATCCCGCCCGTCACGCTCGGTACCCGGACGGGGAGCAGATGAAGATACTTCTGTCGCAGTATCTTTCTTCTTCCCCAAGTCAAATGTTGCCCGGAAGGCCGGTAGTACTTTCTCACCGATGAGACGGCTCCCAGCGGGTAATCCCTCGAGAAGAGTGAGTACGGCTGCGAGCGTCCAAGGTAAAAGCTCACCCTTGTCCTTCAACTCTTCGACCAACATTGGTAAGATTTTCCTCTGAGCAACACCTGTCGGGAACTGAGGTAGGACCTTGGGGAGCCCTCGCATAAATGCATTCTTCTCATTTGCAGATTTGGCGGGGAAGTTGTCCAGAAACCGGATAGTGGAGACAAGAATGTTGTCGAAATAACCCGCTTCCTGGAATTCCTTAGCCGTAAGGCGATTCACGGGCCGACGTGTGATCAGCCGGGGGAGAACGTCATCCACGAGCGCTTGTGGAATAGCCTTGCTGCAGAGGAAGTTATTGGATTGGTTAGGAATTGAAGAAGAAGCATTGAAGAGACGCCTGAAGTTCGTTGGTGAGTTATGAGCTTTGAGCGGGGACTCGTGGGGAGAATTGTAGATAGATATGATTAGTAGACCGAGGGAAAAGAGATCGAGAGCAGGAGTGACAGATGAGTCGAGGAGAAGGTCTGGAGAGCAAAAGTCGAGATTGAGCTGGACGGATGAGGGTAGGCGCTGGTCATGCTGGGAGGCGAGACTGACGAGGTCCACGGGGAATGGAGAAGGCGAAGGTGAGGGCGAAGAGGATGCAGTTGTAGTTTCACCCCGATGGGATGCTGAGAAGGCCAGACCCCCGATCTTCCAGTCAGACTTCGCATTGACAAAGATACCATCGGGGGTTAGATTGCCGTGGACGAGGCCGGCACTTTCGTGTAAGAATTCGAGGCCCTTGGCAAGCTGCAGTAGACCCTTTTGGATTTCGAGCTCGTCGATATCGACGTCCTGACGCCTCCTATGTCTAGCATCGCCAGTTTTGCTCTTATCGTCGAGAACGGATTGTAAGGAACCAACGACGACTTCGGTAATAAACATCAATCCAGATCGGGTTTCCTCGACAGGCTCGACGAGTTCCAGAATGTTTGGATGTCGCAATCTGGCCAGCAGGCCGACTTCCTTTTTTAGGCGGTCGATGACTTCATCCTGGGCAGCTTTAAGACCGTGATTTGATCTTAGGGAAGACTGCCCTGGAGCATTAAGAGAACTTCTTTCGAAGACGAAGGCGCTACACGCTTGACCGGTCGACTTTCTTTTGGCATCGTATATCTTCCAAGGGCCGGAATACGAGATTGGTTGTGGAGAGAGGGCGTATTGGGAGGAGAGGGATGCGGTGCTGAGCGACTTGATGGCGGCGTTGAATAGGCCCGCCATTTGGACGTCCTTCTGCGGCTACGAAACGGAATACCGCAACCGTGTCGACTCTTGACAGTAAGGAAAATTATTTTATTAGCAACGCTTGGTATGGCCCGTTTGTGGGTACTTCGTTCGCTCGTAAATAGTAATGTCGGTGGTGGTGATGGTGATGATGTTTGAGGGAGTTAGGTATAAGGCCAGGCTGTGATGTTGCATTACGCAGCCCTTCGGCCTTCACGGCGCTTCACTTTCACCACAACAATCACAATTGCAGCTGGATATACAACAGCCCTCAAACAGCCCTCAAACAGTTCTCAAGAATAGTACGAAGGCATGTACTCGTATCCTGAAGCATCGGGATAATACTGATTCTGAAATCATCTTCAGCTCGTGAGCAAGTCGGCCAGGTAGCATCAACATAACTTACTTACTAAGTACTTACATACTTAAGTACTTAACAAGTTGCATTGTTAAGGTCAATAAGATCATCATCTTCAATTCCAGCTAATCCAGCCCATGGCCCGGCCGGCTACGCGAAACACGTGCAGCTCGCTAGCTGCAGCATTATCCTTTGCCTGTACATAGAAACAAAAGGTTAATCAAAAGGGTAAGCTTGGCGTGGCATGTATGGCAGGTTAAAACATGGCCCGGAGTTCGCAGTTCCTCCCCTGCAGGTCTGCACGGATTCGTATATGCGAGATAACCATGGCTAATTGAGGAAGTACTGTACGTAGGTTAAGGCACGTCCACATCCAGGCCAGACTAGGAACTACCTTTACCACTATTCCATCTCATCGTGTAATAGTATATCCGCATAGCTCAGAAGGGCCCGCAGATAAGCGATTGATAATTAATAACCCGTTAACCCAAATAGATTGGATAAATGGGAAAAAGGAGGCATCTCCGTCACCGGAGCTCAACGGTCCTTTGAGGCAACTGGAATTCGAAAGCCAATTAAACACGACTTAGATCACCAACGGTCCCGTCATTGATGTCTGGTTGATGCCGTGGAGAGAGTGGAAACGGCTAGCTTCAAGGCCCGTTTGGAGCTTCGAACCGTCTGTTAGCTAGTGGGCTTAGAGTTATACGAAGTATAATTAATTAATGGCTAGCAACGGGTGATACAGACCTAGTTAAGTGATGAAATCAAGCGGGGATTGACCTTCGGCATAGCTCAGTATAGCAGTTAACTGGGCTAGCGATAGCGGTTGTGGTGGTTGGTTTAGCTAATTCGGAGTGTGCTCGAGCTAAATTATACACAGCAGGGTATTGGTATTGGTATTGGTATTGGTATTGGTATTGGTAATGGATGTGGTTGGTTGTGTTATATAATATCCGCATTGGCTCCCTCAACCTCAACCTCAACCTTAACTGTACCGATCCTCCAACTTCCCTCCACTCTACCTTATCACCACCGTCTTCCCGGAAACATCTTGAAATCATACCGGAATCATGATGCTCGCAAGGCGACTACGGTCGTCCACCATCCGATGGGCTGAACAATTGGCTCCCTTGGTCTCTCACAACCAGACTCAGACTCAGATTCAGACTCAGATTCAGACTCAGATTCAGGCTCAAAGACTATATAGCAGCAGCGCATCTCAGGATGACGGGCCCCACAAGCCCAAGGGCACTCCGGACATCGACCCCTCTGCCCTCACCATCGAAAGGACAACTGCTCCTAAACCTCTTCTTGACCATAAGGACCTAATCTTCGGTCGCAATTTCACTGGTAAATTACTATTTTTTTGGCTTCCTGAATACAAGCGAGAAAATGACCTAACGACGGGAAAAACTAGACCACATGCTGTCCATTGAATGGACTGCCCAAGACGGCTGGCTCCCTCCGCGCATAACTCCCTATCAAAACCTCTCCCTCGACCCATCCGCCTGTGTCTTCCACTATGCTTTCACCTGTTTCGAAGGCATGAAAGCCTACAAGGATTCCCAAAACCGTGTCCGTCTCTTCCGTCCGGATCGTAACATGTATCGCCTAAATCGTTCGTCCTCTCGTATAGCTCTTCCTACATTCGACGGCGATAAATTCACAGAATTAATCTCCAAATTCGTCGAATTGGAAGAAAGATTCATTCCTAAACAAAAGGGTTATTCCTTATACCTCCGTCCTACTATGATTGGTACCCAGAATACATTGGGAGTTGGTCCACCGGGCTCGGCTTTGTTATATGTAATCGCTAGTCCCGTTGGTCCCTATTATCCTACTGGGTTTAAGGCTATTACTTTGGAGGCTACTGAGTCCGCCGTGAGAGCTTGGCCTGGTGGCGTCGGTGACCGAAAACTCGGTGCCAATTATGCCCCCTGCATCGTTCCTCAGATAAACGCTGCCAAGCGAGGGTACTCACAAAACCTATGGTTATTCGGTGAAGAAGGATATGTCACCGAAGTTGGAACAATGAACATGTTTGTCGCTTGGGTGAACGAAGATGGTGTTAAGGAGCTTATCACGGCGCCATTAGATGGGACTATATTAGAAGGTGTGACTAGAGAGAGTATATTGGCCCTCGCTCGTGAGAAATTGGTGCCGGAAGGGTGGAAGGTCAGTGAGGAGAAATATACAATGGCACAGGTGAAGAAGGCTGCCCATGAAGGAAGATTATTGGAAGCCTTTGGTGCCGGTACTGCTGCTGTTGTTGCGCCTGTTAAAGCCATCACTTGGAGAGGAGAGGAAGTCAAGATTCCATTGTCGCCGGGTAAGGAAACCGGACCTCTGACTGAGAGTTTCTGGAGCTGGATGTTGGCTATTCAGTATGGTGACGTTGAGCATCCTTGGAGGTAAGCCTATTTCCGTCTTCCCCGCCCCTAATATCGAGTGTAGAATTTGAAGCTAACATTTTATATTCTTCAACCTAATAGCAAAATTATTTCCAAATAGAAACCTCGTAGTTGACAACCGATATGATATGATATGTACAATTTCTATGATATCTTCCCTTCATTCTGTAAAACAGTATTACCAAATTCCGATAGATCTATAGACTAGACCATCTACCCTTCCTCTCACTCCTAGTCCCCCCCTTCGCCTTGTGTCTACGAGAACCAATTGAGAGCCTGTCCCTACCAAAATATAAAATGAAAGTTCGTTCTCGTATAGACAAATATATAATATCCATATTGCAAAATGAAGGTGGCCTAAAACAAAAGAAAGAAGGAATGAAGGATATGAAGGAAAACAAAAACTCCCCCTCCCCCCTCCCCATGGCTATCAGAAATTTCATTTATATACAGAAAGAAGGACTTTGCCAACGGATTTACCCTCATATAAATAAGCGGCGTAAGAAAGATAAGAAGGATCATGACAATAAAACCCAAAATCCATGTAGAGCCTTGTAAAATATACAAAACATACCCAATAATTCAATTTGCTCTCCTGTACCTTCTTAGGAGGGCACCTCGAAAACAAAAAAAAAAAAAAAAACATCGGGATGTGTAAGTTTTAATCATGTCCAACCCTCTGGGCGAGAGCATCCCAATTCTCTACTATCCCCTCAACGGCATTGCTAACCTCAGGACCAACGTCCCAAGATGCCATTTCCTCAAATGTAGCCTGAACCCATCTCAAAAACCTCGTCTCTGCCCTTTCCTGCGGCATCTCATCTGTCGTAGTAGGAAGGTGAATACACTCCAATACTTCCCCTATAAACATCTCTCCAACCGTATTCCCATTGCCACCGTTGATCCCAGGCAAAATTCCACTGCTACTCATACTCTTACTCAATCCGATCAAACTGGTTGTGCTCCTATGATTCTCTCCCGAACCACCCCCGCCGCTACCACCAGAAGGCCCGCTAATAGACCAGTTCCTGCCAGGATGCCCACCATCAAGACTCCCCACAAGCACATTGCCCCCGATTCTTTCTTCAATAACCGAATCCCCATCCCCACCTCTCTGCACCATCCCTCCCATGCTGAAGAAGTTCACTCTGACAATAATTTCCCAAATAACCATGCAAGCTCTAAAGGCCAATGCCACAATCGCGGGGAACTCGGTACGACTTTCATCATACGTTCTGTTCTCCAAAAACCTCATGATAGCAAGAAGATGTGGTGACAGCTTAGATATAACACCTTCAAGGGTACTAAGATCCATTTCTTCGTCTCTTTCCAGACGGGTGCGAGTTTCCGCCACTATCATGTTTAGACATCCTTGCATATCTATCGGGACATCGCCAGAGAGGACTAGCCTATCCGGAACAACCAGGAAGACATGTGACAAATGCCAAAATATGTAGAAACATTTAGTGCAGCCGCTTAAATTTGCCACTGAGTTCGGGGTAGGATCGGATAACGCCTGTGAGCGATTCGATTCCGGTGAATAAGCATTTAATGGCTGATAAGGCGACGAAACTCCAATATGTCGTTCGAAGAAATCATCTCGTTGAGTAGATAGAGTTCGTAAGGTAGACATTGCTCTATCCAATCTTTCCACGTCTTCTTGTCTTTCTGGTGGCATGAAGACGATGATTCGGGGTCTTCCATCGTCGTAGACTTCATCTTCTTCTACTGCTACCTTTTGTGAGATCTTGGTGATTTCGATAAGGACGGCTACCACGAGAATGTAACAGCTGAAGTCGTTGAGTTCTTGGGTTACGGCATTGATGTTGCCTTTTAATATTCCTCGAAGGGTTTTGAGGAACATTATGGGAACGGGTTCGTAGACCCGAACTCGACGGGTGAAGTCCCATTCTTCTGGGGTGGAGGCGTTGAAGATATCCTCATCGCAAGGGAGGGAGAGGTTGCGCAATTCCGTCGGCCGGAGGAGTGGTGGAATGTTAAAGAGTAAGGAAAGGTGACAGTCGAGGAGGTATAAGCAGAAGGCGGCTCTGTATATATACACAAGATTAGATTTTGATTCGCCTTTGAAAGGACTTTTGATATTTAGATAAAAAGGACATACCGCTTGCGAGATTCCTTCTCAACAAATATTTCCCACTCTTGGCGAAGGTAGCCTTTGGGGTCTTCCTGTTTATTGATGGTGGGGACCATGCTGATATCGTCTTGGAAATATCCATATTCTCGAGCAATCTATTTGAATTAGCACTCTTCAATTCTTCATCAACTCCCAGCAAAAGGATACCATGGAATTGAGGATAAGAAACATACTTCGACACATCTAGCATGTATCCTTCTCCCCTTCTTATGCCACTCCCTCTCCCTGCTAAAAACTCCAAAACATTCAAACAATAAGAACGCCTGCATAACGCACAGTCTCCGTTCTCTTGTCCGTCGACTAGCCATCTTTTTTGACTCAGCCTCAACTGTTAAAGTTCCACCCATCTCCGCCTCCTCTCTCATTCGTTCAATTTCTTGGTCTTCCTTTTTAATCTTGTAAAGACTGTTATCCGAGTCTTCTTCTTCGGTATCTTCGTCGTCACCAATTCCCCATTCTACCCATCTTTCCATGACTTTCCAGCCGGATTCCCATAATTGGCGGCCGAGGGTTTGATCAGTTGGATCATATAGACCGCCGATACAGCAAATTGCACGGAGGAAGGAGGCGAGAACTGTGTCGGTTTTGAAGGTAGGCTTGTGAAGGAGCGGTAAATGGGAGTGAAACGAGGTTGAAGGTGGGTTGAAGTAGTAGTCTGCATAGTGCGAGAGGAGTTCTTGTGGTAATCTTGATTTCACATTATGTCAGTGAACTGTGGCCGCATATATGCATACAACGTGGTAATCAATGGCACTCACATAGGATAGTCAGTGTAGTACTTCTTCAGACCTTTGACTTGCTGACGAGGGAGCTGTTTTATATCAATATCAGCACGGCGCTCCGAGTTATATAAGACAATTCCAAAACGGAAATACTCACATCCTCGGCAACATAGACTTTCCTCCCAAAATCCGATGTCAAGTTCATCATATCCCCATCACTAGCTTTCCTTTCTCTCCTGCCTCCCTCGATTTCACTATCACTTTCACTCTCTTCTTCGCTAGACGGTTCTTTTGGTTGTTTCTTTGGAGGTTTAACGTGCTCTTGAACCTGTGTAAACCGTGGATCTTGCCAATTGATCCCACCCTCGGGCATTATTCCAGCGAAACCACCAGCGCCATGCCAGGAGAAGCGGTGGTTCATGCTGGCGGACCCGCGCCGTTGACGGGGTTGGTGGCTGATGATTGAGTGTTTTTGCTTCTTGTGCTTGACGACATTGTCTCTATGGATGAAAGCATTAATTGGTTTTCTTTCTATCTCATTTTGACTTTCGTTAATCTATGACAGAGACGTACTCTCTTTTGCAGACTTTACCGCAAATATCGCAGGCGAAGCGCTTGTTATCGTGTTCTTGGTGGGGGTAATGTCCTATATCCATGAATTTTATATTAATATCATTCTTATAACCATCACTTCAGAATCCAATTAGAAAAGAGAACAGGCATACTTGTTTTAATATGTCGATTCAAATTTGCCTGAATAAGACCCTTTATGTTAGTAGGTCGTTCTTAAAATTGAATCTTATATATATATAAGGATATATAAGTGCAGGATTGACATACCCTGCTGCTGACCCTATCGCCGCATATTTCACATGGAAAGGGCTTCTTCTTCGCCCATTCGATCTCATCTGCCTCCGTCCAAGTTCCCTCACGACGATACTTCTCGACTTTGTCAAGCTGAATGTTGTAATCGCGACCCATGGTTCCCATGCCGCGATTGGCCATGGACGCCATATCTGGCGGCGGCATCATGGTTGCAGTGATCTGGCTCATGGTTGCCACGTGGAGGTATTAAGACCCAGCTGGGGTGGTGGTGCAGGTCTCTGAAAGGCGGCCTTTAGGAGGCGCTCTGTGATTTCGCGAACTCTGACTTTGGAACGATCAGAGTTCCGACTCGCGAAAAAAAAAGTGTACCTGGAAGCTTTTTTTTCTAGAGATTATACTTTTTTGCAAGCGCGCGAGAACTCTATAAAGTTTTAAAATGGGTATATTAGTCAAGAACACGAAAACTATTCTTTTTTTTTGGAAATGAAAATGTTAAGTTTCGAGAAATAAAGTCAACTAACTTGACAAAAAAAAAAAAAGGAAAATAGATGATTGGATAGGTCACAGAAATGGCGATGGCCGGCCTGCCGGCTGCCTGCGCAGGATATTGACTCGGATTTGTCTCCTGGCCCAGACGCTGCACGGAGCCCCTTCTGGAGCTTACTTGTGGACAAGGTCTAGGCCTTGAGGAAAAGATCCGTAAAGACAGAAGTAACCAAGGACCGGCCACGGCGAGAACTGATATGGTTTAGTACGGAACAATACCAAGGGCAATTTAAAACGAAACCTCGTCGGACCCGGGTCTTGAACCGTAGAATTTCATGACTTTTTTTTAAAAAAAAGGAAGAATACTAACAAGTTAATCAACTGTCACCCGGGAAGAAATGATAACGGGACCCCGAAGTACGTATGTATGTTTTCGAAAGTGGGATTAAGGGAAAGAGATGGCGATGCAATGAGGGGCAAAAGAAGAAAGGCCTTAAGGACGAAAGCAACTTTGACAGCTGCCTGTTAGTCTAGTTAGCTAGGATTTCGATTTCGTCTGAAAAGAGACACTTGTTTCAATTGAATTCCAACGTTACGTTACGTTACGGCGGGGGCCTTTTTGGGCATGAGGAAATTAACAAAAAAGATGAGATGGCGGGAGGAAAAAAGGGTCTAAGGAAAGACAAAGCGCAAGGAGCACGCTAATTTGGTAGGATATTGATGATGGAATTAACAGCCTACCCGGCAGGAACGTCTCCTCTGTGTCGTAGAGTATACTGGACTAGTAGGTAAGTGGGAATGTCTTGTCTTTCGATGATGTTGATGCGGTTGAAGGTTCGGAGGAGCTCCTCCCCGCTTGGGACGCTATTTCTAGTCCCGCGCAGCTGCTGTTTCGCTATCGATAAGCGAACCCCCCAAAATGCAAAACACCCGCCTATATTGAACTGGAATTGATGGAAAAACTCGGGATCAAGGGGGGGGAAGTGCAATTTGGCAGTGGTGATACAGCACCGATCAGACATGTACGCATTCGTTTAACATGTATGTGATGTATGTGCGTACACACCTCTTACATGCAGGGCTGGAGGAGGAAAAGCAGGAGGAGGAAGAGGAGGATCTAGAGCGAAGAGCTCATGGAGAGGAGGAAGAGTATGTACTTACTTGCTTACCTACTGACTTACTTACTTACTTAGCTATGTACGTTAAGTGGAAGTATATATTACTCGAGAAGTAGCGCTGTGAAGAATGCCGATGTGATATGATGCCGTAATCCTCACTGGCTCGACTGCTGTAGACCTTATTTAAGCAATGGCATATCCCCGGATCGATAAATATCCCCCTGGCATGCGTCTGCAGAATTCAAATACTATACTCAGCTCAGTTAACAGTTGCAGCTGTTAAAATCTAATACTTTAATTTTCAGATCTAAGACGTATACTACTCGACTTCGAAATTCCTTCCGGATTAATTAGAATCGTTAAACGTTCGAACGTCAACGTTCGCAGGCCACTGCAGAAAACCGTTGGAACTCACACCAGGATTCGGATCCGGATCCAGATTCAGCTTCAACGTTATCTCTCTTTTTTTAACAATACAGCCGCCGCCCCCGCGTTATTTTCCAAATATAAAATTGCCGTTATACTATATACACCATGGTACCATACATACATACTTACAGACTTAAGTTACTTGCTTACGTTTACGTGCTATACTCCATATAAGATCGTTCTCCTTTCCGTTCTCACTTCGCCTCAAAATCTTCGAAAAGGGGAAAACCGGAACCCGAAGGCCTGAAGGAGTGGGAGAAATAGGAAACGACATGCGTGCACCTCTTTTCGTCCTCTTAGCTTCTCCGCACTCTTAGCCTCGATTGCTGTTGATGCGGGTAGGAGGGGCGGGAACAGGCCATTCGCATCTCATTCTCTGAGCGCCTTGCGCATGCATGGCTCTGGGGGAGTTTTCTTCTCTCAATCGAAATCAACCACTCGAAGTTCCGGGCAGGTAGAAGAAAGACCAGACCGTCTAGCTAAGCCTAACTGGCTGCAGCTGATGTCGGCCCCTCCCATTATCTTCGGACCTTCACGGGTCACGGACAAGCTCGGTTCCACCTTTTTTTTTGACATTCATATCATGCAAATATCGCACGAGATAATCTCGAAGAGAGAAAAGAAAAAAGCCCTTGCTTTCCCGCGCGATTCAAAAAAAATATCATCTGCATACTTCTGACACGGAAGAAAGGGGATTCGGTCTTCGGCACCGGTGCACACCCAATCCACACATCGATGCATCCATCTTCAATTCATATGATCAATTACATCACACTCATGCTCAAAGAAATTAGAACCTTTAGGGACCCTCCCTTCTGACCCTATACCAATGTTGTTACTATTCTCGCACATCCATACCTAAGCTTGAAATTTTGTTTTTTCAAACGGGAGCTGAATTAATTCAAAAGCTGAAGCTTTATTTGCTTGCTTGCTCGCCTGAGGAAGCCTGCATACCTGCAGATGCCCGTATGTACTCGCCAGAAACGGGTAGCCACAGACTAGGAACATAGACCAGCCTCATGCTTCAATGCCTCATGCTCATGCTCGCACATAGTACAACATTACAGAGTACGGTCACTTGCACACCCATGGCTACGATCTTACCTTAACCCTCGCGAGAATTATCCCTGGACCATCTCGGTTTCATGCGGTCTCATGCGATCCATCAATCAAGAATGTTAAACCGACTGCCACATCTCAAGCAAAAAACCCCTCGGGTATCGAAAAATCAGGTTATCAAGGGTTGATGGGTTCGATTCGAAAATTGGGGGAGACGAAAGCATGTGGGGCGGGAATAGTGGATTACGACACAGAATCGCGAGAGGGGGAAAACGATTCGACAGGCCTCGAGGCTATCACTAATACAGCGAGACGAATATTCGAAATTGGAATTATACTTATGGGAATAAGCCAAAAACAAAAAAAAAATCGTATCATGTACCCCGGAAAATACACATACAGGAATTGTTTGACAAATTGTTGAGCCTCTGCGAGTTTATCGAATCAAAACCTCCTCAACTCCTCCTCGCTTTCTCGTGTCGAGAGCCGTTCGGGATATGTGCGCCTCCAGGGACTCGGGTTATCAATGTCCATGCTTTGGGGGTCTCGACTCTGATTAGCTTCCCCTCAAATATCCAAGAAAGAGGGTCCTTTTCAGGCTCAAGACTAAATACACACATACATTAGATTCGGCCCACACTCTCCGGCAAATACCTGTTCGCTAATTCTGCCGGATAAACTTTCAGCACGAAAAAACGCCCCCGTATTGTACAAAATGTACTAGCCTCCGTATACGCATCTATTCCTATTGATTAGGGGCAAGGGCGATGGCTTTCCGTGGGCACGGTCTCTCCATTTGCATACTAAACAAGGGAAAGACCGGCCAAATAAACATGACGAAGAGGGACCAGAACTAGAAGGCGAGAGATGAGGTTCGGGTATCTGATCGGCCCGCAGAAAAGGCCGGCGAGGACATGAGGCTCCATTCCGTACGTCTGTGACCTGAGCGGAAGACCTTTCTTTGCCGGCTACAAGGGGGAAATGGTAATTCTACTAGTGGCGAGGCCAAAAGAAAGGAAAGGTACATATATTCGTATATCGACATTGTATTACAATGGGGAAACCATTCCTTGTGAAAGCTAGTCAAACCGGTAAGTGAGTGTTTCCGACTTATCACGAAAGAGATCAAGACCCTGCCCTAGGACATTTTCTCGAAATCGGCTTTCATAATCGGAGATCTAATTAGAAGGTTACATACATACCTCCTTCAAAGAGTTAAGATATCTAATCGCTTCCGATCCTGGGAGAAACAATTCAAATGCACGGACAGGAAGTATCTATGCTATGTCTTTTTTTTTCGTTTCTTTTTTCTTCTTTTTCTATTTCTTCCCTGAGATGAAAATTATGTTATCGTGGTGCAAAGGCAGTCGGTTCACGTGGTCATAAACGCCATGTCTTTGCCATCATTTCTCCCTCCTCCCCTCTCGCAGGTGCAGGTCTTTGTGGGGTCGGTGTCTCAATTAACGTCGACAAGTTAAAAAGTCCTAGTTAACGAGCAGCCTTAATACATAGGTAGTATATAGTAGCCCTCCAGCTACATTACATGCTGAGCTATGTATATTCGTTCTCGCTCCTTCGGTCCACCTAAGATCGGTACCTTTTGCTGCGCCTTTGGTAATATACAGGAAAGGGAACATTTGTCTGGGAGCGAGATGTCTTGGAGAGTTTCCAGTAGCCCCGCAAGTCTCCCAGATTCGGGGCTAGATGGTCAAGGGACATGAAGGAGGGGAACATCTGATTTGACAATTGGCGAGTGCAGGCGTTCTTTTCTGTAGCCCTCGACGCCCACCAACCTTATACCTGCTCAACCCTTGTCAAGACGTCTGGATGGCGCGGTCTAATATAATGTTAATGTTCCTCTACTGTCTTGAATATATCCCTCTCGACTCCTTGCTTTTGGGACACCCCTGGCCGGCACGGTACAGACACACATACATACACATACGAACATATGTACATTTGCCTGCGCAACTGCATGACTGTCTGAGAGGTCGACTCTCTTTGGTCCTTGGAGATAGCAAAAAAGATATCGAATCAGAGAAGTCGCTTTTCCAGAGCTTAATCTCTCTCTCTCTGTCATTTCCCCAGCCATTTCAGCTCGCTCCACTTTGACCTCGTCGAGTCGATAGCTAGCCACCCGCAACGCACCTACATACATCCATCCGTACAATCCATACGATCCGTACATACTCACACACATACATCTATACTGTGCAAGTAGGTAAGTTGTTTCTGGGTTCTTCGCAGTGCAGTGTAGTGTCACTTGCTTGACAAGGCCAGGCCGTCTTTTCCTCCTCTTCCTACTCCTCCTCTTCTTCCTCCCCTAGAAAACCTCCTCCTCCCTTTTCGAGTGTTCGAAGTCCCCATTTCCCCGTAGACCTTGTCCCCTCTCTTTCTCCCTCTCGAGACGAGAGCTTTGACGGGCTACACATAGCACATCTATTACGTTGATATTGGGGACTGTTTCTGGTTTCTCAGGCCGAGGCGGTTACAACTTGGCTTTTTCCAACAGCCGCCATTCCGATATCAGTTGGATTTTCTTCCCTCGATCGAGCCACTCACACAAAGACCTTTTTCTTCCCTTGCAGCTTGACTCTTATTCCTTTGCCCTTTAGATTTGTACTATTGTTGTATCTTCACCGAAAGGTTACAAGGCGAGACAAGACAGGGAAAAGAAGAATCGTCCTTTGCCCCGAACACTACAGCAGAAATTTCGAAGATTTGCCCCAAACGGCTTCCCGTTTTTTTATTTTATTTTTTATAGATAAAACTATATACTTCCTCGACGGTATATACTCAGGTACTTACTCAAGTACTTATAAACCGCTGCTTCTGATCTCCCCATCCGAACCTCGACTTCTGATTCGGCGAGACCGGCGATAATCGCCCCACTTTTTCGGCCAGCAGAAACCACCCCCCCAATTCGTTCTGAGATATATTTCGGCTCAGCGTCGTATTCGACATATTTTATAATACCGACAAGCCACCCACTCATAGCCCATTTATTTTTATTTTATTTTTATTTTTTATCTTTTTTATCTTTCCATATATTTTTATCTTTGTCTTTTTATATCGTTATTATTTTTATTTCTTATTGTTTCGTCAACATCTGACCGGCTAACCTTTTCTTATAAAACAACCGTCAGGCTGGGCGGGCAGGCAAATCAAATAAATAAAAAGAAAGAAAGAAAGAACGAACGAACGAAAGAGAGACTTTAAAACCCGCTCGCTTTCCTTCGTCCTCTCTCCGCAAAAAGGCAATTCTAGCGAGGACCCAAGGAGAGAACAGGCCACATCCTCGGGCAAAGCTGCGAGAAATCGAGACTTTGCATTCGTTTTGATTGTGGTAGACGACCCTGAAAGAAAAAGCAGGGAAAACTATTAAAAATCCAATCACAATTGTACAATTCGTACTGGTTGAAGCCTTATATTCTCCATCCCCATACATATTATACTTATACATATCCCCAATCATATATACAGCGGCATTCACCTCCCGAGACACCGCCCGCAGTTATATCTCGTCTCTCCTTCTCTCTTGTTCCCCTTTCGACTGCGTTTTCGATTTCTCTCCGCCTCTCCACGCTGTCGCTTGTAGCCCCTCGGACTCGAACGCAGGTGAAACTGAAACCGCAACCTGTGCTTTTCTGCGGTGGGTTTGCATCTGCCTTACACTGTTTCTAAGTTCTTGCCTGCACCCTCTCACGCCAGCTATTTCCCTATCTGCCATCTTTCATCTTTTTCCAGTCGGATTCTTTGCTCGCTGGCCCCGAGACCTATCGCTGCGGTTTGTCCAGTCACATCCCGAGTACTTTTGTCTCTCAACTTGTCGTAATCATCCTTACCCGGACGGACGGACGGATCCGAACTCTGAAGCACAGTCGCACAGCTCTCTGGCTCTCTGCACGTCATCGTCGGTCTAGCTTTGCAGCTTATAAGACTGCCGTCGGGTTGCCACGATTTCATTATTTATTTACTTGATATCCTTCCCGAAAAGATTTCCCGCGACCCTTGCGACTTGGAATATAAATAGTTACATCTGATTTTACGACATTCTACTCTTCGACATCAAAGGGAACTTGGTTTTTTTTTTCAAACAAAAAGGGGGGGCACCGACAAAAAGCATCGACTTTCGCGAGACCTTCGTTTACTTTTCATCCTTTTTTTTTTCTTTAAAACTTCGTTTTCCTTACTCTTGTTCCTTTCCCCGGAACATCTGACCCGGACGACAAATGGCGACAAACCCGAACCTAATGCGGGCGAGCAGTCAAGGTTCGACTGGGTCAGCAATCCCTCAGAGCTTAGGTGGTGGAATGCAACAAAGACGGTACTCGCGATATTCTAAAAAGCAGGAGCGACCGTATCCCAAAGGCGACATCACCGTCGATATACAACGAAGGGCACAGGAATTACTGTACGTGTTTTGACTTGTGATAACTTCGGTTCAAGAGTTTCGATAGCTAGAGAAAGAAAGAGAAAAAAAACCGCTCATACAACTGTTACCCTCGGTAAACTGATATGCTAACTGTGGGGCCTTTCACGAAAATTGTAGGCGAGAAGCGGCGCAGAGATATGAAGGCTTCAATGCGGGAAATCTCGAGATAATAGCCGTTTCCTTCGAACACAAGACATTCCAGGAATCCGCAAACAGCACTGACTACATCAAAAAAATAAAGCACAAGCTCACGGAATGGCACTACCAAGATACTGCAAACCCACCCCCTGCTCCCCTCAAAGATGCAAAGTCCTCTCCCGGTGCTCCAAAGAAAGGATCGGATTCATCGAGCGGTCCCGTGAAGATTACGAATCAGAGACCACCTTCACGGGAGAAGTCGAAACAACAGCAAGGCCAGCAGCAGCCGCAATCGGTTCTCAACTCGGCTTTCAAATCTGGTGGCTCGCCGAGTATGGCAAATGCGACACAGCCAGCCGCCGGCTCTCCAAATTTCAACTTCGCACCGGCTAGCCCTGGTGGCGGTGCCAATAATCAACCTACTACTCCCCCTTTCGCACCGTTTTCTCCAACTATCAGTCCGTCCGGGGAGTTCGTCGGTCTTACCCATGCTTCTCTTCTGGACTCGTTGGATCTAAATGATCCCAATATTCGGCAACAATGGATCAATGCCCTTCGGGACAGCATATTCGCCGACATCAGAGAGAGTATTTACGCCGAAGTTTACACAACGCTCGGGCCAAACTCTGGTTCCGGAATGCCACCTCTATTGAACAGCCCAACCCGGAACGGCGGTATGGATTTCTCCATGATGGAGGTCGACCATAACCAGCACAATCATGCCAGTAACGGCTCCGGACAGGCTAATGGTAACGCGAATGGCGGATACGGAATGGATGGACATACGAGCTGGTATACAAGTTTTACTCCGCACCCCGCCGCAGTGGGGAATCCCTCGGCTGGCGGTGGATTATATCAACCAATTGGGACAGATGCGCAGTCATTTAATCAACATATGGTTGGGAATTGGTACAATCACCAATAAAGCTCCTATCTTTTTGCAACCTTCCGGGCGGAAGTTTGCTGATTACCACCTCGATATTGATTTATCTAGGTATTCTACGTCTTAGCTTAAAACACCAACGATATATTACACTTCTTGACTGCCTTTGTTAGAAGTATGCATTCATGCACAAATTCCCAAACGCCATACTATCCCACCATATTCGAATGCTGCCAGCATACCCTCTTTTTTATATACTTTTTTTTTTTATTCAAACGGGGCCAGTTTATGGGGAAACAGCGACACATCACCCCCCTCAAGATACCCCGGATTTTCGTCCCCATATAATATAGCTACGCAGCGGTCCGAGGCGCGCGTGTACATACAACAACATTTCTCTTTTATATTCCTATATTTTCTCAGGGCGTTGGAGGAAATCTGAATACTTTTTTTCCCGCGATATTTCACTAATATCTTTTCCTTTTTTTTTTGCTGGTTTGATTTGCGCTGCAAGGTATCATTGCTTTGAGTTTTTTTTTGAAATTTTTTTATCCGTCTTAACAATAACTTTCCCTCCCATTCCATGTAATAGGTTGCGACGAATATCACGAAGGATATGGTTATCTGTCCTCACGGGTTTTCTTTACTTTTTATGAGTTTATTTTACTTTATTTCGATCCCAGTTCTTCAAGGCAATACTTCCATACTTTTCTTTTTGGCCTCTCGTTCCGAACTTCGACGTTGACTCTTTTTTCTTCTTTCGATTTCATTCTTCTTTTACTTCCCTCTTTGTTTTTCTATTTTCATTTTCCTATTTCCTTGACGTCGGTGAATTTTTGGTAGGCGTAACCTTTTTTGAAACCGTTCTTCTTTCATATTTCTTCTGGTCTTTCTTTTTAAAGATGTATACCTTAAATGTGGGTTTTTACCGAAGGAAAGGATTAGGATTTAGGCTTCTGCTGGTTCCTGTGCATGTTCGATTAGTGGGGACGATGGAAGATAGGAAAGCTTTCCAACTGGATACCGGATCATTCCAGATGGATGAAACTAAGCAAGTACAGTACACTAAGTAAATTTAAATTAAGAGTACCAAAAAGAAGAGGATATCAGATCCTATCGTATCATGTCATATCGTACATACATGCTTCAAGTTTGAAGCACCTACATGCCATATATCTGCCCGGCGAGACGATACATGCATACCTGCAGAGCACATGATAATCGATAATTGCCTCTGCTATCCATCTGATACCAATCCCTCCCTTCCATTCTGCCATCCGATAGGCGGTCTACGTGGACCCCGAAAAAGCCACCCCATCGACTCACCCTCATTCGAATTCGGCTTCTGCATTTCGTATTTCAAGTTCTGTGCGGGCAGGGCGCATTCGATTGGCTGCCAGGAAAGGAGGAGGTTGGTCCAACGAACGGAAACGACAACAATCCACCAAGCCAAAACAATCAGGCAGGCGAGCAAGGGCCTGGCCCAAACATCCCGGGCCCAGCTGGTCTGGTCTGCGGTGGTCTTCCCATTCCTTCCCCTTCCAACATCACCCGTTGAACAAACCTCTCCTCTCACACTCTTTATTTGGAACCGAGAATTTTGTCAACAAGTCATCAGCGGGAGTTAAGTAGCAGCCAGCAGTGTAGCAATTGAAGCTTCATTCGTAGCTTTGGCTTCTGTCTTTTCCGAATCTTTATTTTTATTTTATTTCACTTTTCTCGGATTCCTTTTTTCTAAATTTCTCCTTTTCACACAGCGTGTTTTGGGGGTCTTTTTCTTCGTCTTGTTTACGCGACCAAAGTTAACGACCGAAAAGCAAGGGCGGGACCATTTCAATCAGGCAGAATTTCAATCCATCACGGGATACATTCAGGCCTTCGATTAGTTGGTATTCTTTGTGCTACGTGGGAGTAGCACCATAGAAGAATCATTCCTTCCCAGATGTCCCTCCAAGCGTACCATTCACGTATGCCTTCTTACGCAGAGTATGTATTCCTTCAACCCCCATTCGTCGTTATTCTTGTAGTTATCGTCGTTATGTTAGTCATTGCTTTCTTGACCAAACCCGTCTAACATTTATCTCTTCTCTTTTATTCATTCATCCATTCAGCATCCTTAACTCGGATGTCTTCAACTTCCTCATCGGTCCATCCCGGACCCGGTTTGGCATTCACAAATGCCTCCTAGCCGCCCATTCCGATGTCCTTAAGCGCATACTCGACAGCCATATGCGCGAAGTAACGGCCAATGAGATGGTCCTTGAAGAAGTCGAGGAAGACTGCTTCGCTTGTTTCTCGGAGTATCTCTACACGGGCAAATACCCTGTACCTCGTCCTCGAGAACTCTATCCGGGCAATTTAGGAAAGGGGCTAGCCGGTCTTGTTGGTGGAATGAGCGGAGACATGAGCGACTCCGAATCCTACAGAAAGAAGTCTGCTGCCGCCGCCGCGGCCACTACTACAACAAAGAAGAAGCAGAGCCGTGGGTTCGCTGGATTTGGAGGTGGTGGTGAACTTTCCCCCGTTCGTCCGGGTAGTCCCGCGGGTCCTGGCGGGAGTCCGTATAAATCTACAACTCATGACTTTACAAATGTCTTCATTACCCTCGCGGGTCTCTACGTTCTCGCTGAGAAGTACAATATTCAATACCTCAAACACCTGGCTCTGAGCGATTTGAGCAACCAGCTAAAGTATAGCTTTGAGCTTATCCCGACACGGAGAGGGGATATTGTTGAGTTGATACGGTACACGTATAATAACACGTACGAACCAAAACAAGATCCAAGGGCAAAGGAGTCAAAGGAGGAAGGATTGAGGAGCCTCGTCAGCAACTATGCTGCACTCAATCTCAACGGATTGAGGGCCAGGAGAGGGCTGGGACTTGGAAGCACAAATGGAGCACCACCACCGGATGAAGAAGGGGACTATGGTGGTTTCGATGAATTGATCGCAGATGGCGGAGACTTTATTAAGGATCTCGTCAGGAAAGTTGCGATCGATGAAGATGAAAATAGAAGGTATGGAAATAGTTTGTTGGATATTCCGGCATACTTTGAGGGACCATACGGTGGCGGTGCTGGTTATGACAGAGCAATGATGTATGGAGGATTCGTGTCGAGGATGGACGACAAAGTCGGTAGCGACAGTGGATGGCCATTCTGACAATTAAGGTCCTCGGCTATCGCGGAGTATAGTCGGTATCTGGGGAGTGGGGATCCCAATGGAAGGGGGATTGATGAGGACGATGAATTCGTTATCGAGGAAGGTTCGTGACAATTTTCGGGAGAGGGAAGGCGAAGACATCCTCGACAGCGATCCACGTATGTGACACGGCGTTCCCGGTCCCAGACACCATCAACATCACTCAACGGTGACAAAGGGAGTTTAGGTCTTGAAAAAGTTTGGTTATGGGCAGTTGTAGCAGTTGCTTTTTGGACCAGTTGAGCGGAAGCGATTTCGGCGTTTTTTATCAAGACACTTTACCTCTTTCTTCGACTATTTATTATCGCGCGACACAAACAAATGTTGGAAATGCATTCATATGGACGATGATGGTTTCCTTGATTATCTTATTCAGCAGGCGATGTCTTTATGTTTTTTTGCGCCCCCTTTGAAGGCTTTCCTCTCTCCCCCCTCTCTGCCTTGGTCTTTGAGGGCAAATGATTTTTCTTTGAAATGCTATTACCATATAGCATTTATCTTAATTGGTACATATACACCCGGCGGAAACCACCATGCAATGTCCTTTTTGATCGATCTGAACGTCTTTCTTTTTTACCATCATTATTATTTACCAGAGTCTATGATCTGATGCTCTAATTTTCCCCTCTTTTTTTTTTTTTTTTTTTTTTTTGAGTATATACTTTACTTTAGTATCTCTTTTTACCAATTGAACGGTTCAATGAATGGATTCCTATTCCAGACCTAGAAAGCTTTACCTTTGGGTACTTACGGTACCCGCTTCTTGCCAAAAGGAAAGCTTTCCGGAGCCGGATTCAAGAACTGATCAAGAATGCCAAAAATCAAGCTTTTGGCTGTGAACGGAATTGTCTGTGACGATCCTCACATGCCGTTCCCAACTGGGGACGTTACACGAAAACATGAACATTGCAGATACAATGAATACAAAATAGCCCTTTATGGGATCGTACCTATACCTATACGAATATAGGCATTATTATCTGGTGACTCTTAAATCATTTTGTGATATACGATATTTCTTGATCGATCGATTGCACTGGTGTGCCATGGGGCTGAGGGGGAGTACATGATGTTGCACCATTAATTTGAGTGCCCGAATCTATATAGGCAAACGTACGTCTGCTGCCTAATAGTGTTTTGCAATGCAATGCGTATATGGTGGGATGGATTGAGCTTGATTTCCTGTAAGGCTTTTGGATTTCAGGTTGGATTTTTGGTGTGTGTATAGATGTACACGGCTCGATTCGGATCGATCAAGTCCCCTGCGGGCGTGTCTACATATGGTACCCGTATACTAAATTGATAGGTTGAGGATCGACCGGTCTTCAATAGCTCTCAACCAAAATCTCAAACATGGTACTAATTGCGACGACCTATAGATATTTGTGTTAAAGAAAGTTAGTGTGGAGAGCTAGAGCAAGGATCCAAAATTTAAAGCGTGCAGATAGGGATCGACTCGGGCTTCGGCACTTGAGTATGCTTTCTATTTTGATGTCTACAGGTGCATATATGTATACCTACCTGCTTAGGTAGACTTGCAACGGTTACGCGCTGTATCCTATAGTCAATATTGAAAGAAAGCCCCATATTGACAAAATTGAGTGAAGTCCCCACCAAGTAAATAATTTTCAAGAGTACTTACTTATAGACTTACATAAGAGATATCGCCATCCAGATGGCGGGTGCTTCCCCCCTTGTGTCTCGTTAGATCCCGTCCCGTTTTCTTTTTCAACGTTGGATTTCCAGCGTTGTCGACTCCTCAATAAGCACTATCCCAGGTAGAGATTAGGCCCCTGCACGACTTGATCAAGGAAGAATCAAGGCACCCTCGCCGGCGAACCTCACTTGACGAGAAGACTTGCTAGCAGCAGCGCACACCTCAAACCTGCAGATTGAACCCCGTTTGGGAATTTCTTTAGGACTCGAAGATGCACCTGCGCGAGCGAGGCTGAGCCTCGTCTCGATAAGCCTGGCCGGGAGTACTTCATTCAGCGGTACCTCATGATGCGGAAAGGCACACCTCCAGTCTGACGGTTTAAAACTAAATCCTTTGCCGAACCTCTTCCGCTCTCCATTTTCTTTGGTTGCTCAATTCTTCGATTTTGGTTTAATATTTTTGTTTTCTCTTCACAGCTGCAGACACATAATGGGTGGCAGGTTGCGGTAGCAGAAAAACCAGAAGCGCAACTCTGCGAAAAAGGTCGCCAAAAATGGATCCTCTTTCAATCGCAGCCTCAGTCGCCGGTCTGCTATCTCTCTGTATCCAGATAGGTCAGACAGTTAGTACATTGGCTGATGCCCTCGAGAATGTCGACAATACCATCAGTTCGTTTCGCGGGGAAATTTCAGCCTTATCTGGAGTTTTAAAATCGATAAGTACGGCGTTTAGTGATCCTCAGCGTCACAGGATACTTGAGGAAGCGAGCCATGGAACCGGTCATCTTGGCCAATATTGGCAGGGTGTAGTAGTGTCGCTGGATCACTGCGGGGCAACTTTGAATAAAATGAATGTTGTCTTGGACGGGATCCAAACTAGTAGACGGACGAGGATATTTAGAAGTTTTGGAAAACATCTAAAGTTGACGTCGGAGGAAGGCGTATTGACGCTTTACCGACAAGAAGTGCAGTCACATACTGCGAATTTGCAGATTTCGCTACAAATGATTAGCGTGTAAGCTTTCTTCTTCTTCTTCTCCTAAAATCCTCAAAGGGACTATCCGTCCTTCGATAGAAAGAATCTCATAAGGCTGATACAATTGGCGATATTCGATTTCTTGCATACAGATGCTTATCTCTCGCTTCTGATGACATGAATGCGGATACGTCGGTACGGCTCGACGAGCTAAGCGACGACGTACGAAATATCTTTCGTCTGCTAGATCGGACGAAGAACGACCTACCGATTCCCAAACCCGGTGATAATATCACATTTGCACTCGTGTCTTCTTCACAAACCGTTGTGGAGGATTTACAATCATGTTTGGGAGCTGCAGAGGTCTTGATATCTGATGCTTCTACTCTTGCCGAGAAGCAGTCTGTTCGAGAATCTACTATTGCTGTTCCGAATTATTTTACAACAGCGCAGAGACGAAGGGTTCAGGAATGGATCAATGCGCCTACGTTTACACCTACGATTGCGCCTACGGTAGATAGTAGGGAAACCTCGTCTGAAGCTACTACTAGGACGATTCCTTCTGTCAATAAAAGTACAGTCAGCATCATTACGACCACCCCTCCTGTCGAAAGCTCCAGGCTTGAATTAGCTGCCCGTAAGGAGGAAAAAAATAGCTTGAAAGATGAAGACTCGGACTCGGATTCGGACTCCTCGGATATTGATGGCGGGTTTAAGGATAATCTTTTCCAGGCCGGTTTACGGTATTTTGAACAACAGGACTACGCTAGTGCCGAAAGATTCTTTACAAAGGCTGTCCAGGCTGGGGAAGGTGAAAAGAGTAAACCTTCTGATGGGAGTATGACAAAAATCAAATTCTACCTGGCGCAGACTCTATGCAAACAGCAACGATGGGATGATTCTCTTGCTCTCCTTGTTAGCTTGCAAACGCTCATACCGACCACTGATTCTCTAGAGTGGATGGAATCTAGTATCCTCCATGAGCTGGCCTTGGTGTATTTGGGCAAAGGGCTTCAAGAAAAAGCGAGAGCGTGTGCAAAATCCGCCAGCGAGAAAAGAAAGAAAATGCATGGGAAGAAAGACTCACGCTTTCGTTCTTCTGTTGGCTTACTGGCAGATATTTGCCAAAGTCAAGGCGACCCGGAAGCTGCAGAAGGGTATAGAAGGTTCATACCTCAGGAGAGTTGGTATCTATATACTCGCATTCATAGGAATGTTCCCGACCGCAACATTGACGAAAAGGAGGTTATCGCCGTACGCATACCTTTGATGGATACTGAAATGGACGACTTTTTCGGGGAACCAGGGCCGTTGAATTCGATATCTCGCTCTAATAGCTCTCAGCTATCGCATTCCAATGCCGTCTCTCGCAGCACGAGTTTCGCTTCACAATCAGCTATGACTCCGCTAACTCAATATTCTTTCCACTCTTTCGCTCCCAAAGCCTTACCTGTACCGGCACCCCGTACTACCACAGACTCATATGTACCACCGCGGATCGATGCGTTCGAATTGGATTCCAAAACCGTCTTCCAGGGCCAATTGGCGCCAGACAAGACTTCCCCTGCTAGCACACCAGAAGGCCAGAACTCCTACCTCAAGGTCTTCCTCAAAACGTATAGGGAGGTTGGACAGAACCAAATGCTAGGTTTGAAAGAAAAGGCCGCCAAAATCGCCATGGCATATTATCGGAGCTTTGAGACCGAGAGCCTCAGATTCAAGCTCATAATCCGATACATGAATGATGCAGCATGGAAAGCCTTGGAAAAGAATATTCTAGAAGGACTCTCCAGTCTTTCTTCTACAGGTCATGGGTTTTCTGCAATCCACTTTTTCGCAATGCTGGGCATTCCGACTATTGTTGGATTACTTCTTGATCGAAAAGCAGATGTTTGTGCTAAAGCCGGACAGGTAAATGGGTATGCGCAGCCTCCTGTTGAGAGTCGGAGAGGGAAACTCGGTGGACTTGCAAGAACGTTTTCACGAGGATCCATGAGCGCCAATGTATCTATTCCGCCAGTGATATGCAACTGGAGTCCACTGCATTTCGCTTGCGCATATTCTGGTGATCTCGAGACGGTTAGATTACTTATCGATCGAGGCGCCCAATTAGAAGAGAAGGTCGGGAAGGGATATACACCACTTCTCGTGGCGACGAGGAAGGCAGCCTTGGATACGGAAAGGTTCTTAAACCATGCGACGGATCTTCCAGTTGTTAAAACTCTTGTGGATTCTGGAGCGAAGCTAGATGTTCTGGATGAAGATGGACTGGGGATTCATGCTCATGCACATTTTATGGGAACTGAGGATTTGGCTGCTTATCTTCTTAGCCTATCAACGGATTGAAGATATTTTTGATTACCAGCTTTTTAATTGGCACATCGATTACTTAATATTTGGGGAATTAGGGTTGATCATTCTTTGCTTTAATATCTGAGAGCAACTGGAAGTTAATGATAATGGGCTTTTCGAGATGTGTACTTGGAGTTCAGGAACTCTTGTATTCTACATATATTTCATTCTATGTACATGTACAAAATAATTAATTCGCTCCGGGAATTTTAATATCCCTTCCAACAAGTAATATAAATCTTCAAAATAAGCAAAATAACCCAGAATTTCCAGGCTATATAAGTGAGTGTGTACGACAATCGATTGAGCAATGGAAACCCATTTGAATCTCCTCAATCGCCAATACATCATCTCTTGTCTCGTAAACCAGACCACAATAAGATTCATTTCTACAGAACCTTTAATATTATATGCTAGAGTTGGTCGAATCTTATAGGCTGACTTTCCGTCAACACCCCCCCCCTTCTTCCTCGTCCAAAACCTACACCACCACGATTTTTAATAGCACTTGCGCATCAGCAAACATAAGTTTGATGCTTCAGACGAATTAGGAAACTAATTCCTGGAGCGTTTCGCTCCTCTTTCTCGTCGAAAATCCCAAGCTGGCAGCCCAACAATGTTTCCTTTTTCAGCCCCAACCGACAATTTATTAACTGGGTTGCGGGTTGTCGACCGACAAACAGAGATTTCGTATATCAGTGCAGTATTTCCAATGATATTGCATAGTACGCTTCCAATTAATTTGAGAAGACAGGTTTGTTTAAGCAGGCGGAGTGAAGAAGATAGAAAAAAAGCGGGAAATGATATCTTAAAGTAAGATCGTGAATGCACAGTGGAGTTGCCACTCTTTTCGACAGGCAATAATTAGATTACTGCCGGCATTTGGCGAAGCACAATATAATGTACTTCCCTAAGCCCTGAGTAGAAGCAAGAGAAGATTTATCGGAAGCCTAAGCTTGATTGGTGGAAAGATCAGAAGCCTAATCTGACGTTGTGGAAGGATCAGAAGGATATATTGGTGTGAATAGCTTGAACTTGGTTGGAACATAGGTAAAACTTGTCATGAACAGTTCCCACCCAAAACAGGAATCCGAATACCTTGTTTTCGAATGAGGAAACATATAATAGAGGGTTTTGAGTTTCCGACCTTTTCCAAAGTTCTGATATTCTAGAATTTTGACAGGGTGAAACGTGGGGAGTCCTCGGATCGGAGAAGAAAGAGATATCACGGCGTTGCATGAGTTGGAAGTCCACAGTATGTTTTTCCTGAATTCCTGTTCCCGGGACAATCTGCTCGTCATCTTAACTTTGCCCTAATTCCGAAATGATTTCGGTTACGTTCGACCCAGAATAGAGGAAACCAGAGCAACGAACGTTGCTCTTGGTCAAGTTTTGTAGAGTTCTAAAGCTCTTGGGCTTATTTAGCGAACCTTGGCCTTCGACGAGGAGCTTTCCAGAAGCTAGCCTCTTCCACACAGTATTTGCATTGGAGATGTGGGATTTCGATATAGTTAATTTCTGATCTGGTGGTTTGGGTTGAAGATGAAAACAATTCAAGGTTACTGGGGGTGACAACGTGGCCACAAAGGAGGTATTTGGCGAAAGTGAGTATGGTTGAGTAAAGTTTGGTTGATTTCCAAGAGGGGGTGTAATTGATTGAAGAGAGCATTGTTGGAACTGATTTGTTTGTCCATTTATGACGCTGTAGGCAATTTTTAGAGTAGTGTTTGGGTATATGGAGGAAATTTTCGGAAGGGTGAAATTAGGGAGATATATATAGACATGATTTGACTGCATTGTGAGCTTGTGGTTTGGCGACATTTGGAGGTTTGTTCAAGTTTGTGATGTTGAGTGAAGAGAGATTTATGCGATGTGATATTTGAGGTTGGGGAGATGATAGTCGAGAAGAGAAGTTAAGGACGAGGTGTTAAGGATATATGGATTGAGAATATATGAGCTTGTGGATATGAATTTGAAGATGTGAAGCTGAGAATATGAAAGTGGGAATGTGAGGTAGTATGAGTTTGAAGAGATGAGATGTGTATTAGAATATTTTGTCTTCGTCTTGATATTGCAAGCTTGAGGTTGAAGAATAGAAGTGATTTAAAAGGATACTAAGTAAAGTCTAGGAGGAAATAGAGGTATTTTGGCTTGACTATGGAGATTTAGGTTTCAGGACTAAGGATAAGATTATCACGAGGAAGCATGATGAGATATATGTCTCTTTGGCATGATATAAATGGTGAGGACAAGAGATAGAGGTATCTCAGGATAGTAGAACTCTAAAGAGAGAAAATTAAAGATGGAGTGGAAGTATGATATGTATAGGAAACAGTAGTGTTTACTGAGTTATTGAATTCTAGGAGGATCCAGAGAATTTGACGGGGGGGAAGGAGCCCCTTTTATCCTAGTACCGATGAACCACCATATCACTACTAGATCTTAGAATCAAAGTGATAATATCCCCCATGCTGTATAGCTATTTTGTTTTTCTCGGGCGTGCTTTGCAGTGTGGGTGGATTCTGATATGGACACAACATGCTTAGTTCGTGAAAGTGACAATGTTGGCTAGTCCTCAGAAAATCCGTTATCTGCACGCATTCTAGAAGACTTTGCAACCTTTTTTTGTTTCCCCGAGCTCCTTCGGTCCTTGTCAATATCACGATGAATGACCTCGATGTCGGTGCCTGCGGGCCACTTCAGCCTAGCAAGTTCTTCTACCATGCTCGCGCTACGGTGACGTCCGAGATGGCAAAAGCAGTTGACAACGACTGTTGGCTCGTTTTCATTATCTGGACCATACTGGCTCTCATTTGTGGAGGTTTCATCCCCTGTGTCCTCTCCATCTGACGGTAGATATTCTTTGTCGTGAGAATCGGCGTCTTTGGAACATTCCTGTTCGGGTATTTCCCGACTTTGTTGGATTTCGTGCGTTGTATCGACCTCTTTGTCCGCTCCCACACCCACTTGCACTTGCACTTCCTTGCCGCATTCTAACTTCTGAAGTCTTTCAATCTCTCGCAGGATATCATTCTGTATCGTTTCCAACAATGCGAGAAAGTCCTTATCGTTCATCAAGTGATCTCGCAGCTTCTTTGACCTCCCGTCCATGTTACCCCGGAGCTGTCGCGGAGGGTTTGTGACATTTCGCATGTCGTATCGCAGCGGTGCAGCTGGCTTGAGAGGACCATAATGGGCGCCGGATGAGTATATTGTTACCCTCGCCATTTCCTTTAGCGCCGTTTCCTATTATTTTCTTCAAAGGGTTCGGTCAGGATATCGCTTGTCGGATACAACGGTATAACATTCTATTGAAAGAACTGGATTGTGCTTATTACTCGATTGCTTGGCGCGCGGTGTTCCTTTTTCTCTTGTTGGATCCATGGATGGGCCAAAACGCATTCACGTCTGGTCACCACCAAATGCGCATTACGGTTATCAAACGGTCGAAAAGGAGGTATCAACGACACTGGTAATGTTCTTGCACAACATAATCGTCTTTTAGAACCGAGTCCGAACCTATCCAACCTTATCGGGCCCGGTTCCTTCAACGGGATGTCTTTGATTACAGTGCTATCTATGTTTGGAAGTCTCGTGGCAGGCGTTGCAGCCGCAGTTGGGCATCACTTCTTTTACCTAAGCCATGATGGACACATTGTCGGTACCTCTACAGACCAAGAATGGGTTTTACGAATTGGCGCAGGACTCACATTTCTTGTGCGATTCTTTTATTCGTTTTCTTTAGGTATAGTTCTTGTGCAACTTTTCTGGGGTTCCTTCCAGAATACGCTGGGAACAACAATGGGGACTGCAGATAGAGCGTTTGAGATTCGCACAAGCCCCGCGGCGCTCTTTGATCTTGGTTTCTGGGCTTTCAGTCCACTGATGGTGTTCCATGGGATCGTTTACTGGTATGGTAGAAAAATAATAACAGTGTCAACAAAAAGTGGCACAATTATTGACTAAGAATATGTAACAATCTAGGCTCCTACCTTTGGCACTTGTGATTGCACCTTCTTCTTTGACAATCACCATACGAAGGAACTCGGACGGACCAGAACTTCTATACGAATATCATAGAAGGAACCTTTTCCTTGCATATCTCATCCCTGGCGTGCTCGTCTTTGTAGGATGCCTTGTTGGTGTTATCAATATCATAGGGTCTACAAGGTCATACTCTAGTACATTGTCTACTGTGATACGTACGTCGAGAAACGAGTCACTGGACCAGCTTATCCAAATCACCGATCGCAACGGTGGGAACCCGTTACCAAAACGCCTAGTAAGAACAAAGGTTCGGCTAGCATCGTTGTACGGAACTTCTGTTGCACTCGACGGGGAAAACTTTGCTATTGAGGTTGTTAGGTATGCATCTGGAACTACGGCTGATGACGGAGTTCGGCACACACACCATGGAAGTAGACAGGAAGATGAGGGGAGACTCGGCGTTCAACGAGTGGATGAGAGAGATAGCGAGCTAGACAATTTGTCACCAATTGGGAGCCAAGACCGGCACCGTGGAGCTGCAAAGATATAGGATCAACCAGTATTGCTTGCTGGAGTATGATGATTGGGTTTGGAGTATACATGTACTTGTATGTATTTCAGGGAACGCCGTGGCCGGCCCCATGGTTCTCTACAGCAATTGATCTATCTATATTTAGAGATCAAAACGGCTGCCGTCCTTAGTACTGAAGATTGCTAGTTAGTACTGCGGATATAGTTCTAATGTTCAAGTACATATGCTGTATACTTGCATGAATTTTGGGATAGTATTCTCTAGAGTGGTGACGATTATTAATTACATATGCGCGTCAATTGAAGTGAAAACTAATGGTTTCATCATAAATGCATTGCTCCTTTAATCACGAATGACTTGTAGAAACCCCATGGATTAGGTATTGAAGCTTGAATTCCGGAGATCCTGTCACTCGATTTTAACTTTGATGAATGGAACGTCTCTAGAATATAAGATACATGAGCATTGTTCTGCGAGACGGATACATCTGAAAATGTCTATAATTAGATGCATTTATTGAGAATGCATAGAACAGGGTTTTATCTAGATCATAGAAGTGGCCCTGTCTAGCCAGTCTAAAGATAGACATCCGGACATCATCGATTTGGCTTCCCGCACCTAACCTGCTTAAGATATCGAGGCCACACTAGCGCACTTTTCAAGTGGTAGGTTTAGGCTAGTTGGGTAGAGCTTTATGATACGAAATCGTAAGTTATGCCGAGGAATGCAGCGCAACTTGTACTATACTGACGTGTACCTGGATGGGTCGCAGCGAACACAATATCGGGCCCTGCCCCATGACTCTAATCCCAGCAAAAAGTAGTATTTCTATAATTCGGTTACACGGATACCATTGTTGCATATGTAATATATAACTGCCGCTGTCTGATCTTGGGACTATCGAACTCGAGTACTCATGGATTCATGAATACATGCGCGGGCAAATCAATTTGAATTAGAATATATCAACATTTATCAATATCAAATCGCTAACTGCAAAGCTTAACTATTTCAGATTCAAACCGTCAACCGTCTAATGTTCAACCATGTGGCTAGAATATAACCTTCTAGAATTCCTCACAATGAGCCTAATTCTAAGGTGGAGGATAACTCCCAACGAGTGCACCTACATATGATACATATACGGACTCGTCAGGAAAATTCTGAGCTGAGCTGAGGCTGAGCATGAGGCGCGAATTCACCTGTTATGAGCGAGCCCATGGCAGACAGGATCCCAAAAACCTCCAACTTGACTGTGTAACAGAGCCAAGTCGCTTGGCGTATGGGAAGATGGAATGCTTCGACTTCTAGGCGCTGCAACCCAATCAAGCCGCCGCTACAGGCGTAAACCGTATACTTAGTGCTACTTTGATGTCGCATTGCAAAGATCCAGGAGTGAACATCGTGTATATTTGATGGACACCAGTGCCCGATTTAGTGGCTGTGAACAGTCGTTTGACTCTGATGTAAGTACTGTGCGGCCGGCAAATGCCGTTCCTCTGGTCTTGTGTCTACAACTGTAACCTTCGCCTCAGCCGCAAACGCTAGGCTATGATCCACTATATTTTTGTTCTGGTAGAACAGAATTAGCGAGAAAATATTGTCGATGCAGAAGACCTGACTGTTCGCCCTCTGAGTCAATTAAGGGCGATATCAGATGAGGCATATGCATACAAAGGATCTTAGCTCTTATCTGACTTTCCGCTACATGCACATGTACATTTTTACACCTAAAACCAACAATATATATGAGCTACTTGAGTCCGTGGGCTTGCATAAATCCTTTAGATAGTATGAATTAATTCAGTTACGTCAAGCCGCCATCATGCGTTTGCTACTACATGCAGGGGTCATTCTACTACGTCTTGAATGCGTCTTTGGGTCAGACAATTAATTAAGCGAATCCACAGCGCCGCGATTTCAGGGAACTGCCACACAACTGGACAGGTTTTCCTGTCCTGCATATTTCAGCTCACAAGACAATTTCCCTTGTCGAGTAAGAACCTCCTTAATATGGGAAGGAAGCTACCGTTTTTTGTCTAGGCTCTGCGTCCACGCCCACGGATATCCATGGTCAGGATGTTGTAACGCTAGAATGATGAAATCCGGGTAGATAAGGGTTCCGATCCCATCGTGCAGTTTTCTTTTCCATTCTAGTATTTCCCCTACTTCTTTTTTCTCTCGAAGAAGCTTATTCGATCATTTCCTAAAGACGTACCCGTCAATCATGTGTATCCAAGATTTCACGCTTTACCACTGTGGCTGTCAGACGAAAGGCAGCCTCCGAGCGTGTGGCGAAATGCAATGCAGTCATATCAAGGACATCGCTAAGCAACTCCCAGACCATTGCGAATGTATGTTAAACCGAAGTTTGAATTCCCTCTTTTATAGAATTTATCCCAAAATCCGCTAAGTATACATACTATATATACTTGGAGTTCTGTACTGACGATAGTGTCTAGCCTGCCAAGCGAAACTGGAGGAAGGTATCGAACTACCTCAACGAAGAACCAGTACCATCAAGAAGATCAAAAGAACCTTGAGTCTGCGAACCGCTAAATCTCCCGAATACTCGAGAGGACATCAGAGTCGCAAGGGGAGCATTAGCATGCGCATGACCCCGGAGGATGATGGATGGGTGAACCCATTTAATGACCCACTTTGAAATACCCATTTCATAGTAAACTCCCTAGACCTTTGTCCTTTGCCCATTTATTTTTCTGGGTTGTATTTATTATGGCTGTGCTTCAGGTTGGATTGGGTTTTGTATCTGTGTTTTATAAGTTGTTTGTATTTCGTGCGATTGCGCATTGTGTTGTTTGTCCTTGCATTGATTGCTTCTAGCGCGGGGTCGGATAATAAATTCGAGTTTCTTAGCATTCGAAAGTGAATTCACAAAAGTTGTAAGATATTGGACGTATACCTACGGCCATTGATTAATTTTGCAAATCCGTATCTGTATAGTAGCTAGTAGTCGTTCGATTCGAGGTTATAATCCACACTAGTACTGCGGTAAGCAGCATTGTAAGAAGATGCGCAGAAATACAACAGTCTCAACACATCTCTCATTACAGCCATCCTGGATCGATCGATGAAGTTTCCACAGCGATGGAATGTTCAAAGGTTTTTTTTTCGTGCCCTCGCGATGCTAGTTATAAGCTAGATTATAAAGATCATTGATTTAAATGGGCTTGAATTGAAAGCTCATATAGTTCATAACTCCGATTCAATTCTATTAACATTATCGCCGTATCTACCTGATCTCTGCGCTTATTTTGCAGTGAGATTTATTTCTAGTATATATTACAAAAGTTACTGACAAACAATCGGGGGAATAAGTCGCCGCGGCCGATATAAAGAAAAGATGCAAATAAATATCGCCGATATCACATAATATCCTTGTGAATACAAAGAGTATTTGTGATTACGCACATTTGAAGATAGCTACAGTCTCTCCAGGGTTCGAGCGGTAACAGGTTCCACTACAACATCCTTCTGGGTGATAGATATCGCAAGACTGTCCCGAATTAACACAGCAGTTTGGAGAGCTAAAGAACTGGACACACCGTCCACTGCAACAGCTATCAGGACGGTCAAGGGAGCAGAGTGCAATACCAGTGTTGCACACCAAGTTCTCAACTACCGTTGAAGTCGCTGTTTCAGTCTCAGTCTTGGATGCTGTCTCTGTGGCGGTTTCAGTCTCAACGGTAGTTGTAATTGTGCCTGTGGTTTGGGTCTCAGTAGCAATAGTTTCGGTGACGGTTTGGGCTGTTTCTGTAATGCTTGTGACAGTTGTGTAGAAGATGGTGGTGACGATAGTCTGTTGGACAGTGTTTGTTTTTGGAATCGTTCGAGTGACAGTTTTGGTTTTATAGACGGAAGGAGTAACTGTAGTATACTTTGTGGAAGTCCTGGTATGTGGAACCTTTTTGGTTTTGGTGACAGTGGTGGTTCTGGTGGAGCAAGGATTGATACGTTTGCAGGCCGAAGAAATTTGCTGCGGCTTCAGGTCTTGAGGAAGATGAGCCGGGATCTTGAAGGCATAGCTGTATTGATTTACGCCTCCACGTTTGAAAATATAAATAGCATTCTCACTCTCGTCGGCGGCATCGAGACGCTTCATCTTGCTACCGCCAGCATTAGGGATATAAGAAGTGGAGGTAAAGATCTCGGTATTCGTAGTAGTGGCAATTTCTGTGGTTGTGATGGTGATAGTGTCGATGACGTTGGAAGTTGCGATAACATAATCCGTCTCGGTGACATCGCTTGTCGATATAACCAGGATAGTTGAGGTGGAGGAAACAGTCGAAACGTCGGTATCTGTAGTCAGGGATGTCTCTTGACCGACAACAGTTGTAGAAACCGTTTTAGTGCGGGTGATAGTGACCGGGCGGGCAGTCTTCCCTTTGACTATGGTTTTAGTGTAGTACCTGGCGCATTATAATGATGAGTATTAATGTCACGAAAACAAAGTAATATGGAAGTACAGTAAATGAATATATATATATATACAATAATAATATATTGATATATTCGGATAAGTTAAGAGGAAGACCATGGAACTTACACAGGAACGTTAACTGTCTTGGTTTTTGTGACCACCGAAGAAACTGGAAGACGTAGATACTGTCTGCAAAATGATTTGGTGTTTCCCAGGTATTTTGGTGTAATGAATGCGGAGTAGATCTGGCTTGGGGAACAGTTGTGCTTGCAACATGGACTGGAACTCGATCCTGGGAAAGGAGTTGCAAGGGCCGATGGGATAGCCGCGACTGCGACTAGGGCCGCTGCTAACAAAGAAGGAGTATCGAACCGCATTTTTCTAGAATCGAATCCTTAACTTCGAATTGAAAGACTTCAAGTTGATCACTTCTTTCAAGGGAATTCGAGTAGGGATGGAAGTAACGGGAATCTTAAGACTCCGAGGGGGGTATATCGCCATTTTAAACAGCAGTACTGGCAGGCCACACGGCCTGGATCTCCTGGCGCCGACTTTGAGCCCATAATTCTCCTTGGCTACCTGAGTACTATCATTCATACTACTATGCATATGGGTGAATTGTAGGGAGAATGCCGCTTGCCGTACTGGAAAAATCGGAACTCTGTCTCAGCCATAAATTAAATGAGCCAACTAACTGGCTCGCCCATGCCAGGGCCGTAAATTTTCGTGAATACGTGGTTAGCACTGTTTTTCAGGCATGGGAATCAAAAAAGCGCTCGAAATTCTTTGGTGTCTTGAAAAAGCCTTACCCGAGGAGGATAAGCCTAAAAGTATAAAAGCTTAAATTATGGAGACGCCCCCTTGTGGAAATGAGGGACAACCATCAGCTGTCAAGCATCGCGCGGTTCCGCATGAGAAATGTAAAATTTAAAGGGGGGAAATCGAGTCAATATGTAGATATCCTTTTTATGTGTCTACTGCGCATGCAGGATGTGTGGGACTGAGACAAGCTTGAAAAAGGGTTGCATACGTCGGCGCATCGTGTAGTAAGTATGGGTTGAACAACGTTACCCCTATAAAACTCTCGTCTGGAATTAGAATTCCTAGCCTTATATCTAAGCCACGTGAGAACATGCTAGGCAGTTTAAAATACGTTACTGACAGCACAATCCTCAAAAAATCAGGATCGACCAGAGGCATTACCCCAGTTTATTGTTTTTCATTAATCGTCGAAGATCTCGCAAGGCCTGCATAGTACATAATAAGCTTTATAACTTAAGACTAGCGTGTAAAGTTAGATGGTTATCGCGGTACTATCTCATGCTGTTGTCGGAACCTTACGCGTATACATAGTACGCTCAACAGGGTTACATTGAACCCTTGGAGAAAGGTGCTTGGGACATAAAATCCCGTCTGGTGGTTTATTATTATAACTAACTTTAACCAGCGCGTGCGAGGGGCATGCTAAGTGCCTGGCTCGAGAATGCCGCATATCCCGATAAGACATTGGCTAACTAGTTTTATTTCACAAGTCTGCGCCGCTTATGTCATACGCCTGAAAACTTGGAGGAATATACAGAGCATGTAGGGACAACAAAAACCACATTGTGCTTGAAGCAGAGGTGATTAAATGGAACCTGTTCGGCAACTTCCTCCACGCTTTCTGTAAATGTGGGTTACTTCGAGCTGCATCGAGGTACAGATCGATCGCGGTGAACGCCAACATTATTCTTGACAGAGAAATGCTGAATTTTCGAGGTACCCCGGAATAGATCCGAAGAGATTTCCCTGATGTAAGTCTAGTAATCCAGAATAGATCTTTCGTCCAGTCGAGTATTGCCGCTTCAGATCGAAACTATTGTTCAGCTGCAAGGTACGGGGCTGGCTAGGTGGGGGCCGTATCGCGCAGTGACGAAAGCGACCGTGGAGTCGACCTTCAGGCCGAGTGAGGCCTGGCGCCAGTTTCCAGCCCTATGGCGATTTTTCATATCATTCAGAACCGTGTCATATATATATATCGGGATTTGAAATCGTCTATCGGATGTCCAGCTCCAACGCTTCAAGATTCAAGATTCTTTCGATTCATGTCAGCACAATGCAAGCAGTTTGCACCGAAGTTCTTCGAGATTTGAACGGGCACTCACATATAAAACTTCTAGATCCAAGCCATAAAAATTCTTCCAAAAGATCCAGAGTTCAATTCCACATCTGCTTCTTTCCGGTGCATGCCGAGTACAAACACATACACGGCAAACATCCACAACAGCAAGCCGCCCAACCAGTCGTTTGGATACAATGCGAGATCGAATTGAGCGAATGTTTTAACCGCGAGCCGAATGTCGAATTGTCAACCCTGTCTACGTGAGATGTGTACGTTTCCTTATCTGCTCTGTCGCTTTCTACACTATAAGTTCTGGCGTATTCCATGCTCGGAGACGTCGACGGGCGGGGAGTTGGCACCCCAAATTCCAGGTCCTCCGCCGTTGTGATTGAAGCATTAACCGACATTTTGGCCTGGGGGAAACTTATGGACACGTAGTGGATATTGTATAAATGTGGCTCCGGTGCGATCCGAGCGCAAGAACGATATATCGTGACGTAGGTTCAGGTATTGGATATAATTTAGTATCTATTGACCAGAAACCAAAGGAACGAAAAAATATCCTCGAAGGCCCGGGGAACGGGAAACAGGAAACCCGTCCGAACTTATAAAAGTAGAATTCGCGGTAGATCAGCCCTAATTGTGTAATATCAATAGACGACGCGTGAGATAATCCGCAATCAATTCAAAGCAGCGAAAGAGGCCAATGCCTCGTGAGGATTCTCGTTACCCCAAGGTATAATAAGCCCCATTAAGAGGCGGGACGGCACATAGATTACTTGGTTTGGATGCTGACGCTCGTCTGACCAAAAGCGCAATTGTGTTGGTGTCACACAGCCAACCTGGGCAAACTGCAAGGGACTTTTTAACTGTGTCTGGTAAATTTAAAGACGAAGTCGCTGGTAACGTCGCACTGATGAGGATATTTCAGAAGGCTGATACATATTATATAAATGTACATACGCCAACGGGATATCTCGGAATGCTGTCTACTTCTTTGATATTCGCGCAGTGCGCAGTTGATTTCAATTGGATGTTCCAAAATGAGGTCCAGTTCGGGACATCATCCACTTTGGGAAATATAACACAACCAACACAGCTATTTGACAACCGCATCCGATAATCTTGTCATTCCTTGAATTCGGCTTAACTTAGATCTAGATCACACGGTCGCTCCGAGACGGTTCCGGTGGCATTCCCCTCACACAAATGCATGTATATCATCTGCCTTCATCACAAAATACAGAATAGGTATGTATCTAAATCAGTGGTGTCACACGAGCGAACATGCGCTGGTCCTCGACCTCGTCGACGTCCTTGATCCTTCTCTTGTCGCTGTTCCCGTCGGTCGTGGAAACCTCCCGCCTGCCACAATACAAATCGAACAGAGTCGTTTCGTATTCTTATCGTATTCAGTTTCTAGGATTTCTTCACAAGGCGATTCTCCTTGATTCTGGCATTCGTAGACGATCTTGTAACTAGTTTTGTGGCCGCAAGCCCATTCGGTCTGGAAGGTTTGGTTACACATGTTAGGCAGACTTGTTTTTGTACTTGTGTACGGGTATTGGATCGACTGGGACCAGGAATTCTTGCTTTCAACTTTACAAGTGTTCAAATTGGGTATGGATCTAGGTCTAGGCTTAACTTGGGCTGTCGGCAAAGAAATGTTGTATCGAATTTGAGTATTTAGTATAATGTTTTATTTTAGCTAATCAGAGAGTAGCACGGGGTATTGACGTATTGATAGCTCTGGTAAGATAACTTCTTTCGGTTGGTTGTAAGGGTAATAACGTTGTCATTTTGAAGAGGTCTCAAACTACAAATATCCAGCCTCAACAGCCTTGATATTCTGTAAGCCGCATCCTTCAATTCCCGAAACACAATTTCTTTCCCAGATTTCCAGACCTGGGATCAATCTCGCCCGCGTAGATAGGAGCCTTGACTATCAGGAAGTGAAAATGATTATAAATTGTCGACTACATGCATACTTGCATCATCACCTCGCCGTTTCTCTTCCTCCAATTCTCGTTCCCGTTGGCGCAGTCGTTCTCGTTCCTGCTTTGCCGAAACCGTATAGCCATTTTGACACATGGGACATGAGCGATTAGTGAGATAAAGGTTATCTTTGAGTCTTTTGCAGCTACCTTTACTAGCGTCTCGGCAGTGGTACACGCGGTTATCAGTTCCTGTATGCCAACAGATGTATCGACGAACATTTCTGTGGCACATGGTTCTAGGAGATTTGTGGCAAGGTTGTTGCAAGCGGATCTAAGACAAGGGGGTCTATGGGATAATCGGATCTTTGTGTGAGTTTGTATTCAAGTGTGTAAACCCCCCCAAAAGAATTATTGGCGAATCTTGAGTTCTTTGTTTTTTATATTTGTATTGCTAGTACATTCACGAATTCGAAAAATAATATCGCAGTTATAATTCGCTATGGATCATAATGAATTTAGTTAATATATCATTCTCCTAGAATTCCGAGGTGTGGAATATTTCATAATTCTTATGGAGGTGTATGGAAAAAAGCAAAAGTGTTATATAGGAAAACTTGGTGTAGTGGCCCTACTGCCCGTTGGAAGCGCAGGTAAAAACACCAGACAAAGAATCTGTCTTGAAATCCGTTATAATGTTCTCGACCACGGACTGCACCAGAAAACTCGTTAGCCGCCTTCACAAAGAACAATAGACCTCGGGGAATAAGATGAAAGAAAAACTTTCTGCTACTTACGTATGTACCCGCGGTCAAGAAGAATATTCCCACAATAATTAAAAATATATTGAGCGCAAGTGAAAGTTTCTCGGTAAATGTAAGTTTTTTGAGCCACCCTTCGCCATAATCTTGTTGTCGCAGGTTGATCCAGGCCATGCCCCAGAAAATGAACCCGAAGAAACTGTTCCGTAGATGTCAGTGTTGGTTTCACCATGTACACGTCAAAAGTACTCCTTACCTATCAAAAACACTGCTCATTAACCCCAGCAAGTCTCCAAAGAATGGAATAACTTCCGCGATAATGAAAGCCAAGACCCATGTTACAAACAAAATACCCGCCCATGTCCCCCATCCGACCCATGTGTGTTCATTCTTATGTCTCGAGTTGTGGAAGATTCTGAAAAACACGAAACGTGCGGACAATGAAGCGTATAGAACACCTAAAAAGATGATGGTTGGTACGGCGAACGAGTAAGCAACTTTCTTGTATGTCGGAGAAAGACTGCCAAAGGCTGGGGCGGTGTAGTATTCATTTCCAACATAGACGTAAACGATGGATCCGGCAAGACTGAAGACGATTATTTCTGCGATGGTAATAGCCCAAAGAGCCTTGGGGAAATCCTTAGGGTTTTCCATCTCTGCGATGAAACTCGGCAGGGCGATTTGTCCAATGAATGTATAGCTGATGTTCAAGAAAGCACCCATTGCTGCCACGAATGTCGTTCCTGGTTTGGCAAATGCATCCCAGGTCGGCTCTACTCCCTCCACGTATTTGTTTGGGTGATCTTGAATCGCGGCGAAGATGATGCACAATAGAACGGCGACGAATGTAAAGAATGCGCTACCAGTGGCCAAGTGGCTCATGCTCGCAAATGTCCTAGGCATGCTCAATACAAAGCATACTAGGGTGGTGATAACAGCGAATACAATCGTGCATTCGGAGTGGTCGGTGATTGTATTCAAATATTTTGCCCCGACTAGGACATGCAGAGCTTGGATAAAAGTATTGTTTAGGATAAACGCTGCTGCCGTTAGCCACCATGCAATCTCAGAGCCCCAGAAGAGTTTCTGTCCAATATCGCAAACATCGCGGAGTTGTGGATTGCGCAGGCAGAATTGCCAGAGGACCAGCGAGGTATATAGAACACTGGCGGCGACGGCAACTGTGAGGATAAGACCCGGAACGAGGCCGAGGATGGCGTAGGAGTAAGGGAAAGAGAGGATGGCGAGACAAATATATTCTGAGAACAGGAGGGCAGCAGTCTGTACAGTTGGCAAGAGTCAGGTTAATCAATTAGGGATTCGGTTTCAGGACATTCAAGATTCTGACCTTCTGCCACGAGCATGTCCGATACTTGATGGCCGCGTTCGCTTCCTCCTTAATTTGGAACGCTACGAGATCTGAGCCGGAGTCACCGTCTGATCCCGTACGTTCGAGATCTTTACTGTCCGCATTGATGTCGTATGACTTCTTTCGTTCTTCAGCGGGAGTGAGCGTGGCGGTTACAGCCATTTTCGAAGGCGAATATATAGAACCCTGAGATGAGGGAACAATTGGAGCATTAAGTTTCAGTGACGTCGACACCAATGAACCTGAGAAAACCGCAGGTTGTACAAAAAGAGAGTCGAACTCCTTGCTGAGTAGAGTTTTTCGGCTGGAGTCAACTGAGCAATTTTAAACTCGGTACTGGAGGCTCTAAGCTCCGGTTTTATACATTATCGATAAGCAGAGATGATCTGCCGTCCCAAGTTTTTTTTTTTTTTTTGACCCAGGCAGCTAGCAACCTCTTACCAGTTAACTTTCGAGGTCTCGTACGGTACATACGACTCAGCAGGGGCCCAAAGCTCTAAATGTCAAGGCATTCATAATGCAACATTCCGGAGGCGATTGACGTGCGCGTTCATTAATCCCTCTCATTGGCTCAGGTCTTCCAAATCCACGTTAAGATTTCATGTCGGCGGCCATGTGCATGCTTGCCACGATCGCTCGCTCGGTTGATGAACCTTAACTTGGTCCAAAAACCGATATTGAATGACTGAAGAATGGCATCGCAACATGGTGGGTTGACTTTTCCGCACTCAAAGGAGTGTATCTACAGGGAACCCTAGACCAAGAACACCAAGAAAGGTCCAAGTTGTGGCTCCGTATCTTGTTTCCAGTAAGCTCACTTGGCTGATATCTTATCTTGCGGTGGGGGTATCCTGTCTCGCGGGTTAGTTCCGGTAACCGAGTGCTGCATTGTGGTCTGTCATTACGTACTGGGCTTGGAAATTTCGAAAAGAATTTCACTTGGGCTGCTATTGTTTGACACCTTATGTGATCATATAGTGCATAGTATGAAGACGTGATTCTAGGATTTTATGGTGGAATGCACCGGCCCGTTATGGTTATTCGCTAGTTTGGGAGGATTTCCTGGATTTGGGTTCGGAGCCTCCGGGTTCTGTGGTGGAGGAGTGGGTCTGGAGCAGATAGGCAGCTGGGGCTGGCAGTTATCGGCCGAACAACACGCAAAATGCAACAGTCTCTTTCTCTAAAACGGGTTCAGGCGCGATGGAATATAAATATTGTGGTTGGACAAGTTGATTCTCAGGTGAATGTTAATAATCTATGGCGATGCAGGTTATAGATCAGGTGGCAGAAAGAGTACATGTTTATCCAATCTCTGACTAACTAAACTCTGATCTGGGGGACGTTTGATGTGTTTTTTGACTAGAGTATGCTTAAGGACCGCTGAAGAAGTAGTTAATTAACCTAGCTTGCGCTTGTCAATCTGCAAAATGATACTTCCCGAAATTCTGATTTGCAAATTGTATCTTATACAATGTCCGATTATGTAGCGAACCAGTAGGTGGGTAACGTTATGGACTAATATCCCCAACTGCCCCACTATTGGGTAACACGACTTGAGTGCCTACAAGTAAGTAGGAATCTAGAGTATATAGCTCGTGCCCCTCGAAATGCGTACTCGCTCACCAATGTATATAAGCCAAGATACTCGGGGTAGTTACCTCATTGGTTAAGTAGTCATAAGTTATGACTGGAAGTTCGTAGATTGAATATTATAGACAACACAAAAAATCCAACAATACCCAGTATTCTTGTCATGTACATTTTGACAGAGCAGATCGAAGTTATCGCTGGTCTAACTCTAGCCTCGGGTTCAAGAGTCCTGACTCCTGTTAGGAATTACTGAATATGCAATTTGGGTATGAGTCCACAGGCATAATAATCGGTGCTTTTTGTGTAATAGCAATCTCGTGATGTTCTGCCCAATGGCTTTGATGGGTGCAGCTAGGCCAGTTTTCAATATGCATAAACTAGTAGATGGTCTTGCACATCCTATAAGAGGCTTATGCCTATTGACATTTTTCACCGCTCCGGCCAACCTTAGAATATCAGTAATGTGATATCACAGCACTCACACAGCCTCGTGACCTGTTTTTTCCCTTCGGGGAAAGATCAAACCTCTTTTTCTTATCTTTTAATGGTTCCTTCCAAACTAGAGCAGAGCATATCTTATTCCACCTACCACCACTCCTCCAACCATCGCAGCTCATTTAGTTTAGAGTTTCATCAATCACACCTCTCGATATAGTCCACCTGGCTACCAATCGCCAAAGTAGCCTTGGGTAGTATCTGGATATTTCCGTTACTACTATAGAAAACGTGGGACGCTTAGCGAGTATCATTAGTTGTCTATTGCTCCAAGAATACCGTAAGAAGCTGAATATCGGTGGAACATATTCCAATCTTTGAGAAGAAAGTCTCGACCTGCACAAGTGGTTCTATATCCTCGGGCGTTCTGGGTTTTGCAGAGACTTCAAAGGCCCCGGCCGCACTTTCGCCTTTTATCTAGCTTTCTATAGAAGATCTTCAAACGGCCCAGCTTTATCTGAGGTTATCCTTCATGATCCTTGGCCAGCCATGCTAGGATTTAGCTTCCTTGGCTCGAGGTTTATTGCTAGGCATTCCTTTTCGTTGTTGATTGTCGACTTGAGGCGAAGGGTTTGCTTTTGACCGGGCTAGTGGCTAGCTGGGTGGCAGTTGCGGCTGAGGGAAGATCCATTTGGTAAGAGGTATGGCTCTAATTCAACGCGGTGGGGTAGGAGGAGGTTTTTCGAGAATATTAATTTGGTGGATATCAAAACCAGCGGCATTATGCTGCTAGGTTGAAGTGAATAGGCTTTCCCGGAGAGGGGGGTGGGCTGGGGGGCTAAAATAGGGAACTAGCGCTTGGGATTATATTCCCACGCCGCTACTACGCCTGGGAGGCTGCGACGCGACGACGTCGAGCCAAAATCTTTCTTTCTGCCATTGCCCTCTGAGTGGGCATGGCAAACCCGCGACCTACACCTTTCCTACACACCCTTTCTAACCTCAGCCACAATCTCTATCCCTTATTTTCTAAACCTCGCCCCCATTACTCCTTACCTACGACCCCCGACCCCCTTTCAATACCACGCTCACGTGTCGGGAAGCCTGAACGATGCCTCAAAAGGCCAAGGCCTCATCAACCACCAAGGGTGGCTCGAGATGTTTCCTTAGATCTTGGGGGGAGTCTAAGTATGTTACACCCTTTCTATATAGGTGGATAGACTTCTTATCTTTGGACTCTGAGCTAACGAAGTGGGTTTTAAGGTTCTGGGAATTGCCATCAGAACTTCGTCATATCATTTTCAAGGGCATCTTGCTAGATGCCGTTGTGAAGTTTCGTCATTGGAGTCCGAGGCAGACCAGAGAATTCTTGCTCTCGAAGATAGCCCCGACTCGGGAGGACTACGAAAGGTTCTCCGAGAGGCAGGTCATGAGTAAACGAGACATCGACGACTACGTCGAGTTCTTATATCACAAAGACCGCGAAACATGTGCAACCTGCCCCCAGAAACAAATCCTGGGGGTAAATGACTGCCGCTGTCCCGGCGTTACCAGACTGTATCCCATTCCAACTGACATGTTGCTTGTCAGTAAGAGATTCCGACGGGATGTCTTGGTATCATATAGTATGGTTCAGCAGATGGTCCCCGAGGTCATCGGGACCAACAGGGTCCAGCCGAGTACTTTCAGGCCCCGTGGCGAGCGGTGTTGTAAGCCAGGTGCTGTGAAACCCAATCCTCCTCCAAAAGGATTCGGTGAATTCTCAAGGGATTTGATCGAACGGAGCCTTTACCCTTCATCCCCTGTCTGCTAGGTTCTTAGAGGACAAAGGTGCGAGAGAGAGATCATTTCCCATCAAATAGTTGTCAAACAAGCCACAGTTGGCGGGGTTGAAGCTGAGACTGAGCATCAAGGTGAAAGTCCAAAAACTTTCCGTATTTGCGACAAAAGTGGCGGTTCAATATACTGTGGGCACCGAGTGACCATCTTGGTTTCTTGTCAGGATGAATCCGGCCAAGATAGGTTGATTCGTATTTGCTACATGTATTTGAACCCAAAAAATATCGAGGATCATTAGTCCAGCTTGAAGCTTCGGTTCGGTTCGTTTATCAGCTTCTGTCTTTTGTCCATTGGGGCCTGGCCAGGTTTTTGTCCTACTGGCGCCTCCATTCTGCGGCTGCCAGTTTTTACCATCTTTACCAAAAAAGTTCATTCTGCGGCTGGCGTGCATCTATAATTTGGAGCGAATATTTGACGCTGGAGTCGCCAAATGCTAAGATGGTTAATTCTCATACATAGTAGGTTGATCAATTGATGTTATGAGATCGAAGCAAGGCGTGGTTCTTTTGTTTATACTGTATGTATGTATGCTGTGCAGCGCAGCTGTGTCAAGAGAGCAAGGGAAATCGCGCAATGCGAAACTGCAACCGATTGAACGATAAGATAATGCAGCAGGGATGCGACAGGGGGCCTCATTAGCTCAATCCGCCAGCAAAGCAATGCAACCACCCCAAAAAAATTCTGGTCGCTGCAGTGATGGCGTATGTATTCCGTAGAAGGCGAAGCTAACGATGCTGTCCATGAAGTCCGAAATCACAATGATACCATGGAGTTGGTACAGCAGATGTTGGTCTCCAAGAGGCAGAGTCCAATGATCTCGGAACTAGAAATAGGCGCCAGATGACATCAGGTTACTAGGTGTGGAGGGGCATCCTTCCCGAACAGGAAATGTAATTGAGGTTTTGTGAGGGTGTTGCCAGCCCAACCACCCGACTTTTGGTGTAAACAAGTCGCAGGCCGCCGCATAGCAACGTGCCCAGACGTCAGCTCGTCGCAGAACTCCACTTTCTACCACCCAAAATCCCAAATTGGTTACGGAGCGGTGGTCTAGAAAACCTCCTTCTAGGAAACCTGGGATCCAGCCTGACGACGTAGCAACCGCCTCTATTCGCCGCTTGTGAGGGTCGTGGCTCTGTTGACACCGCAGAATCCAGATTAATTGCGTGCCATCGCCCGCTTCCAGCTGGAGACATTCTCAATCCACTCTCCCCATTCCCGTCTAGTCTCCTGCATCCCATTCACCTCTTCCCTTTTCATCCACGGTGCTTTGATCCACTTCACCAGTTTCTGTTACAGCATCAACATTAATATCAACTTCATCTGCTGTTGTTGTTGTCCGGCAGGGACTGTTCGCTGTATTACGACTACAGTTACATTCCTTCCCCCCATCCTTCCTTCGCTTGCGCCTGTCGACCAATACTTGGTATAGAATTCGCATCGCGAGCGGCATCGGAATTCTAGTCGCTGAAGACTCCAGGAACGCCGTATTTTGCCAAAATCTTCCTCCAATAGTCCGAGGGCGATTAGGTTCGCCTCTCCGACTTCGTCGTTCGTTTGTTCGATCAGGACAGGACACTATCAAAATCACATCCTAAGGTGATACATCCTTCGACTTGCGACATCCCGGACGGGACCGATTAAGCCTACGGCTTGCATATTGATTCTTCCTTGCTCCCAGAAAACATATTCAAAATGAGAATATCAACAGTCCTCCCCGCCCTTCTTTCGGCTTCGCTAGCCGTCGCAGTTCCACTGGTGGAGCTGTCCAAGCGGCAATTCTGCGATTCGGGGTCGCAAGTTTGCTCCATATACTGCTGTCTACCCGGAGAACAGTGTGTTTACGACACCACCAACGAGACCGGCTTCAACTGTAAGCCGGTTGGTGACCCAAATTACCAGGTTGTCACAGAGGCCGTCTTCACCTACACCGTCAATCCAACTCCCACATTGATTGTTGTCAGTTTCGTTGGGGGCGGTGGGGGTGATATCACGACTCCTGTAGATCCAGTTGCAACTCCAGGGAATACCCCAGGGAATACCCCGGGAAACACTCCTGGAAACACTCCTGGATTTACTCCGGGGAATACTCCTGGGAACACCCCAACCGGGTCTCTACAGCCTCCGACTCAGCCAACAGGTACCGTAATTGTTATCCCAGGAACCACTACTGGTTCTTTCATTACTGCTATTCCAACTGGTACTGGCGTTGTCCCTGTCCCCGTCCCCGTTACTGGCGGTGGAGGTGGTCTTACAGCTGGCCAGATTGGTGGTATCATTGGAGGTGTAATCGGTGGGCTAGGTCTCTTAGCTCTTCTTCTCTTGTGGTGCTGTCTATATGGCATGTGTGCTGCATTTGGTGGTCGAAGCTCCTCTTCGAGTTCTGTTGAAGAACGAAAGACATGGAAATCTTATGTTCCTCTGGCCCTCGCTGGCGGAGCTGTTGCTGCTGGTCGTCATCGTCATAGCCACCACTCAACTACTACTATTACAACTGAGAAGAAGGGAGGCAGTCATGGCGTTGGAAAGACTCTTCTTGGCGGCATCGGCGCTGCTTGGTTGTTCAACAAGTTCAACAAGGACAAGTCAAAACATGAATACCATCCACCAAAGTACCAAGGTGCAGTCGCTGGACACTACAGCCATACCGGCGCAAGTTCGTATACTGGAGGCACTAGTTCTACCTCTACAACAAGCTACACGGATACCAGTAGCAGCTACTTCAGCCACTCATCGAGCAGTAGTGGGTTTGCTAGCCATGATTCGAGAAGTCCGCCACCGGCTAGGCCACCACCACCCAGGAGATATAGATAATCATCCCAGCCAGTTGGTGTCTAGTCCAAGTCATAATACGACATGTAGAAAACGGAAAAGGATAATTTCGCAGGTCGCCTATAGTTAATGTATTAGAGGGCGGCTTACCTGGTATTTTCCCTTATGTTAATTCACATTACTGGGTGAAGTCTTCGGACTTTGCCCATGCTACTGATATTTTTGGATCTTTTGGTTTCTTACTAGTTTTTACCGATTTCCTTCCGAGCGAGCCCCTGTTTACCGGTGAACAAGCAACATCCCGTTTTGTGTCCCCGTTTCATTTTCCCGTCCGGAACCTCCAGCGATCAATTCTGAACGACACCGTTGATATCACTTTTCGCGCGGTTTTAAGATTCTGGCTTCCACGGCACTTAGCAAAGCGAACGATGTTTCCCGTTACACCAACAACCCCCACCCCCTGCCAGAATTTTATTTCAAAGAACCTGTCCCACGCCAACATACCCAATATCAATATTCTCATTTGTAACTCATCACGACCTTCGCGCCACGAAGACGTCATTTGATGACCTTTAATGTACATAACTCATTACGAAACTTCCATTCAATCCTACCAACCCCACAACCAACACGCTCTCCCGGAAAACCAAATCCTGTCTTTCCTTGCTCCTCTATTCATTTCGATGCCTAGGAGTTTAGTGGAGTTACGAAGGCGTTATTTATGCAACCCTATATCCCCCATCATGATCTATTACAAAAACCAAAAAAAACTATTACTGCCTCTTCATGTACAGCTAGGATTGAGTTAACGAATATATGGAAATTTTCACCCACCTTCTAAAACTTGACGATTGAAAACGTAAACTGTAATAAAAGCTTGGACGTAATAAAAGCTCGGACGTAGTAAGTAGCCACTTATAAATGGCAGTTTTTGACCCAAATGACGACAACAGTCTGTACGTAGAGCCTCGCGCAGCAGCAATTAATTCTGGTTTACGAGATAAGAGCCTCGTGGACAACCTTCCGTATTAATATTAATAGAATATGCCGATATATATGTTTTTCGCTGCGGCATGCATGCACTGTAGCAAGCCACTAACGTGCTCGCACCAGACTTGTATTGCGACTATCACTAGATAAGGATTTTTTTTGACCCGTAAGCTTAGGTGTAAAATTTCCGCGCGAAGTGGGGGCAGGAAAAACAGATGAGGCGGAAGCGCTGTGTATACTGGGAATGCAGTGTCGGAGCCGAGCTACGTCGATATGCAGCGGCAGTTAATCAGTCCCAGCTTCTATCCCTGTTCTAATGGTTTAGGTCGGAGCTTAGAGCCTTATCGAGCCTCTTATGGATCCACAACACTTGCGCACTCGACAACACCAAAGGTCATGATATAATCATCATGCATACTATGTGGATTCTGGGTGGTCTAGCCTACTTCTTATTTTTATTTAACAAGGGTGGTTTTTTTTTATTGAGAAAGAAGGGAGACTAGGGTGGTAAGTGTTTTGTGCTTACGGTAGATACAATCTCGATTTTTACGGATATAGATGGTTGTAGGGCACGGGGAAATTACCTTATATTGGCTAGTTCATCCGCACTTGCAGGATATATCGATATCAGAAAATCAATATCATAGGGCCCAGCATGCATACACGAGAGTCGATCATGCATGTTTCTAACTAGTACTCTTTTCCCTTCTCCGAAAATTATATCTATACCCTAGTTGACACTTGTTCTGATTTGCAAAAATAAACGTATGCCTAGCCACATCTTACACTCTAAAGATGGCAAATATGCTTGTCAAATATAGTGGATTGTTAGACAGAGAGGGCATCAAGACAAGGTTATGACCCTACCCGGTTAACGGCCAACCGTTCGGACGGGATATGGAATTTGTGGAACAAGGAATGGGGTCTCTTTGTTAGAGATACACGGCAGGTCTATCACTTTTCCCAGTTTGGACTTTTTTTTGAATTTTGTATTCGCGATGCATCGATGATGCATGCGATTTTCCTTCGCCATCAGATACTACCGACGGCTTATAAAGGGTCCAATATAGAAAATAAATACATCTTATCTGCCGTCTACGGGCGAAAGAACACGGATTGCGTAAATCCGAAACCGCGGATGCTCATGTTGAACACGGGGAGGAAATTGTTGGAGGGGTTGACTGAATGGTTTGATAGAACGTCGTACGAACATCTTTACCGATGATGTACAGAGCTTGTACCTCGCATGGTGGATAGAAAGCCCATGCAGTTATTGCGAAGTTTTTTTTTTTTTTTTTTTTTTTTTTGGGTGTAACGTCAACTAGTACGGAATGTATAGATATTCCCGAAGCAAGGGACAGTTTATTGAGATTGTGATGATCGTATATTTTACAAATTCTATGAAGAGATCGGAAAACTTTGTGATGATTAAGTTGACGATGGGGTTAGATTAATGTGATATTTTGTAAATAATTTGGTTCTAGATTTGGGTTAATATTATAATATGGAACATAAGATTTTGGTCTGTTTGAGGAAGTCCTCAATATTCCACATTCGAGTCATTTAATGTTTTGTCGTAGTATATTTTTTTGTTTTACACGCTCCATATTGAATTCATGCAAAAGCGTTTTAATACAAAGCTAGTATTGAATTAGATACTAATAAACCGGCCCACTTTTAAAATATCCGCCGTTTATGTTAAATCCTCGGACATACGTATCTAGTTGGTGAGTTCACGAACCCAGTAAGCTCCGGATCACCGCAGGTATATCATGCAATCCATGTAGCTCAAGTATTAGACCACCTTTTTATAGAAAAAACATCGGGGCAGTCTTCCTAATCCTAACCATGTCGTCCGCTACCATATGCCCGTATTTACGAAATAATATGTTATATGGTCAAGGCTTTTTAGTAGTTTCGACCAATTAAGGAAATCATAAATATGTGACAACGTTCTGCAGGGGAAGCATGGACCCTAACTACGCGAGAAAAGATATCGGATCCACGCTGTGGGGTCCAAATCTACATTCTAGGTAGATCGATATGGGGCGAATTCGCGAACAGGCAGACGTATCTAGGTATGTTAAAATGTTCTTGACTTTTCGGTACTTTCTGTGTTAATCCTTCTTTTTTTTTTCTTTACAAAAAAACAAAAAAAAATTGTACAAGAAAGAATACGAGTGAGTTGTACGACAAGCTGAAGTTGAACGAGACCTAGAACAACTGTGTTGATTGACATGGTGGTTTCTTACTAAAATAGCCGCCAGGGTGAAGTATATTTTATACAGACCCCAGATCAGGTTTTTGGAATGTTCGTCATATATTAATTATTGTAAAATCCTCTGGACAGTACAGTTGGCAGTTATTCGATTAAACAGACTATACATTACATTACATTGTCCCTTATTTTAAGGGTTAAATTGTAGGAAACAAGCTTTGTTGCGTATCAAATAAAACGTCAGAGGGATGTAATATTCTGATTACTCTCCCAGCCATTCGCAGTTGTCGAATCATGCAAGATTTCGGCTGTTGGAAGTGATTGGCCTGGAAAGTAATCGAGACCGGCAGGCCCGACGTCGATACGAGCCAGAAAGACCAGGGACAGACAACGCAAAAAATACCACACCAGACCGGGTGGACCAAACAGGCAGTGCACTTCTGTTTCCTTTTGTGTTGAGTGGGTCTGCAGCAACAGCAACAGCAGCTGGTGCCTGTCGACTTCGACATTCCTCAGGAACGGCTCTTGTATGGATTTGACATCCACCCCCTTCCTTTCATTAGCTTAGCTTAGCTTAGCTAGCAAAAAACAAAATCTCATTCTCATCCCAACAGAACAAAGCTATCTAAGTACTTAGCTTCAACGACATCTTCTGGCCCTTGCTCTTATCTCCGCTTCAAAGGCCTCAAAAGCGGCATCGTCACATTCTCTGTCCTTCTCGGCGGCACTCAAGCTTAGCGAACTATTACTCGATACATTGACAGTTCCTCAATCTGATAGCCTACTTTATGTAAGTACTTGAGTACCCGGGTAGCCAATTACTTGCTCAATTACTGACCCAGGCCGCTACATTAGTAGGCTGTAGGTTGTGAAATTATTTGGGACTGCTGACTGGCTAGGGTGGACCCTTGATGAATTGATCGACGACTATTCTCACTGTGATATCCCACACTTATCCAGTAGACCCTAGCTTCATTGAGCCTCAGTTATCGCCATATATCCTTAGTAAGTAAGTAGGTGGAGCCGGGCTTCCTGAACATCTCAGAGTGGCAAACATACCAACGGTCCTGCCCAAGCATTCAGATGGTTTTCCTCATGACATATTCGTGCACACTCTCGCGTATGTTCTAGGACCCCTGTTACGCAGCCGGGTGGTCAAAGGGAAAAAGCATTCTGCAGGATGTTCTTTGCTAATCTCTCCGTGTGTTATGACCAGGCTAAACGACCTTCGTTCATATTACTCGTTTTTCTCTTTTGTCAGGTGGATCCATCTTCCCTGTCCGACAAAGTCCATTGTAATCGACCGATCTTTTGCATGACACTCTGCTTAAAGAGTGTATAAATACTCACAATGGACCCTCCATACCTACCACCACCTTTACTACAAGTTACCAGCTCTGGCAGTCCTATTAGCCGTCCCTCTAACGACTCTGAGATTCGTCTCGAAGGCCCGGAGACAGAGCATCTCTCCAGTTTTATCGACCGCTATTCACCATCGCCTAATCTTCGAAAACAGCTCGGATACATCTTTCAACCCTATCCCCAACTCCACTCTCCTTTGTCGACGAGTACGACGGGCTTGGAAATAGAAGGAGTAGATTCCCAAACACCTGCAGCTAGTATCATTGGAGTGGACCAAGGTGTTAAATCGGTGCTTTATAGTACTACTACTGCTACTACTACAGGTGTGAGACGAACTAGTGACCTACCTGGTGTTGACATTTCTCCTGTTGAAAATTATCATCTTGGAGCCCTTCAGCATCTGAAGAAGCTTACTCCGGCTCAGCATATAGATATGGCTGCTCCGGGAGAGATTAACGAGTGGGCTGGAACACTGCCGTTGGCTGCTGACCAACATAGTGAAAGCCTCGAGTCCAAAGGACAGTTGGTTGACCCGGCCGATTTGAGTTTTGATGGGCCGGACGATAAAAGAAATGCTAGGAATTGGAGTTTGAGGGAGAGGCTGTATGGAACGATGGTTCCGGCCTTTGCTTGTTTTGTTGTGTGAGTCTCCGTCCATCTAGACGTTTCTATTTGACAGTGGGGTCTTCTGGGTTGAATAGAGATTGTGCATGGGGAATCAAATAAAATGGCATTATTAAGCACAGATACTGATTTTGAGATAAATAGGAGCTTCGGGGCAAGTGTATATGCTCCTGCCGTATTCGCGATCCAGCGGGAATACGGCGTTACCTTGACTCAAGCATTAGCTGGGATTACCACTTATGTTCTGGGAATGGCTTTTGGTATGCCACACCCCCCCGTGATTCAAGCATTTTTATGATATGTTGTATAAAAGGAGCTAACGGCATTGTCCTAAAAAGGACCATTGATTGCTGGCCCTATCTCGGAAAGCGTTGGACGCCGCGCTGTCTACTTCGTTGCTCTGCCAATTGCAGGTGCTTTCACCCTCGGTGTCGCCTACGCTCCAAATCTCGCTACTATTCTAGCATGCCGTTTCTTCTCCGCCATGTTCGGGGCTTCTGTACTCGCTGTTGGTGCAGGTACAATTGCAGATATCTGGGATCTCCGAGGCACAGCAGCGGCCTTAAATGCCAGCTGCCTTTTCCTAGCCATGGCCTTCATGGGCCCTGGTTTTGGTCCTTTGGTCGGGTTCTATGTCATAGCAGACGGTAGACACTGGAGATGGACGATGCTCATTAGTATATTTTCCTCTAACCTCGTGGGTCTGCAGACCTGAGCTAACAAGTGCCTATATAGTGTGCATGTTGATCCTCCCGGTCACCATCCTTGTTTTCTTCGCTCGGGAGACCTACTCGAAGGCCATTCTTGTAGCTGAAGCTAAAAAGCAGGGAAAAATCATTAAGAAACCTCCACCAAAGGAAGGTTTAAAACTACTTTTTACAGTAACTCTGTTTCGCCCCATCAAGATGATATTTTCAGAGCCGATCGTATGCTTCGTTTCATTGTAAGTCGGATATTTCTTACTCTCAACACTACCACACACTGATTTTTATCAATAGGTACAATGGATTTTGCTTCGCCGTTTTCTTCGCCTTCTTCGAGTCAATTCCATATGTTTTGTTATTCGAGTACCGGTCATCTCAAAGAGGTATGGGGAATGCATTCATCTCCCTCTGGATCGGCGTCCTGCTCGCATCCATCATGTGTGCTCTCTTTGAGCGGTATGTCTATCAACCCCGACGGGAGACTCGCATCGCAAAGGGCCTTCCCCCAATACAGCCGGAGGAAAAGCTTTATGCTGCATTGGTGGGATCGGTTCTTTTCCCTATTGGGCTCTTTATTTGGGCTTGGACTGCAAGAAGTGACATTAACGTTATCATTCCGTTGATCGGATGCGTGTTGTTTGGTTGGGGTGCTGTTGCAACTTTCGTAAGTATTTCCTTCACAGAAGACATATATGATCAATAAGCTGATGGTTTAACAACATAGATTGTCACGGCTGTTTATTTGGTTCACATTTACAACGACCTTCTTGGTGCTTCCGCCCTTGGAGCCAACAGCCTCGTCCGTTATGTTATGGGTGCCGCCTTCCCCCTCTTTACAGTTCAAATGTACCGAAATCTAGGCATCCCTCACGCTGGAACTGTCCTGGCTGGCATTTCTGTCGCCCTTATGCCCCTTCCCTGGGTAATATTTGTTTACGGAGCAAGGCTCAGAGAGAAAAGCAAGTTTATCAATGAGGTGAGCGGCAAGGAGGTAGAGGACAGCGATTCCCCAGGTGTATAAAGCTGGTACAAAAGGATGGTTGCTGTTCGCTTTTTTGTTGTAATTAATGGCCTTTTTTTGTTTTTCGCTTTTTTCTGTCTTCATTTGTAATGCGGTTATGACGGTTATGCATGCACAATCAACAGGCTTGTTCTTCTGCGGTTTTGTATCTCTGTTTTCTACACCCCTTTTTCGTTCTCTCCCTAATGCTGGCTCTAATACTTCTCGGTTTGTGGATCCATTTCATTACCATGGATCATAAAAGCATCCGAATAGTAGTAACGTCTGCAGAAGAACCATCAAAAGGTCGCTTCTGTTATCCTTATCATTTGATTGATTTGGAATTCCTAGCTTCGATTGCAAGCTTCAAAGCTTAGCTTATTCACCCTTGTCTTTACAGGGACAGGAGCACATGGGTGTTCAATAATGTTTATTTCCAAAAGTCCCACTTCAATATATCTTATAATAGTGCTCTCCCAACTCATGAATAACCGCTGCTCCTCTCGTATTATTCCTCTTTGCTCGACAAAAGCCCGGGATATTCGTACCAGTTACAATCGAACCAGAAAGTCTATTGATTCGATAGTGTGTTGGCTATGTGGTATTCCTTTCAACCGGGGATACCCCACCGGCTTAATCGGACTTGGTGAGAGATAGCCGATTCTAACCCATCGGATAGCCGGGGCTAAAAGGGCATCTCCGAGCGGGAGGCCGAAAAAGAACGTTTCAGATCGCTTCGTACGAAATGCAACTAGTCCACGGGAGGTGCAGCTGAGCCTGGGAAATTTTTGCTTGGCATACAGATACAGTTAACGTCCTGTCCTTCTGACGCGAAATCTTGCATTGATAACGAATTCTGGGCCTAATCCATACGGGCATATATAGGCGTGGCTTCAGCAGCCCTAGAGCTTCTAGTTGGAAAGTGCTCTAGATTCATGGATAGTTCGAGTTTTATGGCGTAGATAACTATTCCCAAAGAACAATAGCTACCGGGGTACGGGGAAGTAAGGATTGAACTTATATCCCCGGCCAATTGATCGTGACTAAGTGCAAGCGCACAATTTTTCTCTTTCTCTCTTTTTTTTTTTGTTTTGTAAAAAACAGAGATGGTACTAAACTGGCCATGGGTTAACTAGAACCAACAGTTCGGAATCGATCGTTCCCGGCAAGTACCTTCCGGGAGCAAGACTTGACTCAATGGAACCTCGACGGGCCAGGGACATGGGCGTTTCTATTACCTGATTGATACTCCCATGTGGCTCCAAAATGCGAGAGAATGGGAAATATGTGGAGCGCCGCCCGTTGGAAAACTTTAGACAACAGAATTATTTTTTTTCTTAACCGAATATGTGAAAACGTGAGAGAGTTGCTTAATAATAGTGCGAAGTGATAGTGACTCCCAATTCTTGTATAAGAGCCGTATGCGGGAGGAACCTTTTCAATTGATTGTATCTAAGTATCTGGGAGTTTTTATTTTTATTCGAAGGTTGAGCATTAAGAGGTTCTTCGTCTCTTAAATTTTCGAGATCGGTATCTGGGCAAAGGAATTGAAGCTAGCGATCAGACTTAATTAATATCCGATTCGAACCAAACGGCAAATACAATCGGCTAGAAAGCTAAGCTTCAAGCTGCCGCCAAAACGTCATTAGACCGCGCTCCCTACCGAAAATAATAGAACTCCAAACACCAAAACCAACAGCATCTTCCGGAGATCAAGACAACTAATCCGGCCAATTGGCGGTCTACGGGCTTTATACTTTTTTCTTTTAATTTCTGAAATACGTACGATATTTACATTCTTCGCCACAATTGCAATTAGCTAGGAGATATATCAACCCCTACTTCGGACGCCAATCGCCAAGGGCTAAGAAATCTACAAAGTTCGGTATCTGGGGTCACAAGCATCCGCATTGCATTCACGGAACAACATTTCTGCGGTGAAACGAGTTTAAAATTTACGGGCGGGCATATACGTTCCTGTCATTTGTTCTAGACGGAATATTATATCTGAAGCATCAATTTTCTTTCGATTGACATATATCCATTTTCGTGCAACACCCGAATTTTTGGAAGGTGTGACAAGGGATTAAGGTCCCTGAAAGTGATTGACAGGCCCGGTTGCGATTGAAAGAATTGACTATATTGGAGAAGGAAGAAAGGGAAAAGGGGGGGGAAAGGCTTTTGGAGGATGGACACGAAGATTGACGTGAGCCGACCAGCGGCTGATATTGAGGAAAAGAAGACAGAAAAGGATTTTGACTACAGCGCGTCGACGGTGGCGAATAGTGAACGCTCCAAAGATGGCGTTAGCAAGGAAATCCGAAATAGCGGGGACGGGCCTGAGGGCGTAGAGATTGTCGAAGATGCTGGAATAGTGGTCGATGACAGCGCACCGCCAGATGGTGGCTATGGTACGTATTTCTAAATTTCGAGTTTTAATATAGAGAGGGATGCATGCTAATGATAATTATAGGATGGGTTTGTGTTCTGTGTAACTTCTTTATCAACTCTTGGTTAGTCGATCTCGGACTGCTGTACGACGCGAATATAGTTCTTGTACCTGGCTAACATGACGTTCTTACGACCAATAGCACATGGGGTATCAATAGCTGTTACGGCGTTTACCTGTCATACTATCTGACCCACAATCCGCCACTGTTCAAGGAAGCTACGGCATTTGATTATGCCCTTGTTGGTGGTGTATGTACTCTAACTTTTCTTGATTCTCACTCTTAACTAGAGATCGAACGTCTACTAACATATAGGTTTTCTAGATTACCGCCGGCTGGGCCATGTTAATATCCCCCCTAGCAAATCTTCTTACTCGCAAATATTCCAGCAAAGTGGCCTTACTTATTGGCTCGACCCTCCAGTGCGCAAGTTTAATCGCTGCTAGTTTTGCATACAAGGTCTGGCACTTATACCTCGCCCAAGGTTGCCTCTTTGGTATCGGTATGGGGATGCTCTTTGTTGCATCTGTTGGGATCTTACCGCAGTGGTTCCATAAGCGACGGAGTGTTGCAAACGGTATATCCGCCGCGGGCAGTGGTATCGGTGGTCTTGCATTTTCTTTGGGTACAGATGCAATGCTTCAGCGACTTGGCCTAGCGTGGACGTTTCGAATTACCGCAATAGTGGCATTTGTTGTCAATACTACTTGTAGTATTTTCCTAAAGGATAGGAATAAGAATATCAATCCAGAGATTAAAATGTTTGATTTGAATCTCATTAAGAGGGTTGAGTTCTTATATGTGGTTGGGTGGGGTGCTTTTAGCATGTTGGGATATGTAAGTCTGGTTTCTTCGATACGATTCGACGAGGTTCAATTGCTAACAGAGAGTTTTTTTTTTTTAAGGTTGTGATCCTATTTTCACTCCCTAACTATGGTGTTTCCGTCGGTCTTACACAATCACAAGGTAGCATTATGGGTGCTATGCTCAATCTCGGAATGGCGATTGGTCGACCATTAGTCGGTCTATACTCTGACTCCTGGGGTCGTATCAACATCGCAGGGTCCCTCACTTTCATCTGTGCTCTTACGGTTTTCATAATTTGGATTAACGCCAAGTCTTTCGGCGTCCTTATCTTCTTCGCTTTAATCAACGGTGCCATCTGTGGTACTTTCTGGACAACCGTACCACCAGTTACAGCCGAGGTGGTATCTCTCAAACAACTACCGTCCGCATTGAATCTCATCTGGTTATTCATGATCGCTCCCTTAACATTTTCCGAAGTTATCGGGCTGGAATTGAGGAGACACTATTGGGTTGGTGGGATTGAAAAGAGTGATTACTTGCATCCGCAAGTTTTTGCAGGGTTGATGTACCTTGTTGCGGCGGTTATGATGTTGCTGCTTAGAGGGTGGAAAATTGCATATGAAGATAATCTGGCGGGAGATGATGCCGGGCCTGAGCAGAAGTTCGGGAAGGGGAGGAATAAGTGGATTCGGTGGGCTAAGGTTTAACGCTACGAAGGTGCTGTGGAGTTCGACGTTCTGTATACGTCTAGAACCAACCCTTGGACCGGCACAAATAATGTGGAGATGCATAACTGGAGATGCATAACATGACAAGACTACTACTTTTTTTTTTTTTTTTCTTTTCTCACGAAGGGACGAATTTCTTAGTATATATTATGCTGCATTTCGCATTACGATTTTGTATAATACTGCATTACATTCCCGGTTTCTTATTTGCATTGGACTGGCGAGATTCCGGTTTACTCTGTTAATATTTTAATGGCATATACTTATATATAATGAGACGAAGACTGGATACTGCAATGAGGTACTTAGGCTAGGTAATCGAGCGCTCGTAAACATGTTAACATACATAGCCTTTGAGTCATAGTTAAGAGGGGTATGGATTGAATTTTAGGCTACGTCCCGCCGATAGCGCTGCAATGAGAAATCTAGATGCTTACCATCGGCATCGATACTCCGAGCTGACTAACAAGACGTCAGAGAAACTGCACCTGATCAAGAAAGGCCTGGATATATACGTAACCATGCTGTAACGCATAACCCGCCGTCTAGCGTTTTTAACCATTCCAAGGTCTATTGATTGACTTTTTTTTTGCTTCTCGGTTGAAAATTGTTACTACTTATTTTGATCGACGAGGAGTTTAATTTGGTAAACGGACCTCGGGTGCGGAGAGAGGTCCTTTTTCATTTCGGGCGTGGGACACGTTTCGAGCACCTTTTTCTTTAAAGTGAAAAGCTAAACGGGGTTGTATCACACGAAAACGATTCTATCGCGTGTAAAGCGGGAGGATCCTTACTTTGTACGACGATATGTAAGATTGTTATATAAAATTAAATGATTTCGAGATTGAGAGAGTTATAGCTTCATGATTGTCAACTTACTCTTAATAAGTAAGTTTTTGTAAAGGTGTCATATGAGTTCTAATTAATATAGAACTCTCTAACCTGAGAACTTCTTTCCGGACTCCGTTTAGAATCCTACTCTTATTGTTGGTTAATTTCTAAATATATTTATTATTTTTCATGGTTCTTGGCCGCAAATGGTAAAATATGCGATATCTTGATATTCACTTCCTTGAAACGATCAGGACAGATGGGTAGGTGCATGCAGAGCTCGGGTGATGCAGGGGGGCTATGTGGTACGATTCTCCGAATCTTCTGTATATGAGATTGATATCGATCTCGTTAATTTAATAATTAATTTCGACGTCATTGGTAGACAATATCTGCCAGCGCTTTCCGCATATGAGTACTCGAGTGGATCAAATTAGTTCTTGAAGTGTACTAGTAGTCGGCGGCATCTTCACAAAGGAAAGTACCCGATATATAGCACAGCAGAAGAGGCTGCGTAACGCCGGAAACTATGTTATCACGATATAGATCTTGAAGCTGAGATTAAGTTTCACCCATAGTACTATAGTATGTAATCAATGCATGCATGCGTGGGTTCTGGAGCATGCATGGTATTCGACTAAATAGATCGAATCCCACGCTTTGATAAATTAAACAGGGGATCCCGTCAACCGAGGAGGCCCAAGGGATGATAGGGAAAGGAGCTGGCATAAAATACCCTGGCTATCACCCAAGCTTGACCCCTTTCTTGGACTCTAATCTGAAAACGGATCTCGAGATATTGCGATTGAGTTCCCTTTGCATTGCATATGCCGTGAAAGTACAACGCATTGTGCCATGTTGGATAATAGCCTGGCATTTCAGGCCTCGATGGGACATGGAGATATCAGTTAACGAAGGAGGGAAGAGGGAGTATTTTAACCGGACAATTGTTCCGGATGCTAGATGAAGATGATTTTGAGAAAGAATTGAGGTTATGATGGTTAGAGAATTGGTGGGATTATAGCAGTAGTATCAGACTGATATAGTACTGCTGTAGTCTGGAATTAAAGAGTGTCCACATAGTGAGCAGTGCAGTACGGATAGGAATCGCTTTCAACTTACACCGAGCCTGTTGTTCTCTCTTGTTTCCTCCCCATCGCTCAAATCTTCAGACTTCATCTACATCTCCCTCATCTCCTCTTCATCATCATCGCCATCACCATCGCCACCCCTGTCTATCAACTTCATTAGAGCTTCCTCCTCTTGGTTTTTGATAGATACTCACTCGTTAGATTGGTCTTCGGACTTGATCAATCGAAGTCGTGTCGGTATTGAGCTGGTTAGTATCTTTATTCTCTACTCTGCTTGAACTCAAGTTACTATTATACCCATTTCATGTATCCAATACATCTTCAATGACGATTCTCATCGTCTACAAAGCATACATATAAAGTGATATCAACTCGTCCGTCGTCTTATGTTATTTCCTGGCCTGCTGCATTCGCTTTGTTCAATCCGAAGATATACATATGCTTCAATCTGACAAAGCCATTCTCTCCTTCTCCAACATTGTTTCTCAAGTCCCTTCTTTAGTAGTATGATCTGTCGTTACTACTAAGTGTCTATCGTGCTTTTTTTTTTTTGAGTCTTTCCGTGCTATTTTCCCCGTTAGTCCTCTCGCTCACCCCCCATCACTAGTCAAAAATGGTGGCCTTCAAACTTAGGCAATGTCTTCTCGGACTTGCCACATTGGCCTGCTTCACGCCGGTCGATGGTATCCAGCCAGTCAATCGCAATCCTACCGGTCTTACGCTCTTTGGCCGAAAGGCTAGTACTTCGCTCGTTTCCAAACCTGGTGATGCCCCCAAGAAACGTTCTGCAATTGCGAATGCAAACCCCGAGCCTTACTACTACTACGTCCCACAATCATATGATGCTCCACCTTATTATCCACCCCATGTTACTTCTTCGGATCCAGGGACTACCAGTACCTCTACTTCTACCACTTCGTTGAGCTCTGCTTCTTCGTCTGAATCCACTACATCTGGAGAAGAGACTGCCACCTCTTCTGGAACTAGTACTACTTCTGGAACCTCAACCTCAACCTCGGTGACTACCACCTCTGGTGTAAATAGTACTACGAGCTCAGAAACTGGATCGGTCACTTTAGAGCCTGAAACCACAACGACGACGACGACGACTAGTTCTTCAAAAACTGCTGCTTCAGCTCCTGAAACAGAGACTACGACCTCCTCGTCGAGTGAAACCATTGACTTCACTACTAGTAGCACCACTACTGTTGTTACTACTATCACTGTCACGCTGACTAATTCGAGGTATGCACATGAGTTATTCTTATATCCTCGGAACCTTGCAGGATCATAGTCTCGGAGAGACTACAAATTACCTATAAGTCCCCATGATTCTAACCTAGAACGGTAACATTCTTTGAATAGCTCTACTTTGACGACAAGTTCCGGGTCTTCCGTTATATCTTTCCCAGAGACGGAAACTACAACGACTACGTCGACTTCGACCATTGCTTCGACTTCTAGCTCATCGTTTCCTACTACTATAGGGTATGCATAAACATAGCTTCAGTGTTTTCTTTTTAGCCATGCAAATTCGATACCTCATGAGTAACTGGAAATTCATTCATCCATTAGTTCAAACTCGTCAACCGTCGCTACGACGACAACATCGACATCGACGGAGACGTCCTCTGTGATATCAGTTCCCGAAACGACATCAAGCATTGAAACTACAAGGTTAGTACGCTCCATGTCGGACATCCAACTTGACACCAACCCCTTCAACCTAGATTTAGTTAACCAACTAACACATTTATACATTTGTTCGATCAGTAGCAATTCGACAACTAGTTCAACCTTTTCTGGGACATCCGTTGAGACATCTTCCGTTGTTTCGAACCCAGAGACTGAGACTACTACCTCAAGCTCATCATCTTTCGTAACTTCCACAGCCACTAATGCTAGTACTAGCACTATCGTTCCCACGTCAAGCTCGAGCGAATTGTCCACTACGACGCTCACGATTACTAACACCACTTCAACTACAGCTATCTCAACGTCAACTTCAAGCCTGATTAGCGACCCAGAAACAAGTACCACATCCTCTCTTTCGTCTTCTAGTCTCTTGACATCGGTCAATGCTACAACTACAACAACCGTGACTATACCTTCGAGCAGTTCAAATACAACTACATCACTTGAGACAAGCACTACATCCCTCACTACATCCTCGTTGAATGCAACAACTTCGTCTAGCACTGTTATTAGCGAGCCTCCCGAGACCTCGCCGACAACTTCTAGTTTCTCTACTTTAACTAGTTTCAATGTTTCTTCTACGACTACAAGTTTTACTTCATTGACCACCAGCAATGTCACAGTCACTATCTTCAATTCGACGACAACCATCACTTTCCCTACTACAACATCCAGCCAGCTGGAGACGACTACGTCGATTTCAACAACGACTTCATTCAATGCAACTACTACTGTCACAACTTCTTTGTCCACTTCCTCGAGTATTGGTAATTCGACAACATCTCTTGCTAGCACTTCGACCATCACATCTGCAAATAGTACGACGACAGGATCAAGCAGTCTCATTTCGGAGCCGGAGACATCAACAACATCTTTTACTACCACATCTTTGAATGGTACTGCGACTTCTTCTGTTCCTGGGAATTTGACTACTTCAACTTTCACCAGTAGCATTGGGACCTCAACAAGCACAATTTTGTCCACAATATCGGTTCCAGAGAATACCACAACTTCGACATTCACCACAACTTTTGGTGAATCAACATCTACGGGAACGACTACAATCACAAGCTCAGGAAACTCTACAACGACATTCGTCACAACGGTTCCAAGTTCTACCACAACCGGGACCACGACTTTTAACGTCTCGACCACCTCAGGGACTTCTAGTCTGCTATCTGAGCCTGAAACTTCGACTGGTACAGCGACGATCAACGATCCTGGGAACTCTACAACAACGGCTACGATTACATCCGGAACTACAACGGTGACTACAGGAACCTCGAGTCTTATTTCTGAGCCCGAAACATCATCTACGTCAACCGTGACCACGGCTAGTAATTCAACAAGTACCTCCGTTACGACGATTACTTCTGGTACTTCAACCACAACTATTTCTATCACCTCAGAGACTTCAAGTCTGATTTCGGAACCCGAAACATCGACGACCACCGGAGTTACTTCAGAAAATTCCACAGTTACATCTACTACGACTATCCCATCCGGAACAACGACCATAACACTCTCGACGACCTCGGAAACATCAAGTATTATATCCGAACCTGAAACATCCACTGGAACCTCTTCAAGCACAAGTAGCCCCTCCACATCGGCTTCCACAAGCACTGGTACCTCAACCATTACACTTTCCGGCAGTACATCGACGATTACATCAACCATCACGTCTGAATCCACGACTTTCACGGAAACCTCTACAATTTCTGACCCCGGCACCACATTGACATCGACTTTTACAACCACTAGTGTCTCTTCATCGTCAATTAGGTACTATGGATACCCTCCGGAACCCTGGTTCTCTTCCATTCCTACCCAAATTAGCAGTACCACACTGGAATTAAGCACATCCTTTGTATCCTCTAGCAGTATCTCGGAACCTGGTGAAACTGATACGTCTGGTACTAACAGCATCGTGTCAACTACCAGTAGTTCGCTGAATACACTCCCAACCACCCCTCCAGTATCTCCGGAAGGAATATGCGGCCCAAGCAACGGGTTTGGTTGCTTCGGATCTTCGTTTGGTCCATGCTGTTCTCGATCCGGGACTTGTGGACGGGATGCTCTACACTGTATTGTAAATTGTCAGCGTCGATTTGGTGATTGCTCGAACTCAAATCTTAGTCCCGATGGTACCTGCGGTGGAAGTACGGGATACGTTTGTCACGCAGCGGCTGGTGGCACTTGTTGCTCTCAATTTGGGTATTGGTAAGTGTTTTTTCTATCTAGAATCTTGAAGCCTTTTTCATGCTAATAGAATAATTATAGTGGCAATTCTACCGCTTACTGTGGAGGTGGCTGCCAACCTGCTTTCTCGGTTACCGGGACGTGTAACATCAATCCGGATGCTTCTTATGACGGCCGATGCGGTATAAACTTTGGTAAGACTTGCAATGACGGGCCGTATGATGGGCAATGCTGCTCTCAATACGGATATTGGTAAGTCTTTTTTCTTTTCCTTGAGATCTGGCATTCAGGCGTCAATTCGCTGACGAAATTGCAAAATACAGTGGTGTCACTGAAGCGCACTGCGGCCCGGCCTGCCAATCCGGCTGGGGTCGGTGCTCTGCTCCTTGAATTAGGTTTTCAATATACTCTGTTGTGCTTTTCTTTTATGTTACCATATCGATTTGAAAGCTGGTGTTCCATTCAAGCCGTGGTCGGTTGACTATATGAAATGCAACCGATCAGCTATGAACAACCACCTTTCTTTCCTATACTGCGGTTCCTAATACCTAATACGCCTCCTTTTTGCTTGGGACTTTCGAACTTGCCAACAAAAACTGCTTGTGCTCCAACTGCCTGTCTATATAAATAAAATATAACTATAGAAGGCCATCAATGAAACTCACATTAGAATACAGCAACCAAGGTCGGTTATCGGGCCAGTTGGTCGGTGATACGGCATATAGGTACAATTTAGACCAGTAGACCTAGGAAAAAACTATGTGCAACATTTCTATCAGTGTTACTGATCCAGCAAGTACTCAGATACATGATAGGTTTTTAGGTGTTTATCATGCCCCTCGTGTCAAAGTAGCCTTAGGACCATTCGCACAATGCCTGATCACGTCATTCAAATTCATGCCCGATGCAAATATCCCAAGCAGAGTCTAATTTCTACATCTATTGTGTATTGATTTACGGCTTGAGTCTCGATTTATGCATATAAAAAGGACGATATCCACCCGTTCCTGTTGTCACAATTTAATTAACACCGACTAACACAGCACAGCCCGCTACCTACCCCCACAGAAGCGAGAATCATCAAGAATAATCTAGGATATACTCTTAAATTATAGATTTAAAATTAAAAAAAAAAATGTCTCTTCCTAACGGTCGCTACTATATCCTCTACGACGCTGACAGAGAGGCGCGCCATGTTTTTCGCGCTCCAGCCGAGGACCTTTCACTTCTTCCCAAACGTATATTTGCCTTGCCCCGAGGAGTACGTGGGCATAACGTAAGTATTCTCTTGAAGTTTTATCTATTTGAGTTAAATATATAGAAGCCAGATAGCCTGGTTTACGAGAAGGGGAAAAAAACTATGTATTTGGTTCCCAATTCACATCATTTTACTCTTCGAATAAACCCTTTGTGAACTTACATCCAAACATCCATCCATTTCCCATGCACCATGAAGAAAAGAGGTCTGAATACAATTCATGGAGTTGATTGGTTAATACAACGGGTACAATAGTGGAAACTCGAGAATAAGGGCGGTGGAGTTGTGGACTTAGAAGCAGATGGAGCTCCTACCGGTGTAACTCCTCGGAGAACAGACGATGGACCCTATGCCTTCCTTATAATAGAGCTAGCGAGGACAATAGGATGGAAAATAGAGAAAGCCGAGGGTGGAGATGACCGAGGTTATATGTAAGAAAGCTGCCAATTTAACCCCTTTAACTTCAGGTTATAAACTCTACATCTACATAGTCTTGAGGCTAGCCATAGACATATGAATACAACATACTGACAAAATTATCCCGCCAACTGGCATAGAATTACAACAAACGATGGTGAGCTTGCCTGGACTGTTACCGATCGAGCAGCGGGTATTCGTGGAAACGTGGTAAGTCTTTTACTCTTCCCCCCCCCCCCCCCCCCCTTTTTTTTTTTTTTTGTTTTGAAATCACTTGATGGTATTACTATAGCCAGTATTTTGAATATCAAGCAGTCGATAGTAATAATTTAAATTGTTACAGATTGGACTGGAGCCAAAGGATGGTTCCCCGCGACAAGTGTTTCTTTTTGTTAAAGATAGTAATAGCTATGGTGGATACGACGACGGCGACGGCGACGATGACTATTTCCCGTCGAGGGCAATTCGTAAACCCGCACACAGGGAGAAAGAACATGTGCCACAATCCCGATTTGGGTCTAAGAGAAACGGTCGTGGCCGGAACTTTTGCGATTAAAGTATCGTCGGAGTGTTAGACACCGGCCGGGTAGATTGACTTGCATGGCGATATTAATATTTCGATTCATGAATACTACTATTTCTTTGAGACTTTCAACAGTCTCTTAACTGGACTTTTAAACAAATTTTTGGGGGATTAACATGCAAACCTGTAGTTACTAGTATACTAAGAAAGTATCTACAAAGAACAGAATGTATTTTTTTCAGATCCGATTGTTACACTCGTTCCCTGTCCTATCATTCATTCACTCGGTGACCACCCCGCGTCTTTCTAAAGGTAGACAAATTTAGAGGCCACTTCACCATTTTTTTGTTTAAAATCGAGGCACTAAATACCGTAAGTGAAGAAACAAACCGTTAGCCATAAGAGCCGAGAGCAGCAGAGAAGTCAATCCAAACAATGATATGATACGTTTAAAAACTAAGCTTGTTCGACACGGAGTTTAAGGGGGAAAACACGAACTAGTCCGACAGTTGGGTCCATGGCGTGCTACCACAGGCCAGTTGTGCATGATCGGCTCGAGACATTTTAGACACTTAGGCATGGAACCCCGCCATCGAATAACCTCATCGATTCTTCCTATGACACTTCAAACTTAGTACAGCCTACTTCGAATATACGCTATGGGCGGACTCTGGAACCCGATTTACTACAGTTAACATTAATATTAATTATTATGATATAATACATACCTCGTACTACCGGCCACCGCTGCTTTTGTGTAACACTAACGCATCCCAGCCGCTTCTGCAACGATAATTCGGGATCTACGGGAAGTAGCGAGGCTGGGATGGAGCATCAGAGCTGCAGAGTAGTGACTGCCATGCGTTCTGAGCAAAATTTTGTAATACTCTCGTTAATCGTGTGGTAGCCACTCCATTTGGAGGGTGAGGTTGGGTGGAATCAGTCCTAGACTTCAAGTATCCCTTTCTGCTCCCACGGGCTATAGGTTGTTATTAGAGTTGATCTATATAGTTTTGTGCCTATGCATATGTTATGTTAAGTAAATTATAAACGAACAAGTTCAAAATATTCAAAAAAAATTAGTAAACCAACCCCTTTTTCACGATATTCTATGAGATAGGACTGATATCTCACTTCTCGTTGATCAATTGAATCAAAGATCAATCCTAGCCGCTTTTGCCCTCTACGTACTCAACTCACATTGCTATTTGCCAAAAGGCATCAACATCAAATTGAGGTTGCAGATTCTTGGTAAGTCTGTGAAAGTGATGTATAGATGCATATGTATGAATGGCTAGAATAGTTGGCTCCCCTGTTGGAATATGGCTAAAGGATGCATGTTTACAAGTTTAGGTGACACAACGATAATTCAATTGGTCGGGGTATATGGATCGTGGCAATTGCGCAAGTTAATTGAGCCCACTTGCTCTCTCGATGAATGGAAGTTTTACGTAATTACCGGGAAGCTTTGACATACATGCAGAAGCCGAGTCAATTGATGTCAAGGATGCTTTTGCGAGCTTTACCGTTGTAAACCGATACTTGAAATTATTTCTCCTAATATATATGGACAGCTAGGCTGAAGAGATCATGAAGCAAAACGCGCGTTGGGAGATTCGACATCATAGGTTATTCATCATAAGCTAGTTTATACCTGAATTTTCATCTTGTGAAGTTGAAAGAATATGGCATTTCCGCCGGCACAATACTTCATCTACGGCTCGGATTCATTCACCGAGAGACCTGTATCAAGGTCGGCGTATGAGGATCATAGCCTTTGGCCAAAACAAATATGGCTGCTGCCTGAAGGAACCCGAGGTCTGGTGGTTAGTTTATCCAGTCATTGGCGGATGCCTTTTTTGGAAAGCTTCCTCTAGGCAGGTCGGGTGAAAACCTGTTCTAGGGGAGCACGATATCGCTCTTCAAATTGGGGCGGATGAATTTAGTGAACAAAAACTGATTTACAATCCCTAGCCTTGGATTATTGTAAAATCGAATTCCGGCTACGTATTCCAATCCAAAGGCGCACCGACAGGTGCGGCTGAAGGGGCGGTTGTAGCCATTGTCAACCAAACGTTGGATCCGTATATCAGTTGGATCGTCGAGCCGGCAACCAACGATCAAGATGTTTTTAGGTACTACGATTCCTGGCAACTTATTGTTGCCTGTACATGGATACATACCAACTTCTTTTTTCGGTTGTAGACACAACCTGGTACCCATCACTTACTTACTTACTTTCTGTTGAATAGGATTCGAACACACGATCGGAAATATTGGACAGTAGAGGAAGAAAGAGGCCGCGTGGGGCATAGAGTAGGTTTCCTAGGATGTATACGCTTTCGAACTCATATTTGACACATAATTATAAATCCTTGGAATCCATCGTTGCGTGTCGGGGTAGACCTAACTATAGCTATCGAATGCAGATTGTTCTTAGGAACAAAGGTGAAGGGGCTCAACATTTTAGGATCGTACGTACCAATTCCTGCATTATTGATAAGGCAGCATGCATATGAGAACACCTGTCTTTATACTAACTATCCTGAGCGCCACGGTTCTGGAATTTCAAGGGACTCGATGCTGACCCCCAAAGCCATCTCTTTTACGGCAAGAGACAGAAGAAGTTCTGCTCCTAGATCAACGAGCCAAAAATCCCATCGATCTAGAAGTTCCAAAATAACAAATTTGAGATCTTAGGTTGGGTATTCCAGTGAAATTGTTAATGTTTATTCCATTTTTTTTCCTCTATTGTCGTTTGATATGCATATACCTTGGTAATTTTCACAATTCTTTTGTCCCGTCAATTTGGTAATTTGCTAGTTGCACCTGGGGATTACGCAAGTCAGCTCAAGACTGGAACAAAAAACACATCCAAGGCTCCTACCGCCAACAATATCACATGTCTGTTAAAATAAAGATATATCAAGGGTCAGATATCGTAATCTAAATTAATTTCGTCACCGTGTTGGATTGGTTGGTTGGTACCATGGTACAGAGTAATCGGAGCCTTCCTTGTTGGTACCAAAGATAGACAACCGGGTCCGGGATTCCATGGACGCGTTAGCTGTTGCATTTTAATTAGCGCGCCATACAACCGTGCCACAGTAGCCGCCTGAAGTCCACTTTTGAAACGGAGCTACAGTGGCACCAGCAAATGCAACCACGAGCGACTTTTAGCTTCTGCAAAGGCGCCCTTGGCTTTGTTTCTGATGGTCAAAAAAAAACTTTTAAATTTTTAATGCTCACAATTACGAAGAAAGAAGATGATGATTGAAAGTGTTTATTAAGTATCAAATTTCTTTTGATTTGAAATATACAGATCGGAAAAGGTAGTAAATAGTAAAAAAAAAAGAGTAAAATCTCAAAATAAGCCCAAGCCCAGTCGCTATGCTAAGGAGTGTATCCAGTTGGTGGTATAATACAAAAAGATATGTAGAAAATCAATTCCAGCAGATAAAGAAGAAAATCATGTGTTAAGAAATATCTGCTGTCTATATGCAGGTCGTAGATATTATTAGGTTTTGCCATGTTCCTGTTCCGCACTGTATGGCGGAGGCAAAGTAGAATGTATCATGCGATTGGTAACAGTTTAAGGAAATGCGATGGACCGATGTTAATATCTGGTCTTTTGAACAATGGAAACACAAAACAAGTCATAAGGAAAGTTGAGAGTAAGTTTAAGCCATGATCAAGGCAGTGAGACCAATGACACCGGCAAGCATGACGGTGCTGAAGGCCTTGAAGGAAGAAGCAGCGCCAGTGGCGATTGGTGGGTTTGGAGTGGTGTTGTTAACCGGAACTGGAACAGTTGGGTAGGCAGTCATCAAGGTAGATGGTGCATATTCAACTGGTGGGGTAGTAGCCTCAGCTGGGACAGTGGCCGGGATGGTAGCTGGAGCAGTTGGTGGAACGTATGGAGGAGCAGTGATGGTTCCTGGAACGAGAACTGGCTTGGATGGCTCGGTGGTGACAAGCTTGACTGGGCAGACGGTGACGGTCCTGATAACAGTCTCAGTGGTGAAGACTGGAACGTAGCCTGGCTTGTTGGTCTCTTCTGGTGAAGCAGTGGTGACTGGAACAACGACGGTGGTAGAGACAGTGACGGTGGAGGCACCGGTGGTGACTGGTGGAAGAGTGACATAGGTAGGAACGCAGGTAACAATGGCTGGATTCTCTGGGATGTGCTCAGCGCAGAGACCTTGCATATACTCGAGAGCCTTGGCGACTTCGTCATCATCGACACCCCAGGCTTCAACGCACTCAGCGACGCTCTTGATGTACTCTGGGTTGGGGCAAAGACACTTGACATCACCGCTGTTGACACACTGGGTAATCTTGGTCCAGGTCTCCATACATTGTGGGAGGACTGGTGGGCAGCCGGTCTCAACTGGAACGCTGGGCAAGGTAGTGTAGACATCAGTTCCGCTTGGGGGGAGGGTCTCAGTCTCGCTTGGAGAAGGAGTCTCGTATGGGATGCTGGTGTTGGCAGGTGGGACGTAGATGTCAGTGGGTGGGACATAGACATCAGTGGGTGGAATATAGACATCAGTGGTAGTGGGGACGTCGTCAGAAGTGGTTGGAACAGCCTCAGAAGTTGGAACACCGGTGCAGGAGTACTCAGTGCAAGGAGCCTCGTCAGTAGTAGTTGGGACGGCCTCAGTAGCGGTGCAAGAGTAGTCAGTGCATGGAGCCTCGTCAGTAGTGGTTGGGACGGCTTCAGAAGTAGTCTCGGTGGCAGTGCAGGAGTACTCAGTGCATGGAGCAGGTTCAGTTGGAGCAGGCTCGGTGGTAGTATCAGTAGCAGTGCAAGAGTACTCAGTGCATGGAGCTGGCTCGGTTGGGGCAGGCTCAGTTGGAGCAGGCTCGGTGGTGGTGTCGGTAGCAGTGCAAGAGTACTCAGTGCATGGAGCTGGCTCGGTTGGGGCTGGCTCAGTTGGAGCTGGCTCGGTGGTAGTATCAGTAGCAGTGCAAGAGTACTCAGTGCATGGAGCGGGCTCAGTGGTAGTGTCGGTAGCAGTGCAAGAGTACTCAGTGCATGGAGCAGGTTCAGTTGGAGCAGGCTCGGTGGTGGTATCAGTAGCAGTGCAGGAGTACTCAGTGCATGGAGCTGGCTCAGTTGGGGCAGGCTCAGTTGGAGCAGGTTCGGTAGTAGTGTCAGTAGCAGTGCAAGAGTACTCAGTGCATGGAGCTGGCTCGCTGGTTGTAGCTGGAACAGGGGCGGAAGTAGTGCTTGGCTTGTCACATCGGAACTTGATATGATGGATATTGAACTTGCACTTCTTCTTGTTCTGGGAGCTCTTGTGGATCTTGCACTTCACGCTCTTGGCTCCACCGCACTGGGTGTTCTTGACAGGAGTGATACCAGTTCCGCACTTGCTGACGTGCTTGCAGCTGGAACCGTCAGGCATGCCATAGTGGAATTCAATAACGGACTCGTACTCCAAAGAGATGTCGAATTCGTCAACAGAGAACTTCTTGCCGCACTTGATTTCATTGCTGTAGGTCTCTGGCTCGACGTAGGAGGAAGCGCATTTGCTCTATCGGGACTGTTAGTAAACGATAATTAAATTTAAGAATTGTTTGACTATGTCACTTACTCCACTGCCACGTCCGGATCTCCTCTGGAGCTTGCTCTTTTGGCACTTGTATCCAGAGAAGTCAAAGTCATCGTACTTTGGCAAATCACCATCTGGAGCATCAGAGAAATCGTATCCGGTGTTCTGCTGTGGGGTACATCTCTCATTGGAGTATGCTGGAGGCTCGAACTTTGGACGGCCACCGCATTGCTTTCCACCGCAGTCGTAGCTGTTGAAAGGTTGTGTCCAGTCGATATAGGTAGCGGAAACTGCCTGAACTGCAGCCAAGGCTCCGAGGAATTGGATTGCACCCTTCATTTTGAATGCTTTGATGTAGTAATAATATACTTAAACTGTTGTAGTAATGTATGTAATGATAGACTTGAAATGTGAAACTCGATATAAACGATTGTTCAAAATAAACTGTCTGGCCAAGCAGAAAAAAAATACTAAAATGGCACTGCCAGAGGGGGTATCAGAAGATCGAAAAGTGTGTTGAAGTTGTTGGATAATGCAAAGAAGGTTGAGCGAGTGTCACTGCACAAGCAGCAAAAGTAAATAAGTACAACAGTAGAGGAAAGAAAAATATAACAACGAAGGTCGGAGCAAAGAGGAAAAGACGCTTGGGAGAGGAAGGAATAGAAACATCTGTGAGGGTTGGACTTTATGCGTCTTAAGTACATGATGCTGATACACATACGTCTGGTCTATTCTGATAGATGTCCAACCGAAACAAGCAATAAGACCTGTACTATTTTGGTGCTGGCCTTGCCCTGCGGCCCTGACAGCGAGGCTTGCAGGGGAGTTTCACGCCTTCAGTGCTGGAGTAGCTAGCGTCCACAGAAAAGGCCCCGACAAGGGCATGGTGGTATTCGCATCTGGCCGGCCAATCCGAGTAGCTTGATGCTCAGCCGCCCCACAGCATCCCCATCGTTCTGTTCCTGCAGAAAAAAGCACATCGCATCCCACCCTGTTTAGGCCGTTTGAGACTGTTAGCATGTTTGAAGTTATCTCAGACACCCCTTGGCACTGCCAGAAGACCATAGAAAATTTTTTGAAGCGGTGCCCCTGAGCCATCTGATTTGCTGGATGGTCAGCACAGAGCGGTCATCAACAGGCGCTCAGATCTGGCAGCGGCACTGCAGGACTGCGCAGAGGCAATGTCTCTGCAGGACCGCAAAAATCTGATGTCGTGCAGATTGACAGTTGGGCGCCGCTGTCCCGCAGAGCTAGGAGAGCAATCGAACGCCTACAATTGCAAAGTTTATGCAGTCACATTCATGTAATTTTACAAAATTACAATAGAACACGATTCTATAAGCGTAGCTTCGTATATTTTCTCCCTATTCTCTTGGTATATCATAAATCATATCAGACGGGACTACGCTGAGATTACAATAGAATGACTAACTAGGCCCTCGAGTTATGTTGGAAGAGTTTTTTCCAACTTCCAAATCCGATAGTTACCGCCGACGTGCCCCCGCTTAGCATTTGAGCGCCAGGTTGGCGTCAATCAGATCACAGTGGTCCTGTCCGTGAGGCCAATTGACAACGACCCCGGACATTCCCACCAAAAATAGTTTTGGAACAGGCCAACGTGAACAATCCTGTTTAATTTCGACCCGCGTCTATAGAAAAATGCCTACTATCAAAATCTCGATAAGATTCGGCTTTATCTTGCACCCATAGGTATTTTCTTAAACAGGCAATTTTTAATCTATTAAGATTGCGTTGGAAAGCACCGTTGGACAGTTCCGAGATATGGGCCCTTAGTATCACGAGATATAACACCTATAGTAGCTGCGGAGAACCAATTCAAGCTGTGGATCAAGCTCGAGGCAGGATGGCTGAGAAACCCCCTGAGAAGCTTGAAAAATGCTTGTCGACTCCTTTTCAAGATTTTCGCTTTGCCATACCCGATGCGTAGAGGGGTGTATTTTCGGCGAAACAATTAGCCAGCCATATAGATCATTGCACAGGTTTCGATCCCGATCGGGCGATTCTAATACGGTGAGTTTGCCGCATGAATTTCTCGTCCCTTTCCAGAATCAAACTTGGCGAATACATCGAAGAAACTTTTCGTATGTAAGTACATGCAGGTACGTCGTAGTCAGGCTTACGAATGCCGTGTAACTATGCCCGATAATACTGACGATAAAGTAGATTTGTTTTTTCGACATAAAACTAAATCCTTTTCATGCGCAATTAAAAATCTTTAAACGAATACTTTATGTAGACTATTTCTCATGCCATCTTGGCCTTAAGTTCTTTCAACCATCGGACAGTCGGAATGTTTGCCGCTCAATCAACCATGCCATGTCCTCGAGCTCCATAGAATGGATGCCTCCTTTGTCTGCCCCCCTTGCCGACAGCCGGAGCAAGGGCCCCCGCGATCTTTGAACGGGTTGGCTAATTATCAGGAAAAATCTAGGCCCCACAGTTCGTTTGAGCCAGCGCGCGTTCCCTTCAGAAAATCCAGAACAAACACCTTCAATTGTTCTCGATGCTCGAGGATGAATTCACATCTCGAGACAGAGGGGGAGGCGCAGCTCAATCCTTAACATCATAACATCGCAACTGTATGTAGTTGGGAAACTTGTTATCTAGCCCGTGTGCTTTGACGGCGGTCGGAATTTTATTCCAGGCTCCAAGGAAGTTATAGACGGGACCCACATCCGCGATCGGGTCTCAGTCCTTGTTCAGAAAACAACAAAAGAGCAACTCACATGCATTGACCAACGGGTTGGCTGTACAGAGTAGTCTTTGGTGGTTCACGCTGTCATGATACCATGATATCATACGATTCATGTTAGTTTGTTGGCCGCATAAGAAACAAATGTCCACAAAGGGATTTTATGCGAGATTGGTAATATCGCATGTAATTGTCTTGCTATGACATATCTATCGGTAAACCGTGGATTTACCCATATAGCGCATAGATTGTTATAGCGTTCAGTTGATCAAAGACAGTGAGCTCGAGCGTCCTCGGATGTAAATACTGACATTGCATACTTTATGTTAGTAACTCGACATGATATGATATCAATCCCATTAGTAAATCAACCGAAGCAATCTCCTCCCTAATTGCTTTTCAATCAATGTTAATATCGAGTTCATTCCAACAGAGCCAAAAAAACGCCGAATGGATAATACCGTCCCCCTTAGCGAAGCGTATACCACCACGTGAAGGCCTGAAACTCGACCTCCAGGAATGGGTCAAGGATGATGCCTCCAGAATGTTCCCGTCTTCACCAAAAGCTTTCTCTTGGCCGCCGTTAGAGGTTGCTGATCGAGCGGCATCTACACAGCCTCACTCTTTTGTTCTATCTGTAACCTGTGATGTTACGGGCACTCACCTCTTTTAGACTTCTAACCGTGTATGATTCTATTACCGTCCGTTCGGGACAAGCCCTATATTCGCAAGATTGTCCTCATAGAAACCTAAACGAAGGGGAAACAAAAGCGAGAACCTGCAAGAGGAATATACCCACGGTCCGAGGCGGTCTCAGATCGAAAGCATAGTTGGTCTGGTACGGTTTCATCGAACTCTCGACGAAGAAAGCGGACAGGGGTTTTGGTCCTTCGATGCCCACTTCAAATGAAGAAATTCCACCACACTTCCAACACAAAACTACGGGACGTCCAAACTTATACGAACTCCGCCCCCAAAGTCGTTAAGTCCAGCAGAATGTTGCGGACCTAACATAGTTATATTACCGAGGGATATAGAACCGAGTGCCCAGCTGACTTGGTTCAGCATTATGGCCCACTTGTTAGTTGCTTTGATATGAACTTAGAACCACAGGGAACAGTGGTGGGTCAAGAGTATCCCAAGAAATAATTCCAGCCCAATATTAATCCATCTTCGTGGATCGATTACTGGCGGGAGCAAAAGATGAATCAGTAGAAACAGAATGGTCTAGATACCAATTGAAAGAAAACGCCTATTTACAATTGACTCCTCTATAGGACCTTGATAAGAGCGGCTTTGCGCTATGAAAAAATTGGACTCTTGGTCCGACTTGGAAATCCACCCTGTGAACATCCAAGGAATGAAAGAAAACCCGATATCAAAAATAAAGTAAAAAAGATGAACACCAGTATCCAGCTATCGCTAGAGTAGAAACTCCTTAATTGCTTTCCGCGGGGCCGAGTTTCCCCCCTTCTCCGTGGCTCTTTCACCACATCTAATGAGGGTTCCCTAGTAACTACTAGCGAGAACCTTTAACTCCGCAGCAACTGTAGGTGGAAGCCTAGAATCGATCTAGCAGGACAATGTATACTTCCTCGCACCGTTAGTCCATGAGACCCCAAAGCGAGTCTCAGCGACCCCCCCAGACTTCCATTGCTCATCGACTGCAGAGAACCAAAAGAAGGGCTTGCCCGTCGATCGCATCCAGCATGCAATAGCCTTGAAGTATTGTCTAGCATTGGGGACTGTTGGGACAGCCTGACCGATAGTCTTCCCCTTAGAAGGCCAGCCGGTCTCGCCAACAATCAATGTTTTTCCAGCCATTTTGGCTCCCAGCGCCCACCAACCTTGTTGGAAAGCTTTGAGGGCCAAGTCGACTCGAGAGCCACCATAGTCTAGAGATATCTATCGTCAGTTCTACATCCAAATCAAAGTCTCAATCATAAACTAATTCTTACATGGATAACTAGTAAGTAGCACAGCATCGGAGGCATCAAGAACTTGTTGGTTCGCCGAGTTGAGAAGGGGAGCGATTCCTTCACTTGTGCCGATCGGAACGTTGGTCTTGCCATATGAGTTCTGGATCATGCCTTTGACGTCCTATACCCAACGAGCATGTTAACATACCGAGTCTCAACATCTACGACACCTGTGATAGAAGGAATTGATTCCATTTCTTCACTTACCCAGATGTATCCGGCCAATTGACTCGAAGAGAGACTTCCCCGGAAAAGCTCTTCACTGCCCACAGAGACGCCGAGGATGAGGTTGCCATTGCTCCCAAGGATTTGGCGACCTAGTTCGTTCTTGTCGCTATCAAACTATTGGTCGGCAGCGGCATCAGCAGACTATTCTTAACACGAACGCTCTACGAGAAAGACCCCGTGATGGGAAGCGCATGTTGCAGATTGCATCAAGTCGAGTTTGAATAACACTTACGGTAGTGCGAGGTGTGGCCCACAATCCAGCCCATACCTTGATACCTCCAACCTCCTTTGCGGCTTGCAAGGCGTTTTTCAAAGCTGAACATTGGCTGGTAGTGAAGATCTTGACAACAGTGAAGGAGAAGTGCGAGCTTCGGCAGGCCTTTACTTGCTTCAATTCATTCCTCCAGTCCTGCAGGGTCTTGCAAGCACCGGTGTTCTACGAAACTATATCAGCTACAGTTCACAATTGCTAAAGGAATGGGTTATGTCTTGTAGTACTAGCACACAAGGATAAAAAAATTCCTAAAAGAGGGTTGAACTCACAGTATATGCTCCGACATTAAACCCAGCAAAGTACCCGACGGTCGGCCGATGTACCGTGCCTCTAGCACGAAGCTCGTTCCCGTCAATAGTTGGTACTGTAAGGTTTGATGGTACTGAAGTTCGGTTCCTTGTTAGCTACTAACAACAAACTGTTGGTGCCTAGTTCAAGGGTAGTACTTACGAAGTGGAGGTGCTACCTCGGGAACTGGAATGGAGGGGTTAAAGGGAGAACTCTTCAATGATCTTGCCTCAATCTCGACGTTAACGGGGTGTGCAAGACCCATTGTGAGGAAAGTGGCGAGGACTGGAAGTCCGGTGATGGCTTTTAGGAAAAGCATGATGATAGTCAACGGCAAAGTGCTATATAAAAATAAAAAAAAGCTGGATGCGGTTGATCAATTGAGGGAGGGATGGAACTATATCGAAGTCACGCTGATGAATTGACGAATAGGTCCTTCGGTTTGATGGATATGGGTTAAAGGGGAGTAATGTTCGAGGAATATGTTGATCGAGGTGGAAGTAAGGAAGGAGGAGCTGCGTATTGCTATTCGATCGAATTCGATTCAATCCAGCCTTTTTTTTTACAATGAAGTGACCTCACTATATGGAGTGTCTCTGAGAACTTTTGAGATAGCGAAACTGAAAAAATAACTGTACAACGGCAAGCCGATGTCGAAATTCAAGATCAAAAAATAACAGAGTACGGGTTAAAGGAGTGTAACTGTCGAACTTGCGACTTTGCAACGATACTACCGGAATCGATTGCACTACGGTATTAAATCTAGAACAACGTGATCAAACACGGGACCCAGGATACTTATATACTTTGACCATGGTGTTGGGTGTGTATCGTGGCCTATCTTTCAAATTTTCAAAGTGAGGGGACGGTACTGGCCAGCTTACGAATTTGTGTCAGACATTGCAAAATTGACCGAGGAACGACAAAGGCGTCTGCCTCTAAGCCGGTGGGGGCGGCTTTCTCCCTTGCAATCCTCTGCCCGGCAGGGTGCACAGGCCCTATCAGATGCAAGGTACGGAGGCACTCTCTATGTATGTACCTGCAGATATCCATTCACGGAGGAGCTGGGCCTACATACCTACCTACAGCCTACATACATATCTGAGTGCATTATCATTGCATGAGCGATATTGATCCTTCCATCTTACTCACTGCGGTTTAAGTTTATGCAAACGCCTCCCGGACTTATATCTTTGAGTGTTTCCCGGTTCTCGGTTCTCTTTCACTGGACCTCTTCTCCGGTCCTGAGAGGACATTATAAAACGGTGCTTAAAGTGTCACATATCTCAATAGGAGTACGGAATCTATACAATTTTATTGGTGCTTTATATCCAATAAGGTTCGGGAAGGACTCCGAGACTGAGAGGAGGCGGACTAGCTGAGCTGAGGCGAAATCAGATTCCGTCAAGGGGACCATAAAGATGTGAGCTGGCGCCGCAGGAACTTGCAGGATTTGTTGAGAAGCACATGCGCATATGCAAAGGAGCTTCGAGTCCCCCCCAAACGGCGGCTTTTCCCACCCCACCTGTTCCACATAACTTCGCCCTGCCAGCTGTTGAGCCTTCTGCGATCCGGTCATGATTGGCTAGGTGCTGATGAGCCCAGATGGCGAGGCCGAAGCTACTGTCAGGGGTAAAGCTTAAGCGAAAGATTCAGGAACGAAGCGGCCTTCCGGCCAATATTCAGGAACACCAATCAAGCGGCTCCACGAGGCCAAGTGGGTGGTTCCCCAAAACCCGGGCCGGAAAAATTGACCGGTTCGGAGGGTGAGATTTACCCATTTTCTTCTGTAACTGTCTACTGTGTCGAGAAATTTCTTTCGAGAAAATTTTCCATTGAGGCAAAGAATTTAAAATGCCTCGTTCTTTCGGAATATCTCAACAGCTCCACTTCGTTGCATATTGAAACGTGGGTGTTAACGAGGGACGAAAGACACAAGCACATATAAGATGAGCTTAAGAGTACATATGCATACAGACAGGGCTCGAAAAAAAAAGTATATTAGTAAAATATTGGAAATGCGCTAGTAAACGGTATGACAAAATATCAGAGGTAAAAACGCTAGAAAACTGTGTCGAAGAAGTGAGGGGCAATATGCGTAATCAGTCAGCAATTTCGTCGGGCTTTGATTTCTCAAAAGGGTTGGGCCGATAGAGGCCCTGCTTTAAACCATACCTTTTGGAACAGAAACGATTCTAGACCTGGCCAACCCGACAGTTCGGTCACAGAATAAACCACCCATCACATATTGATAATATATATATCCTGATTAATTTCTATAATCTATGAAATGTAAATTCCAAACCTAGATATCGATCGAGTATACGAGTCAGTTTGGTAAATTAAACAAGTAATATCTATGATCAACTATACGAAGTGACCTACAAGTTTAAAGTTTATATATTTATATACACCCCTCACATGTCCCATATTCTTTCATCCGAGTCGACGAACATCGAGTCGGTATCGTATTGACTTGAGCTCGGTGGGGATGAGTAAGGGCTGCTAGGGTTAACCGGCACATGTACCTCAGCGGCAATATCCGAGACTGTCAACGTAACCACAGGGTCAATATTACTAGCTAGAATTGGCGTCGCTGGCTGGTCTGGGCTTGATCCTCTTCTCTTCTGGTGAGAATAATAGAATCCGGATTTATCTTCGAACATCTCTCTTTCGCGTTCGAAGGTGTTGGTATCATATCGCATGATTAAACCGCGGTCGTCAGGATTGTTCGCCATCTATGTACGTAAGTGGCCATCGTCATTAGTACAATATCTATCGGCAACTTCCCGCTTATAAAATCGTTGGGAAACGCACAACGGTTTGAACGTCGATCACGCATGCGGGGCGGCAGGAAACTTACAAATAGTCTGACGATCCAAAATCCATTGTCCCCAGTTACAATCTCCGCATTTAGGGGAAACCCGCTATTATACTTGTGGTAGGTTTGAATGATCGCGGTCATAAACTGGAGGATTGACGAGTCGGAAACGCAAAGCTATATTCGTTTACAAATGCTTTGTTAGTAACTTTGGCTTAAGATTTGTATCACCGACCGAGTTACTGATATATCATGGGGTAGAAGCGGCTAGTGAACTTAGTTCCTGGGAGAAACTTTGAACACATCCGAATATCTGGTATTTTTCTCCGGCTTTCAAATGGCAAAGTATGGACCTACCCCGTAGCAAAAAAGGTTAAAGGCCGTTAGAACAACAGAGGCATCGTTTAGGTGCGGCCATGTATATCTAAGGCGATCTCTCAAGAGGGTCATTGCCTTCATAGCATGTGAGTGGGTCATTTTGGTGAATACAGGCCAATGTGGGCTCTGTGTCAAAGCTGCATCGCCTGTCGATACGAGATGGTAGTGAGCATTTAAGCTTTGTAGCAGTATAAAGGCTAATCTTGGGCTTACGACTTACCGGCACTGAAAGCCATAACGGCATTGCTGGTCATATCATCCTGCAAAAACAATGCAATGTAAGTTTGATCCCCTTGACTATGATGCAACTAGTGCCGTTGCATTGCATCATGATACCAATCCCCATTCCTGACGAGTGGTAGGCGCAGTCACTTACCATCAATGCGATTTGCTGTGAATCGACATGGAAAAGACCCGAGATCATTTTTGCGAACTCCGGGCTGCACATCGACGCAAACGTCACCGGGCTACCCCAAAAGTTGGCAAACCTTTCTTGAAGACGGGCTGAATTGCTGTCTATAATCCGATAGGCGGGGGGTTCTCGTATCACTGCCATGGGCGACCGTCTTGGTGGATGCAACATCCTTCAAAATGGCAAAGCTTAGTTCTAGATCCACATTACGGGACTATGCGGCTCATGGTTAGGACCTACATTGCAAGGGCAGCATTTCTCACGGCACTAAGGTCATTTGTTTCAGGCCTTTGCGGTGGGGGTGAAGCAGACGCAGACGACAAAGTGGGTATAAAGTCATCTTGGTCATGAAAACGCCTGTTACTGTGGCGCATCAACGAATCTTAGCCGCCGTTCCTCTTATGGGGTTTTCTGCTTTAAAAAGCTATTTGAAGCACCTTTTACTGGAAGTTGGGGGGGTTGTTTCCTCTTCTGCTTCACGTTCTATCTTCTCATTCCTAGCACTCAAAGGTTGCGAGCATTGGTACCCATGCTCCTGGCACCTATTGCACTTCGCTCCTGGCCATACTCTGCCCTCCGGCAGACACTAAATATCGATTAGTGAGCCATAAATGGGACCGATTTTATCGCGTTTCAACTAATTCAAGTACGCAAGCCACAGAGTTGGGAAACGTACCTTTTGTTTGTCCAACCGACACCGACTACATTTTAAGATCTCCTTGTGTTTTTTACCTTTTTCTTTTGGCATGGGGCCGGCACGAGAAGGCGCCCATGCGATATGCACGGGCAGCGAAACGGTCTACTTGCTTCGCAACTTTGACTTGGCTGGGTGGTGCGGGAGAGGCGGCGTGTGTCGTCGAAAAGCGAACCGGTGCCACTTGGACAAGGGCTCAGCGACCCCAATGTACCAAAACCATGCAAGTGTCCACAGATCAGTTGCAGCTCCGCAATATTTGTATCTCGCAATTCTCTCTTTTGATGGTTTGCTTTTGAAGAAGCCGATCTGCCGGACTTTATCCAAAAAGCTTAGCCTGAGACAAAATACCACACTCCTTCTCAAGAAGAAGGCTGGAGTTTGAGATGCTAGATGCTTCCTTATTCACTGTCCGTATATGGATCCGACTCGAAAGAAGACTTTTTTCCTCGGTTTCACTTGAGAAACGGGCCGGTTAGAGAATAGGAAGGAGCCTCCCAGAGCCTTTTGCTAATTCTACGAGTCTGTTGGCCGCCGATAATGCCCCGTGAGACCTATCGTAATAGGTGTATTTAACAGCGTGGAGAAAGTGGACAATGAAAGGTCGTTCGCAATTTTGTCTTGGCAATATGCAAGGGTGCCCAAAGCCGTAAGGGCGCACGGGCGGGAGATCAGCTTTGATATAAAGGTTCTGGCCTAGACAGGTGAGCCGGTTGACCGACCAGGAAAAGGATATTCGAAAGTTTCATTGTTCTCAGATTCTTTGATTTTGTATTCTTCCCAAGTCTGGTTCAGCGCCTAGTTTTTGGAAACCTGGAATCAATATCACCTAAGCTTCAGCCTTTTTTGAAAGAAATGTGCGGAGACGACCATAACCGACAAGGGCCCGCACCGCCTATCTCCGCCTCATGAACTCGGAGCTCCTAACTCACCTGCATCTCTTCAACACACACAAACGTCTGGACTTCGCGGTCGCGGTCGATGTAGTGTTTTTGGTCCAAACAATCGTCATCTTATGACGAAGACTTAATTCCCTCTCTTGTCGATATCGTCGTTATCGTCATTCAATGACAAAGCAGATAGGAATATGCATCGACTCCGCCGTCAGCATGGCTTTACCGGGCTTAGCGCTGCTAAATACAGGCCTTGTGTCCTTCGGCTGTGATGTCATTTACTGTGGTCGATGATATCTTCTCAGTGTACAGATTGGCCTTTTATATACCTGGCCTCCCGTCTGGAGAAGGACTAGCCGAATACATGTGAGTTCGGGCCTTCGGAACCCCACGTTTCTGACAATTAGGCGAGGCGCAGGATCTAGGTCATCAATGTTCGGGTGCAGTGCGCGCGCGTCGAAATCTACATCAATTGAATTATATATATTCCATGACGATACAGAATCTTCCATGGTTGGAAATGGGCGGTTTTCTACGGCCGAAAAGCTGACGGAATACATGCAAAGGTCGTATGATTTGCATGGCCATGGCTCTGTTTGAGGAGTTGTGTCTCTGCAACAGGAACCCGATAGGCCTGTGTGTTATGCTGCATATGGGATTTCGGACAAGGGATATGTATGCATATGAGGTTCCGCAGAATCGCATGTGGGCGTGGCTTTCGGCGATCCTCGGAAATTAAATTACACGAATACAATTAGCCCAAGCCCAGATGACTGGGCTCGTTGCCTTGCGCTTTCAGTGTCATAATTATGCTATAATATATACGCGAAGCCGCAGTCGCGGTTGGTTCTAATCAATCCTCAATAAGCTTACTCTAGGAGTGCTAAGAGTTGGAAATAAAAGTATAGCCGAATAGCTCGATCGAGGCAGCGCGATTCTAAAGGGTTCTAGAAGTCAGTCCCAAACCACTCCGAAAAGTCTATTCGCAGCTGGTCAGCTTCGAACAGGGACAAGGGTTTTCGGGTTAGGCATGGATTAAGCTCCATCCATTTTGATCGTGGTTGAAGTGATACCTATCTTGTCAGGCTCGACTCTTCGATGCCTCGAAACACTGAGATGGTTCAGGCTCCAGCCTTATATCTATCTTGGCGTGCATATCCGCGAATTCGTATCAGTTAATTACGCGTAATATCACAAGTTCAACTGCGAATGAAGTCCAATATCAAGATATACTGAGTCAAATCCGCTGAATTCCATGCAAGGTGAAACATCAAGAGTAACTCGATAGGATAGGTGCAGAACATTTACTTAGCCATTCTATAGATCTAGATTTATCAGATCCTTAACCGTTGAATGCTAGCTGCATATGCGCATGTTGGATCAGCCCACAACTAGCTATATTATACGAGTCTACCAGTTCATCTTGTGATCACACATATTAGATTACAAATGGGCCCAAAGAACTCGACTATTGTCATAACAGGTTTTAAACTTGTCTCGTACCCAGACCTGGAAGTTGAGTCGTCAGGAGATTTGTGTTATATTAATATATATATATATATCGTCACATTAGTATATGGAGGATAACAGGTCATCAAACGAGGTCTGCGCAATATTAATATTATTACCCTCACTTTATATTTTGCAAATATTTGGGAAACTGACAAGTCAGCCTTCAATACGAGGATGGTTCTTTGACAGCTAACCTGGTAACCACAAAGTCAAAGTTAATGCTATATCCCTTAGATGAAAAAGGAACTTTAGTTGGCAATTTTGCATTATAGCCTTTCGTTTTGCAATATTTAGATGGCCAGTTCTAAGACTAAATATTGCAAATGAAAGAGTATCTGAAATCAGAGCGATTCGAGTTTCATCAATATTATGTTATTGATATCATGCATCGAAGCCGTTGGCAAGCCTCGCTAGAACTTCAAGCCTTTAGTTTGCCGATCATTCTGCGTAGAAAGTCAGAGGCGCATACTCTGCAGATCTGTGAACATAATTACATAGCATATTTATTGTAATTAATTTGTTATTAGTCGTGAACGTACTGTAAAAATGTAAGGCCTAAAATCCTGACCGAAAGATTAAATACAAATCGCATAGTATACATATATATACGTATACAGGGGAGCGGGCTTTTACAAAATCTCATATCCGTACATACGTTACACGCATACGAGTGCCACTAGAACCAGCTTTCATATGCATAGTACACGGGTACAGGAACATTGATGAAATGGCTGGCGAAATCGGCACGTCGACTCCTGATCTCGAAGATGCTACTCTAGCGAAATTCGACAATCTCGTCGCAACAGGAAAAATTATATGGGGCCCTTCCGATCCTGAATATAGAGACACAGGGCTTATTTACGAGATTGGACTGCTAGAGAATAGTTATGAGTTTCCAGTAAGTCCAATCCTAACTTACCAGCTCCGCTGCAATGCTGCTGTGTAGGCAAATTGCTTATTGACACACACGTACATCACTGATCCGGCCGTCGACGCGACGAACAGGTCGAATTTAGGGTAGCACCAGCTTTTTCAAACAGACTAGATCCAATTCCATCCTATGTAGCCGGTAACAGCAAGCCCGCTCTATTTACCGGCCCGGATCCTGCTCTTGTGGCTGCAAGAATTGGGGAAACCCATACATTAGCGTTTTTCAAATGTTGCGTTCCCCGTCCGCATCTTGTCTTATATCCAAACCAATTTGAAGGGCAGAGTGCCAACCTCACAGAACAAGACCTCCATGCGGCATGGCAAGTTTTAAAAGCGTTCCCGAGAACCCCGTTGATGATGATCTACAATTATGGTTCGGCGAGCGGAGGTCCCCAGGGCCACAAACATATGGAGATGTTCCCGAAGCCTGGACACTCAGGTTTCAAGCTGTTTCCGGACCTAGCCAGCCTCAAACAAAGTTAGAATATAACCCCTAATGGCATACATAGGCTATGAGAGATTACTGTAGCTAACAGTCAGTTCTTCTCAGGAGATGTCGTCTCGGTACCTACTATGCCATATAAAAATTATATAATAGCACTTTCAGCACAAACCTCACCCGAAGATCTTGTGCAAAAATACAACACCATTGTTTCTTTGGCTACACACGATCTTTTGTTTCACAGAAGAACGTCCTATAATGTAGTTATGACAAAAGATTGGATCATGGCTATTGCAAGGAAGTATATTGGTCATCCAGGCCTTGAGGTGGACGCTGCGGGTATGATTGGAATGGTCTGGGTTGGTAGCGAGGAAGAAAAAGAAGCCTGGATAGAGATAGGGCCGACCAATTATCTGGGACTCCTCGGGATACCACCAGAGTTTGTATGATTCATAATGTAGCTAGATCGATCGCGATATCGATTAGATCAGTAGATCATGGCAGCTGCGCACATGGTTACCATCCTATCATCCTCCAGAGTACCTTACAGCTAGTGCCACCTGCATGTCTGCAGCAAAAAACAAGAACTCGAGATGAGTTACAATAATGTACCTAGGGAAATAGACAAATAAAAAACCCACAATATACAGCTAAGTTCAGGACCAGATGGACAATCCAAAAGAATAATCCTTGTTTCAAAATATAGCACAACTAAACGATAAACGCTACACATGGAACCGTACTCTAATTGGAAGTGAAGTCTGAGCAAGGTCAAAAGTCGAAACAAGGAGAGCACATTTTCTGTAATATAGATGAGAAAATGAACCTAGAGAGAAAAGGGAACCCACGAGCTCCTTAGTCGAGCGAAAAGGGCAAAGGGGAAAAAAAAAAATCCACCAGCCCCAAGGTGACTTGAAGCTTTCAACGATCTTGATGAGAGTGGGATTCGAACCCACGCACGGTTACCCGTACCAGGATGTCACTTGTTAAGGTATAACCTTAACCTGGCGCCATAGACCAACTCGGCCATCTCACCGAAGTTTGTGGATGAATTGATGTCGTCTGAGTTCTCCAATGCATATATAAAACTCTTACCTTTCTGGTGCACTAGCCTCACATCCAAATCCCATTCCTAGGCTTAGAATCAAGTTGTAGAGCATTCATTGAGCACATTCAAGAGCTCACAATGTCTCCCCTAGCTTTATGGCAAAAAAAAAGCGCGCATCTATAGACGGTGCCCTGTACGGTTCGGAGTGGAAGGTGGGCCGAAAAATTTTACGGCAGGGATTTTGTGTTGTCCCCTGTCGTATTTTAGCGCCACCAATCCTGTTTCAGGTTAGCGTGGCACAAGGGAACACAGACCATCGTCATCAATTCAAGGCCATCCTCGAACCGACGCTACTTATTTCTTGTTAGATTCTTCAAACACCTCGACATCGTCTCCTAAACCACCATTACAGTATCCTAAGCTACTACAGCCCGAAATCTGAACAACAGAGGGCAGCATAAGATTCGGAGGAATCCTGATCGTTAAACCGCCATGGCGACCCATCCACTCCTATAGTTTGTGCCATCCATTCCCCGGCTTTGACGTGTAAACCATGAAGCTAACTGCTTTCTAGCACATGTGTCGCTCATCGCACGACTGTTCTGGCAGAATACACGCCTTTCCCGTCCTCCTCTAAGAACTCATCGTCCGTAGCCCAGATAGCGTCGGTGGTTCTCCCCAAGATCTCCCACGACCAGCCACAGAAACTCACGTACACATATGGCGAACATCTCATCAACTATGTCTCGACGTCTACATCCGCGTCTTCACTCACGTTCCTCCTTGTTACGGATAAGTCCGTAGCAAGGAAAACCTCATTCGGGTTCTTACAGAAGGTCCAGGAAGAATTCGGTCTCAAGTACACACCGGCTATGGTGGAGGATGCTCCTCCGTATGGTTGTGCCGAGTTCAATAAAGTTTTGAAAGAGCAGGTTCAGATCTATGCCGCTGGGAATGGGGAGGATCTTGGTGGCAACAATGCACGAAACGTCCAAGCCGAAATCGACGCCGTGAGAGGGATCATGACAGAAAACATCGAACGAGTTCTGGAACGAGGGGAGCGAATTGACCTTCTTGTTGATAAGACCGATCGTTTGGGAGAAGGCGCTCGGGGCTTTAGGGTTGGTGCGAGAAGACTACGGAGGCAGATGTGGTGGAAGAACATGAAATTGATGGTTCTCCTCTGGGTTGTCATCATTTTCTTAGTCTACCTATTCGTCGGATTTGGGTGTGGTTTGCCTGGTAAGCCTCTTGAAATAATATCTCTATGATGGGCTCCGGTCCTTTCACGGAACTAGCATTAACTCGGTTTTACCTCTAGGCTGGCAACGATGTATCGGAAAATCGAACTAATTAGTCCATCAACTGTACAAGTGTCTTGACGATTTGGTCATTTGGGCGGGTTTACTGTAGCAGGTTTGGAATGCATTTGTTGGAACACAGGCGTACAACTATTGTTTCTCTATGGCACGTATCAGTCATTTTTTTTTTTTTTCAGGACATCATCGGTTCTTTGCATTCTTGAGCGAATGATGTTTATGCGCATGTCTATTGTATAACTAGTTTCACTCGCGCGCACACTCTCTCCTTATTGTTTTTGGCATTATTTCCGGCATTAAGATATCATAATACTTGATTTTTCCTGGATTGGAAGCTAGATTTTTCCCAGCTTTGTATGAGCTGTGTGCTTATTTTGCACTGATAACGTTGCTGATAGCCTAGATACAAGAATGGTCACTACCTATGATAGCAAAGTTTGAAAACTTGATCTTCCCAAGTCCCAGCCTGAACACAACGTGAATAAACCTGGATCTGGCGTTGATAATGGTACGCAGCCTAACAGTTAGGTCGAATGCGGTAGCAGTATTAGTGGTTAATTTGACCAGTAGAAATCTAATCGATGCTCGACACTGACCAGGGGCGAAGCTATCACATAGCTCATGCATATTGATCAATGGCAATGGTTAATTTGGGGTATTTGCAATGCCCTAACCATAGCCTCTGGCTGATACCTAGTAGCCTCGAATCCCTTTCTTGCTTCTAGACGAAATATGCATACCTAAATGTTGGTCATATGATCATGCGCCCCGGTTCCCAGTACTCTACCGCCATAATTATTTCGCGTGCTTGTTCCATTACATCGAAAGCGATTTCAGGGCCATCAAGATTAGTTTTGTACAGAGAAATATAGATATTCATATAGAATAAATTCCCAGGTTTCAACTTTTTACCGGCTTACTTGACGTCAATACATCTCGTATGTATCATATCTTATCACAGAGATATCACCCATAAGAAAAATCCTAACTGAATTATCGAAGTGCATTGCCGATCAAATTGAGAAAGAAAGCTTCGTTTTTTCTGGGAAGTATCGATATTTCCACCGGTCTTGCATATATGCATATGTCGAACGATTAGGCAGCAGCGATTAGGTATACTATCCTGTGCGACGAAGCTTTCGGGACCTGTCGAAACTGTGTTGTCTGCATAAAATACAACGTATTGCACGAAATCTTCGAGTAATTGAGAGGTTCCTTGAGCAGTTATGAAGACAAAATGTAATATCTTAAGTATAGTATGATCAGAAATTGCCTAGTAACTATTCGCCCTGCGCCTCGAATACCAGAAGTTCATATCAGATACTATATCTTTAAATCTTAGTAATTAGTGTCATTGTCCGGTGCTTGATCATTGCAGGGCGAGCTATCCGGTTAAAAGCTCGCCTCCAAGTTGTTTAGCGAAGAAGGCGCAGCACTATCACAAATTCCGATGCTCCGACCTCGATTTTCTACTTCTCGAGCTCTTTCTTTCGACCTATCCTGAGGCAGTGTTAACAATCTCTGCTGCCTATCCCGTGAACCATCACGTTGGTTAAGGCCTCATGAGCATCTGACCCCAGCATGGCCCAGACCAAGCCCGCCATGGCAAAGTGTCCCGTTTCTTCGGCCGGACATCCAGGCGAGTGGGCCGAAAGCTTCGATAGTTTAAATGAGTGAGCAAGTCCGCAGCATGTTCAGCTCACGGAGCTTCATCAATTAACTGCATTGCGTCGTATGTAAACTTCAGAGTCGACTTTAGTTTTTTGATCCTTCACGGCCCCGCTCTGGTCACGGTTGCATCCAACGTGGATCGGATGAGTTTGCGCTAGCTAGCCATCCGCCTAACAACGCGGAGTAATTGTTGCGGCTTCGAAGGCCCGGACCGTTAACCTCATACTTACGAGTACGAGACTGTTATCTACCCGTATCTTAGATTCCCATTGCAAGTTAAAAACTGCAAAAATGGGGATGGAAGACACCTGGTACGATTATTATCGGGGTCCGTCATCGGCCCCGAGCTTCTCAGAGAAGTTTACACCACAAGCTCCAAATTTGACGATCACTACGGCTTCTCCCGCACCGTTGTCACCCGCTCCGTCTGCCGCTTTTGATCAACATGCCGGACTTGACTATGCACCAGCGTTACTAAATAACGTCTGGAGAGAAGATGAAAGGAGGGCGGCAATAAAGGCAAAACATGTAAGTAAAAAATGCGGCACGCTTCTGCAGACCACGCATTGTGCGTCTGCACCTCTTTGAGCGGTGTTACGAAAGAGGAAATGTCTACTTATTTCTTCGTGGCTTTTTTTTTGCTAATCTGGAACATGCATCGCATATAGGGACGAGAACGACAACTCATTGGATTGATTCTTGAAGTTCTTTGTCAAATTGCCGGATTCGCCTGTGCTATTGTATTTGGTATCTGGGCTGTCAAGAGCTACAATGTTAGCGTTGTAGCTCTCAAAGTACAGACTGTTGCGAATCAGTTAGCTCTCCGGAGCCTCTGTGCTGGCGATCCGGTATGTTCCACAAACCATAATATGGCATAATATTTACTTATTGTGAGCTTTCTACTGACCTTTGACTTGTTTCTCTAAAGACGCTTACCAATGGCCCTCATGCCGAGCTTTGTGCACGGGTACTGCTAGCAAATCCAGAAAATCTATGGGATGCTGGCTATATGAGTGATCCCATGATTGGCACAGGAATTGCAGTACCTAAACTGAGCCTTGGGGGCATAGTCGGTATAGTCATTGGAAGTGTAGCAGCAATTCTCGTTTGCAACATCATATGGGCAGTTTGGAGGAGGAGGAGTATGATCATGCAATTGAACAGCCATGTGGGAACAGACCTCGCAAATCTCGAGGCTGGAAACGGATCCGGACTGACTCCACATGGTACTATCCCTCAGCTATATATGAACGCAAAATCGAAAAGTAGTGCAGGTACGAGTTCCGTTGGAAGTACCAGTACGGTGGCCGTGTCGTCGACACCGTATTCTGGGAACCCCCTCACACCGAGCACCACCCCGTCGACGAAGAAGCAGTGGACACAGCCGTCGCACGTTTTGCAGATTTATTGATCAATTGATAAGCAGCAGAATGGATGTACGTACGCTTGTAGTTTCTTCATTTGAGTTTGAATGTTTAATGCAGCTCTTGAAATTTAGCAGATCTGCAGTGGTAATGATTGAATCCAATCGAGATCCCAGAAGATCTAGATCTCTGAATCCTTGCAATTGAAATGTGGTAAATCGAGATGTAAGCCCTAGTTCTGTGGTTGGAGTCCCGCTGTAGAACGGAGGCTCTAGGATGTTTAGTGTCGTCGCCGCGCCACGATCAGTCAGAGTTACTCTCGGGCTGGTAAGTTCGAAACGCGAAAGGTAAGGATTAAACGAGGTGAATAGTCTAACCGACCAAAAGCAGCGATCTACGAGCAGCCTATCGATAGAGTCTATCGCTAAAAGTTTTTGAATGTAGCCTAGGCCCTGCATTAACTCTGCATGAAACTATAGGCCAGAGAGGGGAATTCCGTGTGCCGTAGATGTATATGTAAAAGCATGTACATGTATATGTACTGTGCAAAAAGCTTAAGGTACAAACGTCCCGCTTTCCTAACGCGAGGCCGTCAGGTACCTCGAGATTTTGCAACATGCAACGCAAATCCCTAATCACATTGCCCGAAACAGCCACAGTCCCATACATGGCACCCATTCTTTTTTCCAGGCTGCCTACACCAAGTACCATGTGGAACCTCGGAGAAAGTTTTCTGGCAGGGTAGGTTATTTTTGTTTTATCCTATTCGTTCATATTTACAGAAATCGTTCCTGTATAACCACACTGTTCAAATCTGGTTCCTTGGGCCGGCCGTTGTGCAATTGTGATCCATCGGGTCGTGGCCCAAAGGCCAATTATTTCCAACATTGAACGATTAGCGATTGTGTGCCCCGAAGGTCGGACATATAACAGTGAGATGATGTATTACACGGGATAAAAGGTAATTAACGTGGACACCGCATGTCTACGGCATGGAGATATATATTATGAAGTTTTATATATCTCTGAGGATGTGTGTCTTTTAGGGATGCCAGGAGCCGGTTAGAATTGCACAACGTCTATCACTCGGCTGTGAGTGGATAGGTTTCATTTGAGACGTGTCTAAGATTTCTTCCGTCGGAATCTGGACCTAACTACTTGTTACCTGAACCTTTCGAGGCCGGGGGATAGTTGAACGCGAGCCGCTGTTTTACGGAGTTTTCGAAACCGGTCAACTTGGTTCGCTAAGATATGTTGTTTGAATATAGTAACTTGTGCTATAGGTATACATATTTGGATACTTGGAAGTACTTTAAGTGTTCGATGATATATTTGTGATTGGTATATCGATGCAAGTTTCGCTAAGTATATATACAAAAGGCAATATGTTTTTTTTGTAATCAGAAACTCCCGCTTTCCCAAAAGGTATACATGTTCTTTTGTATGTACAAACGCAAGAAAAAACAAAGAAAAGAGAATGCAATCCTTGAACCGACCTAGCCTATCCCACAGATGACACTGACAAATGAAAGCACAAAACAAAGGAAATTGAATAATTAACTCCAAAAGAGAATCGTTTTTTTTTTCGTAACAAATGGGACTCGTGATTGGTTTGGAGGGACTGTGGGTATCTTTTTTTTTTTTTTTTTGGGTTTTAATTTATTTTTTTATAATTTATTGAGGATTTACCAGATCTCATCCTCATCGTATAGTCTTGTGATGGCATCCTCGTAGTGATGATCCCTATCAAGGTAGCCACTAAGGAATGTGGCATTTGACCTTTGCCTGTCGTGGTGTGGAGATGTTGGAGATGGAGGAAGAGAAGCCTCCATTGGGAATGGGTCGGATGGAATTGGAATGGAAGGCGAAGCTGTACGGGGCGATGGTGGTTCGGATTCTTCATCGGCCCTCAAGCTCAGATTCAGTCTTTCGGCGACTGCTGGTGGTAATGCTACCATTTGCTTCTCAACCTCTCCATCAGGTTGTGTGACGGTGTACATGTACCATCGTCTATCAGTAAGTTCGTAGACTTGGCTTTGTCGCTTGTTCTGGTAGGAGCTTCCGGAGTTTCTACTCCTGGCGCTCTTTGCACTCTTTGCGCTTTTGATAGAGAAGAGAGAAGGTCTTCTGGTTGCAGTCTTCTCGATCTTCTCGATCTCGCCCTTAGACGAACGTCGGAAGATAGTCGGGATGCAAGACATAATCATTTTGATAGATGTCTTGATATTGGATGATATAGGATGTATTTTTGAGGGTTGAATGCTTATGGAGCCACGAGATGACTCCAAAGCCAGGATATATAATGATATATATGTAAAAGGAGAAGGCTGGATTCCTTGTTGCTATGTGCCCTCCAAAGTTCAAGTCGGGTTTGTTAATTGATTTTTCGGTAGTATTCACAGCTCAGCTGATTTGGTGTGATGTGATGTGATGAGATGAGGTGTGATGTGATGTGATGTTGTGATTTATTTAGCCTCTGATGTTTAGGGAGGTAGAATATAGAATGGTGAGGAGGAGAGATCAAGTGAGAACCCAAGGAAGCGGATGCCCGACCTTAAGTATCAACCCAGGAGAGATGGTGAGTTTATAACTCCTCAAGGAGATTCTGCAGTGGGGATGGTGAGCGGAAAGTTATAGGAGGCGAGAGGCCTATGCTCGTTCCGAAAGTTTGGGACTGGGTCTCCTCCTTTCTAGGACCCCCTGGCGAGAGGGTGGGCCCACCTCTAGGCTAACTTGTTTCCTCCCACGCCCAGGTTAGAAATCTCTCATGAAGAAAAAAAAAAATCTTCCTTGTACAATTTTGACTCCGGTGAGGGGTTAGCGAAGGTCACGATTTCTTCAAGAGGGTCCTAACTCAAATGGGGGTCACTCTACAAAAGCCAGAGCCAGTGGACCGTTTCCTAGCGGTTTGGCGTAAGGAAACGGCCAAGTGGAGGAGGTGTGGGAGACGAGGGCAAGGGTCTACCAAATTGATGGCGCCTTGGCAGTCTATTAAGTGATAGTCATGAATTTCCGGTAACGCACGGGGGATCGGCTTTGGCTAACAGCCAAAGTACAGAATGCTTCGTGTACACTTTGTTTATTTCGTCCCCGAAGACTACTTTTCTTTTTACCTGCGTAGATGTTGTCGGGGCCGAAGGCGGCAGTTATCGATAAATCCACCGTCGATGCACTCTGCACGCCCCAGTATTCCGATGTTAAATGTTGTTGGCTGCAGAATCTAGACTGCAATAATATCGCTGGTATACCCCCCCCCTTTTTTTTTGCGAATGACCCCCATTTCAGACCTCGCTTTTGGTAACCTTCGCAAAATTTAGTATATCTGTATGGGAAGCCACTCCTGGTCGATACCCTTGAACTGCATATGCACCCTCAATTCTGGTCCTTTGTTCAAATTGCAGCGCTAAAGGGTGCGGTGATGGCCGTGGGAAGAGACGAAGCGGTGTCCCAAACTTGTGCCAATTAATTCCCAGATTTTCAGAAGGAGGGCAGCCACAGTCCCGAGGAACCAGGAAGCCATCCATTTAGCAGATCGCCTAGCAAACCATCCATGTTCGGGGAACCGGACAAACCCCTTTGTTGGGTCCGTTTCGGCGAGCCCAGTCAGAGCTAACAACCTCGGATCCACCGGGTCTTCGCTAAATTCCCTGGCTCTCTGTCTCAGGACGGCAGGTGCAAAGGACTAATGGAAAAACTGGCCATTAGGGTTCTTCACTGAGGGTTTCGCGTCAGAAAACCAGCAAATGAAATTGAAGCGGAATGCCAATTCCTGGCGGGTGGAGCCACGGGACGTTGCTCTTGAACCCGAACCTTGACAGAATGCTGGGATTCCTCGTTCAATTTACACTTTGTCGGGCTCGATATTGCTTCAAAATTTGATCATGAGGTGAAATTTCTGTTCCAAGAAACGAATTCAAGAACCGGCACAAAGGTTGCCTCGAGTGGGCCGATATCGATAGCAATATCAGAAGACAATAATGCATAATACAAAAGTAATAAGTAATAGAGAACTGTCCCGTCAGTCTGGCCACCTCGAAACTCTCGAGAAACGCTCGAAACGTTAACGTTGGAGAACAATAGGGATTGTCTTAAAAATGTGTTTCGGAGGTTAGATCTAGGCCCAAACGCTGATCCTGCCTGATAGAGAGTCTCATGCAGTGTACACTTGCCTCGCCTCGCAGTGACAGCTATTCGATTCGTCGAGTGCTCGAGTAGTCTTACCAGTGTAGAGTCGACTAAATCTAGTGGATAGCCAAGATTAATCTTAAAATAACCGCTGCTTCGATCTAAACTAGTAAATATCGCTTGAAGAAGAGCCTATAGGTATGTCAACCTTCAGAGTTTTCAAAATAGTCCCCGCTCGCTGCGCTGCTAGCTATAGCCACTGGTAAAGTTTTCCCGGGACAAATATTGCTTGGGGCTGGTATGGATTTCAAAAACCTTTTCCAAATTCTTCATTGCGAATCAGCAATGGATTCATTTTACAAACCGCGTTCGGAATTCTATTACCTCTAAGGTTTCCAAGATAGCGCCTATCCACACTGTTGGACCCCCAAGGTTAGATAACATTATCGAACCGGCCCGCCTGGCTGGTGGTGCCGAGGCTCCCAGGCCTATACACTCTCCACAATCTTTCCTTCTATTGGCCCGGAACCAAGATCCCCAGATCTCTGTCTCAGTGGGTCCCTAATCTAACCTATCAACTTGCATCTTTCCAAATAGTTTATTTGTGAAGTGGAGACTACGTTTCCATAAGATGTTGGAGGCTGAGCCCAGGTCGTGTCGAGATCTAGACCCCCAATGTCCTGCCAGAAAGGCTTGGTTCGCTTGCACTCTGATGTAATGGCGTCCTGATCTTTTTATGGGAAGTGCTTCCGACACGTAAGGGAAATCTATCGTCATCCGGCAGCCGATGCCCAAAAGTACTTATACACCCTGGTAAACCCGCCGAAATCGCGATCATGAAGGGTATAGTTCCTTTTTTTCCCCCTCTCGATGAACCTTTCGATCGAGAAAAACAATCCCAGATTATCCTCATAAGTATAGATTGACTACTCCTGTGCACAACTACATTTCAAAATATATATATATATATATAATTTGATGCCCGGGCACAAACACCGGCCGGTCGCAGCGACGGGATCAAAACACAGCACAAGTAAAGAATAAAGAATAGACTGGTGGCCACTGGTGGAAGAAGTCGAGTTGCGTTTATGCCCAATATAGTCATATCTAGCGGCTGAAATCGAAGTCATCGACATAAAATACAACATTGAGATATTGTATATTTTGCCAAGTAACCGGCTGACCGCGTGGCTATTATGTTCCCTCAATAAACATGTGGAAGCGCTCGTGGTGCACCGAACAAAGATGGAGTAGTAACTTTGCGGGAGCACGTTCTAGATCGATAATACAACAACTTCCATAACTGCACACGTCTCGATTTGACTTGAATCTCCCGAAATTTCCCTTGCCGCGATTACATTTGGGCAATACTCCAAGGCCCGTGTCCTCGTTCCTCGTATACATAATTATGCATATAGAGTATGCACTCTTAAATCTGGACTCTACATGAGGGGCAATGAACCTCCCGGAGTGGCAAGCATACGATTTTAGTGGAATATTTTACAAGAAAGGAATAATATGCAACCTAACAAGTAATTACTTCACAGTCAATAAGTTTGAACCCCGGAAATCGTGAAAGCAAGGGATATCGGCTCGTGGGTTCGAACCATCTCGATCTCAAATGTGATATTAATTCGCAACGGGTGTAAACTTGGGGCTAATCCTTTGGAAGCCAGCTGTCCAACATTGATCATCAAAGGGCAAAATACACGAGGTCGCTAATCGATCGCCGACGTTTTAGCTTCTTTAGATAGCCCATTGCGCCATTAAGGTAGCCCCGGTTAAGAAGAGGTTAGGAGCTAGATAATCTTGCTAAATCCACAAACTATCTGCACCAGTTGACGTCTTGTTTTTTGCACGTTTAATTCTTGTGATTACAAGTTTTTGGTAAATTTTATACAGTATATATTAATATATTATTGTTTTGCGAGAATATCTTATTGTAAAATCTCAGAATTCAAAATCAATTAACGAATACAATATCTATCAACATCTCTCACTTGCTAGTGATAACAGATTAGTTAACGTACACGCTACACGTCACCGGAGTTTAAGCGTTTGTTTTTTACTATTCGAAATTTAAAAATGTCTCTAGAAACGGGGCTCTATTTTATCCAGGCCAAATCCACACATTATAATGTGGGACGATATTATGTCGAAGACCGATCACTCCTACCGAAGAGAGTTCTAAGTCTTTCCCAAGCCGTAGGAGGCCTGCCTTCAGAATGGCTCGTTGAGAAGACCGGCGATAGGACATACCGTATGAAGGCCCAGGACACCTACACCGGAGTAATCGATGACAAATTGTATGCTTTTCTGTTGCCGGAACCTGCACCTGTTGACTGGGTGATCAAAGCCCACCCCGAACATGGTGATAATGTATACAGGTCAGTCAACGACTCTGGGGACCGCTCATTCGCTAATTTGTTACCTTGTCGAGTGAAGCTAACTTAGAGCAGTATTGAAACTGAGAGCGGCGAAGGCTGGACTGTTGAGGGTCAATCAGAATCCCAGGTCAGCATTAATCAACTTGTACAAGGCTCCTGATCAATTAGCCATGAGAGAAACTAACGAGCAAGCCAGATCGAGATTCACACATTCCAAGACTCTCCCAATCAACTTTTTACACTAGTACAGAGTAAAGCTTGAAAATCTACATGGGCTGGCTGTTATGGGACCCTGCCAAGATCGACAAAATCCAGCTTAAGCTAGCTTCTAACCTTTTTCGGAAAACTTTTTTTTAGGAACTGTGAACTGGACATTCGTGATTCACGGTTGCACACAATCTTGGGGAGAGGCTGGTTACAAGAAGTTAGTATTTCTACCGTAAAAGCAATAAAAAATAAATAACTGTTTGTGAACTATAAAGATCCTGTGATATCCGCTGAATTGTGATGCCGCTGAAACGGCAGGTCGTAAAGTTTGAGGCACGCACTGAAGCCTTTGGTCCAAGATCTGATGCACGAGTTATCACATAATGTCCATCAAAGAAAGGACAAGAAACCTTCAAAAAAAGGGTAGCGGAAGAACGGATTTCATACTCTAACTCGCAGGTTCCCGTCCCGAAATATCCGCCCGCACTTAACCCGCCGCTTTCCGTGTAAGAAAATGCGGCCCTGAAGGGTTTTACACCCAATTTTTCTTCACGTCGAGAGCTCTGCCGTACCGGCTTTGGGAACACATAATATGTTCCCTGTTCGGAAATTTAAAAGGATTTCTCGGTAAATATTTCCCCGATTGTGATCGATGGCATCGGTAGCTGTAGCCATCGATGCGACGTTTGCTAGGTATTCCATGTAGATGCATAGGTTCTGATATCATACGAAGCAGCCGTATTCCCAAATCCAAGAATCAATCTGCAAATTCAGCTGCATACAGGGAAATGCAACTGGGATGGCAAGATGTAGAATCGATTTGTCTTCATCTCCAAACGGAGCTTAGTCTCAAATTAGTTTGTATGTCCTTTCCTTATTAAGTAAGCCTATCAAAAGACGACACTAGTATCAGAGCTAGACCACTCTTCAATTGTTTAGGCAAACGGAAACATTTAAACAAGTTTTCCAACCTTATGCAGACGCATAGTATCGGTGAGATATTGCACTTGAGAACAATAATTATGTTGATCCTAGCTGTTAAAGTAACTTTCTAGGAGATCTATGCAATTCTGGGCTGATCAAAAAATTTTAAAGTAGTGAAAACTGTAGGATTTCCGAGTTCTCATAGATGTGGGATCTTCTTTTGAGATTAGACCAGGAGAGTAGTAATAACTAATAGATCACCGAAGAAACGCATTTTCGAGCCTAGACTTCCACAACCAAGATAAAGTTAGGCTCGCGATGCAAGCAAGATATCTAGATCTAGTGCTTTTGCATGATCAGTGCATTAGCCAACCTGTCGAATCCGTCGAGGCTATATCCAACTAGAATATTCGACTCGAGAATTCTGATGTCACATAAACGTAATATTCTGTTGATTTACTTGTATATTGTCATTCAAGTATACTAGCATCTCAAGATTTTTCGAAAAATGTATAATATTGTTTGATATTTTTTGATATTTTTTGAGCACATGATTACCAACCGATTCTTTATTAGACTTATGCCATAGCTAAATTTAAAGAGAGTTCATTGCAGATTTTAATATATCAAGATTTTATACAAGATACCAGGAAGCTCTGGTATATCGTATAATAGACTCTAGATCTTAATAAGATCGAATTGTCATATAAAATTCCCAATATACTACTATACAGAGCCAAAAAAAACTTTTTGTTATTATATCTACTTAAGTAATCTATAAACCAATCATACCGCCAGATGTCACTTGAAACAGGAACATATTTTATAACATCCAACTACTCAAATGGAATTGTAGGGAGGAACACCGCCAATGATGGGGAGCAGATCTTCAGTCTCCCTCCATTCTCTGACCCTCAACAGTGGGAAATCATAAAGCTCTGCGATGGCTATAGCCTTCGCATTGGGGGAACTGAGACTGCTGAACTCAACGGTATGGTTCATGCACTGACTCACGATCAACCGATGGCTGAAAGCTGGGATATCAAACCCCACGAGCAGCATGGTCCCAATATGTATACGTAAGTCCATACATACATCTCCCTTCGCAATTAAAATCAATGCGACTGCGACAGAACTAGGTTGCATTGCATGGCATAAAGCTCACGGACCGGTCTATCCTCTTTGTACATCGGTAGAATTGAAAAACTCGATGGATCGCTTGGCTGGGTTATGGCTGCTGAGGAGATATTTGCACCGGTATGTTTCACCGCCCACAAAAAAAGAGACCGTTTCCCATACGAAAGTGAGGGGTCAATTGCGAAATGCCGGATCTCCGAACCTTATTTGCTTTTATAAAAGCCAGATACTGAATGTAAGCTTACACTTATCTAGATTTCAGTTCAGCCAATCGTCGCCACCAAAAGCCTTCCACCACACTATCTGCCGCCGTGCCTTTTCCAAATAATCAAGGTTGAATAAGATTGTGATTCCAAAAGATGGAAGCAAGAGTGGCCTGATAGTGGTTCCGATTGACGATACATATTGATACTAGTATAATGATAATATAAATTAGCTACTGGTAAAAAAGAAATGGAATATAAAGAAGAAAATGTTGAATTGCTTAGAGCTTAACGGTTCATACCGTCTGCCCTTGAGCCATACCTCGTCTATACTCATATTGGCTTTGCTTAGTACCGATTAGTGTGCGAGAAACCTTAAAACGACGCTCTTAGTATACTCTGGGCAACCTCAAGTTTGACTTAGTTTATTGGGCTAAACCAGTAGAGGGAAAAGGCTTAAAACCTATAGCTAAATATGGTTGAGGAGACATGTTATCAATAACTGCTGGCCCATGTTCGCTTGTAGTAAACACGTCCTCGGTTCGTTCCTTTCGACAAAACTATCCGGGTGACCGCGCAACGTCGCTCAATTCGCCATCGGCCATCGAAGGCTTGAAAAGCAAGCAAATGTTAAACTACATACGAGACTCCGAAGTTTGGCGTATGCATCGAGGGCCCTGGTCCGTGGGCTGGAGGGTCCATACCGGGAACCTACCCTCGAGTTGCGCACTTTGCACGGAATACATCCACACACGTGTAGATAGTGGAGCAACCTGTAATAAAAAGCACGTGTAGTCGATGCTATGCAGGAAAAAAGCCACACGACCCAGAACGAGGGATTTCTTAAGTCAAAGGAAACCTTAATACAATGTTTGAAGACGGATTCGTAGATAGGCCCCCAATTCACCGTCTCAATCGGTCCTTTATTCGGTAAAACTATTGCCCAAAACTGTGCCGTGCTGTTGAGGTATTGACGAACTAGCCTCCCTTTGACTTACGGCGCAACACCTGTGTTCTCTGCTTTCCTTCCCAAGTCACAACACCGCCTGTGGACGAACGACGGAATGAAGTTAGATGAGGGCCCTGCATGTATAGCACCTAGCTTGCATATTTATCAGCACCGTTATATAACTCTATACTTGCGGACTCCGTTATTTTGATACTCAAGGTTTCGGAGTAATTCTAGGCGATTTCTTCGGCTCCAAAATGAACCGAGATTGCTATTCGATTCAATTGATGTGCCGTCTTGCATCTCAAGATGTGCATACATATGTCTATATACTGTTACATTCGAACTAGGGTCTCGAGACGGCGTTCATGAGAATGTGGCGACCGTATCTATACGGTTTGAAACTCTGTTTCTCAAATTCACATGTTAATGCGTAATCTTTCCCTAGACTAGTAATATTTTCGAATACCTATACCCTAATTTGATCTAACCCAGCGAGTAATTCGGGAGTTGAAAGGGACTCGACTGCTCGTGACGGCTTAGCCGTTCGTCGCATTTGCTTACCTCAGTTCGGGATTATCGTAGACCCCCCTAACGTTATAATTTTCCTAGATTCAGGCGTCCGGCCCGAATGTAGTTACACAAATTCTCGGCTTACAAGCGATCGCCCGCCAATGGGCCCCTTGCGGAGAAGACAGGAGAGCACATGAGGGATTAACATCCCTTGGCTGTAACATTATAACATATAACATTGCACCGCTACCAATAATTTCGTCGACAGGTATATTCGATCCTGGCTCGGCATCTTGTCGCTATACTTGTTGAATGGAATTCTTTGCTAAGAATAGTAAGTTTTGGCAAAACTACCCCGGATTTTTATAAATTTACAATGAAACAAAGGTAATTAAATAACGTTACCGAGCTGAGTGAGCTGTTATAATGTTATCATGACGCGATATTGGCTGTTCTTCCCGCCCTTCTTCTTAAATCTTAGCTATTCTTTCCACAAGACTGGGGAAGACGTTACATTGCAAAGTAATGATGAATCTGGCGCAATCGTTTCGTTGTGTGATCTGAATCGAGGGGCTTCATAAGCTTATTGCATCGGTATCAACCGAGGAGTAGATACGCATGATCCATGCTCTTGTAATTGTGCCAACAACTGACCAATTTCTTGTCATTTTCTTTCCGGGTAAAAGTTCCAGGGACACGTATATATGAAGCCCTTGCTTTCCACTCTATCATCGTCCCTTTCTCCTTAATTTTCTTGAAAATAGAATTAGATTTAAACTTTGAATCTCGACAACGGCACGATCGATACCATCGAAAATTGAAGAAATAAAAAATTATTATCAAAATGCCACCAACATATTCTGCCCCAGTTCTCCAAAGTGGGACATATATTATAACAAGTGTTTCCACCAATCTTAAAGTTTCTCGAACCCTTGGCGAGGATAAGTCACTCCTTCCAAAGAAGGTTTTTGTTCTCCCAGCTAAGGAGCAGGCATCGACGGTATGTTGATCTCGGTTATCCCTGTGTATCCCATTATAATGATGCTACATGGCAATCTTAAATTTACCTAGGCTGTAAGTCACTGTCCTACAATACGATAGACTAACCGGCCCCTTTGAACAGTGGGACGTCACAAGAAATCGGGATGGAACCTATATTTTGAAGAATAAAGGCAGCCCCGTTGTCGAAATCGAAGACAAGCTTTTCGCCCAATTGACGGGTCCACCACTCGAGACTCGCTGGAAAGTCTCTTCCGTCTACTGGCATGGTGCTGATCAATGGATGTAAGTAGTAATTTAAATCCTTGCCGCCCCGTTGATGTTTGTTGGCCCGTGACCTGATGAGTCTGACAATATTATTTATAGAATTGAAACACCCTCTGGTAGCGACGGATGGCTACTTAAAGATGACCCCGCAGCTGATAAGGATGAGCTTAAGCAGGTATTTATTTTTAGCCACAAATCCCCATGTTAATTACTTGTGTAACCAGGGCTAGAGCATGGCTAATTTCCACGTCTGCACATTCATAGGTTGATGTCGGACCGTTGATTGCAAATCTCTCCCTTCCTCCACAATATCCTGCGTATGAGCGGTTCCGTTTTACAAGAGTTAGGGCAACTGTGGGATAGGCATTTCTTCTAGGTAGCAGATTCGCTAGCATACTACGATCATCTATATCGAAAGGCTCTTTAGGTCTGGCCTACTATTATATACCATGGCTCGCGCTAGTCTTAGGTACCTTTAAGATTGGAATCGATGAGATCTACAATACAATGTGCAAATCATTATATATATAAGAGCATATGGCGGCCGGTACCTTGTTCAAGAGTAAACGAAACTGCGTTCAACTTTATAGTTAAATTGAATTATATCCATTGAAATAGACTATCTTACGTTTTAATGTCCACGCTGACTTCATGATCTCATTCTACCCTGGTAAATTGCCCTACATATGAACATAAAGGTTTATCCAAGATAGCACTTCAAGATTTTCATTTGAAATACACTGATATGATCCGATAATACAAAAATCAATCACTTGGATCTGTCATCTACCCTTCTTTACGAATTCCAACATGAGGTGTCACACGATGCTGCTGAACAATGTTTGTGTACTGGTCTAGTATGCACTGGGCCAAGGGCTCTAATATAGTTACGACTGATGGGTCCTCTTTTGGAAGCTGAAGATCTGCGCAAAATAAGTGACCATACTATGGAGATTAAGCCTTATTTACGAATTGTATATACGTATCTCTTATAGCGTTTAGTGTGGGCCTTTTCCCGACACGAACCACTAGCTGTATACATTGTAGTATTTGCCTTACCCCACTGCAACGGATTCACGTTTTGAAATGGGTGGACGGTAACGTTCAGGCATTCGCATATGCGCATTCGCATGTTTGAATTGACGGTCGCTGAAAATGTTTGGACATTGAATAGTAGATAATAGCCTCGAGACCATATATGCACTAGCTCCATTACTACTCAACCGCGGTACTAGCTTAGCCAGTATAGTAATTTCCAAAATATGTTTCGTATCTTCACCGATATCACAATGCCCGTCTAATCCTCGGATCTCAATGCCGAACCTAGGTTCACTCATCAGACTATCACAGACCCTCACTTGCACTTTGTAAGAATCCACCAATATCAATCCCCAAAAACAACACACGCTCCCTTCCAAAATACAACAGCACCTTCCAAACCTGGTTACATCTGTCGGAATCCCTGTCCACCCGATTGGCCAAATCGCCCCCCTTTCGAAGCTTTCTTCCTTGGGACCAGCCAATCATCCCAAGAACATGAACCATCCTCCGCACCTGCCCCCTCCAAACAAGCTTTCTGATCTTTCGCCTCACCAACTTCCTTGGATCTTCTTTTGGCAGGAAAACCCCTCCGCCCCAGTCGAAGGGCTGCCTAGCCACCGTACCCCCCAGCTATCAACAATGTCTACGATCCCTCGACTAATCATCTTCCAGAATCCGCAGGTGTGGAAAGGCTTAAACTCTTAGCTAAAAATGCAACTGCAATGGGAGGCCGCAAGGTCCGATGACCGGGGTTATACATAGTGGTGTACGCACATGTGCCTGGATTCTACACCTCCCGGATTCGAAACTATATGCCCTTCAAATGGGACTGGAAGTTTGCGTCTTTCCCAGGCCTTCGAATGAAAGAGTAAATGCAGGAACACACCATTAATGCATTCCCGGATTTTTTGTCTTTGTTTAAGAAACAAAAAGTCTTTGATATCACCGATGTCGCCCAGATAGATATATTAACTACAGGGACCGCGAAACCTCTAAGACATAACTTATCCGAATCAGGAAGCTCTCAACATCAGTAACCTCGTCCCATCATGGGGAGAACCCCAGCGGTATGCAGGACATAAACGTGGTCCACCTATATACGTAGTAGACCAATATCTTTCCAGCTGGAGAGAGCAACATGGAAGAATAACAAGAACAAGAAGAAGCGAAAACCCCTGTTCGATTTAGGCAATATGGAAACCGGCGATCTACGTCAAATGTCTGATTTCCTGGGTATCTCTGGAGAAGAAGAGATAAGGCATGTGGGTAGGGGTGAAGGGGATTAAAGGGAAAAGCCCATATCATCGGAATGCCTTGGCAAAATGAATAGAATGGAAGGATATATAAATAATCCCCAGCTTTCCCACAATATTGGAAGTCGGATAAACCCAAGTTTTTTTTCTTTCTATATCAAGCTTCGATAATATAATTGCGAGATATCAATTATTATCATCCCAGCCGGTCTCCGAACCATAGATCCCATAGGAAAACCTTCCCGCCCAACTTGTATCGGTAAATAGCAAAAAAAATGAAGGCATCAACATTCTTAGCTCCCCTCCTCCTAACCACAGGAGTCTACTCCTGGGGCCCAATGGGTCATGCTACAGTCGCATACATTGCCCAACATTACCTCGATGGTGCTGCTAGGATCTTAACCTCCCACCTCCTTTCTGGCGCTTCGCTCCCTGATATCGCTTCATGGGCCGATAGCTACCGTTACACCGATGGTGGCGCCTTTTCCCAAGTATTTCACTATATTGACGCTCACGACCAAGTTCCTCATAAATGTAATATCAAGATGGAACGTGATTGTCCGCCGGAAGGGTGCATTGTTACTGCTATCGCCAATTATGTATGTGCTTGAACATTTAATACCTCACATATATGATGATTTAAAGAGCTATTGGTTAACTTATAATGAGGGGTAGACCGAAAGAATCCTCAACGATGACTTGAGCTTCTCCGAACGCGCCGATGCTCTCAAGTTCGTTATTCACTTCATTGGTGATGTTCAACAGCCACTTCACACCGAGAACCTCGCTGTTGGTGGAAACGAAATCACTGTGTTCTGGGGAAATGAGAGCGTAAAGACCAACCTTCACGCTGCTTGGGATCGTAATAGTATGCTCCTCTTGTCCTGCAAAAAAAAATGGAAAAGGATGCTAATATGTGTGGTGATACTAGTCCCAGAGACACTCGCCGGAGGCTCGACAATTGCCACTTCTGCTTCATTCGCGAACTCCATCATCCAAGACCTCGAAACCGGCATCTACAGCAACCTTAAGAAAGACTGGACCTCTTGCGGCTCCATCAAGCGCGGCATTGGTTGTCCAAAGGCCTGGGCCCAAGATGCTAACAAAATCGTGTGCTCTGACGTCCTACCAAACGGTGTTGAAGAAGTTCAGAACAAGGATATCAGCGGAGCGTATTATGAAAGGAACAAGATGATCGCTAGACAACAGATCGCAAAGGGAGGCTATAGATTGGGTCTATGGTTAAACAAGATTGCTAAAGCAGAGCAATTGAAGTGTAGGGCTTAGTTTAAAGGCCGGGGTTGATGTATATGCGCATGTGGTTTGAGATACCCAGGAAGCTAGGTGTTTTGTATATTATGTATATGAAATGAACGATGTATATATGCAGTTTGCGTTTCTTCATTTTCACGAATTGGATTCAGTCTTTTTATTTAATGGGACAGGGAAAATTGTTACAATCCAGCTGTATTATCCTTATAACTAGGACCAGGATTCTAGAAGAACGGATGACAGACAGACAGACAGACAGAAAGCCTCATTCTCGCCATAAACTCCGTCTAGAGTGCAAAACGATGCCTGAATAGTATACATGAAAAGCCCGGTATCTAGCTCGCGCAACAAACATGAAGTTGAAGTCTAGAGCTAACCTCTAGCCCATGAGCTTATATAGAAATAGAAAAAGGAGAGGTTTAAGTGTGTATAGAACAGAACAGAGTCATCAGAAAAGAACGAGTCTACTCTTTGCCCCAAGTCAAATTGAACCTTCCCTTGGCCGGCTTATACTCCTTGATCAACTTAGGAACCTCTTCGACCGAGTTCGCTACCTTGATGATCCCACCACAATCACCAACAACGAACTCGTCGTCGACGGCTTGCTTGATCCACCCGACAATCCCATCCCAAAATCCATCGACATTGAGTAAGATTATAGGCGAATCGTGGATTCCGAGCTGATTCCAGGTGACAATCTCGAAGAGCTCTTCGGCTGTACCGTATCCACCGGGAAGGGCGATGAAGGCATCTGATTCTTGAGCCATCATGCGCTTTCGGGTGTGCATGTCCGGGACGACAGTGTGGATACCGTAGTGGTGAGATTCAGCCGAGGTAGCGGACAGGTTTTCCTGCTCTTTGGCAGAGAGAGGGGAAGGAATGATACCGTGAACGGAATGAGGGCCGGAGAGAGAGACTAAGCTCTTGGAAACTTGACCCATGATGCCAGCTAAATTGGACATGTTAGAATTTGACCAAAGCTATAAAAGGGGATATACCCGATGAAAGGTAGGGAGGGAGGCTTACTAGTGCCACCACCGTAGACGAGGTTCCAGCCTTGCTCGTGAAAGACTTGGGCGAGGTCGGAAGCCGCATTTATGTATGCAGGGTTCTTTCCAGGCTTGCTGCCGCAGCTGTTGTGTAACCATCAGTATACGGTATATATAAACCAAACATCACTGCAGACTGCAGATAAATCCATACGAATCAAATCGAATGAATGGAGGGAAAGCAAAAAAAAAAAAAAAAAAAATACTTACAAAACTGCGACGGTAAAGGGCTTTGACTTCTCTGTGCCGGTCATGATCTGGATTTGAGGCATTGCAAGCGTTAACTGATAGCTATCGATAAGGTTTTTTGGTACGCGACAAGATCAAGCAGAGCAATTGCAACCAACTAGCAAGCTAAAGAACTGAAAGGGGAGAAATAAGGTTATCTTACGATTGTGATAAGTGAGATAATGGAAATAAAGATGGGTATTTATGTTCTAGGGGCTGAACGAAAGGTCGCGACGAGGAGGAGAACAAGTTGGCACCTATGATGATGATGGTAGTGGTAGTGGTTGTGGTTGTAACGTTGTGATTGGGATTGAGAAGAATAGTTGTGTGGGAACAAGCTAACGTGGGTGACGTTGGAACCGAATTGCAACGCTTGAAACCCCGAAAACGGCAGCGTTACAACTGAATCGTTGTTAATTCGATCCAAGTCGATCGAATTGCAATTGATTCAGCGATTGGAATTGAATGTTGGTGATAACTTTAACTGTTAATCAGAGCTGGTACTGGGGATGTTCAGGGACAGGAATTTGAAGCCGTTACATGGCTATGGGTGGATTATGCCCAATGACTCTTTTCTCACTGCATTTTGCGGGAGGAGCTCGAAACGAGTCTAAGACGAATCTGGAACTGGCTAGCTGCGGGACAGCAATTGTGATTCTTCCAGCAGGTGAAACTTCTTTTACTGAATAGAACCAAACCGGGGTGAATTCATAATGTTCGTGGTTTTGAAGGTTATCATAGATATACTAATGAAGCTGTTCGTGTGAAGCATATGCATGAATTTGATGTAGTTGCCAACTCCAACAGTTCTACTACAACATTAGCATTAACGTATATACTTACTTAACTGACTTGACTGACTTGACTTACTTGGTGAGAATTATCACACGGGTTCCAGGCGCTAGGGCATGGCGAGATTCGCGGACTCAAGCCGAGTGTACTCGTATAGGCTTTCAACTTCCTTCTGCATTACAACTGCTCCACTCGATGTTGTATCGCACGCGCACTGCACTGGGACGGATTCGGCCTTGGTATATCGATAGCGCAATTGCAAATTGACCCTATATCACTAGCGGATGAACCATCTGCACGATTCGGCCCAGCCGGAACAGTTTTGTCAATTTTAAAAGAAATATCTCTGGGACCCCAACCCGAATTGGTCGATTGAATCGAAGTTTCTGTCAATTCAAAGTTCAAAAATTAATATTAAACTGAAGGTTAAGTTGGAGAAACGTCATTGCAAAATACAACAAAGTCTCCGCTTAACAACACAGTCCACAGTCCTGCAGCGTATCTCCTTCGAGACCGGACTCTGCACAATTAGTCAAATTAATTGTCTCCGTCTTCTGCTCCTGCTCCTGCTCCTGCTTCCGCTTCTAGATCTTTAGACTGATCTCAGCCACCAACTTGACCGGAGTAGAACAGGTACTCAAGTGTACAAGTACTCGAAGAAGGACTCTAAAGGATCCTAGAATTATTCGAATTGCATTGACAGGACACGTCGCAGACTGCTACAAAAAAATAAAAAATAAAAATGCCGTTCTACCAAGTCTTCCACTCTATCGACCTCTCTCCTTCCCAGAAGGACTCTCTTGCCCGGATCATCACGGATGCTCACACCGCCGCGACAGGAGCCCTCAGACTGTTTGTTAATGTCGAGTTCTATCATAACACCAACCCTTTCCAATACATTGGTGGCCTACGCCGCCCTAACAACAAACTGATCGGCTGGGTTCGGCCGCGTGGCGAGGCTGGCGAGCACCTGATGAAAGAAGTCGCTAAAGAGATACAAGAGGGCTGGGATAACACTGTTGGTTCTGTAGGCGAAAAGGAGCTTTCGGCTCTATGGATTAACGACACTATGCTGACTGGGGTTAAGTTTGGTGCCATTTTGCCACGGGTGAGGGTCTATTTCCATTCCGATCGTTCGTTCATATGCAATGTGAAACGTTGGTAACGAGCTACATATATGCTTGTGACTGCATTTGTTAAAGCTGTTGGATGTTGCTAATTTGGTTGTATGTTCACCTGTCTAGGCCTTTGAGGACCAAGCTTGGTTCGAAGAACATAAGGCTGAATTCCAGGAAAGGGCCAGAAAGGGCGACGAACTCTTCAGCGAGGCTATCCAGGGCAACATCATCAATAGATCTTCATAGATCTCTTAGCTTCGTATATCATGTTCTCCTAAGTTAGTTCGTCCGACTGGTTAACTACTATGATTACTCTGTTGTCTCATATCCAACGGATTCTACACAGCCGCCAGCGGCAAATCCAACTCTACAACATAAGGACACCGTGCCGCCTCCGCATAGCTGCTACTCCCCGCCCCAACAAGCGAGGCATTTACAAACACCGTGGATTTACCCCTGGCCACACTCTTTGCTACCTCTCTTGCATCAGTAAAAACTGCCCCATCCTTGTCCGCTCTTTGAGTTTCCACATCCTTTGCCTCCTTGCTGTCCCACTCCAAAGTTTTCACCCCTGCCGCTTCATGAATATGCCCGCAAACACTCATCAGTGGCTTTACTTTCTCCAGGAAGCTTCGCAAATATTTACATCCCACATTTTTTCCTTTCCACGTGCTGTCGAGGATTTCATAAGCGGGACCGTGTATCACTGCCACATCTAATTTCCCTGCCTTCAAACCATCCACACCTTCGAGCTTTTCCCAAAAATCGATGTCGGAGTTGTACCTAAATGCCCCATTATGGTGTGGCCGCGGCCCGCGTGGTGTATATGGAGACCCAAAAACCGTTAACATCGCCCCGTTTTTTAGTTTAAACGTTTCTACTTCGTTTTCAAGATAAAAAATCCCCTTTGCCTTTATTTCTTTACTCGTTAGATATTCTCGGCATTCTACTTGTTTCGTATTTAGCTTGTTTTCTCCATCGTCTGAGTCGGATGAATCGTCCACATGATCTCGAACTACGTCCAAAGTAGTATCATGATTCCCCGCTATCAAGATCTTTAACTCCGCAGGAATGAGTTCGATCCATGATATCGCTGCTTTTAGGGTAAATAAATTACTATCTTGTGTCATATCACCAGCATGAATGAACACATCGGTTTTAGGAAAAGGATACCGGAATAACACTTCTTTGCGCTCTGGGCTTTGTGGCTGAACATCATGAGTATCCGAGACTAGTAAAAAAGATGTTCTAACCGTTGTAGGCGTTTTTTCGGTTACGAGAGTACTCGGCGGGATGATTTGGGCTTTTGACGAGGTATCTGGAATGATCTTCGGATTCATTGGCGGTTTGATAGAATCATCGGGACCTTTTACCTCAATACTTGCTAATATTTGTGACTTTCTCGAATCTGGTAAATCATTAGTATCTGTGGGTTTAGATACTACTGCTTTAGATTTGATATCATTTTTAGTGCTGTCAGTTTTCTTGCAGCGTCGTCGTCGTCGTGTAGGGAGGTTTTCAGTATTAGTTGTCTCAACTAGCACTTGTTTCCCTGTTTTAACTGCAGCGCGAGTAGCTATGATTCTAGTCTCACTCGGCTTTAGATCAGGAGTTGAATTTTCTGTCTTTGCCGTCTCGATACTGCTGGTGGTGGTGGTGGTGGTGGTGGTGTCGGTGGTACTCAGGTTTCGCAAATCCTTTGCCAGAATATCGACTCTGCTACTTGTTTTTCGTGACTTCCTCGTCGCTGGCATGATTCTGTTCGAAGTTTAACTTCACGTATTTAGTTTTAGATATATGTTGTTCTTAGTATTAAAATAGTATATATAGAGTTCCCTGGAGCGTTTCCTTTGTTAAGTTAGTGTCGATAGAGGAGTATGTATCTAGGCCGATAAAAAAATGCACTGGCTTCGAGTTAGGAAGGTAGAATTGCTCATGGCCCCTCGAAAGGTAGTAGTTAGAAACGTTTTCGGGTTGGAATTTATAGGTTTTGCAGTCTCTAGATGCATATTCCAGCTCTCGGACATGTCGTCTGTTCTAGAATATCGAGTTTATACCTAGGTATTGATAGGTATAGCATGGTTGAAAGTCTAGATAGATTTCGAGAAATCTCGAGATCTGTATTAACCTAGGCAATCGTACCGGGCTCCTATAAAATCTTCAGCTCTAGTGATATGCCTCTCTATGAGTATGCACATATCGGGATTTTTAGTTCTAGTATTATTTTTTTAAACGTTTACTTATAAGAATTTGGTCTTATATTAAGGTAACTAAGTGGTTATAATGTCGCGAGGCTTAAGGGATGAACGGGGATAAATGATATCCATGCAATACAACCCCCAACAGTAAGACCCCAACGGGTCCCTCGCTAGAGAATGAAATCATACTTGAGTTAACAAAGGGAAACGATACATTCATTAAAAAAAGATTCTGCTCGAACAAAGGAAGAAAGAAAAAAAACACCGGCCAATGCATAATTATAACTCATCCACCAGAATCGACGACGCCGGGACCAGCCCATCCCATTATAAATTAACTTTCCCAGCCTAACCCCATATCAAATGCATGCTTTTAAAAAGAATAAGGAAAAGAGTAGGTACCATCCGAGAGTGATAAGAGTATTGAGAATCACCACAGACTATCCACCGCATCCAAAACTGACCGCTTCCTTTCCCACCGTTCCTTCTCCTCCTCTGTCATCAATTCATAATCGATCCTAACCTCGTGCTCAATTTTGACCCCTCGCTCGCTTGACCTCCTCCCATCCGGACTTTCCTCGTCCTCCGGATCCTCGTCGTCTCCAAACCCAATAGCACTCTTTGCACGTCCACTAATCCTACTAACGACACTTTGCCTCCTCCAAATACTTGGCCGGTACACGAATCCAAAGTACTGCTGGTCAGGTGCAACATCCGCACCGCTCTTAGCAAGACTGTGCGTAGAGCTGCAGGTCACAGTGTACTCTCCCGCCAGTTTGCTAAACTGTCCCGGCCTATTATTAGCAGTATTACTCGGGACCGTAGTCGTAGTATTGATTGTATTCGCATGCCGCATATTCAGTGGTGATTGCTCTTGTGTGAAACCAAAGCTGCCATCCAGCTGGAAGTTTGGGACAGATCCTTGCCGGTATTTCGCTGGCGGGGGCCGTCTTGTAATACCACCGTCCTCTTCGTCCTTATCGTTTTCTCCCTCTTCCTCTATCCCTTCGTCATATTCCACTTCGTTGTATCCTTCCTCTTCTTCGACGTCATTCTCAAAAGTCGGTCTTCGTCCCTTTGGCCTCGCCATTTCAAGGGGAGGTGTATAATACGGCGTCCCACCGGTGATCTTAACCACCCGACTTTCCGGACTCTCCCGTTTCGACGGATCTGTCATCTCAAACTTTGCCCGATTCCTCGCAATCGATGGGTTCACTGTCCCGCTACCACTCCCTACCCTCGAACCCACAGCCGGCCTCGCATTTGCAGTTCCTGCTCCTCCACCGCCACCACTAGACGCTAAAGCCGACGACTTAGCACCACTACCCCCAACTTTACTACTGAACGGCGTCGCAAAACTCTTGAACAACGGCTTGAGTGCCGGCGCACAAGCACACATTATTGCTAGGTTTATCTCGATATGCGAAAACAGTAGGATGAAAATCGCATCGTACGAAACGTCAACTGTATGCTGGTACTTCCAGAGCGACCACAGCCTTGCCACAGAACCTGCGACAGCCACCACGCCCACAGAAAAAATCGCAATTAAGGCCACTATATTCAAATATTGATTAGCCAGGTTAATATATCATTATTGTTTTTTAAAGCATAAATAAAATATCAGGTCCGTGTTCAGAGGGTGCTAGGAGTTGAACATACACCTTCTCTGCTTGTTAATTTGAAGTCGTTGTAGCACGGGAATAGGTAAGAGGAGGATAATCAAGTCCGAAGCAATGTTGATCGATGCGGTACTATAATATAACGCTGGTAAATTCACGCATCCGCGTGGGAAATCCAGCGACCACGCTGTCGAAGGGTTCGGACACTCAAATATCTGGGATTTCACATTCTTTAGTCCACGTGATCGGACAATCCCTCTCTATTTCATCCAACCTTCAAGGGGAAATATGAAGGGGGGGGAAGAGAATAAATAACTTACATAAGCAAAAATAAATGTAATAGACCAAGCTATGACAAATGTACCGACGACGTAAACGGTGATCCGGTACCACTTTTGAGGCGAGATTTTGATGTAAAACGCCAATATAGAGAGTTTGATGAAGAGTAGGACTAGCGGGTAAAGGATTTGGTAGGCGAACCAATAGCGGAGTGTGGGGATTAATCCGTCGATAGTCTAGATGTATTAATTCAAAAAGAGTATAGAAAGCAAATTTAGTCAAAAGCCGAGAAACTATTATTTTCTTTCTTTGAGACTTTGTATTTTTTGAGGATTTGCTATATATTGGAGTAGTAGAGCTCGAGGGGGGTCCGACAAGGCTTTGTTGGTTTGTCGCATGCGCGGTTTGTTATATTAAAAGGGCAAGCAAGCAAGGGCGAGACGTCAAGAGTCTCGGATTATGGATAAAATGTTTAGAACTTACGACTGTAGTAATATGTCGTCCGGTACCATACTTGATTTGAAAGTAATTCATGACAGCGAGTGCCCATTCTGCTGCAATTCCGATCGTTATAAGCCAGTCGTCCGCCCCAACTCTGTGGATGAGAAAGTAACGACAGTACAACCTAGAGATGGTGTCCTAGCTATTAGCTATCTTGGAAAACAGCAATCATGGTGCAGTTAAGACCGATCCTTCACCGCAGCTACGCGGATAGTTTGCTTTAAGAAGGATCTTTGGGTAGTGGGCTGAGGAAATTGATCACTTACCGCAATATCACAAAAATAGTAGCTATTCCAAGGAGAACGAAAGTGATAGATAGGAATAACGGGTGTCTGGAAGACCTATCCCCGGCTGGATTCCCACCGAATGTGCCTGTCGGTGTTGCGGGCGCCATGACTCTGCGCTTCGTATCATAAGTTCAGACTTCGGTTTCGAAACAGTCAATGACGATTGCGGTTGGGCAACCTCGCAAGAATGTGACGAGGACTGGTTTTATCCAATATCACATTTTTATTTATTTCCATCGTAACAGACTATTTGTGCCATGATTTCTTTTCGTTCTGATAGACTGCATTATATTATCGATTATCAGATCTGGATTTTCGACATTTATTAGGCCTCTCACACAACGCTTTTTGTGATCAAAAATACCACGTGGTAGCGAAAGGTTAATATACACAGGCTGTTGACGGCTGTCGAGCGGCGGTCTCAGTTTTTGTTCTTTTGTAACATGATAAATGCCCTTCAGATGGCCAGAAAGCCCTTCGTTCTGTAAATCATGAGCGTCTTTCTTCTCGTTACGACATGCATATATATCCTTCACTGGTAGTCATAGCAAAGGATGTCCCCCTGCAAGTTCATGATTTGTGCCAGCGTTACATTCGGAGCCAACTTGCCCAACCCGACCTTAAAACCAAGTGTAATATTCGGCCCCGTATAGTCGAAGGGAATAATAGGTCCGCCAACATCGTAAAGTCTGGCGGGTAGTTTTCTCTTCTGCCATGTCCAGAGCATACGGTCCATTGTTGTGTGGTGAAGGAAGAAGATTGGGTCTGGCGAGATGGGCGGTCAGCTGGGGAGTTACCTGACGCCTATCATACCCCATAGGGAATCTACGCATATAATGGAGATGGGAGAACTACATACCACCAGGACTGGCATAAACATCACCAAGAGCTCCTAAAGCACCCCCAACCCCAAAATGCCCGGCACCATGAACGTTCGGAACAGTGAAAACCGGTACGTTCTCCAATCGATATGCAAAATCCGAATACTTCTTCACATCTAGTACCCAGTTAACCAGTTCCTGTGTCGCCCACCTCATCATAGGCCGTGAAAAGTCGCGTGCTAGACATCTGGGGTTATAATCTAGACTAGAACCGGGACCTAAGTTGACACTCCACTTCGGCCAAGCGAAGGGACCTCGTGGGACACAGCCTCCACCGCTTCGTTCGGGGATTCCGAATGGATTTTCACCGTCGATGTAGACGCCATTGCCACCGAAACCTGTATTGTTGTTGAAGATGGGCCATTGTGACATATCCTTGCCACTGTTGATGTCAATGGTCCAATTCCAGTACGGTTGAGCACCACGGTAGCCGCAAACCTCTCGGAGGGTCTTTTCATAGATGGCAATATAGTAGCGGTGCCAGAGCATAAAGTGGCCCTAATTGTGCTCTGGTTAGGGTGAAAGAAGATAGATGATAGCTTCAAGGGTAGGGAGGTACTTACGACCCAGTGGATGTTAGGTGTTTGGACCGAATGGACGCCTTGGAAGTCATCGTATCGGGTTTGAAGACCTGGGATACCGGATATCGATTTGGCCTTCCTCTTATTTCCTAGACATTGGACTGCTGCGATGTATGCCTTCTTCTCAGAGGCCGACAGAGCTCTCCTAGATGAGGAAGACAATCAACCTCATGCCGACATTGCGAACGGATGAATTCAAGATTATTACCAATCTTTCCTTATCAAAGGATGACGACATTTCGGTGAAGCAAAGGGGTACTTCGGCGAGGGGACGTTGCCATATGTCGGCGAAGCCGAGATAAGAGAAACGAAGGGTCCTAGAAGGGTGATGATAACAGCGAATCTTATCAATCTCGAAACCGAAGCCATCGTGGTCCTAAAGGTAACGTCCCAAAGTTACTCAAGGTGAGAAGCGGGTAATCTAGATTCGAGGGTGGACGTGGGTAGGAAGAGGTAAGATGGAAGCAAGGAATCTGATTATAAAGGACCAATTTATAGACGGCTTCCGCAGCTCCAGGATCCCACGTCCGGACTGGTTCTTGCCGCTTCATCCGTCCGCGTCTTTTGCCCTAGCAAAATCATCAAAAAATCTAAAAACGAACTTCAACCATCTCACACTACATCAATCGACAAGGAATCCATCCATGGATCGAATCCAAGTCCCCGGAGCTTCAAGCATGTGTCGAATAGAGAACCTTGTACAACGTTGCAGCTGTTGGAATACGTCTAGTAGAGGGGGTAGCTAGTTCATCTTTCGGCTGGCGGGAAACCTCTAAACCGTCTGTTTTCAAGGAAAGAAATATTGCCATCGAGGCTACCTGCTACATCGCTGTAGTTGAACCGCCCGCGCGGCGACGCCATGTTAAGACTCTCCTGCAGGTTCGAACAACTCACCCGCTCTTGAAAACTCTGAGCTCAACGACTCCACTTCCTCGCAGTTAGGATATCATTGTTCTTGATATCATGCCTTGAATATGTCGCTTCTATTCGTCGCTGCTCGATGTTCCCTGTCGCATACGCGTTTCTTGGAGACTTAGAGGCGAAAAGCGACATGGGATTGCAGGACAAAGCGGCAGCGACAAATGCAATAGAAGTGGGCCCTATATCCCTTCCAAGGAATATCTAGCGAAACTCCCCACCGTCTCGAACCGCCACCGGTCTCTCGTCTCGCCTCTTCTTTTCCGTCCGTCACATTGACAGGCTCGGCCGATTTTTATTTCGCTAGAAATCCCTACACGGGAGGAAATAGGAAATAAAATTCGAACTCCATGTCTAACGACTTCGATGCTACATGCTGAAGACACAGGAGGTTCCAGAATCAAAGAGTCGATTGTCGAGTCCAAAGGATTCGAAGATATCCCTACATGTCATGAGTACCACGCGGGTCCTTGGCCTCAGGAGATAACACAAACAAAAGCTTGATCTCTGTCACAATTTCAGCGCACCGTTTGCGACGGAATTGGGTAATGTCAACTAGTCGTCTATCTGTATCCTGGTTTAGAAGGAAAGCCATTTGTTTCAAGTATACTCCGTAGTAGGGGTGCATAGCCCTTGGAAGTCAACAGCCGAAAAGAGAAGAAAAAAATGAGCAGACTGTGGTGTCATGACTTTGTTGGATTGCTGCTGCTAGGTCCGCCAGGAGGTTGAATAACCAAAACTCGGCTAGCCGACGTAAAGCTAGGAAGGGATGAACTAAGCTTCAACAAAGTTAATATTTCGAACAATCAACGGTGACATATGGGAAGCCCAGATTTCTAATATACACACCGAAAACAGCGCTCATTGTAAAGCCCCTCTATCTAATCAAGCCCCGATCTTTGTTTATAATCATTGGTCCTTATATACGTGGCTGGCATCTTGATTTTTTCGCCCCATCGGAAACTGCATGGGTTACGCCTGTCAACATGCCCAACATCAACCGTCGCAGCTGGGAACACAAAAAAAAATCCAACAAGAGAACGGCTAGCTATGCTAAAAGTTCGGCACTAGTTGTCAAAGTCTGCCTGGCAGCTTGTCATCCCATACGATATTTCCTTAATTTTTCTGAGCTCCCAAAATATACTGAAATGTCGCCCCAGAGCCAATTTTGTACTTGTTCCTTCGCTGGAATACGTAACATTGTCACACACTGTGCAACGCACTCTCAATGCAAGACACAATGACACGGCGGACCTGATACTAGGCCTTTTTGATGGAATAATGATACTGATGTTAGGATTAAGAAATGACATGCATACGCCTCTTCGGGAAATATTGCTCTATACGCATAAGCCTTCCTACCGAACGACCCGGGGCTTTACTAAGCTTCAACCGTTTGGAAGATGATCAGAAATTATAGTGAGGCGTTCGCTTCCTTTGTGTAACCATGTAGGGTCTGGAGCTGTTGACTACTTTTTGAAATCTTAGTCAGGTGTAGCCGTAATAATCCGGAGCTGAGGTTGAGATTTGAATCAATACTGATCAGGTGCCATAATATATCTTTGCTCACTACACAATATATAGGCAATACGACTAAATGGGCACCCTTAGCATCTCGAATCCGTATCTGCTTACCGGTTGCCTAACATAACCATGAAGGGACATATTTCTAAACTGTCGCAGACTTCGGTATGAGCCATCCAATCGTTTTTCATACCGAAAGATCCGGTCAGACCTCAGGACTTTTACCTCGGGTCCTAGGGTCAGATGCATATTTGAAAAAAATTTTAAAGAGAGAGTGAGTAGTAACCCGGCACCTAGGAAATTAATGTTGACGTCTGCCGTGCCTAGTATTCGTAAGGATAATGTTAATAGTCCGTTTAACCTATCTATAACGTTACCACCGCACCTAAGCCGGATGTGTTTCCACACTAGCAGACCACATAAGTATTCTTGGCCGTATTTGGTTTCTTTTTACTTTATTTTATTTTATTTTTCTTTAAAAAAAATATTTTATTTCCTAGTATCATAACCGGGCCGATCCCATGCAGATGTCATATGCAGAACGAACACCGACGTTGCAACCACGAGTGCGTTGCGGCAGTGTCGAGACAGAATACCACACACCAACTTCGTTGTCGAGTCCGTCACCTCGCGGAGCTGAGCTGAGTCCTCGCTGAGGAGATATCACAATTGATTAGAATCGATTGGCTTAAACCACCCCAATAATTAACCACGTAAGCTGACATAGTTCCAGTGAGAAAATCTTTCCTCCAATTTCAAGTTAATCTTCGGTTCTAACCAATTTCCCATCCGGCGCAGGAACTCCCGGTCCGTGTCCTAGCTGGAACTGATTATCCGCTTGGCTAAATCGATTCTGTAGCTCGCTGCTGTGGTGTGTTAGCCCGCACCGGACTGTCCATTTTCCTCCAACCCCAGCTTTTTCCAACCTGCAGCGTAGTATACAGAGGATGTCAATTCTCGAAATTTCAGCTGCATGTTTGGGTCAGACAGGCAAGATTTGTTATGACAGGCCGGAATTTGTTATAGGTACCTGAAGAACTTGTATACACGGGCCAAAGAGTAATCCTGTCGCCAGGGCCGAAAAGCGACCATTTCAGCATGTTCTTCTGCAAGCATTATGGAAGCTTCAACCAGGCTCCCTAGAAAAATACCTCAGCTACAGACACCGTAATATTTCCACCCAAAAGAACTCTCTAAACTTCTCAGGCGGAACCAGCCCTACGGGCCATACTCTGCTAACCCATTATATTCGGATCCCCCGCAAATTTCGCCTAGCCTACAGCTCGTTGCTAGTTATGGATGCAATTATAGGCTACCCTGCATTGGGCTTTCCCTGACTGCAACCCCTCCAATAAACAATCAACACCGATTTTCACCTATTGAGCCGCAGTAGTACCTCTTTGTTTCTTTCTTTTTTCATCTCTTTCTTGAACGATATGTGCATATGCAACCTCTCATAGGACTTTTCTCTGCCAGGGGCCGTCAGCTGCATGCCGAACATCGCTCTTTTTACCCCTTGAAAAAGAGAAGCCAACATATGCAACAGACGTAGGACAAGAAGCCATAGCCTGAAAATCTATGTAACATATTAAATCAGTAACGTTAGTGGCCGAGTTCAAGGGTGTCTTTTAGCTACTTGGCAGCCGACGGGAGATGTCATTTCATGGATTAAAGGGAAGCGGATGTATGAGAGTGGCTTGCGGTTCCAGATAACTGAATCTGCAGAGACGGATCTATTTAATAGACCTAGAATCCCAATTTAATTTTCTAGTTCTCCCTCCAGCAGGTTCATTTAATCAAAGGCAGTTGACGAGCAGCATATAATTGGAGCATATCGGTATATATCTTCTACACCGTGTACAGCTTCTTTACCTCAGATTTGCAGAACGGTTACACACGCACAAATACCACAAACCTCAGTAAACATGCAGCTTAAATTCTTCGTTGCGGCCTTTGCCTCGCTGGCTCTTGCTAGCGCTGTCGCTCTTCCAGAGCCTCAGGATGCTTCACCACCCTTTGTATGCGGTTGCACCAATGCATGCAAGCTTGCTAACAAGCCAGGCATGCTCTGCCCAGAGTACTGTGGTAAGTTTATATACTATTTTAATGAATACTAATACAACTGTTGCAATTGCTTAATATAATACTTTGCTTTCAATCATGTAGACCCCAAATACGAATGCCCTCCTACTCCTGTCTCGTATGCTCCTACCACTACGCAGACTCCCATTAGAATCACAGAAACCTGTGGCCCTTGTCTGAATGACTGCCTCGTTGGCTGTCCCGATCTTAGACTATGCAGATGCGCCGACTTCTGCGGTAATAGCTTTACACTTTTGTAGCTTTCGCCATAATGTTCGTTTATAGAAGCTAATATACCTTTCTCATATTAGATCCTAAGTACTTCTGCCCGACATCGACAACCACTACTCCAACCAGGCCGACTCTAACCCCAAGGCCAACTTTCATTTGTGGATGCACAAACGCCTGCAAGATCGCATGCCCAACCTGCATCTGCCCACAATATTGCGGTACTTAACTCCAGAACTATTCATATTAAATTTAGAAAGGGCATTTAGACTGATATTATCCGTTTAGATCCTAAGTACGAATGTAACGTCGCCGCAGCCCTTAGCATCAGGACGACCAAGACCACCGCCGCTCCCCCAAAGCCGACCTGCGGATGCACAAACGACTGCATTGTCAACTGCCCACCCGGTGAAAACTGTATCTGCCCACAATACTGCGGTAAGTCCAAGATATCTTCTACGCCAAAATTTCCTTCTGCCCAAACTCCACCTATTCCTGTACGCTGTGCACCCTGAAACTTCTCAGGCTAATAGCAAAACTTTTGAAACCATTATTGTGAGGTTGTGTGTGTGTGTTCAAAAGACCCAAAATATATCTGTCCCACAACCAAGCCAACAAAAACAACCACAAGTGTTAAGCCAACATTTACCTGTGGCTGCCTGAACGACTGTATTGTAAACTGCAAGGAGGAGCCATGCGGATGTCCCAGAAACTGCGGTGTGTATCTTCGTATACCCTCAGCTTTTCTACTTCTTCGACCTCGTCATACCCTTACATTTCGCTATTTTGAATTACTTTCTCAACCTTTAGGAACATTATAACTAATTCCTTTAATTTTGACTTCTAGACCCTAAATACGCTTGCCCAGCGACTTTACTCACCAAGAAAAACATCGCCCCAATTCCTACAACCACTGGTATCCCATGCGGCTGCCACAATGACTGCACGATCTCTTGCAATAGGAGAGGTTGTGCTTGCCCAGCTTACTGCGGTATGTGCCACCAATAAAAGCCCCGAATTGTAACCTGACAACTGACATGAAACGATTTTCTCTTCTATAGATCCTAAGTATGCGTGCAAAGCGTAAACAGTATCATTCGGTTTACGAAATGATGCAAAGCTAGCTGCTGTATAAAGAGCTTACTCAATTTAAGTATTTGGTCGACTTTTTTTAAGGTGTTACGGACCGGCTAGTATCACGTCTATGCGCATTCGTTGATACATGGTTCTACAATTACCTAATGACGACCGACTGCATGTCAAAGTCATCATGATATATTATTTATACCACATATTTGGATTGGTACCTTTCTCTAAATTAATGTTTTTTTTTATGAATTTTTGAGTGTAGATATTTTTCTTTATTTTTTTTTTGGTAATTAGCCTCTTTCTTTCTTCTCTTCATCGTGAGTCGAGTCATAATCCCTTTGCAGGGGCTAGATAGTTAGGCTCACGTTGTACTTACTTACTTATCTTATGAATATTATATCCTACCCAAAACCCTTTCATTTCATACCCCCTTATTTCATCCGAAAAACGATATTATAATATTATAATATTATAATATTAAGAACCATGAGAGAATTATCATTTAACGATTTTTCCCCTCCAAGAAAATTTACATTTAGCCGTTTAAACATCCTCCAAAACCAAGGTAACAATGCCTGTCCACCTGCAATGCATCTGTCATGATCAGTCCATGATAACAATGTTGGGCGAATTTTCGTTCCAAGAGGCTAAAAAACTTGACCATGAGCTTTGAGGCCAAGGAAGGTTTAGGCGGGCTTATTACCCGAACCTGCCGAAGTTATTTTGGCGAATACGAAGGGGTGCGTGGTTCCACTCCATGTGGAGTGCTTTACGACGTCGGGAACCGGCAATTGCTTCAAGCTTGGACCATGGTGTTAATATAATATAATTGGTTTTGATAGATTATCTTTCTTTGTTTCGGATGGTTATACGGAATGAAACGGATGGCAAAGTATCAATTCGAAGCCCTTGGCTTGTCGATCAGATCAAGCTCGAGAAGCTAACTCTGCTAAATGGGCCCTCGATCCGGAAGCTCTAATCACTAAGGTCATTTTAATATGTGAAATCTTCACACAATATCGACGCTGGGTTTTAATTCGTTATGACGTCCACGCGAGCTAGTTACGTCAAAATACGGTATGCCCAGAAAGTAACTCGTCTGCCAGCTCAAAACCCTTCCGTATGTTCCTCTAGCCAATTCCAAAATTTAAGAGCACCTCCACTATTACAATTTTCAACGATATCCGACCGCATCGGACCTACTCGACCCCATGGAATGATGACAGAGCCATTTTTGGATTGATCGATTTCTGGAGAGAGTGTTGCGTATAGTTCAGTTAAACCACCATAGCGTGCCGGATATAAGAACATCCACTGTGTAAATTCTTAGCGGTGCTAACCTTCGTCAGCTGGTGAGTAGGAGGGGAACATACGCCAAAAAGCTTCAAAGGAAGACTATGCCTCATTAGATCCGTTTTTAAATTCCCAGGATTGGGCGACTATAGTGGCTGTCAGCTTACAGAGATCTATGGAGAGGTCGAATAGGCGAGAATTGAATCCCATAGGTGACTTACTACCGCGATAATACCCGTATCTTTATATTTCTCGGCATATCCCTTCGCTAAAATAGTATTCGCACATTTGCTCTGGGCATACTTGAAATATGTATCGGCCCCAGGAATATATGACAATGGCGGGATGCCCTTGTTCTCAATGTTTTCGTAATTGATCCCACCAGCCGGAGCAACATGCGCACATATCGAAGATAGGAAGAGAACCCTCACGGAATCTTTTGGTGCGAATTTTACAGTTTCGACAAGGAGGTTCTGGAGGTGTCGTTGGAGAACAAACGGTCCGAGAACATTTGTTCCAAAGTGGAGTTCCCATCCCTATGACCAAAAAAAAGAGTTAAGTTTTAGATACCTGTGAAAAGTAAGATGTTATTTTTGCTTGATTGATCACCTGTGCACTTCTCCAGCTCATTGGAGTCGCCATTACACCCGCATTGTGGACTACTGCGTCCAATCTTCTTTCCTGTGAAAGAAGCTTGTCGGCTGCAGGTTTGAGAGTTGTAAGATCACTAAGGTCTAGCTGAAGAAACTCAATTCCTCCATCGGATTTTGGATATTCTTCCTTGATCTTATTAACTGCAGCGGTCCCGTTTTCTTCAGACCTTCCGGCGATGTATACTTTTGCGTTCTTGGAGTATAAGATCTATTGTTTTTCCAAGACATAAATGTTAATATTCAACCTTCAAGGCGTCTTAATTTAAGACTGTTGTGCATAAAATCGGCAAACAGGTAGTATTTATTGATGATTGCTATACAATTGAAATCAAACAGACAAGAACGACGAAAACGACCCTGACAGAGAGAATGGAAGAATTACTAACCTTCGCAAGCTCAAACCCTATACCACCAGTTGCGCCAGTAATCAGATACACCTAAAACCCAAATCATCAATGCCTTAGTCAACTGATGTACAGATATCGACTTCGCGCCCAGCGAAAGATGTTTGCTCGTTAGAAACGCCTAGCTGTACCCACCTTTCCAGACAAATCAGGAACATCCTTCTCCTCAAACCCTGGCTTTGGAGGAAACCCCTCTGATGTGACAAGCTGCCACAGGGCTGTATAGATACCATAAAATAAAGACATTGCGGCTGCGGGTATCAATTGGGCTGAGATTTTAGTCCTGGAAACAAAGTGCCGAGGATACGAGAACTAAGGCCGGGAATCCCAGAAGCCGACAGGACGTGGTGTCCAGATTGCGAGATCCAGGTCCTTGCATGGAGGACGGTCGTGTCAAAATACCACATACAACACACATTTCCATATTTCAATGTGTTGAATAGAATGTCCGCAGTCGTAGCTATGGGGGGTGCGCGCGGTGGATACGAGACTAGGGGGTATGAGAGGTAATGATCTCGATCATGCTCAAATTATTCCTCATGCTCAGGTACCACGAGTCCAAAACCATGATCTACCATGGTACCTGAACACCACGCAAGGGAACACCGATATCAGGAACAGGAACCGTTACCATGCATTTCTCACTTGCCTTAATACTGACATTGTCGCCGACCTTCATAACTTGCTTCTCCTTAGCCTTCCTTCGCACCAATCCGACCAAAAACCAAGGGATAAACTGGTTAACCAGTGAAGCCGTTCCTGATATCGAATCTCTTAACAAATGCCACCCCGTCCCCTTCGGCTACTTTGATACGGCTCAGTTCATACCAGACAATACCCCACCAGGATTTCTTGCAATGTATAAGATCCAAAAGGTTTACGATCCTACTAAAAATCTATATTGGATTTCTATACCCGGAGCTTCTGTTACAAAAGTCGAGTTTTATACGGGAACGGATTGTAAAAACGCGGTATACCAGCAAGATGAAGAAGGTGCTCTGAGAATGTCAAGGGTAAACCAACGGGAATCCCAGAATGTTAGATCGTCGACTATGCAACTACCACAGAATGTCCAGGCGATCCCAGAAGAAGAGAAAGATGACGAAGACTACAGCGACTTCGACATTGACCCGTCGGAGTTAGAAAATATGGACCAAGAAGTCGAGGCACAGTCGCAAGCAGGTAACTTGGGTACGACAAATCAGGAAAGAATGGACATCGAACCCCCTGTGGATGGTGAAACCCGGCAGGAGAAAATTAGTCGTCAGGAGAGAAACTTCCTACGATTTAATGACGATGTAGAAGGTGATGGGGGTATTGCGTTGGATGGCAGATATATTACACTGCAATGGAGTGAGGATTGGGAGAGCTTTAAATTATCATATCTCTATGTCCCGACGTCGAGGTCTCAGGTTACGGAATTGAGGGAGAGGGATTTATGATCTTAAAAATATACCGAAATCGATTCTTTTATACTAAGCCTCTAGCTCTAAATATTGCGAGAAATGCAACCTTTATGTGGATAGATATGTGTATGAAATACCATTAGGTCCGCGGCCAAACTTCACTTGAATCTCCAAACTATTTTGCTTCCTATGGAGCCCAGCATGCTCTCATAATGATATATAATATGATAGCAGCGAAAGAAGAGGACAAAAAGGGGTTACCCTCCCGTGAATCTTACCAGGCCCAGTATATAGAAAGGAATCCTTGCTGTAACCAAGGGGTGCATATTTTATGCTCCAGAGTCCCTAATACCAGTCCTTGCTGGGTTTGTTTTCCAATCTTCCCTCCACTTCTCACACTGTCGACGATACTGCCTTGCCTCTCTACCGTTAAGTCACTCAAGAATTTCACTCCAACGTTCAATAAACTGTAATGCGAATCCATTGCTCGAATGAAACGCCAGATGACAGTGAGCCAGGCCTTCAAAGTCATAAACATATTAGTTATAGGACTCAAAAAAAAAAAAAAAAAAATAGTCGCGAGTATTTAGCTGACTTACACCCGGATTTCTTGTCTCAAATGCAATGACCAAGAACCCACCACCAGGTAAGACCGTAGTATCCCTCCTCATAGGATTACCCAAATCATACGTCACGGGCACATTTTTGTCAACTTGCTCATTTATGACTTGCGCTAGTACAAAAAAATCGTGCCCATGCAAATGAATCGGATGATCCAGCCGGAGAGGCGTCTTTCCTGTTCGTGTGAAATTCGCACTGATGATGAAATATGCCCATTTATTCTCCTTGTTCAAGTATATCGGCTGATACAAATGCGGGAATGGCATTTTAGCACCCTCGAGACCGAGATAAGAGTATGTTGGCTCCGCCCTAGTTACCAGAGGATCATCAGTTGCCTACATTTAAATACGCCCTTGAAGGTACATTTTGCACGCTCTATCGGAACTTAAGAACTCACCAATCAACAAAGAAAGTCGAGTTTGCCATGTTCCATCTCCATTCTGTCCCACTCTGGGGAGTCTTCAACTCATTGGAGAAAGGATCCCAACTCACAAAGAATCCGTCGAGTATACCCAAAGGCGGAGGAGGGACGCTCTTCTTGAGGATCGGTTTGATAAGTTGCTTTGGCTCATCTCGACATAACTTTTGGTTCCTACAGTTCGAAATGGGTCGAAGGGTTCTTTGTCGATCTAGAGTCATATCGGACAATAACTGTCCTTGCATCTTCTGTTGAACATTCAACAGGTAGAACACCGGGAGGAATCAAGCAGGTTTTCATGTTAATCCAGAAGTCTGTCTGCTCGAATGTGTCTGCGTTCGCTTCGACTATGACATCATACCTTTGGCCTGAGATTAAGGTCTTGTAAGTATATCCATCTATACCTCAATAATGCAACAAGGTGATAAACAATCTCCCAACTTAAGGCAGGAACCACTCACCGATTGCAATATTAATCACATCCGTTCTATACAGCTCAATGGGCACAAGGTCGGCTGCCGCAACCGTGAAATTATGACCATCGATATCAATCCAAAACGTTTGCATATATGTCGTACTCACATTAATCAACCGCAGTCGATATTTCTTCCCCTTTTCGAACACAATATCCGTAAACCCTCCTTTGTCGCTCACACATCTCGAATCTGTTGTCGAATTGCATGGAAACTTCCACTTTCCATTCAACAACTTTAAATTCGGAAGCGGTGGAATCCCACGAACTTCCTTATAGTAAAGTGTAAAGGCAAAAGTATGGAACAAATCGGTAAGCATGAGGGTATACTCCTCATCATAGTTGACGCTACAGGGTCCATGTATGCACCGGTATTGGATATTGATATTCGGCTCTCACATGGCGACGAGACAATCTCACATTTCCCAGGACGAACTAAACCCCCTGACATCAAACCAGAATCCTATCTCCTCAAGAGATTTGGTTCATATGATTTTCAACTATCGGAGGCTCTGAAATATCTCACATATTTCATCATCGAAGCCGATCGAGAGCGTCAAGAATGTAAATTTATAATTACTGAGAATAGAATCCGATCACTCGAAACCGGTATATATATATAATGGACATAGTTATTTTGAATGTGATTTTACATACGTACATTCAATTTAAAAGGATCCCCGAATATAGAATTTAATATTTCGGTTTGGTATAGTTTCCAAGCACATGTCTGGATATCTCAAGACGATATACCACAGTTGTCGCGAGTCCCCAAACCCTCAAAATATTTAAAATCAGTTATGCAAGTATAAGGCTACACTCACAAACTCACTCTTCATCAAATGACGTAAACTCATTAACTATAACTCCAACGGCTTAGCCATACAATCACGGAAGCTATTTGATCTACAAGCGCTCCACTTCTAGAGCATTAAATTTGATATCTTCACATCCTACGTTGGAAGAAAACATAGGCCAAGATGTATTGTTTTGAGGAATGTAGAGTTATCTAGGCACCAGGCTGCAGGTTATGCAGGGTCCTGTCATGTTCCTTTCCCTTACTTCCTCTTTTCTCGTGTACGCCTTAATATATTCTGCGGTTAAGCTATATTCTGAACTTCATTGACATATCTTAAGTTCTGCAGTTAAAGTCTCGTGACTATAATACTATATGCTTGAAAAATCATCTAAGCTACTCTCACTCGAGACTGATATAAAATGGTTCCGGATCGATATATATGATTGTTCTACATGAAGATGCATAGATGCCTTGACATGCATCACAGTACCGGTGGAATCGTTTGACACTGTCAGGAATAATAGATAGATACACCTAATCCCCAGCTGGCCAGCTGCACCGGTGCACCTTCCACAGATATCATAAATCCGGAAACTTGGAATCAAACATTAAGAAGGGGCCAGCATATGTTTTCCAAAGCTCTGAAGGAACATGCTGGTAAGTAAGTAAAGGACATCTATACCACATACCCAATCCCCTTTACAAAAAAAAAGAATGAAAGAGAGAAAGAAAGAAATTTCACTCGTGGCAAAACGTCGGACACGACCGCACGTGGCTCGAAAATCCTTCTCATGCATGCCAGTTAGTCCATATCGATATGCATATATACATACATGCGCAAAGGAATTTAACCAGCCCACCCACCGCACAGCGGTATATACCGATCAATAGCCATTGAAGCCACGAAATCGAATTGTATAATCATTTCAATCATTTCAATCATGTGCGATCGCAATCGCACTCCACCATGCATGCACCCCCCCATGGCCACTTACGCTAAGACACGTGCAGTATCTGCGTACGAAATTTTTTTCATTTCATTATTAATTATTCAAAAATGCGACATCATAAAAACTTTCAAACATCAATCGAGTAATTCTGAATTATCTTCCATTATTGTTCATTAAATTAAAATAAAAATACTAATATATATAATATGTCTCAAAAAAAGGGAAGTGATCATATACTTTCTTCGTTAGTAAAAAAAAGATATAAAAAAATATGATGACAAGAAAGAAGGCAGTGTGGTGGTGGTGATGCTTTCGTTATATATCGGTGGGGGCGGGCTATGATACATTTTGCGGGTATATCTTCAAACTCTTTGGTATATCCTGCAGGGTGCCCTTTTTTTGTTTCCTTCGATATTTTTTCTCTTTCTCTTTTTTTCTCTTTTCCTTTAGACCTGTCTCTTTTTTGTTTTCCTTCGATGCATATGTTCAAGTAAGAAGATTCGTTATATCGAGCAAAAAAATAAAAAAGAATCGAAAAAGGAGGGGGTGGGAATAAAACTTATGTACCCCTCAAAAAAAAAACTCCGTAATAACGCCCAAAGCCATTCCATGAATACCATCATACCGTGATCATGCATTATGCATCATAAGATCTTTTACCGATATAACCCCGAAATTCCTTCAACTTAACATGTTAACAAAAATCAAACAGAAACAAGCAATTTCGGTCTTTCGTTATAAAAAAAAAAATGAAAAAAGAAAACTTCAAAGCAAAAACATGAGATATAATCTTTCAGAAAACAAACAAAAAGGCGCTCAAGTTTTCGTAATCCATTTTTTTGGGGGGATGCAAATTGTCGCGGGTTTTAACAAAGGAAAAACATGAAGTGCTTAAATCAACCATCCATCTGTTCTCAAACCATCCATTTGCACCGAATGAACATCCCTGGGTATCGCTATTCCTCCCAAATCTTTTTCCCCTACCTCTTGACAGGAAACCCAACTTCCTGTAACTACGTATTCCGGTTCTCCACTTTTTGCTTCTGAAGCTTGTCCATTCTTCTTCAACTCGAGCATACACATAGGTAGCTCCTTCACACGCTGTCGATTCACAGACGTCGAGATTGTTAAAGTCTCTTGGTCGAACCTGCTGAGCCACGATGGCACGGTAACTCTGTTAGTGAGACCGATAATCGCTGGCTCTTCAGGTGCAATGATCAACTCCAACCCCTTCTTTTTGCAAAACTCGTGATCAAGGCCCAAGAGATAGCAAGTAAGTTTGTAGATGACGTTGTAATGATCGACCTCCTGGAGTGTTTCCCAAGGTAACTGCGTACCCTCGTCAAAGTTTTGATTGCAAAGATTGTCGAAAAAATAGTATTCGGCCATAAACTCAACGAAGTTTTCGGTAGGATAGTCGCCGTTGAGTTTATTGTTAGTCTTTTTGTGTGAAATCTTTCGGGGTTCGAGGATCGCGGCTAGTCGTTCCTGGTATTGGTGCCATAGAGCGCCTAGGCGGATTTGCGATATCGCATCGAAGTTTTTAACAACTTTGCTCATCACGGGTCCGACTTTTTCGAGCGAGCGGTCTTTGTATAGATCGCGGTAAATGAACGAGCGTCGACCGATGGCGTTTGGGGCGGTAATTTGTAGTGGAACTCTGCCGTCTCGCATGTATAATGGTGAATCCGCTTCGGAAAGTGTACTGTAGAGGTCGCGGACCTCTTTGATCTGTTTATTCGCAAGAAAGGTCTCAGGTCTCCAGCAGCCACCTGGTGATTCCTTAAACAGGCCAGCTGGCGCGTGAGTGCTGAGAGTAACGTGGTGCTTTTCTTCCAGCTTGTTAACAGCGTCACCCAGTAATTCCGAGGCGTTGTAAAATTTTGTCTCCTCGGGCATTTTGTACCCGGGGAGATCAACCCAGACCGAAAAAACCAAATCCTTTGGATTAGTAGCCATGTGGGTTCCGTAGGCCAGCCCACGTAGATTTCGACAGAAGGTCCTGAGGCTGTGGGTGAGCTCGAACATCGGATTCTCATCGGCATCCTTGACTCGTTCGAGCGGCATCCCCAATAGCATTCGAAAAAAGACGGGCAGGTCCTTCTTGTCTTGTTTGAGAGTGTCGCATTCCTTCCGTAAGTCTCGTGCAAACTTGTCGGTGGCATCGCGAATCAACCAGTGTCCGTTCTTGTCTCCTAGATCGAACCCTTCGTGTAATTTTTGCATGAAGAGAGCGGTCGCATATCCACTGATAGCAGAGATATCCGCCTTGCCTGAAATTAAATCTTCATACTGAAAACACTGAGCCGGCGTCTTGCGATTCCAAACCAATCTCAAGTTTTGTGCATAACGAAACTCCTGTCGTGCCCACATACGGTTGGTATAGGACGACAGACCAGCTTTGTTATGACACTTCGTCCCCAGCCACTTCTCCACCACATCACCAGCCTTCGCACCACCCTTCAACTTGTCCACCACTTTTTCCAGGCACGTACACCTAGCACCAGGCATCAACACCACGACTTCCATCGATCGGAAAATATCGGGTATCTTTGGTAAGATCTCCTTAGCATAGTCCTCTCGTTGTGGAGCACAGAGTTGATCCATCCATAGATTCCCTTTCACCGCCGAAATCTCAACCAAACGATCTATTAAATCCTCAACGTCCCACTCGGTTCCCAAGTTCATTGCAACAGCTCTCGTCGGATCCTCTTCCCAATGGCCAATGATCAAGTTTTCTCTATCAAAGTCACCCCATGTGTAAGATATAGCTGTCCCGTCGATTTCGTTGATTTGTACTTTTGTCCAGCTCACAGCGACATGTTTTTGTATCGGTCGTTTCGCCCATTGAAGCAATGGCTGGCCAGGATGAAGACCAGAGATTTGTGGTTCACGAGTAACGATTTGATGTTTGAATTGTGTACAATAGCACTCTGAAATATGAGCTACTCTGACTGTTGTCCTTCTATCCTTACGAGAAGCATGGGGACCAGGAGTAGATGCCGGTGTAGCAGGAGAAGAGAACAATAATGGCGAAGGCGAACGAACCGCTCTGAGAGGTGGTGTTGTTGCCAGGTGCGATCCATATCCACTGCTTCCCGGTCTACTGGGAGGGGTATCCTCTGGCGTATCTGGAAGAAATGTATAGGGAATATGCTGGTCATGGCGATAGAGTGGCGGCCTAATTGGAGTGGAAGGTCGACGAAAGGAGTCTGAGATGTTTCTATGGTGAGGATGTGGTGGATGAGGAGACGGAGTTCGCATGGGAGAGTAGATTCCCTGGCGACCAATGGAGGATTTGCTACGGAGCGATGCCGGGCCGGGCGACCGGTAAGGCGAGGCTAAAAGTTTTCGTTCGACCATATTGAAGTCTCCAGATTGAGGACAATTCGAAGACGAGTGAGAAGATAGAAGGAAAGAAGGGGGATTAAGGGAACTACAGTCTTGCGACTTGAAGCCGAAGGGTTTGGGCTGTTATAGCGAATTCGAAGCGTCGGCAGCCATACTGTGGTATATTTTGCGTTGCGAACGAGCGCACGACACAAACAACCTGCACCAGCTGGGAAGAGCAGCCGGGATGCCCCAGAACCAAGAATTGATTGGAAGTTGATTTGGGTTTTAGCGAGGAAAAAAAATAGATGCCAGCTGTCGGGCGATAAGTTGGCGAGGGAGAAAGAAAAGGAAGGTGGAAATGTAATGTAATGTTAATGTAAGTAACTTCGATAACGGGACGGGTAGCAGAGGGAGAGATTCGGAGAGGGAGAGAAGATGGATGATATGATATTAATTGCCCGAGTGAAACCCGCCCATGTGGTATGGATATGGAATGGTCTGGTATGATACGATTTAAAATATAACCTCGACCTGAACCAGACCAGCTAAACCAGCTAAACCTATGGGGAAAGGAATCCGCCTAATAAAGAACAAGTTGCTGAGGAGATGAGCAGGACAGAATGGGGTCTTATGGGAGGGGGGGGAAGAAGAAGTACAAGAAGGGAAGGGTTACATGAAAAAAAGGAATACAGAAAATAGAAAAAATAAAATAAAATAAAATAAAATAAGAAATAGAAATCAGGTGAGATAGAAAGCAATTTAAAAAGAAGAAGAAGAGGAGAGAAGGAGAGTCTAGAAGTTCATGCTGAAATTGAGTGAGAGAGTGAGAGAGAGCGAGGGAAGGGACGGGAAGATGGAGGGTGGAGAAATGATATGAATGAATGGACAGGCGAACGGTGCATATATCGGCAGCCAACTATGCAGCAGCATTCAGGCTTTCTCCGCTGGCCATGGTCATATCTACAGCAAAATTTTCTGTAGGATCGCTCATATCATACCGTATCATACCGTATCATATCATCATTAGGAAGTCGGTAAGCAATTGGAAGTAATTGTAAGCAGATAGATAAAGTAAAAATGAAAAAATGGGGGAAAAAAAGGTACTTGCGAAAAGGTACTTCCGATGAGTACATGTAGGCTTCTCGTATCGGTCAAATCAACTGGATTTTATCATTCCAGGAGCGAATGGACATGTACTTACCTTCTTAACTCACATAGGACATGTACATCTCATCTGCCCCCGAGGCTATACTCCGTACATACATCGATACGCACGTACATACGTATGGAGTCTGTCTGTATCTGCAGCCCAGCCTGTTTCGCATGCGCTGGAAGGTTTATAGCGACTCGCCCGCAGGTTTGTGTTGGCAACCCCCTGCTGGGTCAATCCCTGTCTGCCGGACATCCCTGTCGTTGTGTTGAGCGATGTGTTGGGCTGACTGGACCTGAACCCGTCCTGTCCTGACGACCAGACCAACCCGATCCGACCTTAGTCTCGGCCAGGTTGACTTAGTGACTGGGAGCCGAACTTACGTGGCAGCGACGGGCCAATCACTCGGGCGCCAACTCACTCTGCTTTAACCACAGCAAGGCCTGTCTGTCCTGTCTGGTCCCCTTCGACTCGAAGCGTCGGGTTCGCATAATTCAGATTCAGATTCAGGAACCGCCCTGCTCTTGCCCGCTTGCCTTCCTGCAATCTGACGACAGACGGATAGTTATCATTGATCAATCGCCAGCTGAGTCTTAATTATAGATCGCGTGTCATCTCGACCGGGAGCGAAAAAGAGGGGAAACTTTGGAAAAGAAAGAAAGAAAGAAAGGAAAGTACGTAAGAGATGGCCATGGCGTCTTCTCCGCTGAACATCCTTATGCTCCACGGCAAGACCCAGTCCGGCCAGCTCTTCTACGCCAAAACCCGTGCCTTGGAAAAGCACCTGATCAAGGTCTGCGCTCCCTCCCGACTGGCATTCCATTATCCTACAGCGCCTCACCGGCTTTACCTCCGTGACATCCCGGATGTCGACCCAGCCTTGCTCCAGTCAGATGAGGAAAGCGATGGCATGTACACATGGTGGAGGAAGGACGAAACCACTGGTGAATACAAGGGCATCAAAGAAACATGGAAGTTCATTAGTGAATATCTGGACAAGAATGTAACTCTCCTTTCCTTCCTTTCCTTTGCTTTCCTTTCTCCTCCATACTATGCTTTCCTCGTCTTAGTCCGACATTAGTTTGAGTTCCCTCTTCAGTTATATTGCATTGCAATTGCTCAATTATTTAGTTACAGTGCTACTACACTATCACACTGCATCATGTATGCACTGTGAATTGTGCACTGTGCAATGAGTTTCGAATTGCTTCAAACCCACAAAAAGGGGGATTTCAAACTAGTCCTTCACTAGTTATTTGTTTTCATTTATATATATAAATACTGCATTGCACTGCTGCCTTTTCCCCGTATTGCCTTTGTTTACTTCGAATTACCCCAATTGATCTCAAAGTAAACATCCTAATAGTAATCGTTCAATCCCATTTCAACATATTTGTCTTTCCAGGGACCATTCATAGGAGCAATCGGATTTTCACAAGGCGCCGGCCTCGCTGCCATTCTCGCATCGATACTTGAACCTTCTCGTCCGAAACCGCAGTCCATAATATCCGATGGCTTCTCAACTACTCATCCGCCCCTTAAGTTTGCAGTAGCTTATTGTGGTTTCAAAGCTCCCAACGATGAATATAAGTGGATATATGAACCGAAGATCCAGACACCTGTACTCAACGTATTAGGTAGTTTGGATACTGTCGTCGATGAGAAGTTGATGAAGGGACTTGTTGATGTTTGTGAAGGTGGAAGGGTTTTATGGCATCCTGGTATGTAGGGAAGCTTATACCATATAACACTCTTACTTCCCTTTTGACTACATGTTCCTTTCATTTTTCATTTTATTTTTTTGATGAGGTTTCTTACGGTCGACTATCATGACAATAGGTGGTCATTACGTCGTAGTGAAGAAACAATGGCTAGATGCCGTCGGTGTCTTTATCCGAGACAGCATAAACGAATCCGAAACGTCGAGTAAATCCACCGCTGCAAAGGAAGAAGAGTCCGTGGAAGATATGGAAATGCCGTTTTAGGACATATGATGTTGTTACTGTTTCATTGTGCATGTGCGTGCGTGTGTGTGGAGAAGGTGGCTAGTGCATGCTAGGGGGGGAGGGACCATGCCGGGCCGTGATCCTCGGAATGTGAAGATCCCACGAGGTGGCTGCATACCTCCTACATACTTCCATACTTCCATACCACGACCAGCTATGGTGCACCGGCGGTGGAACGTGATTGTTTCGAAACCGCCTTACATTTTGTCCTAGCTTCAAGGCAGACGGGGTTTACGAATATAAATCGGGAATAAACGGAGAATATGAATAGAAATAGAAATAGAATAGACCAATAGACGTCGAACAAAGCGATACGAACCAATGACCTTAACCCGTCTAACTCTAGCTCTGTCTCAAGAGATATATAGTATATATATAAACAATTGCTTGGAAGTACATCAACATTGTTTAAGGCGACTTCATATGTTCGGAATACACCGAATTCTGTGACCCAAAAGGTTTCTTCGGTACTTGCAATTGCTGTATCCACTCGCCTGATCCTTCTTCAGGACTACCTTCTTCACTAGGACTTAAGAAGGGCTCGTCCTGTAGTTCTGGGAACAATCCTCCAGCATTGATTATCTGCACCGATCTAGACTCGTAGTCATATGTCCCTTGCTTAATCCCTTGAAGGTTACTTTCCATTTCGTTCGCTACATCATACCAACCAACAAACAAATCATACGTCAGCTTCAAATAATCCCCCAATCATATATAAAATATCCATAGTGCTAGTATAAAATCTTGAATAGAAAGAGAGAAACCAAGGAAAGAAGGAAGGGAGGGATGGGGTAGTCGTACCAGAAACCGCCAGCACATTCTTCCAAGGATCAATTCGAAAACAATTCATCCCATCGAACGCCAATGGATCCCAGCTCTTTGGCTTTTGTGCAACTTGATCTTCGTATTTCGGTTTCACGAGGAGAACGTGATGTATCCCTTTGAAAAACTCTGCCGTGGCGACGGGATTCATGTCCGGGAATTGACTCATGATGCTAGGTCCTAGAGGTAGCGTAGCTTCGAGGCCAAAAATGCAACCTATTTCATGAATTCAGGCCAGTCGATTTATTTAGTTAGTCAGAGAACAATTCACCATGTATCTCCCTCCATGACATCATGAATCAAGATCTATCGTTGAAGACAAGCTAGAAAGAAACCCATGTGATATCATGATAAAGCTCTAAAGAGCGGGGGTGGAAACATACGCCACAACCACAATTGTCCATCCGTCTGCCCCGTCTGTCCATCCACCAGTTGAAACACCAACTTCTTATTCCCCGTATAAGCCTGCGCAACCAAATTATTCAAACTAGAAGTCACTTCCAAATCCGCCGCTTTCAAAGGTCCGGGAGGCACGCTCATCGATCCAAACAGTTCCCACATCTCAGTGTGAGTATCCGGATCAATTTCCAGAATCGGCGGAGGCGCTTGTGCATCCCCTCCTTCCAGGGCAACGAGGTTTAAACTTGATATTCCTTGAACGAGACCTCCACCTGCACCTTCCATAGGAAAATCTTCTTCGATTGAAGGGCTTGACTCGCTTTGGTAGGAGTCGTCGGCGTTTTGGACTTCGACGGTTGTTTCTGAGTATATAGCACTTGATACAGTGTCATACCAGAATTTGGATTCGTTGATCGTAGGGGTATCCAACTCTGTGAGTGTTTTTAAGAAGAAATATTTCGATTTTCTACCAGTTATTGGGTCTGGTTTTGTGATTTTCGGGACGACTGCATGAAAGGATGTAGAAATGAGTATTATTAACTGTTAGTAAACCATTGCGGTATATTATTTATAATTGTAATAATCGTATTAAGAAATCAAGGTAATATTTACCTATGTAAGGAACCGTGGTAAGGATCCCATGCGGCGGGACGGAGGAGTGATAAGGTGCTTTCACGACCATATAGAACGGTATACGTACGGCGCTGACTGGCGACAACAAGAGGAGGGTGGATATCACCACCCATGTCGGTAATATTGATGAATGGACCATATTTACAACTTCAAACTAGCTTAAGCGCTTGGGGATTATCGAATCGTCAGTTTATGGACCACTTGAATTCGATATCGCATGGGTCTTCCTCGTGGATTTGGATATTCAAGGGAATCCCGCGTGGGCATATGCATGGCTAACCATGCTCCTGGCACGAGATTATTTGAGATCGTTTTTGCGTTGATTTCTGAAAAATACAACAAATTGGACATATATTTCGCCGCGAAGGGTTTTTCAGTCGGTGTATAGCTCGACATTATGACAGAAAAGATGTAGAAGTTTGAAAGGTTAAAAAGTAAATAGTTATATTTTAAAAAAGATCATCTAAAATTGCATTATATCCTAAAAGCCATTGGCGTATAACGTGCATTCGATTTAACAATAAAGTGAGTCAATGGAGAAAAAAAAAAACGCTTGATCCCGCTGTTAACATAACACGTAGAAACTTTAAGAAAAAATTGGGTGAACAGGAGGGTTTATATAAAGGAAAATATACAATAGAATAATTGGTGCAGCCGAAGTTCACAAAAAGTGGTCAATCGGCTGTATTAGAAGGATTGTCTTGAATTAGATTGAAGAAACGGGGAGAGAAAAGAAAAAAAAAAAGGAAAACATGCGTCCAAGCATATGCTTGTTAAGGTATTTGGAAGGATAAAAAACGGTATTCCAATAGTTGTCTGAACTTAGAAAAAATGACGATATCCTGATATAATCGATTATAATCCGCCTCCCATTTCCCTTATCCTCGATCTCCTTCTCGTCTCATGGTATCTTATTATTTTTTTGGTTGGTTTTAAGTTTTATTTCTGCTTTGTTAAAGCCGTAGCTTCTTAATGCATATTTCCTGGAAGTTCAACTGGCATTTGTTGACCTCCTGGAGACGGCAGCTCCGTGACACCAGGCATGCTTGGGTGTCTGTTCTGATCAAGTGGACTGACGACACTAGGGTTTCTAGACTGATCCAGTGGGCTAACGACGCTCGAATGTCGGCTAGGATCCATTGGTGTAGCAGCCATCTCGCTCATAGGGCTCTGTGGTGGTGGATATGGACCAGGAGAGGTTGGTGGAGCATATCCCTTGTTTGGCAAAGTAGGTGCCAAACCATACTGCTCGTTGTAACCGCCCTGCTGGCCGTACTGGCCATTATAACCCTGGTTGTTAAAGCCGGCATTTTGGGTGTTGTATCCAGCGTATGGAGGACCGACGGGTGGTTGTCCTCCTTGTTGTTGAGCTTGTTCCATGGGTGGTGGTGGTGGGAGGGTATCGTTTGCATTAGCTTCACGGTTTTGACGTCTACGGAAGAAGAAGAATGCACCGATTGCGGCGGCAATAACTGCGATACCACCGACTACACCACCGACAATGGCACCAACTGGGGTACTACTGCCGCCACCGCCAGAGGATTGTCCATCATTTTGACCGTTGTTACCGTCAGGTCCGGCGGTTACAATGCCGGTTCCGGTGGTCGTGGGGGCGATGTTACTAGGACCAGGCATGCTAGTAGATGGGACGAGAGTAGCGAATGGAGCAACACCATCGGTTCCAAGACTCTTAAGTTCGGAATCGGTGGTGTTCAATTTAGCTTGTGCGAAGCTGGTTTGTTGGTTGGTGAAGTCGTGAACCATATAAGTAGCTCGAACAAAAGGCATGCCAAAGACTGCAGTGTAACCTGCTCTAGCGGCAAGACTGTAGTTATCCATCGAGTCGACAAGAACGATACAAGCGGGCGTTCTGCCGTCACGAAGAGTGGTTTGGTAGCCACCAAGGGTATAGGCTGGGATGATCCATTGCTTGGCTGGAACGGTAATTGTAGTGCCTTGGAAGCTGAAGATAAGAGCTTTAGCGGCGTATCTGAAGCTACAGTCTGTGAGATAGCCGCCGTAGGTGGTGTCGAGGTAGGCTTCGACATCTCCAACAATCGCTTGCAGCGGGCCGTTAGGGAAGTAAAGAAGACTATGATAAACGATTAGTTTTTTACGAATTTTATTTTGAGATAGTGGACTGGGAAAGATGCATACCCAGTACTGAATTCGACATTGGCATTCCAGCTAGTGGCCAAAACCTCGGGATCACCACCACTGCCATCCTCGTATTCGAGAGAGTTGAGCTGCACGGTGGTAGTCGCAGAGGACTCGAAAGTGATCAAGTTACCCTCATACTTAGCAGTATCAATGGCGCCAATTGTGAGTTCACTGCTGTTGGTGTCTACAAACAAATATAGTTAGTGACTGTTTTTTTTTGTTTTCAAATATCCCTCCGGGTGGATTAGATGCATACCAAAGTCATTGAGATAAAGACCATACGCAAGAACACTGATAACGTCCTCATCCAACATGGTTCGGATGAGAGTCTTTTCAGTAGATCCAGAGCCGCCAATTCCCAAGCCCAATTGAGGTGTCCTGGTATAGTCATATGCAATACCGATTGGGACATTGTCAACCTCTGTTTGACCGATTTGAAGGGTATCTTGTCCATAGTATCCCAATACATAATACCTCGAATCGGAGGATGTCAGATTCAGCGCGCTCGAGAGGTTCTTGAAGGTACTTGATCCAGAGGGATCATCTGCAATTCAAATTTCCTGTGTTAGTTTTCCCGATGTCTTTAAAATCAATTTCGACGGCCGGTACATATATATGTGATGCGCCTGAAGAGAAATAACTTACATGTACCAGAAAAGTTAGATTGAACACAGAGAGCGAAATTTGCATTTGTCTGGCCATTACAATAGTTTCTCCGAGGCAGTGGGCCAGGAAACCAAGTAAATGGATCGGAGCTCAATCTTAATCGGACGAAATCGTGGGCGGACCCTGAAAATGAAGTTGTTAGATTATATAATCTGGAATTGAACAATAGTATTGTGTGCGCCAACAGCACGAATCATCCGCTTCCAACTAGTATAGAAACTGTGAAAATTAAACCCTGTGCTGCAGCGCTGGGATACATATATCCATGTTGTATGATTTGGGGCGATGCATCAATGTTCTTATCGATACGAGTACGAGGAGCGCGTGGTTGTAAGAGACCATCCGAAGTATTTCGTGCTGTTGGCGTTACACACAAAAACAAAACCTCACAGGAGACTCACCAACAAGAAGATCGACGTAGTAAGAGAATTGAGGGGCCTAAAAGGTTACGACAAGTCAGTTATCGAGATTCCTCGTATTTGCGACTTCGAAAGTGCCGTCTTACAGCATATTTGAAAGTTGAGCTAATAGTTGCCCTCTTGATCAAATCCGCAGCTGCCTCGACTGGGCTGCCAAAACTATTATGGAGCTGGAACTTGAAACCCTCTGCCGTCGCCAAACATATCGATGCAGTCGCCAAAGCTTTCGAGATCCTCATTTTTGCGAACTTCTAATCGTCTTGAACTTGCGTTCCAACGGTGGTGGAAAATAATACTGCAATCGCTAACCAAGACGTTCCGAAGCGCTGTCGAACCCTACGGTGGGATGAAATGCAAAGACCTGGGCCAAGAGAAATCTGGAATGTGGGAGGCACAGGTTCTTAAGGGAGGCATAAAGTCCGGAGAACTGCAGCGCTGGCTCGTTATCCACTCGGGGTCAAAGGCTGTTTTGATTACGGGCGGCTGCTTGCTAGGGGGCAACAGCGGAGGATCTCGAAGAGCCGCAGGCTGAATGGAGTTTTTGCATACGGCTTCGTGCGGGTTTTGCACATTTCGCACACACACACACCTTTCATCACCATGTGGAGCCCTGCAGAATGCATCTTGGTCGGACCGTGGAGCAATGGTGATGAATTTCCAAATATCCGCTTCTCAGTTGGTGCTAGTGGTCTCCATGTCGCACCCCTGATAGCGTACGGGCTAGCACATCGGCGCTACTCCAACCTTTTGTGTGCTTGTTTTCTGTACGATCCCGCAAAATGAAATTGGCATAAGGATTTTTAGTGGCCCGATTCCGACGTTTCCAAAAAAGTTCTCACCATTTGATAACGACATGATAAAGGAGGCTTCGGATTTTGATTTTTCTTTATGAGGTCTGCATGTTTTCATGCGAGATAGAGGCAATATTGACGCCAGTTTTCTCAATGCAGACTGTGAATGCACACACACGAGCTACAGAACTGTGGGATCAAAAAAGAATATCCACAAAAGATCGTGCATTAAAATCCATTGATATACATAGCACAAGGATTAGGCGCAGAAGCTAACAGCATGTCTTGCAATTCAGCCGCACTGGCCGGTTCCGACAGACTCGATCGACTGGAACATTCGGAAGGCAAAGGGAACAAACGATATCGATCGATAGTGAGCCTAATTCTTGAGGGTCCCGCCTACATAAAAGGTATCGATACACCGAGTCATGGAGAAATTCAAGGCAACGTTATAAAGGGAGTGAAGTTTTCTCTACTTCAAAACCCTGAAAGATTCGTCACAAGGACGTTTTGACGGGATATGAACAAAAGCGCAGGATCATGAGCAGGGCAGTCTCAGGCCTGAAAACAAGGGTTCTGGCAGGGGATCCAAATAAGCTTAGAAAACTTATTCTTTCCAGTCTTTTGGGGTCGAATTCAATAGCACCTGCTACCAAGGCAAAATTCTTACAAATACTCATCCGAATACCCACGAGATCTCGAGAAGAATGAACGAAAGAATTGGTTAAGATCGAAATATTTCCATGGATTGAGGACAAGCCAAGCAGAGAAAACAAGAGGGGTTCCCCATGAGGCCTATTAACCCACAGACCAAGTTGATTGACGACTTAGCTTATTTGACGACCATGCTCTCCTCGGTGTATAATCAGTTACAGTTCACATTCCTTCTTCAGCCGTCGGCGACGTGAATATCCGACCGACCCAGCGAGCCTTCTTACAGGGAGAGTGCATCTGTGGATTCGTATTCATTACCCACCCCACTGCCCAAAAACCTTCAGGTCCTGCGAATGTCGCCACCAGGGATCCAGAGCTCTCGGTAGATCTTGGGGCAACGATGCTCCACAGTTGGCTGTCCATACATACTCACTTACTACAATTTTTCAATGCAGTTGCAGCGCGAATACGGGCTGATGACTCCCATGTATCGAAGTCTATATGTGTAGGATAGGACAACCACGTACTAAAAAGCTGCTGGCTAGAATCCCAAGAATCGCAGCCTTCTCGAGGCAGCCCCGACGAGACCAAGGCTACCAAAATCCGAACGTCAAACCCTTCTTGTCTCTTGTCCTGCGCCCTACGCCATGTCAAACAGCGCCCTAAGACCGGTCAAATGTTGCAAAAGGACGAATACAACACATGGGAACGGAGCACGTTTTCTCGTTTTGAGCAGTTCCTGGTCTGCCTAAAGGCATTTCGGGGCTCCACATAAGCATCTGGGCATCTGGGCAAACGTACTATAACGTTTAAATCGTTTCCAATCTCAGTCTTTTCGCTGTTTGAAATTGAATCTTTTAAGCAACCGATGATGGAATAAAATCCTATTTTTACAAAGCTAGTCCTTTTGATGTTGACATTTTTACATAAAATTTTGAAATATTTTTAAATGAGCATGAGCTCCCCCCACCGGTATCGGTGCATAAAGTCTTTAAATGCCCCGTCTCGAGGAATTTTTTATACACATGAAGGCCTTAAAGTTTGGGGGTACATCTCGACTTCAAAGATTCAAAAGTAACCCAAGATCCTCGCCCAGAGTTGAAGACTGATCCTTCACATAAAAAAACTCCGATGACTAAGCGCCCAATATAAGTGATATTTACGACCGCATCCCATCCTCATGCACCAGAAATTCCAAACTATGGTATAGACAATAGCCAAAGAGAAGGCCGTTTAATTATTTCTGGGACCAAATAATACGAAAAAAGTTCGAACCGAGATCGATATTCAAAGACGATATTACGAAGGATACTTTCTATAGGCCTAGGAGGCCTCCACCAATATTCGATGGCTATCTCCCATTTCAATCCCGAATTCAAGGGATGAACCGACAAGCTTCCGAAACCTCAACTCTCGTTACCTATAACGTTAAATCATCCGTGGACGACAATCTTTGTTTTGACAGAGGTTTTGTATCAACATCGACTTCGTATGCTCAAGCTCAAGCTAGCTAGCTCATCGTCGCTATGTACAGATATACACATCTCCTTTGCCGTACTGGATTCTTCGCACTTAGGTAGCTCTACCTAGCGATTTCAAATCTCTTTTTTGGTTATTACAGTATATCAACCGACTGTCATAGCTCTATGGAAGTTGGCGGATACCATAAAGGGGGGAAGGGGGGGTATCTGTCCACTAGGCTGGCTCCCGGACGAATGTCGGCCATAAAGGTTGACTTCATCTGGTTCTGTGTCTAGATGTCACAGGAGAGGTTCTTTACTTAGGCTTCACAGATACAAAGCCATCTTAAAGACCTTTTAGACATCGGGTTCGAGACACGAAAAGCTCTGTAAGGACCAAATAAGGTTCATATGGTGGCTACAAGAGCGTATCGATCATTCCCTCGTCTTCAGACTTCTTGAACCTTGGTCGAACCTCGTACTGGTCCGGCCTAGCAACCTATGACTATAGTAGTGGATCGAATCAGTTCGCGAAATTTCATGCATAAGGGAAGCTTAAAGCTCTACTGGAAATTCAACATTACCTAGGCTTTAACATCCAAAAGAACGAGGTCCCTGAGCAATTTGTCGCCATCAAATCCATCAATTGTCTTTTGGGCTCATAAAGGACTTAACGATGTCCTCATGAATTATCAATATCTCGGAGCGTTTTTTACTTGGTACTTGGTCGCAGAACTTCGACCTCAAGACGTCGTTCGGTTCCAAGTGGTGTTTTCCAGTTTCGGCAAATAAGGTTCATCCCTCCCGTTCCTGTACTCAAGTCACGGATTAATGCTGACACCTCACAAGGGAGCCCAGGCCGATGAAGTTTAAATACGAGCGCACATCAGAAAAATAAAGTTGGATAGTAGTATATCAATTGATATATGAAGTGCCATATTAACACACAAGCGCTCAACAAGAGGCCCTCAAAGTGGTATAAAATCGCTTTGCCTCGAACAAAAACGCTCGAATCTCAAAAAGCAGACATATGATGCGGAGGGAAAAAAGACAGATAGGGGAACAAAAAAAAGGGAAATCATCTGTATGTACAAGAAAATCCGTTATAACAAACAAAATAACAAAAAAATGAGTTATAAAGAGGTATATTAATGGATCAAATATAAAAGAAAAGGTGCAAAAGCTGAGAAATCTTTCTTGGAAGAGGCTTCATATCATCTCGACCAAGCATCTCTTTCTTCGGACACAAAACAGATATCCGGAGGGGAAAATCAAATGCTGTTCTAAGCAAACATATATCCAACTCTCTTCCAGAATGGAGCGTTTCTCCGCCTCTCCATCTCCTTGTTATGCTCTTCCCAATCGATCTCCCTACGACCGGCATCGAGATCAATCTGGTCCAGACTCCTCCATCCCTCACGCTTCCAGAGATATCCAACAATCCAGAAGAAGAGAGTGATGAAGAAAGCCAAGAACTGCTTGAAGAAACCCTCAGCGGTGTTGAGCTTACCGTCACCACGTGGTGGGTACAAGGCAACATAGAATTGGGCAATCAAGACAATAACGTTGATGGCCAATCCGATCCAAGAACCAACAACACCGAAGATAGCCTTGAATGGGATTTCGTCGAGGGTACGACCTTGGTGAGCCCATGCGGCACGGAAACGGATGTGGCAGAGACAGATGGAACCCCAGGTGAAGAGGGCAGAGAGACCGGACAAAGCCAAAAGCCAGTCGAAAATTTCAACACCCTGTGGAGCAAGACCGATGAAGGCAAGACCACCCATGGAGATAATAAGGATGGTAGCTGGGAGAGGACGACCGGCACGATCAACGTAGGCGAAGATCCTAGGGGCGTATCCTTGCTCGGCCAAGGCGCACAAAGTACGGGAAGCACCGAAGACACCGGAGTTACCAATGGAAACGACGGAGACGAGGATGACAACGTTGAGGAAGGAAGCGTATCCGGGAATACCAGCACGGTTGGCGACAAGGACCATAGGAGAAGCAGTGGTATCGATGAAGTTTCCGGAACCGAAAAGCTGTGGGTCGTTGGATGGGATCAAGAAACCGATGAAGAGAAGGGAGAGAACGTAGAAGAGAGTGATACGCCAGAAGACCTGCTTGACGGCAGATGGGAGGGACTTGAGAGGAGTCTTGGACTCAGCAGCGGCAAGACCGACGAGCTCAGTACCGGCGAAGGAGAAAGCGGCAGTGACGAAGACACCACAGAAACCTCGGAATCCATTCCTGAATGCACCTGGATCATACCAAGTTCTGGCTCCCCAGTACTCATTGAATTGACCGTTGGATGGACCGCCACCAAGGACGAAGATGAAACCGGCGAACAAGAAACTGACAACAGCGGCGAGTTTGAGCACGCTAGTCCAGAATTCTTCTTCACCATATCCAAGGACACCGAAGACATTGACGAGGACGATGACGAGCAAGAACATGGAATACCAGATAGCCGGACTTAGGTCATCTCGCCAAAAACGAATACATTCCGAAGCGACAATGATTTCGAAGGGAAGAATTGTAGCCCATTGAGCGAAGTAGCACCAACTATTCAAGAAACGGTGGTTAGCTCGCTTATACTATATCTCTTGGACAACGCCACAACATGCAACATACCCCATAGCAAAACCCCAAGAAGGATCGACGAAACGGGACGAGTAGGTATAGAAACCACCAGATACTGGATACATGATAGCGAGTTCACCGAGGGCGTAGACGACGTTGAAAATCATGATACCGATAATCATGAAATCGATAACCAAGGAAGCGGGACCACCAGTGGCCAAGGCACCACCGGAACCGACGAAGAGACCAGCACCAATTGAACCACCTGTTTGCCAACGTTAGTGTATTCGAATTTATTGCCACCGATCTGGTGGTGTTTTTTTTTTTTTTTCCTCTAAAGAAAAAAAAAGAGAAATAGAGAAGATTTCAACATACCAATGGCAATCATATTCATGTGTCTCGTCTTCAATGTCTGGTTAAGCTGATTATGCTTATCCGCCAACGTACGGGGCTTGAACGACTCTGGGGTAACACCCATCCTCGTCCAGATACTGAGGTTGGAATTCTCATCGCTGAAGGCATCTGCTGAAGGAGGCGAACTCTTCACCTCAGTGTCTTCGAAAACTGGCTTTGCGGCCATCTTGTATTGGCAAGAGCAAACAGCGACACGCGAACGCTGTCTCTGTTATTATTCTAAAAAAAAAAAAGGTTTAAAGAAGGGGTGAAATGGACGAAGGGTCGCGAATTGTCGAGTTTAATTCTTCTTCTTCAAAATTGAAGGTGGAAGAATAAGTGATGTTGAGGGATATCGAGAAGAATATCTGAGCAGCAGAAGAGAAAAACAGCGACGAAACCACTGCTATATAAAAGAACTTCTGGAAGTCTGGATGATCCCATCACCACACCTTCCTATCTGTTGCTCACTAAACCAGCTTTGCGGTCTTGGGATTAGTCTGGTGGTTCCTAATCTCGGTAGACACCTGTTTCCTCTCGTCGCCGATGACAGGAAAAACCTTCAGGATACATCCTAGTCCCGTTGCGAATTGCCATCGAGCTTGGGGCCCGCATAGTTGCCTTATCGCATAAAGCTAACATTCGTGGTACCATGTCGCCCACCCCCCTCTTCTCAAGGAACATTTCGAATTCCAGAATACCGCACTAGTCCGGAGTGAGTGGCTACAAATCGGTCTGACTCCCTGACAACTCTAAGAAGGTTGGCGAGGGTACCTTCGCTGGATGAGCATTATGCGCAAAAACCGAAGGTGGAAACACTATTGCCAAGAATATGTGGTTCGGGGGTGGTCTGGTGGATGTTTTTGATCAAAAGCAGTTACTGGGCCGTTCGACTAGAAGGGTGTCCCGCAGAACTTCCTGATATCGAGCGATCTAATTCCCAATCCTCACCAAAATCTGACTACTTTTTGGATGTTGGTTTGGTTCGAAACCTCACCATTCCGATTGGAGGAAAACATGACCACACGCCCAGATTGGGAGGAAATACGCCGCTTCGCACCTCGCCTTCCTCAAAAAATGCCACATGTCTGTCAGTTCAACCTTCGGATACAAGGGGGGTTTCATGTGAACCATGCGACTTATTCGTATCCTAAGGGTCTTGTGTACTTCTCCAGCAAGAAAAGAAAAAGAAGATCCGCAGCTTGCCTTCTTACTAAAACATCCCTGGATTAGAACAGAACGTCATCAGGCTTTTAGGCTCCGAATACCAAGTGCTTGGAAGAAACTCTTGGTGTTTTCTCTAAGCGCAGGGTGCTTTTTATGGTCCGTCGCTTGTCTGCCGAGGTGCCGAGAAGCGATGCTAGGACTCCCCGGCATGCGCCAAGAGATCAAGCAGGTAGGTCGTTTTGCTGAACCATGGCAATCGAAGCTTTGGTACTGTCCAAGTCAAAGTCTTGGAAGTTTTGAGGCAACCCGAGGTGATACGAAGTACATGTACATGACATGTACCTGTGTGTACCTGATCTTTTTTTCTTCTCCAACTTCCCACTTCCCGGTTGCTGAATTTGCGATTTTTCCCTCCTTCTTCGACGCTCTGACGAAGTTTCCGTCAATGCACTGTCATTTGCAGAGTTTTCTTTTCTCCTTTGCGGAGCTACGGTTTCAAAAATCCAACAAGGCGGCCTCAAAGGAAATCTGCGTTGTTGGAAAGAAACCAAGAAGAAAAAAAACACTCAGCCAATTATCGTGAAAACTCTTCCACCAAGTATAGGCAGACGCCGGAATGTCACGTTAGGATAACACTTTGTATTTCCACAGGAAGAAGGGGGGGGGACAAAAGGAACATCGAAAACAGAAAAGGAATAAAGCTAAAATCCCACGATCAATGGACGAACATGGATTGGCCCTTCTTCAGTGGGGTCCGGACTACCCGCCTGTCGCCAATCCCCACCAATTTGTTAGGCATCCAGAACACAATCGCTGGGCAGACAGGCGACCAAGAAATTTAAGGTGCTTTTGGATTTCAAGCTTCTGGCTAACGAAACCCCACTAACGACCAAACAAGGAAAGCCCAGAAGCACATCAAGCTGAAATTCACGAAAGGTTAGACTCGGGTTCGAAATTCCAGCCACTTCCCCATACAATCCGCCAAATGATATCTGACTATATCGGATACGAGCATGTGTATGTCGCGCTGCACCAAGCCGCCAAGCGCGCCCAGTTGTCAGTTTATCAACGCCTCCAAGGGTAGCCTTCGGGCGAACGCTAGGATGTTGATAGCGGTAGGTTGTCTCTGTTGATAATCTTTGATATCAGGTTTTGAGAGTATAACGGGGTTGGATACCCAAATGGGATATAGATGCGGCTTAGCAGTGGATTGATATGGAGGCAAAAAACCAACCAGATGCTATGTTGAAGTGGTAGATGCGCGGGACCCCGTCGATATGCGCATGCACGAGCATCATGGCTTCCGCGTGGTTAAACTTTGTTAGCATCCGAGCGAGAGTGGCCATGGCTAATCTCGATACCCCATTGTCATTACGCAATGGAATTTTAGGAATAATGGAGAAGATACAAGACAATACAAAGGACTGGCCGGCGAGATGCGACAACAACCTGTTGTACATTCATACTGACATGCATCCTGACATACGCTATACATGTGGAGAAAGCGTATGCGAGATATTTAATTTTTTGATTTTGATGACAATTATATGCATACTTGGGTTCGTATCAGTGTGGAACTACCGACTATCACTTGATACACTACCTTGTTCCTAAGATCCCACAATGCGATGCGATACGATATAATATTGATTACATCTCGGCTTCAGTGAGTTAAACTCAGGTTCCAGCCTCCCCCCTTCATAACCGGTTTGTACTTCAATCTCTCTGTCTCTCTCTCGACGCCCCTCGTGTAATGCGTTTGTGGGGATCGATATTGGAGATGAAGGAAAACCCCACAAAATGAGAGCTTTATATTACCTAACCGTTACAACGGTGGCAACTCTGCCTGCTCAAGCCCCCATCTCAAGTTTATTTTCCGTCGGGGTTTCCGAATACATACATGATTCTTTTTTTGAGTTATCCGTCGGTACCAGTTTTGTGCATGGCACATGGCTAACCACTGAAGCTATTCGTTCAGCGAGATCGATATGTTTCGTTTCTATCACAAGATTTCAATATTCCTTTTTTTTTTCGCTTTCTCTCTTTTAGGTTGTCCAATCAGGCTCGTCGTTTGCCCAGCGCCTCCTCTCTCTCCAAGCCGAAATAACTCGGGCTTGGGAGAATGGCTTTTATTGAGAATAGGATGATATTTCGTCAATTGCTAGTAGAATTTCACATGATATCACCTGATATACTATCTTACCTCCTCAGCTGAATAATTTGGGGCTGTTTTTCTTTTCTTTTCGTTCTGTCGTCCGAGTAAACCGAGAATGAAAAAAAGTGGTTACCTAGTACCAAGAGACGCAATAATACGGTGGTTTGCGGGTGAAGTCGGTTACAACATATTCTCACAAGGCGGTCCTCGAGCCTCTCTTTCCTTGATTCCCCGTTCGAATAAAAAATATATTCGTCACGACCAAAACGTCTTCGGAGTCCGGAATCCTCCTTGATACTATTTTTTTTTTTTTTTTTTTTGTTCTTTTTCTTTTCTTTCGCCTTCGCATCCGGTGTTTTGGGAAGATCCAAACCAGAGAAAAAGTCCGAAGGCGACTGTAGCAAATAACGTAACCGGTTCCCGGAATACCTCAGTCACAACACAAGCACACCACGCCCTGTCAGGTCTTCCAGGCCTACAGGGCAGTGGAACATGTTACAAAGACACCACGAGTTTGGATAATATATTGGAATCGAATCGTGGAGAGTGTATTTTTAATGCCATGTGTATACTACCTTGTAGACATAGTATGTAAAACGCTCGAAGGGATACTTTTAGTATCTTTTTTAGCGTAAGGCCTTCAAAACGGAATATCGTTGAGACATCCGGGGAATCCTTACCGACAGTTAGCCTTCGCCTACAACGTCCAAGTTAAGTCATCTACTAGATCCTCACTTTTTTTTTTTTTTTTTTTGCTTTCTAGAATTCGAATTCAAATTCAAATCTATTGAAGATGTATGTATGTATGAAGGTCAAACGGCTTGCTCGTCTCATCCAAAACCCGGAAAGCCAAGTAGCGTTAATGAAGCCAAGAAAGAAATACAAGGCCTACAAAAGCAAACCGGTCAAATCAGACCTGATCGGGAAGGTACAAAAGTTACAACACGAGGGGGGTCTGCCTCACGATGGTCGTTTTGACATTTTTGTGAATGAATTCAGCTTTAGCTTTTCTTTTTTATATTTTGCATGAAAGGGGGTTTCGTTATACGAGCGAGAGATAGAGAGAGGAAACCAGGTGCACGAGACCAGTTGCCTTGTTCGGAATTGTTACTGAATGTGTGTATGTGTATGCAGGTGTATGTGTAGAATCGAATCTAAGGTCATGCAGGGCTTGCTTGCTGGCACGCGATTCGATAGTAGTGAGTCTTTCCCCGAAATTAATTAGGCATACCTATTGAGACTTTTTCTTTCCTTCTTTCTTTCTTTCAGCTTTACTTTCTTTTCTTTATCTTTTTCTTTACTTTTTGATACAGGACAGATATAGGTATGGCGTGGTATGGTATGGTTTGTACTCGTGTTAACGCCTCTGGAGCGGAAAAATCTGGGGTAAAGTGTTTAAGGTTAGAACCGGAGATGGTAGGTAGACGTTTTCTTTCATTCTTTTCTTTTCTTCTTTTCTTCGTTACTTATTTTACTTTTTTTTATATTTATTTATTTGATACTATTGAATTCAAAAGTGACAGCCTGGGACAGCTCGGTCATGCGCGGTATTGCATTCGCTGAAGATTAACGGTAACTAATACCCATGCGTTATTTTGCCACAGAAGATGAGTAGTCGTCAGCCTTCGATACTGATTCGATTTGATTCGATACATACATAAGCACTTGGTATCTTTGTTTTTCTTTCTTTCTCGGGTGGGTGTCAAGATTCTTGGAACCTTAGCCCCCTTCCCCACAGACGGCAGGCCTGGCCTGGGCGTTCGGATCTAAGAAGGAGAATAATAAACGGGGTATATGATTTACTACCTAGGTATGTGCCTAGGTATGTATGTACATGATTTGATATCGTGCGATCCAGATCCGATGGATTGGCGTGCATGTGTGTCTGTGTGTATACAAATGTCTACCGTGGCGAAAGGATGGATGGATGGGCACGCGAGCACAGCTCGGACCCGCCTCCCGCTTGACTGCATTAATTGGGTGGTTCCACTGAAGTGGTCTACGGGACATTCTGTAGTTCCGGACTCCGGATACAAGTATGCTGTCTTAGAGAATCCTTTTTTTTTTTTTTTTTTTTTTTCGTTTTTGGAAGGACTATTGCATGTGATTAAAGATAGATCAGCATTGTCAGTGGCGTATCATGATATTTAATGGGGCGTAGCTGGTTGGTCTGGAAGGGTCAATGTCTGGAAGTTGAGAGTGATTGCTCGATTGATTGTCGAGGTATGCATGCATGATTGAATTGAATCGCCATTGTCAGATCAAAAACTTCTTCTTTTTAGGGTTACAAACGGTAAATGAGCACACGACCGGTTTTCTTTTTGAGGTTCTTCTTCTTTTTCTTCTTTTTTTGTTTTGAATTGAAATATATATTATGTTATAAGGGCAAATTACCTAATTACATTATCGATTCCCATGAATGAACTACCTACACCCCCAGAAAAAAAAAAGAAAACTCCCAAGAAAGAAAGGAAAACAGAGAAAGAACGATATGAGCTCCAATAGTCACCCGATGACAGAGTCCTCCCATTTACTTACAATCTGGTCTCGTCCCTATAGTACCAGTCTTTTTTTTGTTCCCCCTCACAAAGGCCACCCAAGATTAGTTACAATCTAGTTCCCTCCGTCTCTCTCTCACTTTGTCTTCCTCGCCTCTGCTTCAGCAGCAGCAAGATGCCATGCGAACAACCTTCTGAAAGTCGCTTTCCCACCAGTTTCAATGACATCTCCGTGACAAGGGATGATCCTATCAAACTCCCATCCATCGAGGACCTTTGCACTTCGATTGAACCCAGCTCTTCCTTTACTGCTAGCTCCGTACCACAAAAACCTCTGCTGACTCTTCCCAGCCAAAGAAGTGAACAGATGCATAGAAACTTTTGTCCAAAACCCCTTCGTCGCATCAATATCCGTCTTCGAGAATTGTTCTTTCGAGGGTAGATTAAAGATCAAATCCGCTTCGATCAGTGTCCCGGACGGTTTATGCAATAAAGCGATCTCATGGCTCATATGATTATCCCAATATTCGAGCTCGAAGTCTCGAGTGAAGTCTTCCGGTAGAACCAAGGAATTCTTGTTCTCAGAGTTGTATGAGAAATCGAATGGGACGTCTTCGTTGCCTTGCTTTTGACGCTTTTGGTAGAGAACTGTGGGTCCGATTACTCGGGCTGTTGGGTAGGCGGCTTTCCATGGACCGATGTTGAGGTGGTGTTCGATGTCTGGTGCGACGATGTAGGAGACTTGACCACCGAGGGAGGTGACGGTTGAGGCTACTTCGTCGGTTAGAACGGTAGGGGAGAAGACGACGAGGCCGCCGGATGATAGTTTGGCTGATGAGAAGGGTATGTTAGTAGGTGTTTTATCATATATCATTTGTTTTGCTTTATGAGTATAACTCTAGGATTTTATATGGATGATACGTACTAATTGTAGCTCTACCACCGAATTTGAGAAGACCGATACGGAGAAAAGGGACAGAGACTGTGGTGATTGCATCGGTGACTTGTCTGATGACGGCTGTTTTGGATGGATCGGTGCCCCAGAGCTTTGACGACATGGTGACGATATTAAATTGGTATAACTTGTGCTCGGTTTGAATTGATTGGCTTAGGGTTTATAAATCTGTAGGATTGATGTTCGCGATAGAAGGTAGGTATGAAGGTATCTCGAGTATTGAAGATAGGATACTGATGAGGATATATTGAATTCGTATTGTATTGCTGTTATAAAATTGTGGAAGCATTTGAGTCCATTGAAGTTCGATCCCGGTATTTTTATAGCCACCTTCCCTTCATTCCAACTTACAACATCCACCCTCGGTCTGATTGATAATGCAACTTGCACGGGAGTATCAACTTGAGAAATTCCAATCCTATGCACTCATGAAGATGGAAGGAAGAAAGAAGTGGAGGAGTAATCATTCAATCAGCCACAAACAACATGCGTATGCATTCCCCAAAGTCCGCATTTCCGGGTGAGCCGTCGGTGTGGTTCTTCCCTTAGCTTTCCTGCAGTGTTTGCGACCCCAAAACTTTTGAACGTTTTTTTTTTAAAAAAAAACCAAAAGAACGAATCGAATGACGTTTTCATTTCAAGCAGAAAAGTAGGTCATGTAAAGTCCGTCGCTTACAGACACTAGCAGGGGTTCAACGGGGGAATTGTTTCGCGAAGACCACTTAAGCTTCGGATTTGCTGACTTCACGGGCATCCTCGGTGTCAATGATACGGACTAAATTGCACAATGCAATTGAGGCTTGGATTTTTATTCATCGGCTCCGAGGCTCTGGATGTTGGAGATGCCGAGTATGAGTAATTTCGAATGTTTCTAGAAGTTCTAGACCTTTTATTACACCGTATCATCGGTATATTAAGACCCATTGTGAAGGTTTGAATAGAGAGACGTCGACTTCGAATTTCATGAATTCCGAGGAGTATGGAAGGATTCGAAGATTTCGGCTCCACTTGCAAGAATAGACGGTTGCACCGAGCCGTTGGAGATTAATAATCGGGAAAAATTGCTTGGCCTGCAGAGACAGCTGGCTTTTGAGCTCTGTCAGCACGTTTTGTCGATATCGTGATAGATAAAGTGAGTTAATTATGTCAGCATATCTATTTCGGTATTGAAGAGGAGGAGGAAGAAGGAACAAGACAAGTATATTTGCTTTGAAGTTCTGTAAATCCTGCGCTATCGCCATCGTTGACCGACCGTTGGAGGGTTTTGTCTGAGGCTTTCTGGTATGTGTTGTTATACAACACAGCAGGTTTCTAGCTGCTTGTACAGTCTCGTAACCAACACGTCTGATCCCGTGATTTTTTTCATGATCAAAAAGGAATCGGCTAAAAAGCATAGGACCGAATATGCATAAAATTATTCAAGGAGTCGATTGATGCTAAAATGAAGCGATTTGGATAAGAATTGATGGCAGGGGATGAGGTTCGTTAAAATGACCATCGCAACCTCGATGAGGTTGATGTGATGTTTGGGTCCTCAACACACGGCAAAACTACACAGTCTCGGAGTCAACAACAAAACAACTCTTGGAGATATCGATACAGACTCGTGCAAGCATACAATATGACATACACACCCTATGCTATCTGAAGTAGAGAAATTGTTTAATACCTTTCAAATCCTACTAGAAGACAGTAGAGCGAAGTCGTAAATCGTGCTGTGTCTACGGTTTTTTATTGGGCTCAAGTAGCTCAACTTTCAGGGATTGTTGTTAGGTTACTGCAGCTGACCGCTGAACGGATATCTACAGACATACAGACAGACATGGCTACCACGTTTCCGATAATTTAAATTTCGTGGTTACCATCGGCCAGTCGGAAGCCGTCTTTGCAACTTCTTTTTCTATCGACTAAATATTTTATATAAATTTCAGGTAAAAGCAGAGACGGGAACAGTCAAAATCTGGGGAGAAAGACGCCATGAGACAGACACATCTGACCACTCACAGGCCCATGTGGTCCTCCCACAACACCATCTTTTCAACATGTTTGACCGACCAGAATATCCGCTTTCGGCAGGGTAGCGAGAGGATTGCCTGGCCAACGACGACCAGCCCATGTTCGCGGGATAAAACAACCGGCGCTTGAATTCAACAGCTTCTTCGCCCTGCTGACACGACGGGTTCTACATGTTATAGCGGTGAAAGTAACTAGGAGAAAAGGTAGCGCTGTGGGGTTCAAAACAAACCAGCTGATGTAGGGCAGCTGTCAAGGTCAGAAGTAGAGATTTTTATTAAGTTGAAGTCCGTTCCTGGATTTGTCTCCGTCTGCATGATACTATCTCCACATCCTTTTTTGTCTTTGGCTCTATCGATAATAGGCTTTTTTGCGCAACAGAGCGCTATATTATATATTATCTTTGGTACACGGTTGGACCCTTATTTCAGTTATAAGGATCAGGATTATAGGATCAGGAAGGGAGTCAGTCAGTCAGTTTATCTATTAGTATATGACGACGATATAATAAGAGACTTATACTCCGCATCTCATCGCATATCCCACTTCTCTCTCTCTCTCTCTTCCTCTCTTCCGTCATAATTGCTTGGTTGCATGGCATAGTATAGTATACTTACCTCTTTCATAGTTGCTACCTTTACCTCGACCTCTTCGCTGTCTTGCAGGTAAGAACCGTAGCCATCAGGTTAACAGTACATGTACAGTACTTACTGACTTACATAAGTACTTAAGCAAGTACGTACATGTCGTTGTCGTCGCAGTTGATTCGTCTGCTGCAAAGAAACGTCAGCTAGCAACCAACCAATCCACCCCAACCCAGCCTTCCTACTTTCGGCCATTTCGAATTCCTGCTAACCAATTGTCCTGTTTCTCCAAATCGCACTTTTTGCGACTTCAAGATATCCCTTCTCTGCATCTTTTCTCACGAACTACGGTTTTCCTCGAATTCGATTTTTAAAATCGCATCGGATCGGATCCGAGCACGTCACTTTTGCTGCTGCAGCTGCCACCTTTCTGAATCCCGACAAGGTCTCTTTCTCCGCGCCGCTACGGATATCTGCAGCCAAACCAAGGTCCATCGCCTGATACGGAAAACTACCACCAAAAAGGGATTCCCATTCCATCATCTTGCATACCTCGCACCATCAATTATCACGATAGCACTATCGTAATAGATAAAATACTTTATCAAGATGTTCTTCGAGAAGACTACTCTTTGGTTCTTCCGAATCGCACAATGGTGTCTTTGTGTCTCGCTTCTCGGTATCTCGGGGTACCTTGTCAACGAGTACGCCAAAGCTAATTCTCGGGTTCCACCTGAAATCTGGTTGCCTTGCATTACCGTAAGTACTTTCATGACCTTCAATTGCTACAGCATGCTATATAAATCGACGGAAAAAATGGTAATAAAAATACTAATAAATATATGTATCACTAGTCTGCCTTCGCGATTTGTATCTTATTCTACTCAATCACCCTCCTGTGCTGTCTCGGTCGTCTCCTCCTCCACATCGCCGCCTTCTTCGATTTTTGCTTCATGGTCACCTATATCGCTGGTGTCGTCCTGAACCGTTACAACTTCCATCAAGACGGTACCCAGAACCGAACATGGCAGCATTTGACATGGACCAGACAACAAGCTGGTATTGATAACCATGCCAATAAGAACTTGCCATTGGTCAAGGCGCTGGCTGGACTTACAACCACGTTGATGGTTTTGTATATCATCACGACTTTGTTGTGTATCAATTTGGCGAGGTTGGCTGATGAGAAGCACGAGGAGAAGACCGGACACAGAAGGAGATCTTCTAGCCATGTTTAGACCAGTGATTTAGCATGATTAGAAGGAAGACGGTTTGTAGATGAAACCTGATGAGACGGGTATAGATGCTCCGACTCATCGATATTCACGAAAATGCCATTTATTTATTTTTATCGATATGGTGGATATCATCTTGGACGATGGATTTTTTCATTTGTTATCTTTTGGGTCAACTAATGCTTTTATGATACCTCACATTGGGTTATTTTGTTCTTTCTCTTTTGTCAATTTACCTATACAAGGCCGGAAACCTAGACTTTTCGGGAACAGGACCGAATCGCGATCGTATCGGATTCATGCAAGTGTAGGACTAATAGTCCTTTCGGCATTATGATAATGTGGGTAGCTAGGGAGGGTATGCATATGTTAATGAGGTTGTTTTTTTCCTTTTATCATGTTTTTTGACGGAGGTGTATTCATGTAAATAATGTCCAACTAGTATCGCTTCAAATGATACAGCCATTCTTACTGTCCTAAATTCTCTAGATCTCAAGACCTTGAATATAAATATCTAGGTCATGTGTCTATCTATATACCTAAGTAGGTATCTATCGATTCGATATCGCTTGCCATGATCCTTTCCATGGCCTGATGCGCCCAGCACTGTTCGCCAAGGAAACACCAAGAAATGTTGGATCCAACACACATTTGGCTGTTATTTCACCTATTTCGAGAAGACTTCCAACATTTTTGATTTTAGAAAGAGGTTATCCCATGCTATGTGTAACGTTACGAGTATAGTCTCCTTTCTTCTAGGAATAGAAAAAGGGGGGCGAAGAAGGAGTCTAAGTATTCGAATGTGTATCTTTTCAAATCTTACAACCTGACGATATCTCTAGACATAGTCGTAGATTAAGTTTTTTTTTCTTTACCTTTTATATCTCAGACATATTCATTATTTGACTCTCGCGAAATAGCCTTTTGTTTCGTCAATCAGCCCTTTTAATATCCAAACTGGGTAGATTACCCTTTTTGGTCGTCCATCTATAGAACTTCGGGAGTTTAAAAAGGGTGAAAGGCCGGTGGTAACCTTATAAAACTCTTTTTTTTCTCTTTTGAAATTCTTTCTTAATTACCTCAAGGTCCTGACAAGGCCTTCTCCTGTTGGACGGGCTGAGAGGAAGAGAAGTTATATATATGGAATGAGGGGGGAAGAAGAGAAGGTGAAGGTTTTTTTTTTGAAAGATCTTTGGCTGGACTTCTTCCTTTGACTCTTCGATCACCGACTGGATATTGTGATTTTATACTTACGACGACGAAGAGGGTTTATATTCATCTTATATTACCCTTTGGTGTATAATTATAAGAGTGTTTACTTTAAGTAGCTCTATCTATATACTCACGATGACACCTTCTACTCCTCCATCACCTCGTCTGGAGTCTATAACCTCCCCGGAATCCGACTCGGAACCTTTACTTCCACTATATACCCCTTCCACCACACTTCCACCAGCATACACCACCCACCGAACAGATAGATTACTACTTTCCTCCTCCTCCTCTTCATCATCTTCTTCATCACCATCGCCATCAGGACAATCAACCACAAGCCCAACAAGTGACCCCTCCAAAATCCCAATATTCTCCATAACCGGGCACCTTCGTCTCAAAATTCACAACCCCTTACAACTCTTCCACCGCTTCCTCTTCACATTCTTACTCCTAAACACCGCCTTATTCGCACTATTAGTCTATAAACTAGACGAAACGACGTTTCTTACCGTGCCCGGTATAGAATACAAAATATGCGTTTGTCCGTTACCGCCGCCACAATCAGAGGTACATCATCAATTTGAAAGGTATGGGGATTTTATCGGTGGGGGGGAGTGTTATGCTTTTTTTAATACCAATGATAACAATAATAATAATAATTGGGGAGCTGGGATTTTGAAGGGAGGGAGGAGGGAGTATGAGAAGTTGTTGGTTTGGAAAGAGTGTATTGAGGAAGTTGGGAGGAGTAGACGGTGGAGAGAGTGGATTTTGTGGGTGGTTATGCCGGTTATGTGCGTCGTTGAGACGGTGGCGGCGGGGGCTTGGTGGTGGTGTTTGAGAGAGGTAGAGAGGGAGGAGGAGGAAAAGGAGGAGAGAGAGCGGGAGGAACAGGAAGTGGGACAGGAGGAAGTTAACTTTCGTGGGGGGAAGAGTGGGGATGTTTGAATATGCATATATGCATATATGGACGAAGTCGAAGATGGAAGACGGATGATGTCCGGATGTTGATTCCTACCGAACCACTTGTCTCGTACTCGGACCTGGAACCGAATCTCGTAGAGTTTAGAGGGTTCGCGGTGTGGGGTTTACAGCATTTTGTGCACGTGGAGTTTGGGTTACTCTTTTTGTTTTCCTTTCACGATCGATGTGTGGGACTGGTGGAGTTATCATATGGCTGTGCATATTGTGGTACAGGTTTGTGTACTTCCAATGTAATGCAATATTCTTATATCATGGTAACTTGCTGCGCTTTGTGTGGTCTCGTTCCCGGACGTCACAAAGGGCAGCGGTAATTTAGAATAGTGTATATCTTATACTAAGTGGGGTGTAAAAAACTTATACTTTTCCTATGCCATACGCCATACATGGACCAGCTAACTAACTAATTCGGTACCTCATTGGATATATACCTATAGATGTAACGTTCATGCTCTTACAGTTGGTTAATGCAGTGCGGTGGCTTGGTTAAAACAGCCTACTTGTGCGTACAGGGTTAAATATCTGTCTTGACCAATTGAGTTTGAGAAAAAAGTTGCAATGAGTTAGGTATAGTCAAATCCGTGATCCGGGCTCTCCCTTTCGTTTGTGCACCATTGAGCTTTAGTAGTTCATAGAATGCATGGGGGAGCTCAATGGCAAATTTAAACTTGTGCGCCGTATATTTGGTATCCTCCATAGGGAACAGTATACAGAAGCATGTGGTTGATCAAGGGTAGTCGGTTACAAAGGGCTGTTTCGCCACGCGAGAGGAGGAAAAAAAAAAAAAATCTAACATCAAGGAAAACTCATGCGATGCAATGGCATATGGCACTCGTTTCGAAATTCGAGATGTATCGATTTCGACTCGAGGCCGGGCTCGTGCTCGAGTTTGTTAGAAGTTGTACAGCAGCTACACAGCCGACTCGATCATTTACCAACATGCAACATGTAACATTGTTAACAGTGTAACAAACATTTGATTACTTCGATATACCTAGATTCGAGGCTAACTTCGATAGATGGTGCATGAAAATTCAGTGATGCAATGCAGCTTTTTCCTACCAATTGAGTGAATAGTTACTGTAGATTTTTTTTTCTCGGTTCTGGATCAAATGCAGGAGCTAGTTTTGTCTCTGGAGCCGAGCACGAATTAACGCTCGTGTTCGTTCAGTGTTGGCATTCCAAAGCTTATGCAGCATGCATGCAGGTTCGCAATCGGGTCGGGACTTTTTGTGATCTGCGGGTGCGGCACGGAGCGAGAGTACAAGCTTGGAGTGGGAAGATTTCGTAATCCAAGGGGGCTTTTTGGCATTGGAAATATGTAATGATGTGAAGTAATACTCATTAATGTGGGATACAAAATTTCTAATATGCAATTAATTGGCGATGACTTAAGTACTTGTGGAGGGCGAATCGGTCGGGTTAGATCGGGCATGAACAATATGCATGCATAGGAATGCTGTCGAGCGGGATATATAGCTAGCTAGCTAGTCAGCTCCCTCATCAAGCGCCTATATTTAAGGCTGAGAGTTGGAATGGTGTATGTCGAAGTCAGATTTACCTCTCTCTGGCAGTTTTGGGTTTTCTTCAAAGCGGGGTAGCGAGCACGTAACACGGCAAGTTGCAGAATTATTTCCTGCGAACTGGGGCCATGGCTGAAGCTGAATGGGTTTGTGTAACTGCTAGCTATAAAGGTTCAGCTCGAGGTACATGTACACATCTTCGAGTCCTAGATGTATGTACATATCGTATACATACATTGTTCATTTTATGGACATTTCATATATACCAAAATATATCGATATTATCGATATATATATGAGTATCAAGGCCTTTGGAAACCTTCAATCAGCTTGGGAAATTTTGGATCATGGTGTGCTGGTGTCGTGATATACTAATGTCATGATGTAATAACCCTAAATATACACGCAATGTTGAATATCAATATCTGAGTATCAGTAAAGCGAGCTGCCTACCGAGTGCGATTCCAAGTAGTTGCAGTAAGGGAGGAGACAAACCGCATATTATAGGTTAATTGAGAAGCTAGGTACTAGTCTAAGCTAAGAAGGGAATTGGGGATGTGCATTCTTCTGCAGCTCGATATTTCGGCCAGCACCCGATCGATTGACGTCCGTCCATCCATGTGGTAAAGGCCGGTACTATTCCTAATCCCCATTAGTCGGGGCAGGAAATATACTTAGCTAGTACAGCAGGGACCTAAATTTTGAAAGAGTACATCGGTGTCGTGGTCCGTGATATAGTTGTACGATAAAATTAAAGCCAGATATATGTACCTGGCGAGATCACAAAGAGCTAACTACTAGACTTTGTATTCAATTGGCTAGATTTTGAAAGCTTCAACTTCTGTGTTAGTATACTAGATTTGGTGGGATACACGGGTTGTCAATCCCTTTGGGTCAATCGTTCGTGAGGGGTAGTTTTAAGATTCGCGGCTGGAATGTGGCGGCTAGATATATTCGATCGATTGTAGGGATTGTACTCTGAACTTAATCGAAATAAATACAATATGTATATATGCCTCATCGAAAGTGAACTGCAAGGATTGAATAGTGGCGCCATGGCTGGCTGTGGAATTGAAAGGCGGTATATCCGTATGCAAGAAGAGATATTAAGGCCTTGAATTCGGTGATCCTATCATATACCTGTACTTGGGCATCCATGTAATGCGTGCATTATGGTCGACTATGGGAGATCTTCCGAATGGAGCTACTCCGCATTGCTGTAGAACTAATGATCGGTTACATAGCAATCAATTGGCTAATTGGGTCCTCTGTTGAGCTCATCAGTTACTCCTGGAATTCTGATTCGACCAAAACCAGGATTTCACATGTCCGGTGCATTACAGTATCCGTGCCTATCGATAACTCATACGTATGCTTAATCGAATAGTTACGACCCCTCTCTAGATCTATAGAGGTATATCTATATAAGAGAGCCTACCACCCTGCCTTTTCGTCAATTCATCCTCTTTGAATACCAATCATCTTCACACAAGCACAATCAACTTACCCACATTTATACACGGACAGTTGTCATAACTTTTATTTTATCTTCAGCGATATATAAATCAACATGCCTGTTGAGTTTCCAAAATCTTTAAGAGCGTCTTCCCATAGTTCGGAGGGCGGAACTAGTAAGTCTAGAATCAATATCTCAAAGAAAGTGCACGATTATTCGTGCTACTCATATATCAAGGGGACTAATTTTTTTCGTGTTCGAACGTTATTAGCTAAGGAGGAGGATATCTACGGATACGAACTCCTCTATAGAAGCGCCTTCGCCTCATACATCGCCCCAACTGGAGCATGGAATGTAAGTACTGATATATTACTATGTAAATATAGTTTCTTAGAGCCAGAAACCTATCTAACAGCTTCTAAACTATAGCTCGTTTGGTTCCAAGCTGCAGATGGCTCTATCAAACAGGCCAGGTGGTATGGTGAATGGGTCATTTCCACCGTCCTTGCTCCTGGAAAGGCTCTTCAAGGTACCCCACTTACGGCTCTCTTATGGGGGCCCCAGGACACCGTCCGTCTCTATTACCTTAGTCCACAATTCGAACTCCAGGAATGGTGCTGGGACACCAAGAACGGTGCCGATAACAAGTATGATGGTGCTTTGAATGCCGCAAAGGTCAAGGTCGCACCATACAGCAAGCTTGGTGCTGTCTCCTTCGGAGGTGCCAATCTTCGGTACGTTTATACTCTTTCTTTGATACCCTCTTAGCGCTGCGATCCCGTTTTCTGGATCTTGGAATGTTTGGAACTTGAATTGACTGACGCATTTGGATATATAGTGTCTACTATCAAGGCACCAATAACAAGCTCGAGGAATACACCTTCGGCGGCGGTCAAGGTTGGAAGAAGGGTGCCACTCTCCCGGGAGACCCACTTCCAGGAACCTACATTTCCTTCGTCAACCGTAATAAATGGGATGCCAACCCACCCTCCATCCGCGGCTACTTCCAAACCGTGACCGGCTCTCTCGCAGAACAAGTCTGGGAAACCGGTGGCTGGAGAATCGGCCAATTTGTCATCCCAGCTGCCCCATTCCTCACACCAATTTCAGCCACTGTTTCACCCGAGAAGGATTTCCCTAAGATTCATGTCTACTGGCTCAGCGTCGAGAGCACGATTATTGAGTCTGTGAACTGGCATGGATGGAAGGCACCGAAGCAGATTGATAATATTAGTGTTGTTAAGGCGGATATTTCAGCCACGAGTTTTACGAGGGATGATGGAACTGTTGATGTTAGGATTTATGGTACTGCACAGTTGAATGTGCTGTTTGAGAGGATCTTCAGGTACGGAGTTTGGGAAGAGAAGATTCATAGTATTAGTGTTGGGAAAGAAATTCCTATTGAGGTTGTGGGTGTATAAATTGAGGATAGATACTAAGTACTCTCAGACAAAGAATTCTGAATTCTCTTTTTGATCATTTCAGTTTCGTTTTATTTTGGACGAGGGATTGTTAACTAGTAATTGTGGGACGCTCTTTTGTAATTTTGTCCGATGATATTAGTATCAATGCAATGGGAATACTAGAGAGATTATTGTGTTGACAGATGTTGTAATTTGAACGTGCACAGTCTCGTAACCCGCCTGCTATGTATGAGGTCGTGGCCATTGTCAGTCTAGACCGTGGATGTGCTAAAAATACATGTATACATTCTTTGTTGCTTAGTCGAAACCCCCCCGTGGGGTATCGCACATTGTAAATTGCAGACTGATCGTGATGATGGTAACTTTGGAACAAGTTCTCGAGCTAGCGCTGCTCGAAATCCGGGTACGCGAGTACTCGAGTACTCGAGTCGGTATGTTCTAAGAACTTCACAACAGGACCCGCGGCAACTCCCTTCCTGACCTAATTACTCTATACTGGCCATAAACATTAGTCGGTATTAACTACGACTAGTAGGAGCTTGAGAGATTTCAGTGAACTGGCAAGGAAGAGCAGGAACTTTGCATCATGCGCTTCCCTTCAGGTTTCTGTGGCGGAATTTCCCCCAGCAGCGCAATGCAGTGGACTCGACAGTGGATGACATCACATCCTCGCCCACCCATGGCCACCCACATTGACCGGCTTGGCAGCCCTGCGGGTGCGTCGATGCATGGTCGTCGATGGGTAGACGTAAGCTAAGACATCTGATGTCGAATTCCGAATTCCGCATCTTAGGCTAGAGATGTTACATTCCCTACAGTGCTACCAAAATGTATGCGTGCACGCGTGAAAGACAGGAGCCGTACGAGCCGTTCTTGAGCTTTGAGCAACCATCTTGCGAATTGCGTTGGATATCTGATCGTTGAATAGTCGAATTAATCACACTGGGCTATAGCTTAGCAGGCGTAGGTGCGGTTCATAATATTGTTCTGGAGAATATCCTGCGAAAGTCCGGCATTGACCATCCGAAAGTGAATGAGGACGGTGGTAGATTGGGAAAATTATAAGATCGACGGGCGGGCGCTTTTTCTTTTCTGTCCTTGATCGAGTAAAGCATTTCGAATTCTTGTGGTCGCTTGGAGTAAAGACGAACATTCTCTAGAACCTTTGCATTGGTTATTAAATATACTCGACTCGAGCGGATATCGACAAATTAATTGACATACTTTACCGGATTATATACTTGCAAGTTTAACGATATGATATCCCCGAAAGTCCAACGGCTTTGCGCCTCCGAATCTTCAGTCACATCGCTGATGAACGAGGATCCGGACCTAACCCCCTCGAAAGCCTATGAAAAAGTCGCTCCTCATAAAATGCCAGTAATCTTAAGTGCATTCGCGCAAAAACATTCGGCAAAATCTAACGAAGATGACTATGCGAATGTGTTGGAAGAAGATATCGAGGCTGCAAAGAGTTGTGGGAACTTTGAAGGGACGGAGCCTAGCAAGCTCTTTTTAAAAGTATGAATTGTTAAGTTTTGTATTTGTATTTTTACAACTTCTTCTTATGTATACATGTAGTTAAAGGATGTGGATTAACTTCGATGGCGTTTTCTTTTCTAGATATTCTACCATGTCCTCCGTACCTTGGAAAACGACCCGCAGGCTGGAGTTGTGTCGCCTAATCTGCTGGGTAGCACGGGAGTTATACCTCTAACTATCATGTCAATGTAAGAGTTCCCTTTGAATTCTTTCCGTTTGGCTAGTGGTTGAGGGTATAAGTGCCCTTACCTTTATATAGAAAATTTTTAGCTATATTTATAAACTAGAGATCTCGAGAACTAACTTGATACATAGAATCCCAGATATAATGCGCCACTACGCAAACCTTATCGTCAAAGCCGAATCATCCATAATCCTAGCCACAAACTTCTGGGCAGCTTCTCATGCCTCTCATATTATCACCGATGCTCTCAGGGAGCTTTCAAGGCGGAGATTAGAAGCAGATCTCCCTACAGTTGATGTGAAAATTCTATACGACAGAGGGAATTTGAAGCAGCTGTTCAAACACCATCTGAACGGGAAGGAGAAAGAATTCAATAGTGAGAAAGTTCAGATCCCGAAGCCGGAAGAAGTACAAGGGATTACGTTGCAAGTTTTGAATTTTCATATCCCGCCCGTTGGGACATTTCATGCGAAATGGATGGTTGTTGATGGGAAGATTGCGGTTTTGAATAGTAATAATATTCAGGTCAGTAGCCTAATTCCCTTTTCCTTATATATATATACATATATGTATGCGCAAGAAGCTGATTTAACATACTTATTTGATTCGCAAGGATGTTGCAAATTTGGAAATGATGTGTCATTATGAGGGTGCCATAGTCGATTCCTTTTATGATTCTGCTATGATCTCCTGGCATAATGCACTCAGACCATCACTCGGTGTTCATAGATTCTTCGACGAGGATGTGACAAGACAAAATTTTGGGTTCTCGGATTTTCACACTATTGCGAAAACGATCGGAGACGACGTAAACCGGCGGACGAAAGAGTTCCGGACTAAATATCTCAAAGAACACGAGAATTGTGAAAGCGAGTATCTAGGAAGAGATGGAAGAGATATGGTACCGTTTGCCGCCCAACTGGGAGCTGCCCATAATAGAAAAGCCCATGAGCATGCAGATAACGAAAACCTACCCAATAGCTTATCAAGCAATGAGCACAATCGTGGGCCCCTGGGTACAGGCGGGTCACCAGTCCCAAATCACACTCAACGGGGACAAATGGTTGATACTGAAATACCACTACTAAAAGATCGAACGGCCTCAAACACAAGTCATATTGGGAGAACAATTGCAACCGAAGAGGACCAAGACGAAGCTGCAAGAGTACTAAACCAAGCAGCTGAAGATGTTACCGTAGGGGAGGAACAGCATCTTGCTTCTGCCGCTGATGCCTCGAGAATTGAATACGATAGTACCCTGTCAGCAGAAGCAGAACGAGTGCAAGGGTTCCTTGGGACACTAGAAGGTCTGACAAAACATTTAAGTATGCCAGAACCCTGGGGCTTGTTGAGTTTCTCCATAAATTTGCTTTTACAGATACGGGCTAAATATTTTGTTCTCAGATACCACAATCCAACCAAACACCCAAGGGACATTAAGATGTTCCGACAGAGAAGCTCATCTCGAAGATTTCAACCCTTATATTCTTCACCCACGCCACAAGCCATTTCCTATCGCGATGGTGAACAGGCGGCCTTTTGGCGGTAAGTTGTAGTCTTGATATATGTATATCACATAACGATACAAAGTACTAAAGGTATTTCTTTATAAAAGCTCCGGGTCATCAATCGGTCAGAGTCCCGCAGAATGAAGCTTGGATAGCTGCCACCCGTTTGGCCGAAACACAAGTATTCATCCAAACTCCGGACCTAAATGCATCCCCCTTAGTCGAGGAGATCCGAGACGCAGTGAAGAGGGGCATTGAGGTTGTCCTATACATAACTTTAGGTTATAACGACGCTGTGAGTTCATGCTGAGGATCCAAGAAAGTTGTTACTTGTCGTTGGTGGCACGTTAGACTAATATTAACCAGGGCGAACTCTTGCCTTTTCAAAACGGCACTAATGAGCAAATAGTTTGTTCGCTGTTTAATTCCCTATCATCGGATGAGGAGAAAGAAAGATTGAAGGTATATTGGTATACTGCCAAAGATATGCGGTTCCCAATTCATGCAAAAACAAAACAGAGGACATCGCATATAAAACTCATGGTAGTCGACGGCCACATTGGCATCCAAGGTAGTGGGAACCAAGATACACAAAGTTGGTATCACAGCCAGGAAACAAATGTAATGATTGACAGCGAGGAAGTTGTCCAGGAATGGCTGTGGGGTATTCGATCAAACCAAAACACTCATATTTGGGGAAGAGTTGACAATGATGGTGTTTGGAGAGCAAAGGAAGAAAGAGACGACGTAGAAGATAGTGATATCTCCGGTGATCAAATTCCTGGAGCTTTAGGAGGGGCAAAAATAAAGTTCGGCTGGATGAAAGGTATTAAGGGCGCTATTGAGCGGGTCCAAGGCGCAGGCGGTTTCTAAGGGAGTTTAACCAACCAATGCGGTAGATGTTAATCATTACAGGGCTCCCGGCCCAGGTTGTATTTTTCTGTCCAGTGTCTTTCGGGGTTGTTGCATTTGGGTAACTGTTCGCTTCGACATCTCTATATCTGGCTAACCCTTCTGAATTCGCTTCTTAATGTAATTGCAACTTGACATTCATAATATAGTGGTTTATCTCTTTGAAAAATAGGCATTTGCAACTGCCAGCTAAGAGTTACAACAGAAAGACCAAGATATTGCACTTTTATAATTTAATTGGCTGCAATTGTTACATCGACGCATCAATTGCCCCCACGCGAAGACTATATTTAAATTTACAACATTTGCATATGTGGTCGACGGGATCTGGTTGACAGATAGGCTGGAAACGAGAAGCCGCAGCCGCGCGGTCTGACGTCAACCGAAGCTAAACGTCTACCATGATAGTTTAGCTCGAGGCTGTTCAAACGATCCAGTGAGCGTCGATGAAAATAATCCTTGTATGTAGACGTCTGCAGTGCAGGTATATGTTTTAACATATATTTCTACCAGAATTTTTTTCCTGTGAAACGATAGGCCCCTGCAGTGAAGCTCCGGCCTTTTTTGGCCTAAGCATTTTACTTGGCTCGACTTGGCTGGAGAAGGAATGCCCAGGGGTTGGCTCCCAGACTCACGGAAACGAGTGGTCTGACAAGCATCATGCCAGGGGTCCGATGCAGCAAGCAATGTAATTGGTTCAAAAGCAGCCAATTGTTAGGCCCATTTTTAGCCCGCCCCCGCCATCTTCAGAGTGCGGATTGAAAGTTGGTTTCGGCCACACACCTTTCCTGCTTAAGCGCCTTATTATTGTTTTGAATCAAGTTTATGTCCGCTGTCGTAGATGGCCCACGGACTAGAACAAACAATGGGGATTACGTTTCAAACTTCAGGTCCACGTTCTATTTCTCCAATATTTATATTCCAAACCTGGCTCCCGAGTTGAAACTGTATATCAGATTCATTCGCCAGTGGCTATTCCTTCAAAAACGGCACACCTGCCGAGACTGCGAGGCCTCTCTTGCTGTTCATGCGACAATGTCAAATTCTCCCGTGGATTCGAGGCCAGCCGTAGCATCATTACCTTCGCAAACAAACCCCTCCAATACTCTAGATGTCAGGTCTACAGGACAAGAGCCGGTGAACATGGCACCGGCCATGCAGCAAACGAACACAGATCTCGATGTAAATCGAGTCGAGGCCATACCTTCGGCCCCTCCTCCTGCCTACATTCCACCTCCTGAATGCCGAACCTCACGGATATACGATTTTGGGGACTTAGATCTGACTAATCATCCCGATAATGATCCTGAACGTGCAGTCCCACCCCCGCCTTATACTGGCCCATCTAGAGACCAGGCCGTTGTAATATACAGTCACACTTCTCCCTCAGGCGATGCAACAGCCACGGTATATTACCCTACGATGGATTCATACATGAAGGCTTCAAAGCGTCGAAGGCTCTACGGGGCAGTCACTCTTGCCGCATTTATCATCGTGGGAATAATTCTCTTGGGAAGCCTAATTGCTCGACAAAATATGGGAGGGTCAACTGATACAGCGGACCGGACTTAGTCTAGAGGTCTATCCAGACTCGGACAGGAGGTCGCATACATCCATATCTCTACGTACATACAATTCCGCAGTTCAACGAACCCCGCCTTTACATTCTATCTTTTGGTTTTCTTACGATATTGAAGGCATGGGAACCGTTGTTATGACACTCTGACCGACGAATATGTTACGACGAAATTAGGCCAGAACTTACTGTTTTCTCATGTTCGAAAGGGACTTCGTTTTTTTTTTTTTTTTTTTTTTTTTTTTGGTTTTTTATTTCCTCATGTTCATTTCTCTTATTCCAGGTTTCCCCTCATCAGCATCTTGGGAAGAGTTCTGGCGTTCTTGATTCTGGTTGTCTGGGCTTTCCGTTTTTTTGCGCATCTTTTCCTGGGCCGTCGGGGATTTATTCACTTTCAACACTAGCAAACTGCGAAAGCTAGATAATTAATGGAGCAGTCACTATTGAATTTCACTTCTTCAAATTTGTACTTATTCTTTCTTAATCACGGAATACGGCCATGAAGTATCTGCAACCTTAAGTTTGCGGGATGTGTCTCATCCAAAGATTCGTCCCAAGCATTTCAAATTATTGCAATTTCACTGACCCGTCAACGGACTTGCATGCAGATTTTGTCAACAAACAATACAATTTTGACTAGACAAAGTGCAAAAACCTTTCGCTTTGGCATAGTCACTTGATTATTACGGAGTACTACCTTTCCGATTCCTTGCATACTGTGATGATATCGTGATGTATTAGGAATGAGGAGGAACCTCGAGAGGGGCTTCGGGACCCTACAACGGGATCGCAGAATATTTACAACAAAAACAACACATGTGAGAATAGTGTCGATATCGAGCAAACATGCCATCGAGTTGATCTAAATTGGACCTAGAATACACCCAGCTCCATTTCATAGTCTGATTGGAGCCGAATACCAGTTAACTGCCTTAACTTTTTTCTTAACCTTATAGATTTATGAAAATCCTTGCCAAAATAATAAAAAATACATGTCAAGAATGATATCATGATAAGAATTGCAATTGAAGGGGTTAATTAACAGTACAGTATTAAATTTATAAATGAATCGACGGCCTCAGAATTCAACAAAAGCCGGGGTTCATAATACTACACGAAATTAGAGAATGGCTAATTCATCGAACTTATGGCCCTTTAGCTGGCCCCGTAACCTTATCCCAAAAGTATCTAACCCCTTTATCCCACTCCTTATTTCCGCATTCAAAATCTGGCATACCATAGGCCTCTCTGATGGTTTCCTCTAAACACTTTTTCGATTCTCTACCTTGTCGGTTTGAGAAATAAGTATATCTGAAGCCCATCGAAAGGACCCACTCCCACAAAGCAGATTCGTGTGGAATGGGTGTAGTTGGGGCCATCCACCAATTTCCATCCCAGCCAGGACACAGCGTAACTTTGTTGTAGAACTGAAGCGGTCCCCTTCCCATTCTCTTCGGGCGGGCAAGATTGTGGTTTATGTCATCGAAAGCGTCGAGAAATCCATAGCCCCAGATCTTAGCGTAGGCCTGACCGTTAGCGAGCCAAAAGCGGCACGCAGCCCATTTACGCCCCGGAGGACGCCGATACGGGTCCAGTGGCTGAATTTCAAAATGTTGTGTACCTCCAATGACACGGGTACCCCCTCCTTTCCAATTCCAAGGGTTAAGCGGATTGTTTCCGTGACATCCATCTATATATATTGCAGTTACACTTTAGAATCGCCTCTGAAATCTGAAAACAGACATTTCGTAAAACGGTGCAAAGGTTTGCTTACCTAATATATGGTGTAAATTTTCTTTACACTCTTTCTTCGTGGGTGGGTTTGATGTCCAACTGATCGCGATCCGGAAGTTTTCTGGAGACCCTTCATAAAAGGTCTTATCTAGTCCACCGTCTTTACCTTTAAGCTCAGGGGCACCTTCACCACAAACTTCGTCGCTACTAATAGCCGAGGCAACAAGGTTTCGTTCGACATAATACCATGAAGTAACAGGGAGAGTTTGTATCCATCTCTTAGATGAGGGGACAGTAGCGGTGGGTTTTGGCGTAGTAAAGAACAATTGCTTGCAAGCGTGCACAGTGACTTGAGGGGGAGGTGTAATTTCTGGAACTATAGGCCCGGTTGGTCCTGTTCCAATTGTGGCGGTTGGCGGTGGCATTTCGGACGTTGTGGGAACAACTGGCGAAAACTTTGTTCCTGTCGTCAAAGCTGGCACAGTGGAGATACCGATTTTCTTTAGGTCAAACTTCGACGGGTCTTTCAACGAGACTGTGTAACTCGTGTAGTTCGTGTTTGTAATAGTTGAAGTCAAGTTTCCTCCATTTGCTAATGGGAGGAGAAGGACAATTATCGGCGCTGCTACGGCGGGGATCGCCCATAGTAGCTCGCTTTCAGCCCATGTCATCTCTCCAACTAGAGACTCGTCAACCCAATCTAGGGTTGGTGCTGGCTCTTCATGCTCTTCAATCTGCGTGGGTGTACTCTCCTCTTCATCATCTTCATTATTCGCTGGCGTGCTGGTGGCTCTAATACTTGAAAGCGATGCCGTTGAATGTTCTGTTTCAGTAACACTATGGCTACTAAGTGTAGGCCCAGATGTCGTCTCTACGGTTGTGGCTGTAGTACTGGTAGAAAATGAGCTGCTTAGAGAGCTACTCATACTTGAAGAACTACTTGAGCTCGTTTGCACCGGGCATTTTGCCCAATAACTCTTATTTGGAGTGCTCCCACGCTTCCACGAGTCCTCTGGACTGTATACTGGAGGCACTCCTTCGCCTGGTCCCTCGCCCCATCCTGGTGGCAGGTCCCCTAGGGCTGGATCCGTGGGCCGCTTTGGATTTTCCGAGATATTGTCATCTGAATCCCATTCAAGGTCTTCAGGCCATCTCTCTTGCACGAGAGACTGGGCCATTCCTACCAACTTATCTTTCTCAACTTCTACCAACTCTCTTGTGAGGCGCCTGTAATAGGATGTTCCTTCTTTGCACATCCCCCAAGCTCCATTGTATACAACTCCTGGAGCCCGGTCTAGTCTATGTTCAAGTTTTCTGTCAAATCGAGGGTATGAATAGGCATATAAGATTGTTCTAGCTTCATCTCGATCAAATCCCATTTCTAGAAAGTATGCAAAGAGACCTGCAACTGTGCCCGCCGCTACATAAATTTCGAAATTGGAATTCAGCATCGCTCCGTTTAGAGATGTAGTTAACAAGAGCGCGATAAAAAAAAGGGCACTTACCATAAGCTGTTCCCTTGACAGTACCATAGTCCCCAGGATTATGTGACACGGCTTTGGCCGGACCAACTTCCCTGCTATCGAATGTAGAATAGGGAAGGGGTACTAAGATATCAACGGCGGGGGCAGAAACCCGGAGGTTCAAATGTGACTGATAATAGCTATCCCAGGATATCATATCCACACCCCCAACCGTAATGAAAGGCCTCTCTGCATTCCACCTTCTGAGTCCCTCCTTCGCTGGAAACCCAATGATTGGGTTAGTTACAACAGTGTTACCTTCATCTTCCTATTTTTACGACCCGAACAAATTAGCAGCCAGTCCATTTCGTGCCTATGTGATTTTACAGAACTTTGCTAGCCTAGGTGTATATATATCTCAATTATAAGGAGCTTAGGACGAGAAAAGCCCAGTTTGTGATACCTAAATACGAGATTTTGGGATCTCGAAACCAGGCCGAGGCAAATTCTGTAGCATGCACTCTCATTGTACTAAGCGGCATACTTACGACTTCCCAATGGACACTACCTCCTGGTACTACGAATGCAACACCAAGCTTGCTAAGCATTCCAATAAGACTGCGGATACTAGCTATGAGGTTATAATCGAATGTATCCATTTTAGATCCCGGGTTATTAGGATCGGAGAGAAATGTTAGGATCCATGACATGCTTATCACGATCTTCCTTCCCATGAATCGTTTCGTAATATCCGCATGAATCTGAAGAAGGCTGTCAAAAATATGGAGACGTGATGTCCTACCATTCCTATCGGCGGCTACAACTACAACTGGTTTTGCCTGTCTCGCGGTGCCTACAGTTCTGCCAAAGATTTTACCAAAAACCGCAGTTCCAGCACCCCTGAGATAATATGAATTAAAGGTTGAGGTTAAAATGAAAGTTGTACAACATTTTAGGTTCTATGAATCATATCAACTTACCAAGAGTAATCCCGATATATTTTTTGGGGGGCTGGGTAGGGGTCTGCCCTGTTAAATGAAAATTAAAACCGATGATTCTTGAATAATATTTTCATCTTTGCTGGAAATTATCTTACCACATCCAATCTCTCATTTCTCTTAGATTGGTATGATTAAATTCCTAGTATATATCATGATCAGCAACATATTATAATCCTCCTATGAAACAATATGTGGCATCACGGTGGAAGTATCTTACCGGATGGTTTACGTCAACTCCCTTGCAAATAACATATACTACTACTGGAGGCTCTGTCGCACGCCCTACTCTTTGGTAATAATTATACTGTAGTTTATCCCAACCTTCTTCTTGGCCCCATATCCAAGGCGGTACTCCCAAAGCTCGGAGTTCTCGGGGAGCCCTAAGCTGGCCGGTAATTTCCCTCTTTAGCATACCATGAAGCGGATATGCAGGGTTTATTGTTCTAGTTAAGTTCGAATCCCTCGGCTTGATCTTACCACTGACATCAGGCGTCCTTTTTCGATTTCGAATAAACCCTGGCGGGGTAACTTTTAGCTTTCTAGCTGGATAGAGAGTGGTCAACGGCCGAACAGATGCAAACTATAGTATTATGGGCAGTTAGTCAGCATCACCTTTAGCTGAAGACTCTAAATACCGCCCGTAAACTTGAAATAGTCATCCAATAGATATCACAATCTTACTAGTTTGTGATTTGAGTTCTTATCTTATACATACCAGATCACCATACTCCTGCTCCAGGCGCCTGATTTGTTGGGTGCTGGTAATCAAGCAGAAATACCATATATCGGCCTCGCTAACCCCGTTTGGTCCCCTAGCCCAGTATTCTTGATCGGTGCCTTTAAATCTTATACCTTTAACAGCATCTACCATTTCCTGAAAGTACTTGGCTTTCTCCTCAGAGCTATATGGTTTCCCATTCTGATCCACTCCAGGACTTTGCTGCGCAGGGAGCTTCAGAAGAATCACCCAGGGTATTGGTTCCGAATATTGACTTGAATCTGATCCGGCTTTACTAGTCGGGTCGGATCCAGTATCTGACCCGCCGCTTTCTTCAGTGTCTGAAGGCCATCGAGCAGATAGTTTCATACTTTTCTGGCTTCCCGATCTTGGCCATGATATCGAAAAGAAGGGGTATATGATGAGTAGAAGCAAGAAAATTCGCTGGTTCAACAATATTTTCATTCTCAAAGCTAGAGATTAACTCGCAATGGACACCAGGTCCGAATATATAAGCTAATTCTTAAATTGAAGAAGGTTTGCTTTGGGTATGAGATTAAAGGTTCGTGAGAATAATTGCAAACTGGATATAACTTTATAGAATTATAGAATTGGTAGAATTGACAAAAACTGATAAACTGCTGGGAATAATTGATTACGAGAAATTAATGTCACAAAGGGCACCGTCTAGCTATCGGAGTGTTTGAGTGTATAGGTAGGAGCTTAGGATATATACGTACATCATGCAATTGCAATTGATGACTAGATCGAAACGAGTTTAACAAAATATATCCGATTCATCCAACAACGTGCTAGGGTTTGTATAGCAGTGACCGGTCTCGCTTATACAAGACATCACAGGAGGTATGCGGGAACCAACTTTCAGTTTTAAATTATTAGTCTGGGGACGCTTTAAATTATAGAATGTATACTATACCTATAAAGTCTAGTAACATGCAACATGATATCCCTGAAACAAGGAGATGTGAAGAAAACTGGCTGTATCATATGATTATAAATATTAAAATATTTTACATCTCAATTGCATTACATCGCTACTGCACCTACATCTTTACATTTCGAGTCTGAGAATCCGTTGGATCCATTTGATTCCAACTCCCCATATTCAACATTAACGCCACAACTAATCAATAACTGTTGGCTAGAGATATCAACTGGTAAGCACCTAGCCCTTGATTAGGTCGGTCCATTCGCAGCTAAAAACACCAACTCGACATGTGAGTTTGGGGGCAGAACGGTGCTGAGGCCGGCGAACAATTGTACAACAAACATGGTGGTATGGTCTACGGGACTTTTTAGGCGAAGCCTTTAACGTTGAACAGACGACACGGCTGTACAACTAAGGCTGGTGCTTTGCCTAATCAGCCCGGTTATACCATTGATGCACTTGAGGTAATATAAGTACGTTTTTGGTTGATGCACAGCTAACTATGAACGATAGTATAGATAGACGCCGTTCAAACCTCAAGGTTTCAAGGGGCTCTTCCTAAAAGGCTTAGATATACATACTCTGCATCAGTTTTCATATGCTGCGCACGCGTATTGCTACAACAAAATTTTCAAATGGCTAACATGAATACATGATTTCAGAAAATCGAAGTTAATCTATTCCACGGATCTTTGTATGATGATGTGATTAGTGATTGTGGCAATATCTTACAACAATACAGATGCGAAAATATTGTGATAAAAGTAAAGCAAGCTAATGGATTATAGACGCGGTTAAATCATCGATCACGATAGCATAAATTCGATTGCGAGACCATGGCGCTGGTTGGTATTCATGTACCCTATATATCTTAGAACTACACACAAGCAATTTTAATTTCGTGTACCACTGTTCTAACCCGAATTAAGGTATCCGTCTCCGGACCACATTGCATTTTCTATCTCGATCTTCCCACAAATTCCTTTCATCATATCGGAGCTTAAAATTTGGTCTAAATTCTGGTTCAAATACCCATGATATATATAGCGTGTGAGTAAATTGATCATTAAACTTACTCTGATGTTTGCATCTTATAGCTTAGCATACTGGTACTATAGTTATAGCGTTATCTCGATCATTTTGAGAGAATATTCTGAGTTGTCCTGCGCAAGACTACTATTATATCTCCCTTGAACGGTAGGGTCTTTCGAAAATATGATAGTATTTCACCTTTTTATCTATCTACTAGCTCTTCATATCGAGTGGGCAGTTGCACCAGGAAATAACTACAATGATGAGTATATGGGTCATGAAGGTCTTGTTGAAGTCTTAGGAGGGGATATCAAAGTGTGGTGGTTTCTTCCGAGGACGGAATATATGAAAGACGAGGACTTTTTAGGAAAATTCAATACGGAACTAGAGAATTTTGCAGTGAAACATGGTGGAGAGACACGAAATGTTTATAGATCACATAGTGACCATATTGGGACCATCTTTTTCACCATCAAGCTTTTCCTTACTCATGACCCTGAAGAACTTTGGAATGCGCATAAAGACAATGTAAGATTCTCATAGCTTTCCCTAGGGAGCTTCAAATGCTCCCTTTTTAATTTTAAGGACACTAATGCAAAATAAATATATTTAGCTCTTATCATACGGTGAGGTGCCGTATTCTAGGGCTTCTAGGATCATGGAGCATGAGGACTTCAAAAAGGCTAAGGTCAAAGCCAAACTGAAAGCCAAACCCGATACTCCAAATCCGAAAGAGAAGCGAGATGAAAATATAACCTTATTACCAAAGTCAGCAGATTCAGTCTTCGAGCGAGCGGTCGACCTAAACGAAGTTGAAGTGCTAGAAGAGCCATTTGAGGACCTACAAAAAATGTCTCAACCTAAGGGTGCCCCCCTTTCCGAACTGCATGGCCACTACTACCGTAGAGCGGCAAAGGGACGAGGTTCAACAGTTTATGTAATTGATTCAGGAGCATGGGTCGGCGAGAAAAATAAGCACAAGGTTCGTTTTCACACCCTAAGCTATAGGTAAATGCTAACTCTGAAATTTTCACCGATTCTAGGAGCTATCAGAGATCCGACTTGTTGATTATCTATTCGCAGGACCGGTAAGTCTTTAAAAAAAATCCATTTCAAACAAAATTTGAAGCCCCCAGATCTATATGGTTGGATACTCATGTAACTCGAAGGATCCTGGATCCGATATGGTTGATAGTTGGTCGGAATTCTATCATGGGACCAAGGTATTGAGTAGAGTAGCTGGTCGGCGTTTGGGGACAGCGCCTCTTGCCAACATCGTTGTTGTCCAAGTTCTCAATAAATTTCAGTACCAAACAGTCGCTCATATGCTTGATAGCATTCTTAGGGCGTATGATCATATCGTCCAAACAAAGCCAAAGTTTGCCATCTTAAACATGTCCTTGTATTTTGCAACAGGGGATTTATCAGGAGCATACACATCTGGCGAAGGAAATATCATTCAAAAAATAAAAAAGGATTATGATTATCCCGATGCTAGCCCTGAGCAAGAAGCAGCCGGGGTATTGACGACACCAGAAGCGGTTATAAGGCTTTCGAGGTATCTTGCTTCGGAGATAGACAAGTTGGGAAATGCTAAGATCGTCACATGCACTAGCAATTATAAGGATGTATGTGGTTTTGGGGGACTTAGTGGTCTAGTAGAGTCCTTAAATGGTTTTGATGTAGCTGATCCATGTGCCGATGCCAGGCCCCCGACGGACTTTTACCAGCCAACGAAATGCTAGAATTTCCAAAAACTGTCGTTGTCGTTGGGTCCACCGGACTAGATGACAAAGCAATCTACCAGTACTGGGACCAAGTCAGGGTATATGCACCTTCAAGCAATGTCATGGTAGCATCGTTCGACGACGTTGATGACAGTCCCACTATACTACCAACCGACGGTGTATCATTCGGTATTTGCCCCCACCCCGTTCTTGTCGACGGATAGCGATCGCCCACCTATTTGGTATAGGAAGAGCTAACAACTGATATATGATAAACAGGCACAGGTACTGTCTCTGGAATGTTAGCAACATTCGTTTCGGAAGGTGTTCCTATAGACGATGCCGTTGAACACCTTTACAAGCTCGCTCATTCTAGGAAACCACCAGGGGTAAAAGACCCTGAAGGATACTATACTCCAATTGCATTTAATGGCGTGGAAAAGAGTGAGTGGCCCTCTACGGTTGGAGACCAGGAGGGTCTTGAGGAATATATTCTGCCCTGAATTTAGTATTAAAGTAGGATACAAATCCTCTATACACTCAAGACAGCGAGATGATTCGACAGCACGTGCGTGTTTGTGGCACTAGGGGTATAATATATCCTAGGATCGATTTAAGCAAATACCTCGGTAGTTAGTTAGGCAACTAGTAAGAATTATACAAATTTAGAAAAAAAATGGAGATATCGAAATCGATACGAATAATTATACCAGCTAGCCCCCAGATTCTGTTTATGGAACCCTAACAACTAGACTAGCACCTAGTATAGTATACCTCGCTGCTAGCTGCATGAATCTGTGTAAAAAATAAAATGCTTGATAAGATGATTGAACTTTGATCGATTGAGAGGCCTGAAGCTGGCTGCGTAATATTATATATTATACAATACGTATTAACTCAGCGTCGACGCGACACTGCACTGCACTGGCTCAAGCTTCACCAGCTTAGGAATTTTGGTGTTTTGCCCACAGTGCCGCCAAGGTGCCGCCGAGACAATAACCCATCCCAATCGGGAAATACATCGTGCAAAATTTACAACGGAATCAACACGGATATTGACTTTCACAAACCCGCACGCTTTGCAAGTTTGGAACCCTCATTGCCAATTACTAGATCCATCTACCAGAAAACTTTCCCTCATCTGATTACTTATTAATCCTTGTTCAGATTCTTCCCATATTATCTTACATCTAAAGCTATCTCTTTCTCAAACAACCCGCAAATTTACAACTTCTCCATCTTTTTTCCGTCGATTCCGTCCTTCATTGCATAGATCAAACCTTCGAATCGCATTTCCTTGAGGTAAAACTGCACCCCCAATCTTAGATCGATCGCGACCAAAGCCGAATTTCCTGATTTTCGGAGTAGCTAGTCTGAACTTCCCTCGGCGGCGTTAAAAATGGGCCCAAGCACAGTCGGAAACCAGGGGCAGAGCCAGGCCGACAGCTCAGAAACCCGTAAACCAAGTATACTCCTTCACCGCCTCTCCTCTTCCGGCCTGCAGTTTCCAGAAGTCCAAGGCTGACGATTGACAATGATAGGTGGCCAATCAAAGAAGTTTTCTGCCATGACGCTTCTGAAAATAATTGGGCTCCTCTTCTGCATCCCAATTTCCTACGTCCCGGACGCTGATATCGATGGGGTGGATGAACTCCTCAATGGATCCACTGAATCAGCTCCTAATCCCCCTGAGCAAGAAATTTTCGAGATTACGGTCCGAGTCGTTGACCACAAGAATGCAAGAGCCATTCTTAAGGGGGCTACTGAAGAGAAGAGTGTTGAGTTCTTATCAAGATTTGCAATATTCAACGCGCAATCGCCACTCGCCGATGTGGTGCTCCAGGCGGCATATTCCAAGAAGGTCGGAATCCATGTCGATGCCATATTTTTGGCACGAGGAACTGTCGTTGGCGGAAGCAAGGCTATTACTTGGAAGTTAGCAAGGACCATGTCTGAAATTGAAGACTATTTGGCCACACCGAATGATTTCAACAATACGGTGCTCATGGTTGGACATACCCTTGATAAGAAACAATGCAAGATGAGAGGATGGATGTTTGCAGCTGCCGGTTTATGCTACCCAGAATTTTCTCTGAGCTACCAAGAGCGAGGAACAACGGACCTTGAGCATGCGAAAGGAATTAAGTTGGGGGATCGTCTCAATAAGCAATTCCAGGCGGGACACCTATTCAGCATGGAACTAGGTGGACCTGCCAATACCTCCCAACCTCGCGAGGCAGCAAGGATTCCAACCGACCACAAGGCGCCACTGCCTGAGGGATTTGAAGAAGCCTTGAAGTTCAGAGGCATCTTCGTGCCGAAGAAGGAAGCACCAGTCAGGCCGGAGGGTCGAAAAGCTGATGGTCCAATATCTGTAGATGATTACAGCTTCACAGGAACATACCATGAAAGTGGGAATGGGTTTATTTATACCCCGAGCGACGAAGATCGGCGTATGCTCGGCTGGGGACGTGGCTCTTAGATTGGTTAGCTCATCCACAAGTACCATAGGAGCTCATTGTCACACGCTCACCATTCATAAGTTCACTCGGATAGGCGACAAACGACGGAAGTTTCTTGCCCCTCTTTTCTATTATTTATTTTTGTCTTTGGAAAGTTCTCAGCATTGGTTCTTTCACCCCTTGGTATCATAGACATGTTGTTTCTTTCAAGGCCCTCTCGAGAACTCAGGCATTTATCAAAGCGGGTCACCTCCTTTTGTCCAATTTAAATCTACAAGGATATTCCACAATAAATCGCTTCCTTTAACATCAGCTAGATAGCGTTGAACGTCTATACAGAACTGGATTTTAATCTATGCTAAGTTGCAAACTTCGCCTCATCCTCACAACGGTTGGTTTCGCTGTGGTAGTTAACCGTATACTAGTATACTATAACATCTAGAATCGGGTACCAGTTGTGGTACTCTCAATTGATCAAATATACGCGTATGGATGCTGAAATTAGTATGGATTTTCTTGATATTCTTGATTACAAAACGGTATATGTAGTACCTATATATAAAGGTATTTTGACATGATGTCGGGGAAAGGGGAATTGAGAACATGACAAGATCTCCTAAACTCATTTTATATTGCACAGCCACTTTAGTAAGCGAGCATCAAGCTAGCACCAGGATACAATAGATGATGCTGTGGCGATGTTGTAGTGTGGTAATCCTAGACGTACTGTGTCATGTTTCAATGGTGTAAGAACGTCAAAATAACCCCAAAGGCCTCAAATTAAGCCCAAGAGGCACGGCACAGAGACCCATTCGCACTTTCCACCCATTTCTCTGAGCCAACGCAGTTGAAACAATACAATACACCGTTTGGGTCAATTTTATTTTTGAATGAAAAAAGGCGCGGGTAGTTGGAGCCCCAGTTGGCGGCTTGCCATCCCTCGCTTCCATACAGTGCCTGGTCATATTGAAAGTTAGTTTGTTCTAGTTATTTAATGCCAACATGGTTACACAACCTAACCGTACCTCGTTGAGATATTGTCCTGTTTCTGGGGCAAGTTTTCGAAGGTTATATTCGAGCACATTACGTGCGTGGTCAACCACGGCATCTCGAAGGTCTGGTGTATCCCAGCCAGTTGCGGCAACTAAAAACTTAGCAAAGTATGGTCTTCAGCGTGAATATTGGTGGCACTCACTGAAATGATTATATGTTCGCCTCCAGGCGGGGTTCAGCGCCATGTCAACGTTTTTGTACTGCGCGACTCCAGGTCCTCCAACAATATGGCCAAGGTAAGCACCAACATAGGGACTCCACATCTTTTTCAAGGTAGCAGCGAAAAATGTTGGGTCTTCGGTTAAAGCTCTAGCATCGAGGAGGCGGCTAGGTAGAACTGCGGTGCTTCCTGCCCGTTCAGCACGGAAAAAGTTGACAAAGTAAGTCATGAAGTCTGGGAAAGTGTATGTCTGTTGGTCGTAGATAATATGATCTTTGTATTTGCCATTGGTAAGGTTGGCGTAAAGTGGTTTGAGTATGTCTGATGCTTCCTCAGCAGTGCCATTAACCATGGTCAGAGCAGCAGCCCAACCCACTTTTCCAGTCCCGTTGTCGAAAATGAAAGAGTAGCCCATAAGACCTGCCTCTGAAATACGAGGGATGTCAGAATGAACGTATGCCATCCAATCCCACCAAATATCAGTGTCGTCAGACGTAAGAGTGAAGTTTTGACTAAGAACTGTTATTGGCTGTGTCGGATATGTTCTAATCGTTGCACTTGTGACTACGCCAAAGGTGCCGCCACCTCCCTGTAATTATTTAAGCCGGTTGGTCTCAGCATAGATCCCAAGTTGCGATAATTTCAATAAATGAAGGGCCGACTCGGTTTGAACTTACACCTCGCAAAGCCCAGAAGTATTCGGAATTCTCGCATTCATTGGCTGTTATATATTGGCCCGACGGCGTGACAAGATTTATTTCGAGGACTTGATCTACAGCCATGCCGTATTTACTGCCGATTGGCGAGTGGCCCCCACCTTGCATGAACCCTCCGATACATCCAACGGTCGGATTACCTCCAGTGACAACGAGTTTGCCATGTGGGTGGGCCAGAAGAACCAAATCTTTCCACTGCATACCAGAGCCAATCGTGACCGCCGAGTGGGCTTTGGCTTTAGAGCACTTTTTCGGTTTGAAACTTTCTGTGAAATCAGCATCCCGCATGTAGTGGGTCCAGATACTCAGCGAATGTGCACCGGATGATCTATGAGAAGATATAATTAGCGGGCTAGTTCAAAATAACAGTAGAGAATGTACGATGGTGCAAGTTGACTTACCGGCCGAGGAATTCATGACCGGTGTTTTTGACGATCAACCGAATGTTGTATTTTTTCGCAAACTTTACACCAGCTTCAACCTGGCTGGGGTTGGTAGCATTGATAACGTAGACTGGTGACCCAAGAAGTGTATTACAGGTTCCATTTGCTTCGGCCCCGCCGGTAGGAGGGCATGGATTTCCATTCCAGCCGGGCTGCATAACATTGAAAGGAGATTGGGTAATCCAAGTATGATACTTGGATTCCTCACTGATCTTTTCACAGGCTTCCTTGTCGTATGCAGGGCCCTGATAACAGACAATTCCTGGGGGAACCGTTTTTAGGAGGGCACCATTTGTAGTCTTATTAAGCCGCGACCAGGCGTGAGAGTCTGGCCAGCATCGCTGAGAAGGCTGGCATTTGCAGTCGTCAAGATTATTACCAGTAGCCTCAGCAAATATCCTTAGAGACGAGAGATAGGTCAAAGACGTTAAAAATTGCATTGCCGGAATCGGAAACTTTGGGAGCCTCATTTTGTAGAATTAGGATTGATTTGCCTGAGTGCTTTGGTCTAGCAATGGATTTTTTAACTCACAGGACGTCCTGTTCCCTCTGCCTTTATATAGCCCTAGTCTATGACTAGAACATCGGGATTTTCCCTAACCAAGTTAATATCGAAGTACGCTCGTCACAATTCGGGCGATGTATTCGTCTCACGAAAAACGTTATGTTCATTGAAACACCGTCCGCAGCGGTCGGAGCAACGGGCTATTATATCATATCCAGCGGTCTCAAGGCTGTAAGCCTGGCGGATTGTGACGAAAAGAGTAAAGCATTAATACAATTGTGTTAATCAATTTCCCAATGGAAAATTAAACCTACGCACTAAGGACAAGTTAGAGCCAAATCTAAGTAAGTCTGTCACGTCACGGCACCACTCAAGATCAAGGACGGGGGCCCGTCGCGAATCGGATGCCGCTACTTAGAAATGTGACTGAGATTCAGAGACTCGGTTGTGGGCTTAGGCCGCCTTGGAGGGTGTCGACTTACTTGGCAATCGAGAGCTATGCATTATGTGCTACAGGCACGAAGTTGTCGAGATCCCCCTCAACAGTAATTTAAATGTATAGACGATGGTCGATTACGCATACCCATGCATACCCATGCGATGGGGGCTGGCATGTTGTCGCCTCGAAGTCCCAGACGGAGGCGCAGCTCGTCGCTATTAACGTTATAAACGTTATGCGGCGCAGGTCCCAACACAAGGTAAATCTCCACGACTCCACCATGTGCACCACGGTGGTCGAAAGCTGGGAACAAAGCACATGCATGTATCCAGATATCCCAGCTAATTAATTCCAATGTTCCTAAGCGATATAAACCAGCTCGGGATAGCTCTACCCTAGAATTTAAAAGTAACGCGGGTGCCTTGCGAATAATTGGATTCGAATTCTAAAATTGCAGCTAGAAGCTTAAGCTTTGCAATTCTAACCTAATCGATTAATCTCAGACAAAATACGCAGATTTATATATATATGTCATATGATCAGTGCCCTAGCTCTAGCTCTAGCTCTAGCTCTCTATATACTGCGGAATTATTATATTAATATAACCACGGCTTCAATGTAAAAGATTTATATTTTAGCGCCCAAACTATTGATTACCGTGGTAAATTATTACATTGATTATACTAACAACTTAAACTCGCAACTAGTATCTATATATATTTTTTTGAAACATAGATCCTGTAGGGATAAAGGATCCTAGGAGGTGTACAGTTGGTGTATATATATACGTATACGATATAAAAGATGTAGGAACATAAAAGCTATAGCGCTAACTGCATGCCCGCCACAACCGGTTAACCAGGTCGTTGTAGGAGAGTTAAATTTACTACATACACAGCAGCTGGTATTCAAGGAGTTATCGGGTCGATAACATAGATGCTGCTGGGTAGCTGCGCGCGGAATCCTATTTGCACAAGTTGATCCGCTTACGCACATCAACCAAATCTGTTTCATCTGCATTAATGCATTAACCCGTTGGCATCTCCTAATGTTTGCACTGAGGCACTGCAACGGCCTACATCGCAACTCGGGAGGTTAGTACTCTCATTTTCTAGCTATGTATGCGTATATGGTTTATAAACCTTTTCGCTGTACTAATTCAGAATAATATGCCCGGTTCAAAAGATAGAGCCGTAGCATACATTAAAACCGAGTTCTCTTGTATAAAATGTCACCTAAAGCCCCTCTTCTGAATAGCAGCTAGCGCAATTGCTTCCTTAGCTAGTCATCTAAGTGAGTACTCGAAGAGTATTCCACTAAACATACGAGTACGTAATGGTGTACAAGGCTCTGTTTCTAGATCCCATGGAATTAATATCACTGTTGTATAGAATCCGCCATGATTTACTACAGACTCCTTACGAATACCTATATGCTACTGCTAGCAAGTCAACTGTTACGATATTCTGAAGGCCTTCCACTAGAGCAAGAACCTTCAAGGAGAGACCTAATAGCCCTAAGAGGGCTATCTATCAACAACGATACGACACCTTTACGACCTCTAATTAGGACGATACCTTCCCCTCTTCCTACTGAAAGATCTGAGAGCCGCACAGGTAACGCTTCGAATGTGCTAGATGCCAGAAAAGGTGGTGGCGCCAGACCACTTTACACCGCAGAATTAACAACCGCATGCTTGAGTTTCCGAGATCTTCTACGAATAACACCGGAGATGTACAGGGAAAATGATGCCGCGGATGGGTGGCGAGCTTTCCCCATTACAGCGAACTATCCAGACTGGAGAGAGATGTTAAGAAAGATTGGTAGAAAAAATCTACGGTGGTATGTGGATTTCCATGTCGAACAGTGCCATGAATGCGAATGCAAAATCGGAGAAGCAGACGATGGGGGATTCTGGCAGTTAGAAGCGAGCGGTACGCCTGGCTGCCCAGATGATAAAACTGCTCGGGGCTGCCAGTTGATTTTCGGTAATTCCTCCTCTTTCAGAAAACCTTTACGCATTCTCTGTCTCTCACCCTAGCCATTAAGATATCTACTAATCTTTTTATTCCAGGCTGCTACTGTTTGGAAGGGTTATTTGACCCATCTGAAGGGACCCCGGGCGTATTGCTCGAAAGGGTTGGTCACCACCAATATATCAAAGGGGGCAGGCATAGAGTAGATGAAGAGAGAGCGAGGCAGCAAGAAGAGGAAGCCAGGCAGGAGTGGCATATGGAGTCGGAGGCGTCAAGGCAACTTGCGCCCGACACTGCAGAGCCATTTATGCTTGAGGGTCCAGACCCCCATTTTGATGACAATGGCGGAGAGGGCTCTAGTACGGGTGCGACCCGTTGGGCTGTAGACTCCGGGCGAAATATGCCACCACCTCAGTGGGGTTATCATCTTCCACCGGATTTAATAGAAACTGAAGAAGAAGAACTTGAGGATAGTCGACGCAGGTATACTTTCGGCGAATGGGGTGGCCATGGACTATCTGGCCCTTATAATTTTAAGAGAAGCCTAGAAAGTATACCAAAATTAAACGATGATGGTTCGGAAACCACTCACAAATATATCTCACATTGATCAATTGAAATGTGCTTTCTTCAAGCGACCTTTGGACAGTCTTTAGGGAATATCTGCAGTCACTTCTTTATCTTTATTTTGATATCGCTACGTGCGCTATAATCATAATTGTTATGGCTAGTCTCTAGTCTTCTACCAGTTATGTATATGTATATAGTTCGCGTTGATGTTGCATTTTGGGAATTTGATGAGCTGTGGGGGCGCTCATGCTCGCGCCCGTTCGCTGGGAACGAACATGCGGGGATATCGGATCGAGTAATTGGCTGCGGATTTGTACTTAGATTTTGAACTTGTTCGAATGTTCCCTCACGGCCTCAAGGCCGTAATCTCGTTACCGTAACTTCGTATATACCATTGCTCTGACTTTATACCTTTCGACGCGTAAAGCCGATATAGTTAATTTTATTCTCCTAGTTACTAGTATTATATACTCAAAACTCGTCAGATGCAATGGATATCGCGATAAAGTCGTAGTCAAATATTATCGGAATATAATCGCGCCACACGGTCTGGATTTCCCGCCGCCGTGGCCGTCTCTCGTACGTTACCAGATTTCGGAGTTCGGATAATCATAGTATGCGGTGTTAATGCCAATTTTGCCGGCCTTATTCAAATTCCCACACTTTTGAGGGTATTTGAATTCACTGGCATGAATCGTTAACGTTGCGTTACACGGTTATGGCTGAAATCTACGTATTCAAGATCTCCCGATCGTGTCTTAACGTCTTCAGCCATAAATGCATACGTCTTGGCGTGCTACTAAGATCTTGGTTGACTTTTTCGATGAGGTGATTCTGGCTAGCGGGAAATAGTTTTCCTGCCCACCCTTTCAGTTTACCTGACCAGGGCTGAAGAAAGCCCCAAAACCAGGATACCTGCCTTCAAAAGCTTGCGTGGGGAGACCTTTTGGCTGGTCAAAAGGGCACATGGACAATGCCAGTTCTGCTCTGCACCTTTGAAACCGGTATAATCGGTATAAACGGCAGCATTCCAAGTGGAGAAAATTTCAGGGGCGATAATAGTTTATATTAAATCGACACTTTTAAGTAATATAGGCAGGCCCCACCGAGATAAAGAGGGTTAATCAGTGCTTGGCCTGCATGGTACGACCTTTCTATTGCAACTATCTCTGCGCTGCGATTGTCAAGTCGTACGTTCGTCGATGAAATCCGTTATTCCAGTTCTCTTGGTCTGCATTTACTGGACCTTGCTGCTGAGGCGGTAGGCTGCGTTTCCGCTCGCTTCTATCCTTTATTTCCTTTCGATCCTTTTTTAAAACGTTTAAAACGAGAACTCGGCCCACGCCGCTTTTTTTCCAGAATGGATTCTGTAAAGGAACTACCCGATTTATTCAAGAACTCATCGCCTACCACGATGCGTCGGTTGCGGACTTCCTTCTTAGCGTTTTGCTTGACGACGCTGGCGGTGTCGATGTATCTTCTTTGGAACTATGGAGCCACTCTTCCTCGTGTCTTCCATGGCATTGAAGACGTCGATGACAGCGTCCAAGGAGGTGTTTCTGTTGATCCAGCCGCGACGAATACTCAGAGTATCGATATCACATCATTATCAACATCAATCGTCGCCCCAGAGTCCTCGTCAGTTCCCGCGCAAGACTCTCAGTCAGATAAGGGAGCTGGATTAGATGAATCAGGCTCGACACATCTTCCGTATTTCGATCTTGTCTGGTGGCTTCGTTCAATTGGTCGTTTCCCCGGAGAACCTTTAATCTTTATGATTGCCAGCAACGCCGAGATGGCCTTAACCTTCAACATGCACGAGACATTTGAAAAGTACGGGAATGAAAATAACTTCTTTGTATTGTGTCTAGAGAAGGCATGTCTTGATGCCCCAGAGATTTTCACTTACGATGTTGTCGGTATGAATAAGAACTCTGTCAAGGTAAGGAAAGCCCTTTCATTCCGATCCGAGCTCTTGTAGAACCTGTCGGTCCCCAACACAATTAAGCCGTTTTTTTAACTAAGATTCTTGTAGATTGCTGCAAGCGCCCAACTGTTGAGGGAAAGGTTTAGCTTCGTCTTCATAGACCCTGATGTCTATCTTACGGGATCTATTGACCCATTTAGCGTTATGCTACCGTTGAGCGATCCCGACTGGGACATTCAGTTTTTCCCAGGCCCTGCCAGGGGAGCAAAGGGAATAGACGCCAGCTTCTTCTACGCCCGACCAAATGAACCAACCAAGGAATTCTTCAAAAGAGTAAAAAAGAACTGGAAGGAATCCGGGGACCAGGATCTCAACAGTCTTATGAACGTCATGGCTTTTGAGATGTTCAGCGGAGACGGAACTTTGAAGATGAAGATCCTTGGTTCTAAAGAGTTCAGAGGTTGGGGGGACATGATCGAATGGGAATCAAAGAACTATAACAACTACGCTGCTATGAATATCATTCAGAATGAAACTGCGGTCGTCCATATGACATGTGTCGAACCTAGTCTTCGCAGCTACATCGCAAGGAACTTTGGCGCTTGGTATGATGTTGAAAGTTACTACAGTGGAAAACGCAAATTCCTAGCAGTAAAGGGGTTGGAAGGCGACGCATCTCACGCTTCGAAGATAATCGGGTTCGCCGCCAAAGTCGCCATGGACAGCTATCGAACGCTCATCTTTCCGTCATCCGCTATTTTAACCCAAGCTAGAAAGAACGCGCAAACAGGGGCGTCGGACTACGTAACCGTTCCCGAATTTCCAGCTTATAGAATCGTCAACCCGTCCAGCTTGTACCCTCTAAGCCTACGCCTTGTGGAAGCTACGTATTTAAACAACAGGGCACGGTATACGGATGAGCATTTGACCGAAGATACGATAATAATGGGCAACGGCCATTCAGCTAAAGATCCGACTACTGGAAAACCAGTGGTCGTCAAGACTGTTCTCGATAAAGCGAAAGTCGACATTATCTGGCTAGACATGGGCAGCGGAAGGTGGTGGGATCTCGACGCCTCCGGTGCAATGGCTTCATACACTAGGGAGGTGCAGAATGTCATCAAAACGTGCAGCAATGCCAACGAGGAATTCTTCGAATGCGACAAGAGATGCATATAAAGCTATTTTTTATTTGGTTAGGGATTTTTCTTTTCTTTTCATATGGGTCATTTTCGGGCATTTTTAGCGATATATTTCTTTTATTTGTTCTAGAGGCTAGAGGGACTACCAAAAAACATAATGTTCATAGAGAAAGGCACGCAATGAATCAAGCATAAACACAAATGGCTACTATTCCGCGGGGAGGGCCTTCTTAGAACCCTCCCTCAATTATTCTTACTGTCATTTGTTACGGAAGCTGGCCTAGCCGTTGAGACCCACGGATGTGTGCTTCCTACTTCTGTGATTTGCCAACGAATGCTAAGTATTTACTCGAATGTGCAGGATTTTTGCTTACGATATAATATGCTCATCTGTACTTTCATGGATCCACCTCGTTTCTCGAAGAAAGTCTGTGCCATGTTAAAGTTCAATTGCATTAATTGACAATAATGTATCCGTGAAGAGAAGTGAAAGGTGATCGCCTCATAGAATACCAAAAACCCGGATAAACCTGTTGACTAGGAAGGACATCCTACTGGCTTCACGCTGCATTCTACTGTGTGGTACGTCTGCTGAAACACCACCTAAAGTGCTATCATCCAGGTTTGTTGAAGCTCATGTGATAGGAAAATCAAGGTTGTGCAAGGGGGACACCAAACACGCCATTGAGAGGAGGTGGTCATAGCGTCTTTTGGAAGGACCTGAATGGTGGGTCTCCACTGGACTTGCACGTATTGAGGCAGGGGCAGCAAGGGTTTAAGTTCGGATCAAACCGTGCAGGGCGACTTGCGAGAATATGAGTTTTCGCGGTCGCGTTCTTCAGCAGCTTGGTGAGACTAGAACTTGACATCCTGCGGTTCCTTGTATTCTCCTCTGCTTCGTGTAATTTAATAACCGTGTTCGTAAATTTGAGGATAATTTGGTTCAATTACTACATCTTAAAACTACCGAACAGTCCATTAATCCTCGAATAGTCTGCAGTCGCCAGTTGCATTGTGATTTCATTCGTTCGACCGTAGCAGCATTGAGTGTGGCCTTCAGGACGGTAAAGGACTAAACAACTTACCCAATTCTGAGCGAAGGTCAGCTGTCGTATTAATGGAGTTAAGAGAAAACCCTCAAAGAACAAATTGTTTCCTTCGCTCGGGGGGTTAACCTACATTTGTAGAAGATACTTTAGTGGTTCACATCAATTCATCACTTGAATTCTTCAAGTGTTAAACCCTAATTTGTGAGCACAGCCCCCCAATCCAAAAGCCATGTCGCTGGTTCAGTCCTTACTAGGTTCTTGATGCAGTATCAACGGAAAACCTGGAAATACAAAAGCGACAAACCAGGAACACACCGACTGGACTATATCGCAGGCTGTTATCACCAGACACCAGTCGTCATCAGGGACCACGGTTTTTGAGCTTTCTTCCTGCGGTGCTGCAGGGACCGGGGGAGTAATCAATTGTGTCTGGATGCAACGCAATCAACCATGGGACTACGGTTGAATTTAAGACCCCAAGTCCTTAATGCTCTGGACTATGTATGTGGATGGAATAGTGGGTTCTGTTATAGGTTCTGACTTTTGGGGCGGTAGTGCACTTTGGGCTGCGAAGAAGAGATAGTATAGCCGATTCCGTTCTGTAAGAATGGCCGTGCGGAGAAGCGTTATATTTTGGAGCTCCGACAATATCGGCTTCCCGAAAATATATCGCCACCGTTAATGTCTTATTCTTCAATAAAGTTATATCTCTTCGTCAGCCAAGAATAACGACTTTTAATATCGATCGATAAGGATGTAATGATGAAATATTAGAATTACCTGATAGAGTTATCAAATACTGAAAGGCATCGAATCATTCTGCCCACAATTGTATCGACGTACGGGCGAATACGGACTCTAAACCTTCTCAGGAAATCTTGAAGCTTTGCTATCTACGCATGCAAGACATATTTGATAATACAAATGTGAAAATTCTCGACTTTTAAAATTTTTGGCGCCCCATTGTCGGATTTTCTCTCGGCAGATGTTCCTCGAACTCCTCACCCTAAGGTCAGAGCTGAATATTGGGGCCTGTGCGGAAGCTTTACACTAACCGTAAATGGAAAGCTTCGAGAAGAATTTTCACCATGGTAGACCTTCTAGCGCCTTTTTCTAGAGCATTTTATTGGGTGCTGCCTTTATTGTGTTTCCCCTCAGCCAGGGATCTAGAATCTCCACATATCTCGAAGTGAGACCTCAAGGCCTCGAGGCCGACATTGCCTCCGGCGGTTAAGCTTTTTACTGTAACGTCGTGAGCTCATACACATTATCAGACGGAACGGAGACTTGGTCGGTCGACAGGAGAAAATAGGAGCCAAAGGCAAAGACTTATAACGACGAAACCAGAAGTGTCGTGAGTCTGTGGGGTCTAGTCGTCGAAAGTGGGGAAGCGAGAGGTTGGAGACGAAGCTAAATTAATTCCCTGTGTTACATCAAAATAATCCCACAACGTCTGTAGATATGTGTTGGTTTACTGAAGATGTAAATTGATTTGGCTGTTCGATATACATGATTATTGCATCGTTGTATTCCGTAGTCACATCTCATGGTATATTTAGTATATGTATACATGATCCTCGCTTCACGTTCATGTGCATGTAATTAAGCACCTCCAAAAATCTACAGATCAGCGCAGAGATCAATATTCTATACACGGGAGGACATCGCATGATTTCAATATCGCTGGTGGTACAAGTCTCCGGCCTAGCGGGTATGACATGTCGACATCTCATTGTGCATCCTAACTACCGCATGGACGAGGATAACTCCATGATCCCCAATTGCTTTGTGCCTGGTCTCGAGGCTACCATTCGCTGCAGGATTCGGAGGCCAACCCGGACTTGTCGAAGATTGGCAACAGCCTAGCCAAGATCGCAGAAAATGTTTCCGCGCTTGCGACCTTTTGGGCATGGGTTTTTCTTTCATTCTCGATATTATCGGGTTTCAGTCTCGGTAGCTAATTCGGCGGTTTCCACAACTTTATCTTAGGTCGAAATGGGTACCATTGTTAAGCGATAGTTCGCCAAAGTTACCATTCGACACATTGTAATCGTGGGTCGTCAACCAAAGATAGCTAAGCCTTTCGACAGAGTTTTCGGGGCTTTTTAGTGTGATGCATGCTGCATGGGCCAGGGACTAAGGAATCAACTACCTGTTTCCTTATCCTGCATCTGGGGAACTCTCCCACATGGCCACCACCACTACTATCTTCATGATGGCAACTGAGTTTTCCTGAGACTTTGGGGTTTTTTGGGGTTGCGGGGGACCCAAACGACCTTCGACTAACAGAGGGTAGCGTAGGCCGCTACACCTGGGGATGGTGACTTCTAGTTTCTCCGGCCGACGATAATTTCCCCAATCAAGGAGGTGGTACTGATATCATGACGATGTATAAAATGACCCTCAATTTCTCGCATGGTATCTTTTTTTTTCTCCATCAGCATCGGCAACAGCGGCTCTTCTCGGGATTGCAACATTGGCTTTATAGGACGTATTTGGTTTTAAAATCCTATATATTATTTCTATAAATCTATATAGGGACCTCGAGTCTTCCAGTACAAAAGCCCGTCAATCCGATTTCAGGCAGACGTGCTGCTTCCTAATCCGTCGCCCTTCTCGAGATCAACATTCCGCGCACATATATAAGCCTTATACCAACACAGTCCATTTATCTTCTAATAGATATATCTCAACAATGGCTGGAGGTGTCCCAATTGTTGCGCGCGCAGCCGCGAGCGATAGAGAATTGACTGGTGCAGCGGCATTGACTCTTAGACAGTCCTTGCTTCCATGCGCTCTTGTTACTACTCTTTTCTTCCTCTGGGGTTTCGCATACGGCCTTCTAGATGTTTTGAACGCCCATTTCCAGAGTGCTTTAGGCATCACAAAGAGTCAGAGCTCTGCCCTGCAGGGTGCATACTTTGGCGCATACTTCTTGTTCCCTCTGCTCTTTGGTGGGCCAATATTGCGACGATTCGGTTACAAGGTTACTTTCATGACTGGCCTTATCATCTTTGGTATTGGATGCTTTTGTTTTTGGCCCTCTGGTATCTACTCGTCTTTTGGTGGGTTCTGCGGGTCCATGGCTATTGTTGGATGGGGTCTGTCGGTAAGTAAACTCGAAATATCCGCAATGAAATTGTAATTTCTTATAGTGGAAGCATAAAATTAATGGGTTATTCTAGACACTCGAAGTATCGGCGAATCCATACCTTGCAACTTGCGGTCCTCCAAAGTATTCCGAAATCAGACTATCAACTGCTCAGGCTGTCCAGGCTACTGGAACCGTCGTCGCACCAGTTCTCGGCTCCTATGTCTTCTTCAAGAATACTGAGGATCTTAACTCTCTCAAGAACGTCCAATGGGTCTATCTCGGTGTTGGAGTATTCGTCTTCTGTCTTGCTTTCGCATTCTTCTTCGCCCCAATCCCAGAGATTACCGATGCGGATATGGAACTCCAAGCCACTTCTGATGAGCTCTCCCAGGAAGTCGAACCTTTGAGGAAGCAAATTACTCTTTTCTGGGGTGTTGCAGCTCAATTCTGCTACGTCGGTGCCCAATGCGCAGTTGCAGGTTTCTTCATCAACTACACTCTCGAAACCGGCCGTGATCATGCAACTTCTGCAAATCTTCTCGCCGTCGCTCAAGGTCTCTTCGCCATTGGTCGTTTCGCCGGTGCCGCAATGATGAAATTCGTCAAGCCTCGTTATGTTCTTCTTACTTTCCTCATCGGAACATGCGTTTTCTCCATACTGTCCATGAACATCGGAGGAACAGCAGGTCTTTCATTCCTCAACGTCGTCTTCTTTTTCGAGTCATGCTGTTTCCCACTTATCTTTACTCTCGCTATCAAGAAGCTCGGTCGTCATACTAAAATCGGTGCTTCTTTCCTCGTTTCTTCGATCTCCGGTGGAGCCGTTTGGCCACAAATCCTCGCACAGGTTGCAGACCGTAAATCGACCCATTTTGCTATGCTGGTCCCATTTATCGGATTTGCTTTGGCGACTACTTTCCCAGTTTACGTCAATCTATTCCAGAGGGATCGCATGGACATCGCATTCGAGACAGTTACGCCTGCACGCGACGTGGAAGAGAGGAGCATCGACGACGAAAAGGTTCACGTTTCTATGAAGGAGTAAAAATGAGATATTTATTGTATAGCCGGTTGAGCCAGCGTTGATTGTTCCGCTGAGCTTTTCTTTTTAAATATCCATCGAGACTAGGGGCTAGGAATTTATGAGCTATGAGCGGTTAGCGGATTTCCTTTTTAGTTATGATATGATCGAAGGGTTAGTGAACGTTTTGTATATATCTCTCATACTATATATATTTCCTGTTTAGATCCTAGGCCGAATTGCATTTAGCCATAGTCTATACACCATGAATTTATCGATAGATCTACTATCTGTCATTTCTACCTATGCTTTATCTTAAAATAAACTCGATAAGTAGTTCTCATTTGTAGGCTTAAGTACCCGATCCCCATAAAGATACATACAATTCGAGCACCGGTATTTCACTATTTATAAATTAGTTGATATCGATATCGATACCCCCCTTCTAAAGCCTTGTCTACTATTGAAACCATACAATTCCCACCAGCAATACAATGCAATGCTGTGTAACACAAGTTTTCTAGAGCGACGTCGCGACGATATAATCCAAAAACGTCAGCTTCAATCGAAGCTAATCGGCGAATCAAATATATACTTCTCTTGGGCCTAAATATGGAAATCATATACCAGAAAACGGCTGTTATCCGCCTGCCAGACTACCCCCGTCCTACCGCTTCCCGTCATTTTCCTTCCTATCGGCCTTCGGGAACGTCATCCCGTCTACAACACTCCAACCAAAAACCACACGCTCAACTCATTCCGGCGGTCCCTGCGCCAGACCTTTCCTTCTTCGCCCCACACCACCATACGTCATCCTGCGTCTTCTTTTCGCCCAGAAGAAAAGAGAAAAAAAATCCTGTGAGCTGAACAGTACATGTACATGAACCCGCGCTGCTGGAATGCAGGTCTTTCTATATTCGTAGAAAAGAAACCCTGGGGGAGAACATTAACCCCCCAGTATGCATATGTATGTAAGTACTTACATCTGCTGTTTCCAAGGAAGTGCTTGTGGGCAAAAGTGTCAAAGAAAAAAGCTTAGGGTGATGGTGGAATTTCTGCAGTTTGAAGGGATCCGCTCCCTTGTACCGTCTCCGCTTTTTTGGCCGGTTCCTTGGGTGCGGTTTTGGTGAGAGACTATCTATAGATACTTCCTTTTAAGTACATTCTGGTTGCATATTTATTCTAACCGCATACCGTCATTTCGTGTACTTTTTAGATCTTTGTTTTTTCTGTTTCCTCAGCTTTCGGGTTTTTTCCCCTTCTCCCTCTCCCTCCTTTGCGGGGAGGCACCTTCGCTAAACTACTACTTACCCATCTTGTGATATTTTAGACACGACAACGCTGCCAAACATTGCATTCCAACCCATTTTTAAACGACCTCAACCATCATCTCACAAATGAATCGGTAGCACAGGCGGGAAAATAAACCTAGCACACCAAAAAAAAAAAAATAATCGAAAAAAAAAAGAAATGAACGACGCAGGCGCCGACGAGGCCATTAAAGATCTGGCTGAGTCCCACGCAAGAGAACCCGACCTCAACCGATTCCTTTCTCCCACATATAATCACAACAACAAGCGGTCCTCACGTCCTAACAGTGAGACGAGTTCTGTTAATAGTGTTCCGACACAGAGTTCTCAGAAGGACAATGTAGGAATAGGACCGTCAAGGCCGCCACATAGGACGTCTTGTTTTTGGGAGAGATTTAGTCATGATTCGAGAGAAGACGAGGAAGAGGAAGTTGAAAATGTGAGGAGAAGTAGGAGTGGGGATGCTGGGCTGGAGACAAGGGGTCCTGACACTAGAAATGGAAGTACAAATTCTAGCTCACCGATGAGGGAAGTTGAAGGAGATTTGGCGGGGCCAAATGTGGGTGGGGATGAGGAAGAGAATATTAGAGAGCTTCAAGAGATGGAGAGAAAGGGAGAAGAAGATGAGCAACTACCCGGGTAAGGCTATACTAACTCGAAACTACAGGCTATGATTGTGATATGTGAAGAAAATAAGCTAAATGCTAATTTACAAATTTGATGTTATAGGGTGTACTTTTTTCTAAGCACGGCGTTCCCTTTAATCTCAGCAACATTAGGACCTATAGCGAATGTAACGTCAATCTGTGCCTTAGCCGTGCCCTGGAGTGAGTAAGATACATTTCATTAGCATATATATCAAAGTAAACGAATTATGACTAATGAATTCCTTACAGGAGTTTATATTCCTCCAAACTCGTTCTCCCCGCTTGACGACAGTTATAAAATCTCGGACCCTACTTGGTCGTTAGCCCTAAACGCTGTGTCCCTTGCCTGCGGGTTTGCAGCAAACATAATACTCCTCCTAAACTTGTCCAGGCGCATACGATCCGCACATCTCCAACCTATCACAATCACCCTCTGGTACTTAGCTTCATTTTTACTTATCGCCCTCCTAGCCTGTTACCGCCAATATTTGTATTCCGTCCCTCGAGAAAATCACACTTGGAGCCAAGCATTCTATTATGGCATCATCGCCGCATCACTATACTTCCTTATTGCGACACTTCTAGTCGGGAATTATATTGGCGTATTAACTGGGAAATATGCGAAACAGTTCACCTTGACGATAGCGCAGCGCACGTTAATGTTACAAACTATGAGCCTGATGGGGTGGTTATGCCTCGGCGCTGGTGTTTTTGCAAAACTTGAGGGATGGGCGTATCTCGACGGAATTTACTTTTGTGATACGACGTTTTTGGTCATAGGGCTGGGGGATTATACGCTTACCACGAAAGCCGGACGAGCTCTGTTATTCCCGTATGCTACGATTGGGATTGTAACTGTTGGTTTGATCGTTAGTAGTATTCGAGGGTTGGTTTTAGAACGAGGGAAGAGGAAAGTGAGAAGAAGGCTTTTAGAAAAGCAGAGAGAAGTCATTGTTGACGGTGGGGAGCACGGTGTGGTGGATAGAGCTGAAAGCCAGAAAGAAAGGTTCGAGCTTATGAGAAAAGTGCAGGATAGGGCGGACAGAAAGAGGAAGTGGATGAGCTTGTGTACGTCTGTAACGTTCTTCTTGGTATTTTGGCTTGGTGGGGCGTTTGTGTTTATGGAAGCAGAGGTAAGCTAAAAACCCTCATAACTCTATAACAGTTCAAGGAGCTTATATTTGAGTCGTATATGTACAGAAAGACCAGAAATGGACATACTTTCAATCACTATACTTCTGCTACACCACAATTCTGACAATTGGATATGGCGATTTTACCCCGACGTCGAACTCTGCAAAACCATTCTTCGTCATATGGACTCTTCTCGCAGTTCCAATGATGACTATACTCGTCTCTAACCTCGGCGATACCATCATCGTTATTATCAAGAATGTGACCTTATGGCTAGGCGAATGGACAATCTTACCCGAAGAAAAGCTGCCCGATCTGGGTGGCCGGAATCGATGGCTCAAGACAGAAACGCAGAGGCGACGACAACGGAGGATACAAGGGTCAGAGAAATTTCAACAAGCACAAAGAGAGCGGGAAGAACAGAGACACCGAGAATTAAGAGATGACGACGAGGAGGACATTGAAGAAAAGAGGGCATTGGAACGGATAGGGACCGGGCTGATCAACCGAGAGGGAAAGGAGCGTGATACTGGGAGTGGGGAAGAGCGGAATAAAAGGTTATTCCATGATCTGGCCTTTTCGATCCAGAAACTTATGCCAGACCTTGCCAGCAATTCGCCCAAACAATATGGTTACGAAGAATGGTCTAGCTACCTGAAACTCATTAATATGCAAGACCCGAGGTCGAGGATCCAACCGGCACCAAGAGTTGGCGAGGCGGGAGTTGAAAGACACCCAAAAGATGACTGGCTGGGGGAAAATAGTCCGTTGATGAGTAGACAAAGTGAAACAGAATGGCTGCTCACAAGACTATGCAGCCGGTTAGAAGCGTGCTTAAGAGAAGAGAGGGACAATGAAAAGAAGAAGAGGAAAGGGAAAGCCAGAATTGAAGGCCTTGATATCGGCGGGGATTCAGCCGAAATATTTAAATCTACCTAAGGAAGTACATAAGAGAGCGCTGGCTCGACTCTATTGCATTGTAATCACATATAATTAATAACTTGGGGTCATTTAACGAACTCTGAACCAATTATCCAAACGCCTCAAATGTATCGTTGTATATGTTTACTGAGGATAAATGCTGGTCTGAAAACACTTAAGGTGCTGCTCTATAAAATCTCATAGCGAAGCCCTGTGAGCCTCCTGCTGGGGCACTCCGATACCCCCCATGGTCCTCGCGATGTGTCCTGGATCAGCTAGGACCACATCCATTTCTTTTTTCGTTCGTACCAATGTCATCCCGGCCATGGCTGTTCCATTCAAATTCAAGCCTGGACATTTGATTGCAACTCCATCCACAACTGCACCGCTCTCCTCGTCTTGGTCAACCACATATACAGTCTCCGTGGTTCTTGGTAAAATCCCCATCCACCCTTTTGTGAATGCCATGTTGTAACTAAATGATACATCGACATCCATCGGTCTCTGCATCGTCAAAATTGAGTCCCATTGTTTATCTACCTCTCTGAGCACAACATCTGCAGGTGTCGTGGGATGTAATAGAGTGTATTCTGCCAACGATAGTAGAGTGGAGTACATTCCCCATAATTCCTCTGGTTTGCAGCCTTCGTGTATCTTCATAAGGTAATGCTTATACATGACTTTACTTTGATACCGAACCTTCAGGTCTCCAACCTTACTTTCCACTACACCACTCTCGCCGGGGTTTGCATCAAATATCTGCTTCGCCCAGAGTCCGTCCATTTCTGGCTGTGTTAACGGTATAAATTGTAAATGACGATGCGGTTGGCTGGCTCCAGACTCCTTCCCGCTGTTGAAGAACCCATATAAACATTGATGTTCTCCCGCTTCATCGTGTACCCCCGTTTGGTCATTGTTATCACTCTCCCAACCCTTTAGGACACTTAGAACTGCTTCTAGATCGCCCACTGTTAGAGGACACCCCTGTTTCTCGAACTCGGTGGTCGCTAAAATAAAATGACCGGGAATAACCGGGAATTTATTTAGAACGAGATAATGTGAACGAGGGACAGCTGTGACATAGAGAGCTGGGTTTGGGGGCAAGAAGGGATTTGATTTTGGAGTTGGGTTTGGAGGGGTAGAATGGGATGGATTATGTGCGGCCATGGGTTTTTTGAGAAGGTTTGGAGCATATCGGATTTCATACTGTTGAACAAGTAAAGTTCTCAATGTTAGTAACTTATTGTAATGAAAATCAAAATAGATGAGATAAAGAAGGTCGGTTTCATACATTTATTCCATCGTGAGCTATGTTATGAACTTCGATCTCGGCGAATGTTAATGCTCCGGCCTTTAGCGCCCGTTTATATGTCGTGAACACTAACGAACGCAGGGACTGGATCGAGGCAGCCATTGCGATACGTTACGACTCCACCGATTTCCGCGGGGCTTAAGCTTCTAGTTAAGTTTGAGAGCATATAAATCCGCGAGACTCAATTGATCAAAATCGATCAATGTAATTGAAGTGTACGCGCGGGCTGTCCATGTCCTGGCGTGCAGCAACTGGTGGGGCTCAAGAAGTTTGAAAACCGACTAGCTCGGAATTCGGTAACAATTGACATGATCTCATTGCAATGCCATGCATTCTCAACACCAGACAATAACACACTAACTCCGAACTGCCAGCCACATTCCTCAGGTCCACACGGAAAAGCTCCGTCGATGGAATGCAGTTCTTCAGCTGTCTGGAGACCAGGCCGCGTAGTCTTTGTCGGGGTTCTTAGTGGTGTTTTCTGCAGCCAAGTAACCAATCAGCTTGACGTCACCGCCCAGGCTGCTGGGCCGCCAGTGTTATATAAAGCCCCTCTTTACCCCGCTATTATTATTTTTTTCCGCTGCTTGAATCACCAAAATTAATCTCCATTACGCCAAAAATCCTTCTGTTTAGGTTCTTTTGAAAATTTTCAATTAAAACCTTTCTTTTTATTCAAGATGTCTTACGATCGTGATAATTCTTACGGCGGAAGCGGTGGTGGTTACGGACGGGACGACGGTGGACGTCGAAATGACGACCACAACAGACGTGATGATAACTACGGACGTCGTGATGATGACCGCCGCGATGACAGACGTGATGATAGACGCGATGACCGTCGAAATGACGGCGGTTATGGTGGTGGTAACTCTGGATATGGCGGCTCCGGTGGCGGTGGATCATATGGCTCCGGTGGGAACTCAGGCTACAGTGGCTCTGGGGGTAACTCTGGATATGGCGGCTCTGGAGGCAATTCTGGCTACGGTGGCTCCGGAGGCTCCGGAGGCAATTCCGGATATGGTGGTTCCGGAGGAAACTCTGGATACGGCGGCTCTGGTGGTAACTCTGGATATAGTGGTTCGGGCGGCAACTCTGGATATGGCGGTCGTGATGACCGAGACTCAGACCGTCGAGACCATGGAGGCTCTGGATCCTACGGCCGGGACGACAGACGGGACGACCGTCGTGATGACCGCCGCGATGACCGACGGGATGACCGTAGAGACAACCACGGAAACTCAGAATATCGTCGTCCACAAGGTAGCGGCACCCACGGATACGACGATGACAGCGATGACGACTTCGAACAAGCCAAGAAGACAGCAAAGAAGCAATCTGGCAAGCAAGACAAAGACGATGATGAAGAGACCAGCCTTTTCTCTACTGCCTTGAGTTTCTTGAGCGATAAGAAAAAGAACAAGAAGATCAACACCGATGACTTCGATGAAGACAGGGTCGTCAAGGCTCACAAGAATACCTATGGAAGCAATAGCAATAGCAGCAGCAACAATGATTCCGGTACTATTGGTGCCGCCGCAGCTATGGAGGCATTAAAGATGTTCAGTGGCAGCGGTAGCAGCAGTGGCGGTGGAAAACAGGACAAGAACCAACTTATTGGACTTGCCATGAGTCAAGCTGCAAAGATGATGTCTGGAAAGGTATGATATACGTTCTTAACCTTTCTGTCTTCTCAATCAATACGAAAATAGTGCTAACATCCTATTGCTCGTCTAGCCGCAAGAAGAGAAGCAAAGTGCCGTTAACCAGGCCGCTGAAATGGCTCTCAAGATGTACTTGAAGAGTGGAAAGGATAGTAGTTCATCCGGTGGCAACAGTAGCAGCAGTGGTGGTCTCGGTGCCGGTGACTTGCTCGGACTTGCGTCCAAGTTCCTTTCGAAATAAATTCAATTGCGCAAGATGGAAATCACGAATTGCATGATTAATGAATATGTTGGATTATGATTAATATTGCAAACCGCAAAGCTTTAAAGCCTGCACGGTGAAATGACTAAGACTAAGAATCAAGTTTTATTCAAGTGCTACATCCAAACGTACTCTATTTCTACTACCGTGTCAGATCTAGTGTATACTCTTCGTTGACTTCGATATTAGTTAAATACCCCCATCCACCGACTTGCCTCTTCTAATTGGTTCAAGGCTACCTTCGCCCCCTCTAACATCCATGCAGTTGAAAATAAACAATGACCATACCCACTATGAATCTGAACTCGGGTATCAACCCCCAGCTCTTTCATTCTCTCTGCAAACAACAATTGCCCATCTCTTAAAACATCCATACCATAAGCTTCATGATAAACCTTAGGAAACTGCTTAAGGGATTCATCGTCTAGTGCAACCAACGGACTGAAATACTTATCCGCCTCAGGTGGTGAATTCCTCCATGCGATATATCGATCTACATCGACAGCAGTTACGAACGGCGCATCTTTATTCTGTACAATGCTGGTTCCTTGATCGCTCGAAATCTTTTCTGTTGGGAAAAGATGTACATCAACGGCCGGAAGTCCATGCAAGAAGAGTCCCTTGATTACGCCGGTCCGCTTATTCTCGATATCGATAATTGCGCAAGCGCTTGCAATCTGCGCCCCCGCTGAAGTACCATACAGATAGACCTTCTCAGTGTCAAATTCTGGAATGCCCCAGCTCTTGAGTTGATCCTGCAGTTTGTTATCAGCTGCGTGAAGAACGGCGCGGTACACTCCATAGCTATCGTCCTGAGGAGTGTTATATGGATTTTCGGGACAGAATCTATAGCCAACGTTGATGACGGTAACGTTATGGCTAGCGTACCAGAGACAATGGGGGTGGCCGAATTCGAGGTTTCCACCGACCCAACCGCCACCGTGGAAGTCTGCTTCCAATATTAATATGATTTCACATTTCGGGGTTATTGCTGGTGAATCATTCACTTACGAAATAAGATAGAGGGTAGTTGATTCCCAGCTGCAGCCCTCGCAGCTTCATTTGGTGTATAAATTCTCACCGGGATCAGAGTTCCATCGCGGATTGGGATTTCAGTATCATTGGTCTCACAGTCCTTGGGACCAGAATAGAGGGTGTTTGGGAATGTAGCCAAGTTATCTAGGACTCGACGGTAATCTTCGAGACTATAGTTTGCAGAGTCGTCTCTCGGTATAAGTTTAAGCATCTGCTCAAACTCAGGAGCGATTTTACTATATTCTATTTTTCCTCTTGTTAGAAACTCGGAATTAAAATACTTCGCAAATATATCGATATAGGCAGCTATAACCTCAGGGGATCTTTACCTGTGTAAGATGTCATTTTGTGATTTTGTGAAGTATGTATGTACTAGTAGTTTAATTATCACTAGTGAAATTGGTATAGAACTAAGGTATCTGGATCCAAATATATCGACTCGAGTATAGAATATGAAATTTACAAGCTTGATCGAATTGCTGAAAAGATCTCTCTACAGTTCTCCTATGGTCCTACCCAGGCCTGCTTTTATACCAAGAAGTGGGGCCATAATGAAACCCCTGGCATACAGCTCAACGTGATCAACTCGATCCGAGGCTGCGCAAACCGCGGCGATGTCTATAGGCACAATACTGCGATTTCTGATCCGTATTGCATGATTTATCCTATAGGTCACCTACGCGGTGTCGCGGATATACAATATGGTTACAGATTTAGAACCTAGCATTGATTTTTTGCGTTCAGACGTCTAACGTCCCGAACTGGAAAATATTTACACCCGGATACTAAGGACCAATATCCGTCTATGATCTCATAAGTATTCAGCGACGGAAATGGAATGCGCAGCTGTGGAATTTCCAATTAATATTATGGGACTTGTAATTTGTAATATTTGAGAGCGTGATTCGTTTATTAAGACTAGGTCACGATCACTCGTTTTGCTGCGTTCGGCACCCGTCTGTCAACTAGACTAGCCAGGAGCTTGATGTTAGATGCATGCGCATGCAAAACCGTAGTCAGTGTTTGGGCCCTGGCGGTAGTGATGTCTCCCTGTAAGATGGGGAAGCTGAAGGAGTTTAGCCGAAGGCCAGAAGTTCTCCCGGCCGAAACGTTTACCGGCCGAATTGCAGGTGGGCTTCCATATGAAAATAAAGAATAAACCGGCACGATTAATAATTTGAAGGGTTTTACAATCCTTTAAGATGGGGAGAACCTTAGATAGTAATTGTTTGGGTCCGACATTTCTCTTATGCGTCGGTGTTAACAGGCTTTCCGCCTTACTTCTTAGGTTGTCATCTTCGAAATCAAATAAAGCGCTAAACCGAAAAACCAAAATCTGAGCCTAAGCTCCAAGATAAAATGCCTGATCCAAATAATACACCGTCCGTGAAGATGATATCGGAACACTCTTCCTATCGGGCGAGATATGTTATGCGTCATATCTCATTGCTAAATCCAATATTACCTCTCAGACCTCTCCAATTGACATTCCTCTTTTTCCTGGCTGTTTCCTCTTCCGGTAGAAGGTCCTTGAGCTGCTCAAGCAGTTTATCCACCTCCTCTAGTTTGGCTTCTGCATAAGTTGCATCCTTATTTGTTTCAGCGCTTGTCGTCCTCTCTGCATCTTCAGCGGCTGCTTCCCACACCCTTGCAAGCTCCAAGCTCCCATGGAAAGGATTAGAATTTCCGTCATGAACTTCTCTATGCTGTATCCTGACACCCCCACCCCCAAAGTTATCCAACAATTGACTTTCGCTTCTCAGTTTTCCCATTACCCCTTCCAATTCTCTGGCTGCTACATTATTGCCTTCCTTAATGGCCTTCATGAGTTCTCCTAGCTCATCCATTCTCTCCTTCCAATAACCTAGCTCTCCTATGGCCCCTAGCAGCTCTGGTAACTCGCCTCTCCCCAAACCAGGCCCTGAATTTGCCGTATTACTCCTTTCACGGCCCAGTTTTTGTGGGATCGGCTCCTTTTTGATCGGTTGGCTTGCTAGTAAGAACGCATGCAGCATTCGTTCTCTGCTCTCGACATAGTCTTCATAGACTCTTTTGATCTCTGCTAGTTCCTCGTCCAGGTCAAAATCTTCGTCTCCATGAACCATACCCAAAACTTTGCCTTTCCTTGGGGTTGCGCTTCCTTCCCCTGCCAGTCTTAGCTGCTCATCAAGCCATATCTCCAACTCTGCCTTAGCGGCCACCATACCCGCTGTTTTCACTTCCTCGGGTATGTTGGCCATATCGACCTCCTTAACCCTCTCCTTTACCTCTCCCAGTAACCTTTTCTCCTCATCCAGCCGTCTCTTTGCGTCTACAACCGCCTTCTCAAGCGGTAGCAAAGACTCTTCATCCCCTCCAGAAGCTCCACCGGCTTGATCCTTCCCCGCTAATGGTCCACCGGGTGGTGCAGGTGGCAACTGTTGATTATGCACCACAAACACACCAGCCAGCGATTTATTCTTCCCTTGTGCCAACGCTGTAATCTTTTGCTGGTACTTCCCTAGCACCGTCAATTGCGACAATACTCTTCTAAACTCTAAAACCTGGTCATATGTCTGTGTCCAATCTGTAGGTAACGGTGTGACACCGGTACTAATCTTTCGACTATGAGAACGGATATGTGACGGTGTCTGTGGCTGCTGTTGCTGCTGCTGGGGAAATATTGCGGATTTTGTAGTGGCATCTGAATCGCTGACGGGCAGTTTGATATCGGCTGTTAATTCGGCCCATTGTTTGCGTAATCGCAAGTTTTCGACGGCGGCATTGTAGTATGCTTTTCGTGTGCCGGTTAAGGTGCGCACAGCGCGTTGGGCACTAAGTGAGGGTGTAGGGGAGGTCGAAGAAGCGATTAGAGTCGTAAGAGTAGAGGAGAGATGTCGCCGAATGAGATTTACTTCGGAGGTAGGGTGTATGAAGGGAGATAAAGCGGATTCGACGGCGGGGAGAACGGGGAGGTTTGGTTGGGACATCGCCAGGTAGTTGGGAGATCAGAGGTTGTGGGTTAATTGGGGGAACGGCGGGTTATCTCGAGGGAGCTTGGGATGTTCAATGGGCAGAAATACCACAGACAACGCGCGCAAAACGTCTGGATTCATGAACAAATATCGAATGGTCAAAACTTCACGATGATATTAAGAAAACGGTTAAGCTTATAATTACTAAGATAGAGTGAACGGCCGCAAAATAGTATATACATAACCGCTAAACAAGCTTCAAAGCATGTGATGAATAATGCGTGCATGCTAAACTGGATATCCTGACAATATATCAACAAAGAAATTTAATGGAAACAATTACTGCAGCTCCACGCTCACTGCGCCATAACTGATGCCTTTATACACCAGCTCGAATGTCATATACCCGGCTCTTAATGTCATATCCACTCGATACGCACATGTAAATATCTTTTTCATAAACCCATAATCTACGTCAAAAATCCTCTTGCTTTGATTTGTCAGATCCGCGGTCAATTTACATAGGATTTTGACTCGGGGTGTCATTCTCATAGGTGGGAAATCATCCTCACAAACGACGATGGTATCGACCCATGGCGTAGTTTTTCGGAAAGTGCGGTGGAACTGCTGTGATATCTTTTTATCATCGGAGATTTCGGCACCTTTGTAGACAAACCAGGAGATTTGGTTACGTGCCATCTTTAGGCCGGTGAGAGGGTCAAAGAAGGCATCTTCCTCGAGATGTTGGCCCGGAATGAAATGGGCGATCATAACTATTCAAATTGTTAAATCAGTATACCTTCGTAAATTGGGAGTTGGGAGAAGACTTACGGGTTCCATAATGCTTTCGGCACTTTCGTATCCACATCGCGCGAGTCGGGTCACCAATGCTGCCAACCTGCTGGGGGGCTGAAAGGTCTATTCCTCTTATCACACCACCTTTTACTACTGCGACATCACTATTGCTTTGTTAGCTAAGCGGAATGAATGAACTGCCGGTCGAACACTTACCCATCCTTTGGCTGTAGAACATTAATTCCTTGCGGTTTAGCCCATGCGACGACCCGGTTGTATAAATAAGGTGACTGCCCAAACCCTCCGACTAACAGAATTTGCTATTCAAATTTGGTCAGCTTTCTCAGTTTCAGCTCTACTACCGAATGATCGTAGAAATACATACCCTATTGCTGGCCGTCTTATCCACGTGCGCGATCTGTCGAACTTGTTCCGCGATCAATTCAATAACTTTATCAATCACTGGATCAAACAGCGACCGCATCTCTGCTCTTGTGATCTCGAATTCGCCATCCACAACTCTAGCCTCAGGAATATTATCTCGTCCAGGTACAATCACCGAATAGGTGTCCTGGTCTTCTCTATCCCGGAAGCCGCATTTTACTTCTTCGAAGTTTCGCATTACACGCTGACGTTGAGCAACCCGTAAACTATCGTAGTGCGTGCCCATTCGTGTTTTGAAGAAGTCTTCGAAAGATTGGTCAATGTAGCTGCTACCGCAGGTATCACCGCTACCAACAACGGCTTCATCAACTTCGAGACGAGGATGAATGCGGCGGATGTTGTAAGATATTAAATCCTAGGATACATTTATTTTAGCATTCAAAAGAACCAGCATAGGGTGTTATATTGCTGGACTTACGACGGTACCGCCTCCGGCATCGCAAACAATGATCTTATCCCCGACGTTTGCCGATGTCTCTGAAGATCTTAGAGTATATAAAGCTGCAGCCTCTGGCTCTGTGCACAAATTCAATGTATGGTTTGTTGCAAATCCCGCTCGCTCCTATCCTCTAGTTAGTATTTGCTGTCGCCTTAGTTGAAATGCACATAAAATACATACTGCCGCCCTCTTTGTCCTCGCGCAAGCTTGTTCATTCCAAACCGCTGGAATCGTCAAAACAAAATCCACCTGTGTGATATCCATAACCGCCTTGCCCCTCTGCACGTGTAGCTGGGCAATAGCATGTTGATACACCGCGCTCAAAAAGTCTGCAACAACGTCTTCGATAGTCTTCCCAGGTGGAAGATCACACAGCCCTGCTATTTCCTCGTCCGGGTATTCTAGGAATAACTTAAACCACTTGAGAATTGAGAGTGTAGGCTGAATATCGTAACCCCACGAGAACGGACCACCCGTAGTCGGATAAGCGATTTCAGTAGGAACTTGGGAAAGAGCGCGGGTGCCGCAGTTGGGCCAGTTTTGGATTATAGATATCTGTGGCTCTCCAGGGGTTGTATCTGCAAATGCGAGACCTGAATATGTTGTTCCGAAGTCTAAGGCGACTATGATTTTGTGTCGTCCGTACTGTGCGCCAGGTGCCGGACCTGCGAAGTTTTGGACTTGGAATGTCTGCCCCGCCTGTGGTGCTGCGTTTTGCATAAATGCTGGGTTCCCCTGAGGGTGGTACTGTTGGACCGGCGGTACCCCCATACCAAGAGGAGGTGCCTGCTGTTGCGGAGCATGCTGAAACTGTTGGTGCTGTTGAAATCCCGTATTTTGGGGAGAAAATTGAGGATGTGCTTGTGCTTGAAATTGCTGCTGCTGGAATTGCTGCTGTGGTGGTTGCTGTTGAAATTGGAGATTCGGCGGAGCTGCTGGTTGGGGGGGGAAAGGTACTTTCTGGTCGTATGGATTTGCGTAGTTCGCGGGCCCCTGGTTAACGGGCTGTTGATATCCCGGCTGTGACTGACCTGACCATTGGGGTGATATTGGAGTAGCTTGGGTTTGAGGTTGTTGATATTGATTGAAAGCTGGATTTCCAGCCTGCTGAGAGGCATACATTGTCGTATATGTATATGTATATGTATATGTATGCGAGGTTCGGATATCACTGGCTGGGTAAAATCAATCAAGATCCAGATATCGATAATCCGGGGGTAGCTCAGATCTACTTCTAAACTTAGGTACAGGAATATATACGAGAAGTTACGTAGGAAAGAATGTCGAGAAAACAAAAAGAATTAGAAAGGGTAAATACGACGCCAGGAAATCGCGATCGATTCGGAAGAGGGATTTGAAGGAGGGTTTCTCCAGAATAGCGGCGAAGGGTTCCCGGCACCTTATATCCTATGTGCCGTAGTTCGTGGGATTTGGCGAGAAACTAAGGATTTGCGGCTGATAGAAATAGAATCAAACCACCACCATCCAGGCATCTCTTGTTACTAACATTGGCCACTATTAGCTACCTATTCAAATCGAGGGAAGGGATGGAACATTAGCTGCAGGCCATTAAGCTTTTTTCCTCCTTCCTCCTCCTTTCAGAGCCGAAAAAAAAAAGCTGAATTGTGATAGCCTCGTGGGTCGGAACTTGGACACGATAGCTTGACAAATTGACTCTAGTTCTACATGCGCCAGCTGCATGCACGATGCCAGGACCCCGGCGCTTTGGGCAAGTGATGGGGATATTAATTGGGTTAGAAAGACCAATGAAAATAGACCAAAAGAGCCGCATCGCATTCTGGCGGAACCAATTCCGCAAACACCCAGATAGTGAGTGAAATTCACCAGTTCCATCATTTGGAAAACTTTCAATCACGGATTTTCATGGAACTGGTAGTCAGCTCAACTCGAGTTGTACTTTTGTAGATACGGATTCTTGTACCACCTCAGGGTCTCACTGCTCCAAAAATGCCAGATTGAGTAATTGCCCAGTTGGGAAGATATCACGATCGGCGTAATATCAACCGGCGACCGACTCACAAGGTCGCGCGTTGTTATACCATGTCGCGACATCAACCGGACTGAACCCCACAACACTGACAGTGGACTACTCGATCGGAATGGATGAATCTGTCCGCAATTCGATTAATTCCCGGCCCGTTAAACGGAGACGACATGATACGCCGGTGGACAAAGACGAGACAGATAGCACTAGTAGTCGTGCGGAAAGTCCACCTTTGCTAGGTGAAGCATCGTCTTCGCATGGTGTAGTGGCACCGAAAGCTACAGCGGCCGAAGGGAAGAAGAACGCTTGTAAGTAATAACATCTATATAGATATATCATCCAAGCACCTATGTATCGGACTATATCTATAGCATCCATGGCCTTGGTTACTAACATATATGAGTTAAGTCACGGAACTAATGTCCAAGAAGCCCAAACCTAACCCACCGGCGCCAAAGACACAGCGGCCCAGTCCGAATCCATATTTCCTAAACTCTGACCCTCGCGCCGGTCTTGCCGTCTACCTAGCTGATCCAGCATCTGTTCCTTCAAAATCAATGCTCTTCTATAACGACGATTTCGTAGTAATAAAAGACGCATTTCCCAAAGCAACCGTTCACGCTCTGATTCTCCCTCGAGATATTTCAATAACCCATCTCCAACCTCTTGAACTACTAAATTCAAACCCGGAATTACTCGCTTCTATTCGCAAAATTGCACTCCAAACTCGTGACCTCTTGGCCAAGGAACTCTGTCGAATTCATCTGAAAACCTCAGTTCTAGAACAAACTCGTCAAAAGGCCTTTGAAGAACTTGAAGAACGAGCGATCTCCGAACCAGGTTTTGATCCTGACTCCGAAGAATCGCAGGCACTATTACCCCCCGGTAGGAATTGGGCATCATGCATCAAAATCGGTGTTCACGCCCGCCCGTCAATGTCAAATCTTCATATCCACGTAATCTCGGAAGATATGCATTCTGAACGAGTCAAGAAAAAGAACCATTTTAACTCTTTTAACTCGGGATTTTTTGTGAACTTGGACGAGTTCCCGCTTGATAAGGATGATGAAAGGATTCCGGGAGTAGGGCATGTGACGAATGGAATGCTCAAGGGAGATATGGTCTGCTGGAGATGTAAAAAGAATTTTAAGAATCATTTTAAGGAATTAAAGGACCATTTAGAGGTTGAGTACGAGGCATGGAAGATGATATGACATCTTCCAGGGAACAGTCTGCTTCTTTTCTACAAAGCTTTAGAGAAGAATGGTACAAATCAAACGTTAGATATTGGTTCAATCAGAGTGGCTTGAACAAAATCCCTTGATTATTTCACACATCTGTGAGATGCATTGTTGGACATAAATCCAAAAAGAAGAGTACAATACTCGCTAGAGCCTTGCACCTGCAGTATTGTAAGGGCGTTGATATCAAACCTAAGCTCCAAAACATCATATGACAATGAGCCGGCATCCAACATGACCAATTCCTATTTATTATAATATTAAGCCACGGATTCTTTTCAATTCGTAATAAGAGGAGGTGCCAATATAACCTATTATATTTTCGAATTTCGCCACATTGTCAGAACTTCTCTTCAAATAAGATAAGATTCGTTATAACGCTAGAGCTCAAGAGCTTGAGTTACTTACGTTCAACCCGATGTACTCGCAATTCTTTGGATCTTCCGTCGTGCTCCCACCATTGACATAGTAAATCATTTGCCAGTAACCCCCCTTTCTATCTCTTCGCTTGCATGCGATAAACCCATTCGTGACTAGATTTGGGGTTTTCCAGTAGAGACCTATCCACATAAATTCGTTAGTTAGCCTGGAGAAAATGAAATAGCACGATAGCCATCCCGAAACTACGAAGGAGGACTGGAAATCACCATATTCAGCAACGTCACCACCCCCAATCAACTCAAACAACTTATGGCTCCTCCTAAAATCCGGCTTCGACTTTCTTGTCAAGTTTTGAAAAATAAACTCTGCCATTCCTGTTAATGTCGCCGCATTATACGTAATATTCCTAAACCCGCCGACCGGTCCCAGATCAAATAAATTATTTGAAAAGTCTCTACCAACGCTATATAAGATACCCTTTCGCATCTGAATAGCCAACGTTGGCGACTTGAGACTTCCGTCTATTACAGCCCGCTGGGTGCCCCGCACTTTATCGTCTGGACGTAAGACGACATTTCGGCCGTCGATTTCTGGGTTGCTGGCGCGGACTTGGAGGTAGACTGGTGGACGTTGGTTTGTGGTGTCTGTTACGAATGCTTCGTACCAGTTTGTGGTGCAGGATGGGGTTACTGGAGCATAACGAGCTGGCTCGGGTTTGGCGATTGGGTCAGCCCTAGCGCCACTGAGGATGTAAGCGACGAGAAAGGTGGTTTTGAGCAGCATATGCATGCTTAAATTGAATATAAAAAATCGGAATTTACAAATTTACGATACTATCGAGGTAAGTAGAGAGAGGGCCAGAGTATACTAATATGTACTACTGGGTGAATGAACCAAGCTGTGGGTCCAAATGGTTCAATTTATATACTTCCTTATCCTAACCCCTACGCTCAATCGATCGAAGGCAAGGGAATTCAGCCTTAAATTCGTGAAAGCTTGAAAGCCATGTATCACGCACAAATCAGTGTTCAAAAACCATCACATCAATTGCCTTTAACGGCTGAAAAAAACATTAACGGAATCGAAATTAAGTAGTACGACATGGTACGGATGCTACCTTGCCAACCAATCTGCATGATAGTCAGCAGGGGACCTGAGCTGAAGGGGGAAGGGCGGTGACGTTGTGTAAGAGGTATGGGATGCAATTGGGAATGTTTGCCATCATGGGCGCACGCCTCTTTAAAGAATTGGGCGACCAGCATATCAGCTTTTGAGTAGTGCACGACGGTGCCGGTTGGTGAGGGGTTCGCCGACGCCGCATACACTTATCATCGATAACACCCTGTGAAATCGTGGTCTCGCATCGAGGTTAGTGAGATTGGGTGTCTTTGTAGAACCTATAGTATACTATAGCACTATGCATAGCTATGTCTCTATGGATATATATAACTACCGGCAGCTCGCAGTCTCTCAATTTACAACACCAAACCCAGGACTCAAAGTCGTACAAGTGTGTTCGTCATGAACTTAGATGGCGTCCAGCCACTTTATATTTTTTGATAATATGGGCCTATGGAGCGCTAAGGGCCATTATCTATATGTGGCTTTAACTAGAAGCCCGGAGTAAGAATTTCTTTAACTGTAAGAGGCTTTCTACGGAATCGTTCTCAACAATCGACCTTGTGGAAGGTTCAAAAAATCCTGTGCTATATATAATCTGTAGCTCTATGACGTTTGAAAGCCAGGTTTAAAAAATACTTGAACATTGCAAGCTGGTAAGGATAATATACATCATAAGAATGAAGATGCTATATTTGTAATTGAACTAGGTAAAATGCATTGGATATCATATACGCACTCTTCATGAATTCAAATCAACCGAACACGAGGTGATCGTGCTATCATTCTATGCCATCACCATATCAAATTAGCCACGCCAGTGTAAAAAAAACCTCACCATCCAAACTTTTCTGCTAAAATCTCCACATCCTTTCCTTCATATAGCAAATCTCTTCCAACGGTTCTGACTTCCCTCATCATAGCATCAGGTCCACAAACCAGTACTCCGGTTCTCCCATTCAATCTTGGTCCATCTTCGTCCTCTACCACTCTAATAACTTCCTTTCTCAAATCCGGCCGTTTTCCGTTAATGCCTCTAGTGATGAACTTTTTTACTTCAATCTCAAATTCTCGGGGTAAGGTCCTCTTGACTTCTTCTAATTTCTCGAGATCTTCTTCGATCCATTTCAGATGGTGTTCGTGGTGGACTATCCACACTAGAACAATCTTTCTCGGCTTCCCACCTTTCCCCTTTTTATTCTTATCCATTTCCCTTCTTATCAATTCACACATCAATGGCCAAGCAACCGCAATACCACTACCACCGGCAATGAACAGCGACTTCGTACACCCTCTCAAAGACCCCCTCGCATGTTCAGACCCATAAGGTCCATCGACGGTAACCTTAACCATCCCACCCATATCATATAACGCCTCTGTGAACCCCTTCAGCTTTCTAATCACTAGTACCATATCCTTCTCATTCCCATCATTAAGACTATTTCCCTCAAGATCATACCCAACCGGCGGGGTAAGTATTGTAAACGGATGAGCTTGAAATCTGTTCCACCCAGGGACAGTCAAGAAAACATGTCCTGCTGGCTCCCATTTCATAACCTTGTTCGATCCTTTCCCAAAATTTTTGATAGTGACCCTGATAGTACTTTCGTCAAGGACTTCAACTTCTCCATCGGCTGACCATCGTTTATTATATGCTCTATAAACAATCCTATCGGCCGCCCAGATGAGGAATGAAAAGACGACGTAAATTCTTGCAGCCGGGTGGTGAAGGTATAGGAATATCATGGCGATGGAAGCGAATGAGATGTGCGTAGCCAGGAACAATTCGTAGGCTTTTAGACGGATTTCGTCCATGGAGGTTATACCAAAGATCCAGAAGGCGATAAATGAAATCAGACCGAAGAAGATATCTGGCCGGAGAAGGATGCCAATGAATGTCAGACCGCGGTCGGTACCAGCCTGGTATGTATTGTTAGTATCCAAATGTTGTAACCCAGGAATTTCTAAACCGAAGGATGATATATCAACGGAAAGCGAGCAGAAGAACTTACAATAAAAATTCTATAAACGACATACATCCCTATAAAATGCACTATACTGGCTATATGTGACGTAGTAGCAACCATACGGTGAACAATCAAATGTTCTTCATAACTCCACCCGGTCAAATACTTGATCGGTGAGGTCTTCGCCGCCAATATGAAATTTAATGGCTGGTTCATAGTAAATACCATCCCCCACCTGTCAGCCATCAGGAAAAACCGAAGATCAGAGTTGTTGGTCCTGTCGAGCGGGTAGTAAATGTAGTATATAGATAAGAAGACTGATGTCCAAAAGAATAGCTGATTAACGATAAGGATAGAATTATGTGGTATCACGCGGCCTCGGGAGTCGTTAGGACGTTGATAGGTCATAAATCCTTTGAAACGGCGGTAAAGGAGTGTGTACCATGGTAATTTCGGCGTGGAGTTTTGTAGAAGAGGTTTGGATTCGTCTGAATCTATTTCGGCGGGAATAATAGCGCTGGAAGCACTAGAACTTGACGCTGTAGAGGCCGTTTCGACTACCGAAACATCCACATTTCCGGTCTTGTATCTTCTGTTATCCCTTCCAGCGGTTTCCTCTTTCTTCTTTTTCCTTTGTGCCTTCCTATATTCTCTTATCCTCCCCGCAGCCTTCCTAATCACAAAAACCCCGATAGGGAACAAAATACAACCGACGTTGTAGTATATACCCAACCATCTCGTAAACTCCATGGCATCGATAATAGCATTCTGATCCCCTCTATTACCCCCTTCAGCCGCAGCCGTAGAAATAGCATTTCGTTTAATAAGCTCCGAGACTCGTTCGCTTAGTACCGGGCGAAGATTAAAATGCGAGGAAGGCCACCACATGTTTAAGTTCTCGCTGTTGGTACTGCTGTCGTTGGTAGGCGACCCATTTGAATCGGATCCTGGATTAGCGAGTACCGTAGAGCCTGAGAAACGAAGGTCTGACGACCGTGTGGGATATGGATAACGAGGCGACATCTTAGAAACGGTGGCATTAAATAATTAACTTCAGTACCTATGATAGGAGAGGTACTTAGGTAAATGTTAGTGATTTCCCAGCAGCCGTAAGTGGTAGTCGCTACATCGGAGTTTCAAAAATTTAAAAGCTCGCGCGAGGATTTCTGAAAGTCGGATATACCAAGTTTAAATGATCCAAGGTCCAGAGCCCCCCCATGAAGAACAGTTAACAGCGAGAGCTGGCCAAGAGGTCCTTGCTTGGCCAGCTGTTTGTCGGAGCCAACCAGCGTCTTTCCTTCCGATGGCGCCATTTTCAACATCTTACGTCCGAGGGGGCAGCTTGCTAGAGAATAGTTTCCGAATAGTGTCCCCGTACGCAGACCCCTCAAGTCCGATTCGGCCTGATCCTTATCATGCGATCAAAAGTTTACTGGAGCCGAGCTCCGAAGAGCCAAGAAACGGCCGCGTGGAGGCAACTTGAACGAAGAGGTCTCCATAGTAGGAATCAAACCCGCCTGCAGACGCCAAACGTTAGCAAACTATTATGTACTGTCGGCAGAAAGACGACGAAAAAGAATGAGGGGGAAATACATTTACATATCGAAATTTTAGGGCGCGCATGAGCATGTGGGGGTATTGATTTGGGATGATGCTCATGCATGACCTTAGCTCAAGGCAACCATGTGGTTGAACCCCATGAAGAATTGGTCCTGTTTTTTTTTGATCTATCGTTCTCGGAGGGGTGCTTGTCATGTACGAGCGGATCTAATCTAAGCTTAAATGCCTGACGAGCGTGCCCAGGAATCCGGTGATATCTAATCTGATGCATCTGATATAACGATGAAAGCAGCCTGAGGTCACACTGCTTTCTTGGTGAAAGTTAATTAATTTAATTCATGTGGCTTCTTGCCCATGATTGATGGAAGTATGGAAAAGCCCAGTGCCGGGCCAATAATGAGTATATACAGGATTGTTGGCCGGAAACTAAAAAAGGTCGTCCTAACCAGGCTGAGGTATCTCAGCACCTACGAAACCTTGTTTTGAACAGGGTGCGGGCTGGGAACCCCTCTTTCACGACATCCTCGGAGACCTTCGTCATTCTCTCTTCCTACTTGTCGCTGGACTTGTATTTCCCACTTCATTTCGTCCAGGCGACCGCTCCGCCCCGGCGCCCGGGAAAGGGTGAAGAAATATTCCTACCCCGCTTCCCGGTTTGCACCTTCAATATCCCATCTTCTCGATGGGAATGACACCTCGCCCTTCGGCTTCGGGCTTTCCTTCACATGCAGCTGGTCGGGGCAGGTGGGTTTCTGAAGGTCGGGGCGATTAGCCCCCAAACTTCCCATCCTTGGCCCCGCCATTTGCAGATAGCGCAGTGACCCCCTTTCTAAGGCGGGTCAGAAAGTCGACACCGTTGGCCATGGTATGCTCTGATATATTGATTAGGAAAGATCCTTTGAATTATTATAAATGTAACCTGATCGCTTACTATTCTGGCCCCACGGCGAAGACTTGCTCTGGGTAGTCCACCCCTTATCGTTATTCTTATATAGAACAGGCTTGTCGTCTCCAGCAGCTTGAGAACCAGCAACTGCGTCCGTGTATCCTGTCGAACCCAGTCAGCCAAAATGCCGTCATATCCGACACACTCGACCCACTCGGAGTATCTACCTTTGGCAAGGAGATCCCTTAGCTCCTTCGCATTGAACCCGTTCACGGGTGCATGTTCGTCAACCATACCGCCCGAGAAACCAGGTGAATTATTAGCGTTATTATTAGAGAAGTTTCGATTATTCTGGGACTGGTAAGAAGAAGATCGTGAGTCGGAGCGACGAGGCTGGTTGTAGTTCTGGGAGGGAGTGGGAGATGGCGAGGCGCTATTATTCTGGGTGGATTGACGACGGCGCCATCTATAAATAGAGAGGACACACGAGCATTAGTATAGCACTTATACATGACGATCGGTCCCATAAGAACGGAATCTAGCTCACTTGTTCTCCTCGTTGGCAGACATGGTTCAGCTGTTCACGTGGTCGGGATGAGTGGACCAGCGTGCTCGAGCCAGTGCGATGGGCAGTATGTTACAGGTGAAGAGAAGAGGCCAGCTCTGGTGATTCGTAAGTCGTTACTTCGTCAGGAAGGGAGCGAGGTGATGACAATGATGAAGCTGAGGATCGGATGTCGAATGGGAGGTCGAGGATGTCGAGAGGAAAGCTGGGAGTTCTGAAGTTCGAGGTTGCAATTGTCGGGGAGGACAATCAATCGAGAGACAGCAACGCGACAACACCACAATAATGCAACAGCTCAACGCAAATGCACAATTTATTGCTCGTTACAACTTAGTCTTGAGGGGCACTGTAGTCTCAAGGCATCATCTCTTTACTACTATTCGATTGATCTATACTAAAAGTTCCAATATTCACTAGTTATAGATTGTAAAATGAGGGGGTTACATCACCGCCAATCTTCAATATCTTCCGGACCATAGATCTCTCCCAGATAAAACGAAATATCCGGTGTCCTGTCAGGCAGTAGATCCAAGAGGCCTTCGGGAAAGAAGGTACTTAACCCGGATCTGATAAAGCCTGCCCTCTCAAGTATAGCCGCGGACCGTTTCCCTTTTCCCGTAGAGATATACAAAGACCGGTTCAGTACCAACAATCTTCCCTGTCTTTTAACCCATAAGTAATCCTTGCTAACATTCCCTTCTTTAAATGTCTTAAACCTCTCCCTCTCCGCTTCGTCAAGTCTGGAGTCTCTGTTACAGTCTTGTAGTACCGCTTCTTTGAGCCTTTCAGTCCAGATATTGAGCACTGAAGGCACGGTAATACTATATTGCCACGATCCCGTAGTAAAAGGCCAGACCATTCTAAGCATATCCTCATAGAAAGTGTTTAGTAACGACTCAAATTTTCCGTAAAACGCTTCAGTAATAAACTCTTCTGCTATCGTTCCATTGAATCCAGCTGTAGTCTTTTTCTTGATGTATTCTGTAAGCATACCCGACACGACGTGTATATGAACCCTTAGGTTTTCCCCAGCGGCATCTAGCATGGGTCGTAAGCGCTCAAGCAAAGGCAAGAGTATTGCGTTCCGTGTTTTCTCCTCGGGCCGTAAACTTAGTGGGCTTGGAGGTAGGATGAAAAGTCGCTGGTCTCGAAAATCTTCAATATCGATTCTTATGTTACGGATTAGCGGCCAGTAGGCATCGGCAAGATGTAGCCTTTGAGACATGGGTTCCCTTGGTAGCGAGTCGTAGTGATCCTCGTATTCGCTTTCGATTATAGGTTCGGTGAGGCTTCAATCAAATGCCAAAATTAACTACGTATACACCAACAGAAAATTTGAATAGTGTCTAACTCACTTTGTACGACCCTGCGTAAAAGAGTAAGTCACGGCCTCCCACGGGGTATTATACTGAACCTTAATCTTATTCTTATGCATATTCGTTGACAATCTTATCACAAACGTATTTTGCCCATAGAACCACTCAGTGGCCTCATGGTGTACCTGCTTATTAACGCGAAATATCGATAGATCAATCGCTATTTGCTTATATGTTGGAGGGTATGAACGGCGTCCCGGTACAATGACTGGCGGTGGGTCCCGGCTTAGGAGCTGTTTATAGATTTCATCTCTGATCTCGCGAGGGAGACCTAGAAAATGGAACGACCCTTCTCGAATGAATTTTTTGTTTGCATACCGGCGTTCGTTGTAATCGTCAGTTAAAGCCGGAGCTGGGGGTGGGGGAGGTCCCCATAGCCCGTTGGGCCTCGCTGGCGGTGGTGGGGGGATAACCCTGCGGTCCCAGCTAGGTCTAACGTTGTGCACATGTAGCCCCTGTGGTGGAGGAGGAGGAGAAGGAGGAGGGACAGGTAGAGGAGTTCCAGTCCATGAACTTAATACTGGGGCTGATATCTGCGGTGGTGGTGGTGACTGCCCTCCGAGACATTCGTACTCGCGCCAGTCGAAAGGTGGCGGCGGCGGCGGCCGTCGCCCCAGTCGTGGTACAAAACCAACAGCCCTAGACGGGGGAGCTGGAGGGCCTGATGGTGCGGGTGGAGGGGGCGGACTAGGCGTACTCCCCCAGGTATTCTGCCGGCTACCACTTGAAACCGCATCGGAGATGGATGAAACTATGGACGGAGGCCCATGACCACCTGGAAAACCTGGGGGGCGTCGAGATATAGATGACACTGACTGTTGGTCGTTCCGAGAGATAGGTGGTAGAGGTGGAGGAGGGGGTGGAGGCAGGGTTCCTGACATAGACCATCCCGGTAGTGGAGGCCTAGGTGCCCCAGCCCATGAATTTGAAGTCGAAATAGATGTGCCAATACTAGATTCCCCAAGCTGAACGGATTGGAACGAGGCATCTAGCTCCGTGTCATCAAGCGGGTCTTTCTGGGGGCGCGAGCTAAAGAACGACATTTTCTAAATCCCAGAGCCTGCCTTCTAGCTGGTGTTGATTGCTGCTCTAGCGTATGTTGTTCAGGTTTATAAATTATATATTCCATTTATCTACCTTCTTATCATTTCGAGATATTTCGACCACTATATATGTGTTCGATTATGCATGCATGCATGACAGGTCTCGATGTGGTTTGAACAAAGGTTGCGGCCCGTGCGCTGTAGCGCGCCGAATTCGCGACTGGTGAACTAAGTTGCACTTATGGATCGAATAATTAAGTCCGCGTTGCGTTTTTTACCCTCAGTGGACTTGGTTCATAGGCATGGGCACGGTTCGGCCTAAGGATCACGCCTAGGTTTTGGTTATGCACTCTAGATGCATATGTCTGGGGCGAAAAGGCTGTCACATGTCTTGGGAGATGTAAATTGGTCTCACAGATCCCAATGGGTTTAAAATTTTATGGCTAATAAGCGCAATGCGTTCTGTAGTTTCTGAACAATTGAAGAATGACCAATTGAGCAGATTCGTAGGTGTTTCCACTGCAATAAAGATCATCCTCTCTGGCGCGGAAGATTAAACTACAAAACACTCAGATTTAAAATTTACTTTTCCAAAGCCACCAATGTTTCTGCCGCATCATCTCCAAAGGCCTTCCAGCTCCTCCTCGCAAACCACGGCCCATAACTAATCCTCGCAACCCCTGCTTCTTCTAATTCCTTCAACCCCAATGGCGTCGGGCCAGTCCCATGTACCGCTAACTTCCCTCCAAACGCCTCCACCATCTCCTTGACCTCCTCGATAGTAATCACATGTTTTCCCACACCCCACACAAATACCGTCGTAGCACCAGCATCAAGGTATTTCTTTCCCCGCTCAATTGCATCCTTAATTGATCCTCCATATCCCAACACATCAGTCCTAGCGTTGATTACAAAGTCTGGAACACCAGCTTCTGACGCAGCTTTTAACGCCGTTCTAATCCTTTCGACTGCTTCTTCGGTGGGCCTTAATTCCTCGTGGCCAGTAGACGTGTCTGTCTTCAAATCTTCAATGTTTGCGCCAACAACACCAAGCGAAATAGCTGATTTGATAGTTTCGGCAATGTCGTTGTAGCCATCTTGAAGATCTGCGGATAACGGTTTGGTATCTGCAAATCCGGAGTTTTTAAGACCCTGGGTGACGTTCTTGATACCGACGAGATTGCCGGAAAGTGGAAGTTGTGCGTCAAGGATACCTTGAGTTGCGGCAATTGACCACGATGCTGTCGCGAGTGCCTTTGTGGATGCATGTGTGGCTACTGCTGCAGCGGTTGGGGCATCATGTACATTGGTAAGGATCAATGGCTTTCCGGGAATATGGAGAGACTTGAGGGTTCTAGCGAGAGTATTAAGACGGGACATGGTGAATAGAAAAAGGAAGTCTTCTTTTAGAGATATATTTTAAGAGTGTTGTTTTTGTGGTATTATTGTTAGGAGAATTTGGTGGGTCAGTAGACGTCTATGCGAGGGATGTTCAAGATGTTTCAGTGTGATCCGAACTGCTGTTTCGAATTCTGATAATTAGCTATTCTTCCACGGATATCTTTCTTTGAAGCGTTATATAAAGGCACAAAGTAACATTTAAAATCGAGTCGGGCCCGCCTTCCGCCATTTCCCGTCGACCACACTAACATTAAGCCGTGTGAGGAACTTAGCTGACTCAGCAGTCGAACATTACGTAAGGAGTCAATATCCATCTCTTTGGTGCAGCAGACTTTTGTGGATATTTGCGTCTATAGTGTATTTTTGAGTTCGGGGTCCTTGAATGTCGTGCTTTCCGGATGGCATTATCGGAAAAGATCCATGCTAAGAGTCATAGCATACCTAGCTATCGAGAGTCATATTTCAATTGCTTATGAAATCATTATCGCGAAATCGCGTTCGGCTATCAGTTTTCAAACAATTGCAATGTGCAAAATGGAAACCAGCAGGAAATCTATGGTGTATGCATGCGCATACCTAAAAGTTGTTCCATCAACAGAACGAAATCCGGTATCTTTCATATTACCAATTTTTACGTTACTAATTTTTTCACGTCACATAGTAGTATATCCGGGCCGGACTTATACCAATTCGATTGATAAGCATGTCATTTTTATGCCGGAGTTCCTTTCTTCCTAGGTTTTTGAAAGAACTTCGAAGACGAAAGAGTCGCCTGCACGAACATGTACATGTCGCCAAATCCCATGACCTCGGGTTTGCCGACGATATGACATACATAAGTATCCCGATTCGTCTCTCAATATTTGATCCATGCAATATCTTGTTAAAATTGTGAATTAGGAAGCTTTTTTAGGGATATTATCCTCTAGTAAATATTTTATTATGCGATCAGACTAAGAAAAGTGTTAAAATACCTATTAATCGTGATATATCGATAACCAGGAATCCAATCCATGTCCTTTTGGGAGGAAGTTTCGTTGACGAACACTGTGAAGTATTTCTATTCCCTAGGCTAATTAATGCATATACATGCATTATCGATTCTAAGGATAAATATCTTTCCAAAAGCGATATTGCATATATTGATCCAGTTGATGGCACTTGAAGATATCGGTCTTCGACTGTGATGGCCTTTCTGCCTTTTCCTCGCTGAGGCCGTTTGCATTTTCTAGATATGTGTCGTGCTTTATGCCCTATGTCCGGGAACCTTTGAGGAGAGTTAAAATTCATCTTCGATATACATACCTTATGTTTGTAGGCATATACTTAAAAAGTAGTACTTATGTTGAGGATAGAACTGGAACAGATCAGAGCGCAAACTCTGAATCAAGGTTAATATTCAGAAACATCCTACATGGATAAGTGCAGTATGCCACCAACCGGAATAACTCCGAGGAGCAGGGGTTCACCTGCCATAAGATCCGCGCTCCCATGATATGATATGATATGTCCTACCCCAAAGCTTGTTTTCCATCAACTGCTCCTTTTAGCATCCCCAAAAATGTCACCGGTGGTATCCTAGGCATGCAGCGCGGTAGCTACCCAGTTTCTGCATGGACCTTGGAAAAGGCCTCAAAGCACATCGTTACACTTCCCGAATTCCACTCTTCATCATCAACCATCTCCCCACAAACCACTACATCCACCAGCAGGCCATATGGAACATCCATTCTTATCCAAAGTGACCAGATTCTTAATTTTTGTAAATTGGTAAAATCGATTTGCGACGTTTGGCGAAATGGCTGCCGAAAGGCGCAGGCAGGGTAGAGACGAGGATGACGTCACACCACAGAGGCCGTCGGTTAACGATGCGAACGAAGTAAGCGACAAACTTCCAACGTCGCCGCCATACGATCTTCGTCTAACTGTAGTCGGTGCTTCCAACATTGCGTATGTCCTTATATTCCATCACCGTTTTCTAGGATAGTCAACAGTATTTAATGTTAGTACTGATGGCTTTTGCAAAATTAGAATCGCAGATTTGCGTGGTACCTCAGACCCTTACATCATAGGGAAGCTGAAAAACGTTAAAGGCCTGATCCCAGAAGTCGGAAAAGCCAGCCGTATCCATTTCAGAACCTCGACCAAGGCCAAGACTAGAGATCCGGAATGGCGAGAGACATGGAGGTTTGGCGGTGTGCGGGAGGGCACTTATATCAAATTAAAACTCTTCGACGAGGATGGTAAACAGGCTGTTGACGATAAGCTGGGTAGCATCAAGCTTGTTCTTCGAGATTTTGAAGTATGACCCCATGGATCCATTTTGATCCCAGGATTTTAGTTGGCTGTAAGGTGATTGTTGCCGATATGATCATGATACTGATTGTTGTTTGTGGCTGTATAGAATAATCTTCTAGATGGCTTGGAGCACACAAGGCACATCCCCATCAGAGGATACAAGGGAAAGAAGCACATCCAAGTGCTCACTGCATTCTTTGACCTCTGCAACCCAGAGGCTTACATGGACTCCCCGGAGCCTCATATCACTATCAATGTAATTATCCTCCTCTCAGTTGGTCTCGACGGTCACGTGAACACATAAAGCTAATAAGTGCCTTTCTCAGCTTCAACTTCTCCCACCGACATACCCTTCTAATCTATTGACACATCTTGTCAGTCCCACAAGATACTCTGTTCATTATTCTCCTCTTGCAAATCTTGTTACTACCACTCCCTCAAAAAAGAAGCAAAACACCTCCGAAGCACAAGAGGTACCTCCAGACGCGGCTTCACATCCCTCTACTTCCTTCAAAGCATATAAAATTGCTCTTGTCCATCCACCGCCTTCAAAGTCCCTCCAATTCCACGCCGACATGTCTCACTCCAAGGCTTTTGATCCCTCGAAGCTTCATTACCGCTTCTTTCGTCACCTCGTTCGCAAGCAATATCAGAACATCTATGGTCATGACAACAATACCGTTTATGGCGCTTGGGATGACTCCAACGATGTCGGTCAGGGCCTAGTCGATCTTCTTCAACCAGTCGAGAACAAACTTTTCACATTCGTTATCACTACCAATGGAGAATGGCGCTTCTGCGAGACCGGAGATGAGTATAAGATCAATCACCTCAGCAAGCACGGGATGCACTCCAATGGTGAAGAGAAAGTTGCCTGGAGCGGTGAATTCTTCATTCGTTTTGACAGGGACGTCACAGTAGAAGATGTCAAAGATGCTAAGATGTATGCTCGAGATGAAGAGCAAGCTAAAGTTGGTGGAGAAAAAGCTAATATCGCTGGAGTTCAACCCCAAGGACGTTGGAAGATCTATTTGGACAACGATAGCGGAACTTACTCTCCTGATAAGGAAAAGATTGCGACTTTCCGCGAGTTCATGGCTCAGAACCTCAAGGGCATTGAAGTCGTTGTCAAGAATTTCAAGGATGAAGGGTTGATGCGAGCTAAGAAGGAGCAAAAAGGAGAAGACGCTGATAGTGGTAACCAAGTAAAGGGCAAAAATACCGAAGACGAACAGCACGACCAAAATAAACCGGAAGGAAAAGAAGAAGGCGTTCAAGGCGAGCCAGCCAACGATGAGCCAGACAATGGTCAACCAGCCACGACCGTCCCAAAGCGTAAACCTCGTCGACTCATCAGCATTTTGAAGGAAGAGAACGAACGACGCCTTAATATTGAACGAGAGCAGGCTCAGAAGGAACGTCGGGCTCGTCGTGGCTCTAACTACAGCTCTGATCCCGACGAAAACCCTTATTGATTGGGTTCTCCATTTTAGATATTTAATTTCTCTTTTCTTTCTTCTTTGGGGTATCATTTTATGTATGCGAGATATGTTTTGTTTAAACATTGGAGAATATTTGTATTCTCCTTGATCATTGGGCCGGAGTCATCTGCGAACCTGGTATTCTTTGTATTGGTAATCATGATAATGCTTTCACAAGGGAATGTGACTCTGTTTGTAATATCCGCTCGAAGTCGTTCAATATAATCTCGGTGCCAGAGCATGCGCACTCCTTTCTAGTGCCGCAGTATACTCAACTGTCTAAGTTCTATTCTAGAGTTGCCCCCACCATGTCGCTATTATCAAACATTTGAAAATAATATTATCACCATGGGTCCGGTCCTTTGGTGCAAGCACACCGTCTATATACGAGACTAGGTCGAATAATAGTTCGTCAACTACCTAGGTATTATCAGAATAGGAATACTACATTTTGATATTCAAGTTTGAACATTGTCTCGTACCCAGGCCTGGAAGGCTTGAATATGAAATAAGCCATAAATCGCACTTTCTCTCAATAGATCAAGTCTAAAGTCGTGTTGCCGAGCAATGTAGTGGAAGCGTAAACTACAGTCTCCGTCACCCCATTATGTGTATACATAGGCTCTCTGTATGTTGATATTCCTGGTGTGAACTCCGTTCCCTTAGTTACGGAACTTACGACTATTTAAACGTCGACGCCATCTCCCTGACACCTCCATCTATCCAACAACGTACTCCACGGTCTTCTCCACAGCATCTTTAGCAACGTCCTGATCATCATCACGCTCTCTGACAACGGCATTGATACCTTTCTATCTACGTCTTAGCTATCGTCAGAGTCACTACCCAATTGCCGTTAGCAATTAGTTAGCGTCTATCAAGTATCTATCTATCCCTTAACCGTATGTTGGTGTCTGCTTGATTCTTACTTACCTCCTTACCTACCTATCTACAAAAATGGAAGTCGCGTCCTGGTTGCTAATTGAAATCGATGACTACAGAGTCAAAAGTCTCTACAGAAATTCTTTCAAGATGGAAGAAATTTCTGATTCCGAACACCCATCCCAGTCTATGTTGACTGTTCCGGCCTCTCCCATCCTTTCGAGGATGCCCGGAAAAGGGCCAAAACCCGAGCCATCGACCCCGAGGGGTCTAAAAAGAAAGACATCTCCGCCAATTTCTTCGAGGCCATCGAAAATGGCAACTCCGGGGCCATCAAAAAACCCGGAGACGATGACAGTCCGTGGTCTTTATAAGTACCACGGCCTCGGCCGCAAGAAGCTCGAGAAGTACCACAGCCCCGGATCGTTGAGACGATATGCCGAGGCCGAGCTTCAAAAGCTGCAAGCAATCTTCGACGAGGAGATTGCAAAGATCAAGTCGACGGATATCCCTTTGGCCCAGGAGATAACCTTCAGCAACATCGATGAGCTTGTTGAAGAAGCGATGGAACGTCTCGAAACTGAAAAACAGACGTTGACACACCTGAGAGGTGTCATCGTGCTGTACTCCAGGACCATCTTTCAGATCGCAGAGGACTTACTCGAGGAAATCGGGTATGTTACTGCCAGCCAGCAGGAAGAGGAGGATGGCAAGGAGGAGAAGGAGGAAGGTGACATTAAAGATGAAGAGATGGACGAAGACGAAGAGGGAAAAGAAGAGGAGGAGGATGAAGATGAAGATGAAGATGAAGATGAGAACGAGGACGATATCATCCTCGTCGATTAAGGAACTTGTTTTGACTATTCTATTTATCCATCTTGCTCCTTATAGCGTTTTTTTGTGTCCACGCGTGCGACCACCCATTCCTCTGTTGTTTCTAGACTTGTTTTAAACCTATCATTCTGTAATTTAATGATGAGACGACAGCACGCATACTTGAATGCACCACTCCTGCACGCTTGTATATAATATCTAATATTCCTTCGCATCACTTTTCATATCGACGCTCTTGTAATTATTATCTTCTATATGTTGATGAGATAAACTAGCTAGCTAGACGCAAGCGCAAGTCTATAGGTAGCTATATAGATGTCTAAGGACGAGTCGACGTCGTGGTTGACAACACAATTGTTTGTTGCAGTCTCGTAACCAGACTCGGATCTTTGTGTTGCGTGCTTGTTGTTTTTTGGTTAGCCTCCAGACTTTTGTGTTGCGATCGATGCACATAGCCGGTGGTCTAGTTCTAGTTTTTACACAGCCAGTCTAGAAATATACAGTAAGGAAGCCTATTATATCGATTGTACGAGCGTAGTATTACACTTTGGCAAAATTCGGCTCAGGTAGATGTAATCTAATCGAAAAGTATTGAAACCTTTTTGATGAAACCTCTTAGATAGTGTCGCAAAGTAGATATAGGAAGCTAGTGATATCATGGTATCGTATATTGAAATGAAATATTGGGAGCACGCATGGCTGATTATCTTGGGCCTAAGCTAGTTAAGCTAAGCTTAGAAACTCGGAATAAACTTTGTAAGACTGAACCCGAATGCTAGCCAAAGAAACCCAGTGATTCTATATATTTTAGAAAAAACCCCTCCATGGATCTCCGCCTATTTATATCGAAGACGTCCCACTAGCTGGAAGCCGTAGGGGAAAATTATGAAATATCCCGCCGTTGTTTAATTATTCTATCCGCCCCTCAAGCCCCCAATCGATTGAAAAATTAGATTTGAATAACCCTTCAAGAGGGTGATTTTCCTCCTGATCAAATAAAAATTTAAAAACCGTACCGACGACGTGTGCTAGACTCCATCTTCTGATGGGACTTTGACAGATGAGGTCAAACTTCATAAGCGATTTTTGGTATGCCCTATTGAATAGGATATCAGACCCCAAGATCTTTTGTATTTGATTATCCGAATTGACCATTTGCAAAAATTTCTCTAGGGAGAAGTCGTTGATTATGCCATCGGCCTCGATTTCACCGTAGACGACGTACTCCAATTTCCCGGAGTAGCTGATACCTTCGAGCAGACCTTTGGCCCTCATCCTTGGCCGAATTGTGGAAATATGCTGTATCGGCTGACGTATTTTCGACCTGTCGATAATAGAGATTCTTGCATTCTTCCGCATTCTAAAGGCTTTATGTAAAGCCCATAGTAGCGATGGGGTAGTACTGACAAAGTCGCTGCCTTCGTCCATTTTTTCGCCTTCGATATGAAAAGCGAGTGAAACGTCAAATCGTTCTAACTCGGACTCTGCTAAGATAGGCACCTGGTTGTCGCTGCCTGCAAACTTCCCAGAGCGAAATCCATTTATCCCATTTCGACCATGGGATGACCGGTTGTATGCCCGGTATAGGATTTCGGGTGCTAGTTTCTGAATTGGTCGTCTGGGCCGGTGAGGGACTCGGTGCTCTTCATTCATGTCTTCGTCTGACAAGTTCTACTTGCTTGAAGAGACTGAAGAGTCACTATCGCTGTTTTCGTCATCAGGCCCTCGATCCCTCCTGGTGTTTCGACATGTTAGGGGAGTATCTGCAATGCGAATATCCTCTTTCCTTCTCAGTACCAGCGCAACACCGACCCTTCGAGCCGCGCTTTTGAGCCCACTGGTAAAACTGGAATATTTGTATAGCTTATCATTGATGATAGCTGTTGCGACTTCTAGATATAACTTTTTATTGAGTGCCGTATATCTATACTCCGTAAATTGCGCCACGACCGAGTTTTTCCCACGGAATTTTTGGTGTTTCTGGCTGAGAATTCTGCTAAGTTCTTCATTGTTGACTGAATACGCAAGTTTCAGAACATACAAGTCGGTTTTTTCATCTTCCGTCCAGCGGTTGACGCGTTTACCGGTATATGGATTGATTCGAACACTATCGGAATCAGCTTCATGACCGCCCTCGTCGTCAGAAAGAGTCAAGTCAATGATAATTTGATCATTGGGCTTGATATCTACAGAACAGGATGAGCTCGGTGTTGTGCTTGCTGGAGAGCTCTGTGGGCTAGTTCTATTACAATCCGTGTAGACTAACACTTCAAATTCGGTAGATGCGTCTTCGCTCGGCTGCGGAATCACTTTTCATTAATCTTTCTGTCGTTGAAGTAATGAAAAGAAAACCCCTGGCTATAAGGAAGTACACCAAGAAGTAGGCTTGTTATCAAAGATTGTTAAAAGTACCTTTTGTTCGCCCATGAGATTGCTACCACAGTGTGGGCAAACTCCAGTTGGGATTGGTGCTGTGGCTTCAATCCTTTGTGGATTATTGTCCTCTTCTGCTTTCATATCATCTGAGAAATTTTGGTATTGATCTTGAGGCTCGGCTTCCCAGAGTTCACCTGCAGTGCCTATGCCACTCAGGGCCTCGTGATCAAGTACATCCCAGTTAAACGGCATTTTAATTCGGTTTCAAGCCTTCGGGTAGTTCAAGTTACCTAGTGAAGTTAGCGATCCATATAATACGCAAACTGTATAGAGAAGAGATTGTTTTACATACGAAACTATAAGAGCAAACGGAGTGACTGCTGAGCGAGAAAAGCTGGGTCTAGGACAATTTAAACATGATCATGAAGAGGGGGGCAGTCGATTTATATATCTTCCAGCCATCGCCGAGATCCCCCCCCCAAATCAATATCATAGCGTGGGAAAGTATTCTTGACAATGTTTGAGACATAGGTGATGAATCATTTTCTTCATATTCGGCGATGGCGTGTCTTGATGATAGATTGCTCAGCGTAGAATCCGTCCCGGGTATCTAGAGATAGATACTAGCGCGATCCTCTCGTACAATTTGAGACAGTAGTATCAAGCCTGCAAGATGGACTTCGACTACGCAGTATGAAGTTGGACGTACTTTGAGCCTCTTGTGCTCCAGACTATTAGATTTGCAGTTTAAGATTGGCTTATGCTAATCCGAGAGGAACCGCAGGGTGGTTATTTCAATGGATTAGTTTCATGATCAAGTTCGGAGAAGAATACTTCATGGATCCAGTTCAAACTTACAGTTCGTAAGTAATCCTGTTGGTGAGACAAGTGTCTTATAGTTTAGATATGCTGAGCGAGAGCGTGATGATATCTACAATGGCCGAGCTTTGGTGGAGAAACTATATAAGAAGCTTGTTGCCCACCCTCAAAATCTCGAAAGTCAGCCCGAGATATTTGTTCTGAGCGTTCAACTCAACCTTCCAACCCCATCATTGCTCCCAACTAACCACAATGCCAACTTAGCATCTACACTTTCCAGTAAAGCTTTGTTGTGGTAAATCGCTTTTCTATCCTTTCCCTCTTATTATTTGATTTCGATTGTCTTTCATTTGCACAGAATACCGAACGGCTGTTCCGTACCAACATGAGCCAACCCCACGGTACCAATCCAGGTCAAGGAATGGACCCACCCCATCGGGTTCCGATGCTATACATATCGCCTCCCGTAACAGACTCAATCCCAGAAGTCGAAGCAGCTTCTGTCCCTCATACCCAATGCCCAGTTTATAACCTATTCGAAACACAAGAAACCGATATATTCCCACAAGGTCCAACGGTCCCACAGCAATCTAGTTCAGACGAAAACATACCAGCCTGTACAAGCTTTCAGAACGAGAATAGACAAATGGATCAACCAAGCTCCGCGGATGGTGGGCCACAACTTGATCCTATTTCCCAGGATCCTACTTCCGATATCGCTCGTTCCTAGGTGGATGACGATGACGGAGGGAATCCCTTCGACATGTTTTGCGAAGAGCTCAAGAAGGAAGTTAGTCGGGCAGATATGGAGGGTAGAATGGACAAAACCGGGGGAGTGACTAACTTGATGGTCGAGAACAACGAAACGAGTATCATAATTGAAGAGGATCACGACGTCAGAATGAATACACCGGAAAGAGAGGACCCTATATTTAAGTTATCGAATATAAATTATGGGATACATCACGAAGAAGAAGAAGAAGCATGGCCTACGCTGAGCACACCAAAACGTCCCGAAACATTGACTCAACTACCCGAGGAGGAGGAAGAAAGAAATCTACTCCACTGTTCAGATGACGATCAAGATGATGAAGATGATGACAGTGGGTACTGGACAGGTCGAAAAAGAACCAGAATCAGCGTTAATAAATATAAATCCCGAAAACCTACTTTACATTCTCCCGAAGGTGACCACCTTGCCTTTGACCGGATCTCTCCAAATAGCAAGTACTACAAGACACCATTTGTTCCAAGCGAAAAACCCGTGAACAGAGTACTTTTCCCAAGCGCTGCCAGGAGAAAGAAGAATATAGTAGAAAATCAAGAGCAGGAGAAAATACAGCCGGAAGAAAATGGTATGTTTTCTAAAAGTATTCACAAATATCATTGCACTAGCTGAAGAGAATATAGACGGTGTTGACAACGACACCACGGAACCAGAACCACAAGAACCAGAGTCCGAAAACATCTACGATCCACTTACACCATATCGCCATACGTGGACTGATTCAAACCTCGTGGTCCTATACGTCCTACGCCGGTGGTAGAAACTCGGCCCCCCAGCTGTTCGGAATGTACTAAACCGATGCTTTGGGATCAATATCTCTTCTGGGGCATATGTCATGCAATTTGACCAATATTTTACGAACGAGAGAGATAGAAATTTAAACATATTCAAAGATATCTTCATCGACACTTCATTCACGGATCCAGAAGGGAAATGGAACGCAGTAAAGGAAGAATTAATCGCGGCGGCCGAAAGTGCAGGAGTTCATCTCATTCCTCGAGAAAGAGATGACGATGAGGTTATTAAAATGTACCGAGAGGTGAAAAAGAAACGAGATATTCTACAGATGAGAGAGAGGCTATCGGCATTCTCGCATACCACGCCGGTAAAGTCTCCTCTATTTCTTACGGATGATTCGAGCTCGAGCGACGATGGAGACGAGGTACCAGATACACCATGCAAAGTTCCTGCGAAGTATAGCTCGGAGACAAAGAAACGCAAGTTTATGGCATTGCATGACAAGATAGAGGTTCCCGCTCGCAAAGATGGCAGGAAACTCAAGCTGCCAACAGATATTTTATTTCGCTACTCAGATGGTGAATCATTTGGATACAACTCAGATACAATCATTAGGGCAGGGCTTTTCCGTGATATCTCCCAGCCAGTCCCAGAACCTCTCGAAATGAACAGTCCAGAATTTGACAAGCATGCAGCAAATCATCTAAACCGTGAGAAGATTCCAACCCCCATGATCTCCACATCTAATAGCCTGATGTGGGTTCTCCGAAAAGCTGCTCTCAGCCGTCGTTGGACGAGTGCCACAAACCCTCGAATTACCATTGTCGACCCGAGATATTTGAAGAAGACATACCGTGCAAGTGACTTCATCGCAGGTCTTTGCAAGCGACAGCCAATGATTCCAGCGGCACATCGATATGGTGGTCACTACGACATTCTAGTCTGGGCTGAAATCCCCAAGCAGGCTATCGTGAATGTAATAGACTACTTTGAGCTTCTACATGCCACAAGTGTTCCTCGACATATCCATATCCACTTTCGAATGGATATTGTGAGCCGTGTGAAGATCAACAGTGTGATTTATGGAATGAAGTTCGCAGTTGCGTGTTCCGAAGAAATAGAGAGGGCGGTGGAAGACTTCAGTGTCATAATGCTTGGGAAGGCTGTTGCTACGGATCTCAGAGATAAGTTTATCACGAACGTAAGTATTGATTGGGGGCTTGGAGCACGACAAGAGAATCAAGACGTTTCAAAATACTTTTTACCACGTTGGGCGGCAACAGATGCCCAGCAGCTACTTCGTCTTGATGCAGATATGTTCAGGAAAGAGGACCAAGTAAACAGTGGGATAAATCGAGGGCAAGACTCTAGACTACTTGAAAATTCTGACGGGCAGCTGGCTTAAGGAGATTACACCTGGAGAACAAGACCGACAGTGAGGGATCCACATATATATCACAATCTATTCTATATAGTCATTTGACAAGAATAAATCAAGTCACACTATCATTAAGCTTTCCAACTGGCCGTCTGTGATATTATACTCAAATAGCCTAATAAGATTTCGAGAAGTAAAATCAATTGGCCCGGTCAGTTGCACTCTATGGATGCATGCGGTCTAACAGGCAAGAAGCTTATGAGTGTAATTACGTAAGATTCTCCTATAAATATAGAGTCTTCGGGTTTTTTCAAGCTCGATGTTTAAGCGATTGAGTTAGGTCTGGTAAATACAAATAAGCTTAGGTACGTGTACATATCCTTACATCTATCAGAAATTTAAAGTTCAAATTATGTTTACTTCGAATCCCGGGATCCCAGAAAGCTATAGTATAGTTCCTAGTCTCAAGACCAGCTGTATACGTGTATGTAATGAAATCTACGAAAGAAACCTAATTACGCCTATGTATACGATAGTTTGGCACTTAAGCACTAAGATATCTTAGGAATATATTAATAACGGTAGAATATGAGATGACGGGCAATTTAATTGCTGCGATAGCAAATTCGTTTTAAGACAATCAGATTATATATACCATGGATCAATACACCATCTAATCTTTTGGTATCGATATCATGATATCATGATAATGAAATATATACCGAGCACACTCAATTAAATTGCTAGGTACCACGGGACTCCTTTCAGATTTGGAATGATACACCCAATTTGCGACGCTACTTTTCGGATTATTCCGTGAGTGTAAAGGCATTACACGTTACAATTGGCTGATATGATCTTCGACCAGGATATCTTACCAAGTACCAAGGAATCCTCTGTGCGTAACCAGGTCTGAGCGTTGAAACAGCTCTAGACCCCACCGTCATATGATACGACGAACACACATATTTGACTTTTTTTCAAAATTTATAGGTCGAGAAACACTATTTTCATTCCTTCAAAACCGCATAGGCTGAGATATTTTGAACTCCCAAAGCTGAGGTTGTGTACCCATTATGCAAATAGGATATATATAAAAAAACCACTCCGGCTTTTAGTCTTCGGCTATCGAGCATGTCTAGTTAGCTCGCGGGTGAGGACTTTAGGCTGTCGGAAATCAACCCCAGTAACATCTATTTAGCAGAATTTTGAGCCAAAAAAAACTCTCCATTTTTGCCTGTATTCACGTCGGCTGCTTGCTGGCGAAAGGCTTGCATTTTGGTGGCTGAAGCATAACGATGGTGGAATATCATGTCGAAAGAATTCAACTCTATGTCTTAGCATCACTACTACATTCCTTCCAAGTTACGAGTTAGCCCGGCCAAGTCTCCTCAAGAAGATATCTTTTCCGAAGCCACGTTCTGTGAGGTTGATAATTGTCACAAACTTCATCTCGAATAGGAGGTAAAAAAAAAGTATGAAAGGCTTTAAACTTTGTAAAAAAAAACTAGGACCCGCTCACGGACCAGCTCCAGTTATGCCTATTGGCCCAAACCCCTAAAATACCTTGTAAAGGCAAGGGTAAAAATCCTGAAGTACTTACTTACATACATCGTACATGTAGTATATGCCGGCAGTCCATCTGTCTCTGAGGGCTAAAGCCATGTGCTCTGGAAATGCAGCAGGCGGGAGGGTTCGCGTTCGCAAATTTGGATGGCTGTTGCATGTTGCATATGTTACTGCATAACCGCCTTAAGCCCTTCGATTCTAGAAATTCGGGTGCAGGCATTGTCCCAGCCCACGCACGCCTAATCTTGGTTAAAGTGCGTGCTTTCCGGGTAAATTGGTACTTTTATTCGTCACGATTCTTCCTAAAGTTCGAATGACCTTGACTCGTAATCCTTACTACCATATTGTATAGAGTTTGCGGGGCCGGATAAACTTGAATAATAAAATAATAACTTCCCTAGGCTGGACAAGTGGCTTGACCGTGGAAGCATGCACGATGCAAGTGGCCCAGCGCCACGAACGCGACGTCAAACGCAGTTTGTCAGAAAAGTTAATGATCATAATATTGACTTTAACAGCTGGAAAGCCGCTCTTTGGAAGCTTTTAGGAGGGATATGTCTGTATCTTTTTTGTATTCGAGGCGCAAATACAGTGTATACGTTAGCTAGATGAGAATAGATAGATCGATTTATAGAAAGACGTGAAGATTTAGTATTTAGGTTTAGTTTTGGCTCTGTGTTGGTTTGCTCTTAAGATCTTGCTGTCGTTAACAATCAACTCCTCCATTCAAACAACGTTTATGAATCTTTGCATTTGCAGATTGAAGCGCTCTACGGGTTTAACATTAATGATGTCCACTTCCATTCACCATTCTCGTTCGATTTCGTAAGCATCATTGCATTCCCCACTTTCTTTTGGTGATACAGCAGCTAGTAGCTAGCACTGGATAATGATACCCGCTCGGGTGCCAGAGTCCTGGCATCTGGGCTCTCAAAGTCCCAGAGCCTTGGCTGGTTCAAGATCAAAAACGACCTCCTGGTTAAAATCAAGGCTCTCTCGTCAAAACAATCTGAATCTCGTCCGTGTCGATGTGTGCCAGCTAGCAGACTGCCGCTGTGGAACCGATTACCTGCGTGCTCCACTGTTATGTGGTGATTGGTCATAATCAGTCTCATCTAGCTAATTGAGCAGGCTGCGAGCCATGAGACTTCCTAAGAGTAACAAGGAATGGCAAAAAGAGCCAGATTTACTCGAACAGCCTGCCTAAGAGGCAAATCCGCACAGCTTACTGAGACTATCTCTAAGGTCTAACCATTCTGCGAAACTGACCCTCAAAAGGTCAATAGCAGCCGCGGTTTTACAAATTAAGAGCCACGCGGCGGCGAAAAGGTCTCAATCTTCGCGGCTGTTTCAATGCACAGGATTGATCCCTCCAGATGGGATCTGGTTTACACTCGCGCTCCAAGGTCCATGAACATGATATCGATAGTGCAGTGCAGCGCTCCAACAAAGACACGAAAGTTCTAGTTACTCCTTTTAATTTCTGTATCCAATTGCAATCCTGATCGGATTGTTTAGGCTAAAATACGGAGTCGGCATCTGCAAACCTAAATGCAAATTTGACGACCGTGGTGGATCCAAAATCTGGGGATTTGCACTTGTTGGCGGTGGTGTCTTTCCTTCCCCAGTTTTCTCGCAAGTCCATTGCATTGCACATTTATCCGATATTCCCTGCCGACGGTTACTAGCACAAAGCAGCGACAGTGGAGAACCGGATCGGATCATTTTGACAACGAGGACTGCAGCTGCAGCTTGGCCCTATGAATGTTGCATTTCTTCCAGCTCGCTGTTTTTTACCTCCAGACCCAGTTTTCGCTCAGCTACTGCCATGGATACTTCATACGAATATAGCCAAAACGGGGATATATCGACCAAGATACCCCTCCGGTTCTACGGTTCTTGTGGGGAGAGCCGCCTTGGTCTAGCTCGTGCTAGCCCCATAACCCTGTTCCCACTCTCCCAATACAGATATTGAAACTCGATGGCACAGCAGCTTACCATCCCCACCCGGATCATTCGATTCACATCCAATGTTCCACCGCACGTTTAACACTGCGGTTTGACGAGAAGGATTCTGGAAACCCGCAGTTTGGAGTATAGTCCCGGGTAATATTGCAGCATCGATGCATTTGACAAGGGCCTTTCCATGTGTCTTGGCAACAGGTGGCACAGACTTCTTCCAACCCTTTTCCATGAACTTCACTCAGATCATGGCCATGGTCATGGTCATGGTTAGACAAAGATGACTATGGGGAGTTGGCGAACATGGTTCCAATTTACCCAACCGGCGGGAAGAGCGCGATACTATCGCTGATCCCTTTCATCTCTGGTCTGGCTAAACTTCGCAAGAATTGAATTCGAATATACCCAGGTTGACAGATTTGCGCGAGCATGCAAGTATAAAAAGCCTGGTGTATTCCCCCATGTTTTTGTACTCCAGATTCTGAGATCTCCAGCTCTTATCAACATCGTTCTCCTTTTAACAACTATTTCCGGGGTATAATATATAATTTTAAACGTCATATCGATAATTTCATATCAATCATCATGAAGGTCTCAACACTCGCTGCTCTTGGTGCCTTCGCCGCCGGCCTCGTCGCTGCTACTCCAGTCGACAAGCGCGCCACCGTTCCGGCCGCTAACAAGGTCAAGTACCAACTTGATATGACACATTTCCACTCCTCCGCAAAGCGAGGACGACGATATGAAGCCCTTGGAGGAAAGATGGCTCTTCTCCAGAGAAGATGGTTCGGTCACGCTACTGGTATGTCTGAAGTGCATTATACCAAGATGCCAATATCATCGCGCGCACGGTCCCTTCAAATCGCAGGGAACACGCGGTGTGGCTTTTTTTGATTGCGAAATTGTGCCGCTGACCAAGATTATTGGCGATGCTTAGAATCCTACACTTTGGAAGATGCTCCATACGCTGCTATCGCTGGCAGCGTTGAGTTCAACAGAGTCACTCATGAGAACAGTTTGAAGTGGGAGACTATCGAGCCACAGCAAGGTGTTTTCGACTTCACACTCGGTGACAAGCTCATTGCTTGGGCTGATGCCAACGACCAGGCCGTTCGTGGTCACACCTTGGTCTGGTATGAATATAAATCTCAACTGCCGCAAAAATATGCCTGATTGAATACTAATGAAACTTCAAAATAGGCACTCCCAGCTCCCTAACTGGATCAACAACCCTGCTGTCCCATGGACTGCGGCTACTCTCAAGCCAATTCTTGAGAACCACGTCCGCACAGTCGTCCGCCACTACAAGGGCAAGATCGACCAGTGGGATGTCGTTAACGAGATGTTCAACGAAGACGGTACCTTCCGTGACAGCATCTTCTACCGCCTCTTCGGATCTGACTACGCTAAGTGGGCACTCACCTGGGCCCACGAGGAAGATCCAGATGCTCTTCTCTTCATCAACGACTACAACTTCGAATACGTCACACCTAAAGTTACCGCTGCCGCCGCTTTCTTCAAGTCCCTCGTTGACCAAGGTTACCCACTCGGTGCCGTCGGTGCCCAGGCCCACTTGATCGTCGGACAAGTCGACGAAGCCGGTATCACCGCCGGTTTCCAGAAGTTCACCGAATTCGGTCTATTGTTGTACCTCACCGAGGTCGATATCAGATACGAAATCGGTCGTGGAAACGATATTGCCAACTACACCACCTCCCAAATCGGACAACAAGCCAAGGATTACTATGCTGTCACCAAGGCTTGCTTGAACGTTCCAAACTGCATTGGTATGACTCTTTGGCAATACAGTGACAAGTACTCTTGGATCCCCGGTGTCTGGGCCGGTACTGGCGCTGCTCTGCCATGGGACGAGAGACTAAACAAGAAGCCAGCATATACTGCTGTCTATGAGGCTATCTTGGAGAAGCCTTGCTCTGTTTGCGAGACCGACGGACTCGATGCTTAGATAGAGGAGTGACGGGTTATTCTTGTAGAATAATTTCTTTTCTTGTACCATAAAGTACAATATGTATGATAGTTGATCGACGGGTGGCAAGTTTTTGACTACCAAATTATAATGATATTGCTTTAGATATTTACGAAGCGAAACTTTCGTTATGGTTATGGGTATATATATATTGTGATTGTGCACTTGTAAAAATGATAGAGAAGAGGTCCTAGCTGTATGCCAGTAGTCGCCCTAGTTGGGACTTCTCGAGACCAAAAACACCGACACTCGCTCAAAACAAAAAGGAAGCAGAAAGAATTCGACTCGCTACCTGCTAATAGTGAGGGTTTTGACTTGATAACTCCTAGAAGTTTCTAAAACAATATCCACCATGGTACTCTCCCAAAACTCCTAACAAAAAAACTCCAGTCATTAAAAGACTCAGCCGACAAACTAAAGGGAAACATAAAAAGAGAAGACATTCGTGACAAGAGATAGTGAATGAGTGTATTGGTTGAAAAATATAGATAGTCCGCATCTGCATAAGCGCGCACGCTTATCGTAACAGTCTTCGACGTCTTTTGACAGGAACGTCGTCGTGTCTAGGCTGTATCCACCATGCGATACCACAGTCATCACATGCAGGTTCTAACTTCACCTTAGGATACCACCTAACCACATTGTTCATCATGTCAGTGAGACCTCTCTCCGTTCTGACTTCCCCTCCGGGAAGGATGTATCTATCGTGGTATCTAAGGGTCGTTGTTAATGGAAGCTCTGCCTGAGTCTGGACATCGCGTAACGGGCAACCAGGCTGATGCGTCTTCCTATTGCTAGGTTTAGCTTCGTCAGATTCACCCTTGGATTTCCCCCGCTTTCGTTTTGAGGTTCGACGAACGGAGTGATAACAAGTGCAAGTATGTTGGACGACGCATTTGGGGCAAAGGCGCTCGTAACTAGTGGGACAATATGGACAAGGGGTTCTTGCGCACGTCTACCGTAAGTGTTAGATTTTATTCATGAGGGAGGGAGGATTCTTCAGAAGGGAACTCACCCAACAAATTGGGATCGCGCAGGCGCTACACCGCTGTCCGTAATCCATTACATCGCGTCCATTATCGCAGTTCTTGCAAGCCACAATGAGGGAGTCACACTCATCCATCCCGCACACCGTAAGGTGCTTTTTGCCATGTCTTTCCGATTGGGTATCGATGGGAATTCGGATTGGACAGAAGTCCTCGGGCATATGATTACAGGTGCAGCCTGTACAGTTGCTTAACAGCAGCTTCCTCGCTTCTTCTTGGGACTGAAAGTTGCACTCTACACAAACATACCTACCAGCATTTGTGCAATAGTTACAACAGTTGGAGACGCAGTACTTATGCGGCATATACTCCGGAAGGGCGGTTTTTGTCCTGATAGGTCTCCAATCGAGCGGTCGGGTAGCGAATGTCATCTTCCGATCACAGTCGATACAAACATAACGGAGGCAAATATAGCACGTTCTTGCTTCCTCGCATTCGCGACATATGTGTGATTCTAGAGTAATATCGCACTTATTGCACGTTCTCGCGGCGAGGTAGCCAGGTGCTGCGAATTTTGGTTCAACATTCGAGTCGGTAAGGCCATTACCTCCAAGAACGGTAGTGTTATCCATATCAACCATTCCATAGTCGAAGTTGCCTTCTTTGATGTACTCTTCGTTCCAGCAATATCCACCCGTGGCAGAGCAAGCCCCATAATCTGTTTTGATCCCCAGTACTTTACAATACTGGATATAGAGACTTTTTACACCATTTCCATTTGTTCGAAAACGTGAGCTCCCTGCGCTATCGTAAAGGATTTGAATATCTCGGTCTCGTGACTCATTGTAACGTCGGGAATTATGATGACCTTCTCCACGGACTCCCCAAACTAAGAGAGTCTTGAGTTTGCAAGGTTTCATGATATTTAGTGGCGAGGTGACAGGCCGTCGTTGTTGAGCTTCTTCTAGATAGTGCCCCAGTACATCAAAGCTTATGCTTCCAAGGGATAGGCTTCGGCACCATCTTACACTGAGAAATGTGAGCTGCTGAAGTACCACGCCGAGTATCTGATACCAACAGTTCCAATGGATGTCGCTTCCATCTAAAGTGAGCTTCGTAAGGCTAGCAAGAGGCAAGCTGGACAGTACTCTCTCCTCGTAGCTGATGGAACAGGAGCGGTGAATCCAGTGAGCCGTTGGTTCATGTGTTTTGAGTCCGGATAAGATGTGTAATGGCGATCCCGTCCATTTCCCCGCCCGTCCAGGAACTACCTCCGATACGGTATCAAACCGGTAGTCTCGGTGGACTCGGTCGGAGCGGTCCGCAGTGTAGGCTGTGATATTGATCTCTTTCCAAAACATTGGCGAGTCTAAAATCCGCCGCCTGATATATTTGCATATGCTCATTAATAGGAGCAATGAGTCCAGTTCGCACGCTTCGATCAAGCTGCAAAATATTGGATAGTGGTCCACCATGACTTCCATGAACCGACACCCGGCTGTCGGATTAATTAATTTCGGAGGGTTTGTTTCTAGATTATCGGCCAAGAAGTACTGGACTGCCGCCTGCTGGGTTTGACCGAGGAAAGTATGAGGATTACAGAACCTTTGCTTCCATTCCTTGGCCGATTTGAAATCCCTCGGCCTATCCGGAGGCATAGGATCGAATACTTTGAAGCTCGGGTGCATCTTTTCAAACCGCGCCGGATACAACGGGCTACTCTCAGGTTGTTGATACTGGTCATACGGTCCATTAAGGTGCCCTTCTGATCCAATGAGACGACCAGTCCAATCTATCTCCGTTTTCTGATAACTCGAACTAGACCAGTTGACTGGCTGCTTCCTGCCATTGGGTAGAGTAACTACCCATTTTGGAACCTGATAGTGTCGCCAGTCGACGTCTATTTCTCCCAGGTATATGCGAACATAACGACTGGAACGAGAAAGCAACTGCAGTACCTTTCCTATATTTTAATTACCAGGGATTCGTTAGCGAGTCACTCGAGCAAATATTAATATAAACGGACACAGTGGCTTAAGCTTACGAGATGGCAGCGTCTCCGTCGAGGATGAGGGCGATGGTCTCGCTAGCCCACTCATGCTTTAATCTGCCTTTTCAGAACCATGAAGGAGTGGAAGAAACCAAATTTTTCGTTTCGGCTTCAGATAGCGAACGTTGTGTTCATCGGAGGTTCGAGGTTGAAGTCAGAGATGAGACGGTTTTATTAAGTACAATACGAGAAATGGAGCTTCCAACACGACGCCGATTCGCCAGGCCAGTCGAATCGAGTCGAGTCGGCCTCGAGTTATATTTAAACGTCGGCCAACGTTGACTTGCTCCTGAAGCCTTGTTTTAACCTCCCTCTTTGTTTCGGGTTCGTTTGCTCAAAGGCAAATGTGACGACGATACCGCAGGATCTTGAACTTCATAACAACATAGCCTCGAGTTACGTATATTATAATCGCTAACCAACTAACGCTAACATGCATAACATCAAAGGTTGAGGCAGGCTGCCGCGTGCGGAACCGAGAGGGCAAGCTTTGCCTCGCGACTAAACGAACGGTCGGGGCCAGATCCTCCTTGACGGAGTGTGCAGGGGTTCCATTCCGGTGGCTCTCGACCGGTCTTTCAGCCCAATTTCCCCGCAGGAATCGGCAGAATCCATGGCAGAATTCGCTTGAAACTGGGCGCAAAAAGGGTCTTTGTGCAGCTGTCACTAAGGCCTCTTTTTCTCCTTTTGTCGGTGCGGAATTCCCGGTGGCACCAGCTGGTGGTTGAGATATTTGGCTTCTTGGTCGTTCCTGGCTGGTCCGGTTTTCGACATCTCCTTTTCTTTTATCATGAAGAGCTAGTCCCCTTTTTACGGCGTGAATTTGCTGGGGCGGCTCTTGCTCACGAAAACACCGTCCAACCGCGAGGTTTAGAGGTCGAATATCGCCAGTATCACGACGGTGCTTTACGTGCCCACCAGACGGCCTGAACCGAAACTTAAGGGGCCCGTAATCCAATAGACTGCTCGACGCCTTGTCGCGATGAACACGGCTTCGACAGCCTTCCGGCTGCTAGTTTTACTATGCGTCCTGGTTATGATCTTGTTGTCTCTGCTTTCGTTCACCTTTATCTCGCCACGGAAGACCCTCCACGCGACACCTATAAACCTTACCGCGCCTTCCCTGAAACCAACGGATCCGATGTACTTAGCGGCCTGCGTGCCCATGTCGAAGGACCTTGCGACTCTTCCCGAGTTTATACTACATCACTATGCCCATATTGGCATTCAAAGGTTTTATCTGGTGGATCAGTCAGAGGAGGGTGGAGTTTCCAACCATTATCACGAATTGCCATTAAATGCCTCGTATATAACTTGGCTTGGGACACCACCCGCTACGGATAACGAAACCGCTCAGTTTGCGGCATACAACGCCTGTCAATCTCGCTATGGCAGCCTACATGCTTGGATTGCATATCTGGATGTCGACGAGTTCATTGAACAGAAACGGAAGGATGTTACGCTCCAAAATTTCCTCCATTCGATGGATAAAAACGCCACGGTTGGAGCTTTGGGGATCAACATGCTCCTTCATACCAATAACAGCCATATCCTTAAGCCCGAGGGAACTCTTCGAGCAGCTTTTACCGAGTGTGTTTCGTCAGATATGGAAAAATCGCCAAATGCTCATATCAAGAGTATCGTGAAGACAAAGTACTACGAGAAACCTCGGACGGACCATAACTTTATTACTAAGAGCGAATCCCTGACTGTGGGAGAAAAGGGTGATAAAGTACCTTTTATCTTCCGGCGGCCCATCACAACGGATCTTTTCGCGATACATCACTATGCGATCAGGAGTCGGGAGCAGTTTAACGTCAGGGTGAAAAACGGTGAGGTCGAGGAGCCACGGACTTTCCCGAACATGATGGACTGGTGGGATGCAGTAGGGAAGATGCCGAAGATGAAATGTGATAGTATGGCGAAACTGAAGCCCTGAGACATGGCTGGCTGGTAGGCAGCGGGCCATCTGGCACACCGCATGCACCGCCCGTATATAAGGACGACCCTAGCTTTTCAACCTTTTTTCTCTCTCTTTCTTAAACTTTTTGGAGTTATCGGGTGGTTTGAGTTTTTCCGCTAATAGGATGAGGTCATGATTTCCTCTAATTCTTCACTTTCCGAGATGTACTATTATGTTTAATCAAATGTCTACGCGTATACGTCCTCAATTATACACCTTAGTCAGGTTTTAGGTAATCGATTCTCCAAATCTCGATTCTTTCCTCGTGGCAGCTGGACGAGATCCTAGCGACACTTCTTTCCAAATCCGGCCACGGAACCAAGGTCAACGCAAAACTTGCAACAATGCATACGACTAATCTACCACCACCCTGCCCGCATTAGTCCTGAATTGCGGCCGTTTTAGCCAATTATTGGAGAACCTTCAATGTACACATTCGTATTTATTCCTCCAAGGCACCGAAAGTTTGAATTGGCGGGTATTCCGGACGGAGACTCGGAGACTCGGAGTTCGATTATGCCTGAATCTAGAAATTTAGGCCACGACAATCGCCCCCCCGCGGAATCGGTAAGGAGGTGTCAAAAAACTTAAAGGTTATTTTCTGCTGGTACCTTTGCTTTGGCCAGCCAGTAGCTAGTAGACCCGGGCCGGGGGTGAGAAAAACGCTATGCATGCGGGATCGAGTTTGTTTAAACATCATCGGTCCTATCGTCGTCAAAATTTCAATCTAGTATTGTATTGGCCCCGCTTGATCAACGACTCGGATTACATTTATGCTGGAGGGTATTCGCTGCCATGTAAACTGTACGCCGAATTAGTTCCATTGCACCGACTTTAATACACTTCCCGATATCCCAATTTTTACCACCCAGGCCAGTGTTGGGAATCAGTACGCAAGCTGGATAGGAAATAGCGGAGGATCTTAGGAAGGGGAGGTGGAAGCCCTAGCTGTTAGGAATTGTGGGGGGCGATACAAACCCCAAGCTAGGGCCCTAGGATTTTTCAATTTATTCAAGGACCATTGAATGTTACAACAGAAACACCCCATACCGACATACTACCGTCTAGATCTATATCTCAATTCACTTCGGATAGAGGGACTCATTCGTCGACGTGCCGAATTCGCGAACCAAAAAGAATACATGGTCGAGATGAGTGTGTCCTCACAAACTGAGGTAATCGGAGTATGGACTCCTACGAACATCACACATTCTGATTGGGAGGCTCTACCCCATGATTCAAGAGGTGGCATCCTTATCGGCATCCAGGTTACAGCTGCTGCAATAGCTGTTATCACGGTATCATTAAGATTGTATACTCGGAAATTTGTTACAAGAACAATTGGAATGGATGATTACTTGATGGCAGCAGTACTTGTATGCCCCAGAATTTCCAACTGTATACATATAGATTCTATTTTCTTACAGTTATACCATCCCCCTTTTTTTCAGGTCATGATAGTAGCCGTTTGCATCGTCATGGTAATACGTACGTATGCTCTGACTTCGTATTTCACAATTCTGGGCTTTGAAACATATACTAATATCTGTTGGAAATCTAGTTTTTAGTGTATTTCAGGCCGGCCATCACATCTGGGATACAAAACCAGGGAATATTCATACAATATACAAGGTATTTACACCTATACATTTTCCAAATCTTCTTCAAGAAAAAGCCTTTAATAACCCCTAAATTTAAAATCGTAGATATCATGGGGGATAACAGTAGTATACTACGCCATCCTAGGCACGACCCGATTCTCTGTCCTCGCGTCTTATATCCGACTATTCGGGAGTATTCCGATCTTTCGGGCAATTGTTATCATCTCAATGGTAGTCAACGGATGCATGACGATCTCGTTTATCGTGGCATTTATACTATCATGTCGACCTTTATACTATGCATGGGATCCATACGTCCATCCGACAGATTATTCTAAATGTATTGACGAAATCAGGTTCATTGTTGCGAGCAGTATAATGAATATCGTTATGGACTTCTGGGTCTGCTTTTTGCCCATACAACCACTGTGGAGTAAGTTCCCTTTTTTGGGTGCAGAGCCCCGGTATAATGTTGGGAGGTTGGGGTAAACGAGATTGAGAATGGAATGTGACTAACGGACTTAAAGGACTGGCGTTACCTCTGGGGCAGAAAATTATAACGGCGATATTGCTATCCCTTGGTGCGATGTAAGTACTATCTTTAATCCGTTCCTAGGATCCTCCTTAGTTGTTTTTAAAGGTACTAAAATGCGTGTTTTTGGGGGGTATCGTAGAGCTTGCGTCGCTAGCATTCTGAGACTTAGAGAACTCCAAAAATCGTTAATAACTACACATTCCACTGACCCAACCTGTAAGCTGTACTCAATATATTCTATATCCAATTAATTAATTTACTAACTTAATTTTTTAATTGTGCCACTAGACGACGCACTAGCATATGGTATCTACTCAGTCCTCGAACAAAATCTCGGCGCGATAGCCGCAAGTCTTCCTCCAACAAAAGCATTAATACAACGCCGATGGCCCAATTTTCTAAAAGCAGACCGTGGGAGTATGGCCGGTCGAGAAGAAGAACAGTTGAGGACAGCTTCGGAGATGGCGCATATTTCGAAGGGGAGCAGCTTTGGTACTGCTGCAGATGGGAATTTGGAAAATGGGGTACCACACATTACTGATATTCAGCCGCTGAGTAGAGCCTATAGCACGCCGTGAGTGGGCGCCGACGCTTCTGGGATTTTATTTAATATTGTCTGCGACGCTGGCGTTAAGGTATTTATACATTTGCTTGTAATTTGAGGGCTTTCTTTGGAATGATGCTGTTTAGCTCTCCGAAGATCTTCTTTCTCATGGGTTTCTAGAATACGGGCGAAAGGAGTTCGATATATTACCGATCGATTTTTGATACTCCCCATATTTAAAGCATGAGCCAAGAATTATCCTACGCTCGCTCAGTGGGAGGCTTGCCGTCTGGTTTACGAGACAAGACGTACATATATGTACATAGATACGACTTCCGTTTGCCTCTCTATTACACAATATTTGAAGTTTGCAAATAGTGGGCCTATCGGATATGGTTTACGAAAATTGGCTTGAGACAGGATATGATGCTTGATTTAGAGTTAAGGCGGCTTCATCCCACCACTGTACAAATGCTTACATCCATCCTCTCCAAGGATACCAAACGTCAACTACAATATCCTTACCATCTAGGATAAAATACCAATCATGACTCGCCGCTGCTACGCAAGCATGTTGAATATCCAAAACCAACTTCTCTCCAACCTTAAATGCCTTCTCAACTTTATCCTCTCCAACATGGTCTTTATTCTCTTTATCTAGAGTCAAAACCCCATGTTCCTGCGATATCCTTCCAAGAACCCACTTCTCCTTTCCTCGTACCCGTCCAAAGCCTGGGTATTGCCCTGGTTCTCGGCCGACCGCCAAAACCCCTGCGTTAATGAGAGCTTCATTTCGAGAAGGATAGACGGAGACAACTTCGACATTTACTGTGCATGCTAGAGAACTATTGCCCGGGAATGCCGGGTCGGGTGGTGGGACGACACCGGTGGCGAGTTGTTGAAGGTCGTTGAACGGATAATTCCCGGCGTGAATCTCTAGGCTACAATTATCCGGTAACTCGATGCCGAGATCTTTACCAAGCGATTTTAGATTTGAAACGACATGTGCAGTTGGAGTTGCACCGATGGAAAGGACTAGTGGTCTATTGCTCACATCTGTGGCGTCTAGTGAATGTGAAACCTCATTGAGAGCCTTGACGGCCGCAAAAACTGTCGATAACTCGGTTTTTAGATATGATATTGAATCATCTTCGGTTTTGGAGGAGTATGAGTCGCCGGCGTGTGCGTAGAAGCCGTAAATTGAGATGTTTCGGTGTAATATCGCGGATTTGAGAAGTTCCTTTAGAGAATCCGAGGACGGCTCTAGACCAGCACGATGGTAACCTGTGTCAAGTTTTATAAAAACAGACCAGGGTCTTCCACAAAGCGGTGGGAGGGAGTTTAAATTCGCAATTTGGGTAGGGTGGTCGACGAGAAGACGGAGATTGGGGATGTTTTTTGAGAGGGATGAGAGGGTGGCTACGTATGATGCTGCTGGTGGCAAGCCATATAAAACCTATCAAAGTTAGCATCATATATACGCCAAAGGCCCTCCAAAGGGGAACGAGAAACATACGTCTGTGACAGTACCGTCATCGATTAACGGCTTCAACCCACGGATTTCCCGAATCGTCGACGTGATAACAGAGTGGTGCTTCGGCCCGAGCTCTATCTTTGTGACTTCGATCGTCTAATTGACATATGAGCCCCGGAGCCAATCCCTCTGATATCGATTTGAAATACGGAGTGCAGTTTTGTTTATATCCATACTTTATGAGTCTTGACATGAGCTCTGAATGAGATATCCAAGCCTTCGAGGCTCCGGTGGAAGATATCGCAATTCCGTTGAATTGTCGGAAGAGAGAGACAGAGAGACGGGGTAGGAAGACTGGAACGGTGCCCTCCGATGTAAGAATGGAGAAGAGGATTCATTGCGGTTTTGCGGGCCGCGGCCTCGTCCATAAGTTGTTCTACGCTCATAGTGGGCGAGCGGCGGGGTGAAGTTTGATTCGAAAGTTCGGTACTGGACGAAGCTTTTAGCGGGAAGCTTTTATCTGAATAGAAAACCAACGTTTAGTAACTTTAAACGGAAGATTTGCTACAGTGAACGGGTACGTATTTCAACCACGTTGACTTACGAGCGAAAGTATTGATACCTTGGATCGATATCGAAGGGAGTTATAAATTCAATGCGGGCGGTGCGGCAAGAGACGTCGGATGTTACTTCTGGTTGTACAACAGGAGCTGGTTGAAATAATGACATCCCTGCTATAACCGGCCGGTCGACCGGGGTTTAGCCGAGCAAGTGATCGAGGCACGAATATATTGAATTAACATGTTGCACCTGGTCGGAATAGGGATTTGGATGAAGATACTATTCAAGATTTATCTAATTAGGGGTTTCTTTCTAGATATATCGATATATGCCTTATCGATATCACACTCATAAACTTATAAGTTCTTTCTATATTTATAAATTTGGTTTCGGCATTAGCGGCTTAAACGCATGAATAACTTGTATTGGATACCCTCGATCAAGCTAGACACTAGGACTAGCGATTTTGATTCGATATAAAAGCTCTATGGAAACTTTGGTAATCAAATCCATAGCCGAAACCGTCTAAACATCGGATTGAGGTCTAGTCTATCTCAATAGCCAGTGATCTAGGCGAGGACGCGGAATCCCCCCTCTACCTTAACTTCCACCCATCCTTCCTTCTCTGGCACCTCGATAAATCTTCCATCGACGCAAATCCATCTCTTCCATAGCTCTTTATCCTCTAGATTTTCGATCCTAAAGCCTTTGCTCTCCTCGTATCCGACGATTTCATGTTCCACATGCTTCCCACCCGCATATGCCCCCATAATCAACGTATTGATCAGATCTTTACCACTGATATCTCCGGTATACAATGCCCAAACTTGGCCATCGCGGCTCTTAGGACTGATCACGAACGTCGGCTCCATTCTGTCAACCAAAGCTAGCATCAGATATGAGTGTTTCGTTCCTCCCTTCACAGCTTCCACTCCCTTTACAGTTGCATTATAAGGTTGGAAGCCGTTCCCCGCACCACCAAGGAAAGTTCCTTTCATAACTTCCTCCGCAACCATCTTGAATTTGTTAATGCCATGCTTTCGATACTCTGGTGTTTCAGAACCACCAACGATAGAGGCATGAAAACCGTATGATGCAACAACGCATCCTCGGATCGAGGTAGTCTTGGTAAGTGATTCCTTAAGTGGCTCTCCATTTTCCCGAGAACCGGGCGAGAATGTGGCAGTGAAAGTGGGGAATAGAGTTGGTTTCCCATGAAGCAGAGACTTTAGTCCCAATCCATGCGCTGAGGCAAAGGCATTTGCTGTGCCCAGTGGTAGAACACAAACTGTGATCTTTTGAGAAGTGGTTGGAACCGCGTTAATATATTCGGTCACTCCAGTATCTCCGCTAAGGAGAACAATAAGGTTTTCGAGCCCATTTGAGGCAATCTGGGTTGTAAACTCTGCGATCGATGTAGGACTACTCGTGATATGAGTAGTATGTGCAACCCTTAGATAGCTGAGCAATGGGGATAGAAGGCCGTCATAGTATCCCTGAGCCGTTTTGAGACCCGAATTGTTTGATACGATGACATGGATCTGGGAAGCTGGCAGCTTAAGGTGGGGTGGGAGGTTTGCGGGGTCAATGATAAGCGACCACAGGGATTCTGATATCGGATGTCGAAGATTAGAGACTTCAAGGGTCGGAGGTGAGGCACCTGATCCTGCGAGGAGAACGTAGTCGCTCCCATCATCGTCATTGTTTAAATTGTTTGGTCTGAAAATAGCAATGGGGGTGGATTCTGGCTTAGTCTCGACGTCTGCCATTGTGATATCAGTCTATCAAGTCTAGTCGATCTAACAGTTAACAGCTTAACAATATTGCAAATCGATTAGATCTAGAGAAGAAAGCCAGCTTTTGCTTGGATATTGTAGAATGTAGAATTAAAGTATACGAGGTCGAAGAGGTTGAATAGTTTAGTGTCTACGCAGCACTTCGGATTTAATTCGTATTGACGGTTTAGCTTACAAATGTTGGTCTGCGTCTGGGATCCTCGGTGCCGGCATCGATGTTGACATTGCGTGGTGTTGCTCGCTTTCGGCAGTTACACAGGCCGCAACACAAAATATACTACACGTCAATATGTGTTGCGATGGTCTGGTAGGGTCGAATCTTGTCACTATCGAACGTCGCGTCGACGTCGACTCTTACATCTCGTGAAACCATCTGCATCTAGCATCTACGCTCTACGGATCTCCTCTCTCCATTTTCTACCCCTACAGCGTCAAGAATCCCCCTTCTTACTCCTCATTCTGCAGCTTAAATCCTCCCCTACTTTTGAAGATGATGGAGTACCCTATTCTCCATCTACTGATGTGGGCTCTGTTCATATTCACAGTACCATTCTTAGCTTTCCTAACCGTGCTTGTGGGTGAGGGAGCTGGAATGCATGTAAGGATAGTACAGACACTACTGCTACTTGTTGTAGTCGCACTGACTACTGTGATTATTGTCAAGACTATTATCCTACCAGTAAGTACCAAGCATCACTCTTTGATTCATTTGCGTACACGTTCAATCTTCTTACCTGAAATGTTATGATGCTAACAGTATATCACAGACGACGGCTACGGACCAGAATACGGGGTAGATAATCCATCAAGATTTGGCTGATACAGGCGTTATGAACAAGATTCGAACTAATATCTATTTGATGAAGAACCGCGTGAGGCTAGTCAAGACTTACACTTCAGAAACGTTGACTAGCTTGAAGATACAAGCTAAGTAGGCTTCCATACATTGAAACAATCTATGGCTGTCCACAAGTGATCGGATTGCTCTTAATAGTTGACGAAAAGTCTAATTACCATACCGAATGCCACTGATACGTCCTCAAAGTTGCCGGAGCCTATCATACCTTATTTATGAAGTATGCTTCAATCTCTCCCAAGTTTTCAAGTAAATGATGCAAATGGAAATATAGTGACACAGATCTTGCTAAAGTTCCGATTGATGATCCGGAAGTCGGCTATGCGGGGTCCTCTACGACTACTCTGAGGAATTTTTAGAAATCGAAATTTTACCCCTCCACAACATTTTTATCCCGAACGTTGCATTGCACTGATTAGCTTGGATTTTGACTAGTATTTGATTCCCTAGGTATTGTCCTCGAGCCATTAAGTTGGGAAATTGGGGCCGGTGTTGACTATGTTCGGGTTCATGAAATTACTGTTGCCACTGTACATGTACATAGCTGAGCGAGGGTATCTATCGTGTCCCTGAATTCCGAACACCTCGCTCCGGTATAGGCGGCCTCATTCCGCGATCTTAGACCCAAACTCCCCTTCAGGATGTAATCCGTTGGCTAAAACTTGGCGGAATGCCCACTACCCCGAGAAATCGGTCGTGAGGAATGAGGCAACACAGAATTTACCACGGGACAATATATGGTATCGACGGTATGCAATCCAGGTTCGCATACCTCATGCAGGTACCACAGGAGTAAGCTTCTGGAAAGGTGTAACGGTATAAAGAGGCCGTTATATCGTCTTTTCATCTATCTTTTTCTCTCTTTCAGCAATCATCGTTCAACTCTTAACTCTAGTCACTCATTTTAAGAGTTTTTCTTCCTTTCTTTCCCTTCTTCTTTATTTTTATTTTTTTCAATCTTTTTTATCAAATTTTTATTATTTCTTTTCTTCCTATATTCTCTTCTTACTTTACTATTATACTACTTTCTTTGGGTTTCCAGGGATCTAACGCCCTCTTAACACACAATAGCTATGGCGCCGTCCGGACAATGGCTACAGCTCTATTTACTTTCTCTTCTCTCTGTTCCTTCTCTTGCTTTGCCCAATATCGACCATTCAAATACCCATATCAGGCGAAAAGACTATCAGGAACAGTCTCGTTGTCAATTCAAACCCCTTGGATTCGTCCATCCGCACCCAGGTTCCTCAAAATCCATAATCACAATTACAAAACAAGGCCAAGAGGTAACAACATACACACCAGCGGCCACTAAATGCTCTGCCGGTACCTGCAAAGAAGTTTACTGTTCTTCAACTTATCGCTGGTATTCTACCTGGCTCCCTGGCCCAAGCGGCCTTCAATTCGTCACCCGTGGTGATGATACTATAACTTTACCTCCCGTACCCTGTGCGACTTCTGCTCCCAAAATCCTTACCAAGTCACATTACTGCAAGAAAAACGGTGTTTATACCATCAAAGGGAAGGTTTATCAGGTACATGATGCCCCGAAGTATATTAAATATGCCGTGGAGACCGTTCATACCTATCTTGTCAGTGATGTGGATTCTTATTTCCAATGGTTGCACAATAAGACCTCTGGAGTAAGGGTAAATATTAAGAGAATTAGCTGCGTGGAGAATACTTGTACGCACGAAATTCAGACCTGGCAGAAAGACCAAAGAGTCAACAAGGAGGTTAAGTCGTTGACTGCGGAATATAAAGGCTACTGTGGAAAAGCTGGAGCTTGCACACTTTCAGCGCAAATTCCAGGTTATGGGGGGAACAAGATTGTGGTCACTGCTAAATCTAAGGGTCCGGCGACCTGTGTTTCTGCGCAGGAAGTCACGATAACTAGGACACACGTTGTGACAAAGTAAGCTTCTTGAACGATCCATAACCATATATTAGTACTAACATTTATTGGCTTTAGTACTGTAACTCGAAGACCGGTACCTATTACCCACCGGATTCGAACAAGAACAGTCACGAAAACCAAAGCCAGAGTATCTAGCTCTTGTACTTCGAAACCATCCAAAAAGATTACCCTGTCAAAAGCAGTCAGAAAAACTACAATTTGCTCGTCAGCTGCTTCTCGACGGGTTACTCCATCCCCATCAATTCCAACTGGCTATAAAACCATTGACCAAACCAAACCACTTCCAACCCAACGAATCAGCGAGGAACTCTATATCGCTGTAGCCCTTATTCCTTCAATCGGATATAATAAAGCTTACCAGAAGGGTGGTAAACTAACCGCAGACTACTTTGTTCGTTTCGACAATTTTGAAGATGGAAACCTAACATTCTCGAAGAATGAATGCGATGCATTACCATTTTCCTTGTCAGACGGCGAACTTACAGCCAACGGCGATTATCTAAAGGCACTTGTTGAGGAAGATGCTATATCAATATCATCTCGGCCCGAATCCGTACCGGTACGGATGAGTACCCCGGAATCTGGAGATACTGTAGCAGTGATTTCAACATTTTATGATGGATATCAACGCTTGTTAGTCTGGGGTACCCAAAGACTTGCGGCTGGGACCGCACTGGCTCAATTTTGCATTCGAAAAGATGCAAACAGGAACAACGGTCAGATATATGTCTTTTGGGATGCGATGGCACCTCAAGATTGCTCTTTAGTGGCGTTGTTTATTCTTGGTAAGTTCTAATCTAACATGAAGATTTTAGTTATTTTTTTTATGTTATAAAATAAACTAACAGGATTGTAGACGGCTTTGTACCATCCAAAAAACCCTCGGTTACAAAGACCATAACTAGAACATCCTCCATAATAGTCCAAAAGACCAAGCCGTGCCCCGAAAGTCTGTCCACTAGCTCTCAGGTATCAACTAGTGCGACAATAAATGAAGCACGCAGCTCTTTCATAACCTCTTCATCAAAGACCCCTTCATCCACAACTATACCGTCGGCAAGGGCCTCGACAAATAGTTCTTCTTCTTCAAGTGCATCCACGGATATTTCGACAACGAGTGCAGTTCCGCCAGCAAGAACTCCTCCACCTGTTGACGAGTATTCGTACGGAGACTATGGAAACTTTGGAGACTTCATTACTGATTTGTTTGATTAAGTCTTCGCCTCCGAGATGAGGCCTTTCAATTCATGTTTCACGCATATGATCACAAGATGATCTTTTATTATACCCAGCCTTTGAGAGACTAGGCTACTTTCTTATGTATACACATCTATGGCCAGGCGTTATTAGGGGTTTTATTTTTTATTTTCTTTTGTTTTAGTGATTGATTCAGAATATATTTTATATCCAGACTGAAATTACTCATGATCATCGGCTGAAGTTGGAGACAATTGGCCATCGTAGTCTCGAGTCTACTATAAAATGATTCCGAAATCGCACATGTGAGACCTGACAGTTATGCTTAGCATTCACACGACTTATCGTACCTGTATCGATTTAGGGCTCCAGCTCTCCGAAACAGTTTGAGACTCCTATAATCGATATTTTTAGCTCCCCTTCCCAGCTTCCCAATGAATAACTATAATGAATACCTATAGGACTATCGATACTTTGTAAATATCTGTCGCATAATCGGAACGTGTCGTTACGATTTTGTGCCACGGCATTCATTTCCGAGTCATGCGTCGAGATACTCGATTCTATCATAGTGTGATAATGGTCGACCCAGCTAAAAATATACGCCGCAGCTAGTAGGCCGCCTGGGAGATCCTTCTCCTTGATTCCTTCAGTTTCTCGCCCATACTTTTAGTTTATTGGCAATTGCAATTTCTTTTGCAAAAGCTGTTAACTAGCTTTGCCATCTTGTAATGTAGTAAGATCTATTGGCTAATTCAAACTTTCTAAAAAGTTTCCCTAACTTCATTCGAAGAAAATTCCTCCTCTAGGGAATTTTCTATTCCTTCTTCTTAACAGATCAGCCAATTACCATGAAGTCTCCGTTCAGCTAAGGTAAAATGGAAATTACGGCAAAGTCCTGCGGAGATGACACCCAGCCTTGAAGATTCGGGTAAACATTCCAAGATAGGCACGATATCGCATATAGGCATCCCAATCTATATTAGTGACCACCCCCCAAGTGGCAGGGAACAAATTTTCATTGCATCATGAAAATATGGTGTTTCATGCTTCTTCCTCGGGTAAAACCTTGTCTTCTAGACCTTCTGGGCATTAGCAAGTCTGGGCCTCACAATGCGGCCCTCCTATAGGGCGCCGCTGGCCTCACTCTGCATTTGGCACGCATGGCAGTGTTTCGCAACAGGTTACTCCGGAACGACACACAACGCAAAGCCACACTCCTCCAGGCGTTTTCTCCGTCTGCCAACGGTTCGACCATGAGACGGCTTCCCAGTTTGAGCTGCACGACCCCGCGCTAAGGTAATAGCATTGATGTGCTATTGAGCCTATCTGGAATCGATATAGTACATGTAGCTTGGGAAATGGCAAATTCGACGGATTCCACAATATATAAGGACCGTTTCCCACCGACCCAATCTGATTTTTCTTTCTCCTTCAGTATCATCCGAAAACTCAAGTATCTAAAACCCCCAAATACATTTTCTTCTCTTCTTTTCATCACCTCTGGTAGGTTGATTTAGGCTGGTCCTTTCCAAAAAATCATTATTACATTTTCATTTTTCTATTACGAACTACTTTCAGTTTCGATTCACGGCATCTTCTTCTCCTTACGATAATCTTTCAAACGATCTATCTTAATTTTTTACGGCATCTTCTACACTCTTAATTCTCTTAATTTTTTTATATCTTTTTATATCTCTCTCTCAAATCATTCAAAATGAAGTTCTCTGCTATCCTCGCTGCCGCTGTCCTCGCCTTCGTTGCCTCTGGTGCTCCTCTTGAGCGCAATGCCCGTCGTGCCACTACTGCTGACCTCGCCCGCGCCGATGGTCCAGTTGGCATCGTCGGTGCCCCAATTCTTGTTGCCCGCAGCAATCCGCTTGTCGCCTACCTTCACAAGCGTCAAGATAGCCAGGGCTTGAAGAAGTTGGTCATCAACTACCTCACCCAGAAGAAGGCTCCCGCGAGAATCATCCAGTTCGTGGAGACTGCTCCAGATCAACTCGTCGGCCGCATCATGCAGCTCCCACCCCAGGATATGCAGAACGTCGTTGGTGCTCTCGAGGAAGGTAGAATCCCTTCCATCCCTGGTATTCCACCAAAGGAGTTGGTTCTTTCCTTCTTGCAACCTCTTGGAATTCCAGCGGATACCATGTCCAAGATCACCAACGCTCCAGACACTGTCTTCAACAACATCACCAAGTTGCCACTCAAGGACCTTGATGCGGTTATCATTTCCCTCCAGGGTGGTGTCATTCCAAACATCCCCGGTGTCACTGACGGTATCGCTGGCGTTGACCCTAACGCTCCTGCCATCGGGACCGTTCCCGCAGCTGGTACCGTTCCAGTCGCCACTCAGCCGGTTGCCAATGTCCCTGTCCGCCAAAGCTTCGGTGCCCCAGCTGGCCGAAAGGTCAAGCGCGAGTTCGGCCGACCTGATGCTTCCTTGAAGGTCCGACAGGTTCAACAGCTTCCCCCTACTGGCCAGGTTCCTACCACTGGTCAGCTCCCAACCGGCCAGATCCCAGCTGGTCAGGTTCCAACCGGTCAGATCCCAACCACTGAGGTCCCACCACTCCCAGCTACCGGTGCTGAGCTCAAGACTTTGACCATTCAAGACATGACTCAAGGAGGCGCCCCTCCTCAACTCATCGAGTTTGTCAAGACTGTGCCAGACGCCACCTTCGACGCTCTCCGAGCCCTCGAGCTCACCGTTGGCGGTCAGAACGGCCAGCCACTTAACCAGGCAGTCGTCGCCCAGCTCAACGAGTACTGGGGTCAGTTGTACAACGGCCAGATGCCAACCATCTCCACAGCTGGAACTGCTCCAGTTGCCAACACCCCAGTTGCCAACCTTCCAGTTGCCAATGCTCCCGTTGCCAATCTCCCAGTCGCCAACCTCCCAGTCGCCAATGCCCCGGTTGCCAACATCCCAGTCGGTAACACCCCAGTCGCCACCATCCCCACCACCATCTAAATGATTGATTGATAGTCCACGAGTTTTATTTGTAGAAGAATGCCCTGAAGTTTGATGCCTGATGCCTGTATGTGGTAGTTTTTTTTAGAAAGTGTTAATATATTAATGACCTTTAAAACCCCTTCTTCTTTCCATTCGTAAAATTACAAACAGTGATATAAGCTTAAAGTGTAAAAAATACTAACGACACTGTAAGATAATGTGATGTGAATAACTATGCCCTAAACCTTCTACACTCCTCGCATATCTCGATCCCACAGCTACGACAAGCTAGAATATACTTCCAATGTCTAACATCACAAATTTCACACCTGTGGCCAAATGGCTTCGGTTCTGATTCCCTCACAAAGCCTCCGGGATGTTGGCAGGCGCCATTGTTGTTAATAATTTGCTGTTGAACTTGATTAATCATATTCATTCGGAATCTTGGTGCGAGCGGTCGCACGGCGGCTTGATCTACTCGGGCTGCGGCATCTTCGTAAAGTCGTCGTTCTTCAAAAACCGGGCATGGACATTTCTTCCACTCTACCCCACAAATGTAACAGAATTCTGCTTTACAGTGGCATCTTTTGAGAAGAAGAAAAGTAATATGTTAGAATAATAATTACTTATGTTCATAGATTGGGGAGGGCGGAAGTAGTAACTTACGTTATATGATGACACCCACTCCTCAGCTCGACCATTCTTTTACACTTGAAACACTGTTTCCATCCTTGCTGCCCAGCAGTATTTATCACTGCTTGCAGCTCATGGTCAACTTTGCAAGCGCCCGCGTGCCATTTTTCTTTACATTTTGTGCAAGCGACTGTCGAACAATGCTTACAAAAGGCGAAGTTACTGGCTTTGTTGACTGACTCTGGCGGAATGAACTGCAAACACTTTTTGTTCGGACAGTACATTCTATCTGAACTTGAATATTCTACCGCTGCTTCTTGATATTGTTCATATTCCGCAGCCGATAGGATCCTCGCAATAACGTTTCCAGGAATTTCGACCTTGCAGCACTTAAGAGGATAGAGTGATTCATCTTTCATAGCTCTGAAAACGTAGGTCCGTAAACAGTTTCGACAATAGATATGATTGCAGGGGTTGCATTTTGTAGATTGGTCTTGTAGTACGTTGTCGGAACAGATGCTGCATTGAACTCTCGGTCCGGCATTATAATACTTCATACTACTCTCCCGCACGTACGGACGTCTATATGTTGGCATTGTTCCAGCGTTACTTTCGAACTCATCGTCATCGTCATATTCGCTGTATAGTGTTGTTTGATCTCCATACTCCGTAGACCCCGCCACCGATTCCAAGTCATAATTACTATAATCGTCACCACCTCTCATGACCAAAGCGCGAGACCGGGAAGACGTGGCAGCAGCAGTAGATCGAGGTGCGGTTTGCGGAGTAGCGTCCATAGTGTTTGCCATTCTTAGCGCTTGTTCTCGGTCTCTAACAGCGATAGCTTCAAGGGCTTGGAATTCGGCGATTGTGGTGGAATCCTGGAGAACAGCGTCCGCGATACTTTTTGCCATGCGTTGGTCTGCGTGGAATTGAGACATGGATAGAAGGATGTCTTTGTAGTCTTGTAGGGCTGCATGACGATCAGCCATTTTACCTGCTTTTTCCTTGCCCTTACGATTATCGACTTCGATATCGAGCTCTTCAAGTTGGAGCGTTAAGGCTATTAGTAAGTCATCGTTGACTTCATAGCCCGCAGTTGAATTTGAGGGTTCGGGGTTTCGAGTGTGGATCGGGAGCCTTGATCGTGAGGGCCCTGCTGTTGCCATGATGATATCGGTAGCGCTATCGCCGCGGATTGAACCGAAATTGGTATATATCTAGGCAATATGCGCCGAGAGGCTATAAGCTATGAAGAATCGGTTCAGATCTGGTACATGCGACACAACGATCCGTATCTATACGCCTTGTCTGAAAAAAAAAAAAAAAAAAAAACCGGAGATGTGCCACTATAGTGCAAGTACTTAGGTGGTGCGATTATCCCGCAGTGCAAATCTGCAGACAATTCAATTCCCCCGCGCGCGCGTTGGATCGATACTTAGTAAGCCCCGTAATAACCTCGATTATCGGTGTACCATATGGTACTATGTGTCCAGCCAACCTGTTGTCCAACCAATTGGTACCGATTTGTGGGGTTCGACATTTGGTTGCACCGTTCTCGATTTCAGGCAACATTTAGAACCCCGGCCGAGGAATGCAGCCTGACGCGCCGGGGTAAATTCAGCAGCGTTCTAACGAAGAACATAGACAATATAACCCGGGCAAGTAGACGAAGAAAAACATGGGATTCAAATAATTTAATTAGTATATCGTCTAATTTTTCTTTTTTTCTTTTCCCGCTATCTAACTGCAGATAAGAATATGAATTACACCACGATTTTCGTGTTGCGTGTGGTATTTTTGACAGCTCCGCATTGGGAAATGCAGGGATCGGAGCTCCAAGCCGTCGGCTATCCCCAACCATTTCGCAGCTTAGCTTTGGGACTTCGAAGCTTCCCAAGTTCCTGTTCCTGTTCCTGAGCTAAGTCCCACCAGTGCTATCCACTTCCTCACGACCAATTGGCATAATGTCCGACCTTCCTGATACTACTCCAGTCCCAGTATCCGATGACCGAATCTGGGTCGATGGATGCTTCGACTTCAGCCATCATGGTAAGTAACTTCGAATCAATATCTACTCAATGGGTAACTAGCATGTGGAGGGGTTCTCGTGCTAACACCGAGGCGAAAACACCCAGGCCATGCGGGCGCCATGTTACAAGCAAAGCAGCTCGGAAAGCATCTCGTCGTCGGAATCCACTCCGACGAAGAAATCACAGCAAACAAAGGTCCCACAGTTATGAACCTAAAAGAACGGTACATATCTTTTCTCAAACCGAAACGATCTCTAAGAGATAAAAAATAAAAAATAAAAGACGTTTTATGGAATTTGAATCCCGAAGTTCGGCTACTAATCCTTGCGAGTGCAGAGTTTCCGCTGTGGATGCTTGCAAATGGTCCGATTTATCAGTTCCCTACGCGCCATACGTTACTCAAATCCCATGGTTGGACCACTTCGGCTGTCAATTTGTCGTCCACGGTGACGATGTCACTACCGATGCTGATGGAAACGACTGTTATCGTCTCGTCAAGGCAGAAGATCGGTTTAAGATTGTTAAACGCACCCCTGGGATTTCTACAACCGATTTGGTCGGACGTATGTTATTGTGTACGAAACAGCATTATATCAAAAGCATCACTTCTCTCATAGAAACCGATGCCGAGACGATGCAGCGGTTCGAGATGTACGCAACGGATTCTACTGGATTGGCCCCTGGCAGCGTGGTTTGGACCTACGAACCATCAAAAACCCCTGGAATCAGAGAGTTGATCGCCGGTATTGACCCAGATGAAGAACAAAGGGTGATCTACGTCGACGGAGGGTTCGATCTCTTTTCCTCTGGCCAAATCGAATTTTTAAGATTGGTAGTCGAAGCCGAGAAGAAGAAATACCCTACACGCCCTCCACCATATGTCATCGCTGGTATCCACGACGATTATACCATCAACAAACAAAAGGGGCTAAATTACCCGATTATGAATTCGCTGGAACGTTCGTTGTGTGTACTACAATGTCGGTACATCAACGCCGTAATCCTCGATGCGCCATTTTCGCCTTCTAAGGAGTTCCTGAATACCATCGCTGAAAATATCGATGCAAAAGTTCAGGGTGTATACCACGGACCCACTGCTTTTATGCCGTCAGAGGGTGACCCATACGCTGATGCGAAGGAAATGGGGATCTTTTTCGAGGTTGATGAGCATGAGTTTTCGAGTGTGAATGCGGGAACTATAGTTGATAGAATTGTAGCTGCCAGGGGAAGGTTCGAGGAACGACAGAGGAAGAAAGGGGTTAAGGCAGATTATGAAGTCAACATGACACATGATTAAAAAGAAAAGTTGGTGTTTGAAGCTTGTCGCATAGCATACCCATAATTTCTAATATCAAAATCCCGTGGGAAAAAAGGCTTATCAACATTAACCGGTTTATTTGTAATATTGCATTATATACTATGGCAAAGATATATCGATAATCAAGCGGTCCTACACTCCCAACTTGATGCAAGATTTGGATCACCCACGCCCTTATATGTCGTTTTTAACGGATGTCTACAGTGCGCTTTCTCGCCTGTAACAACGCCGCCAACCAACTTCCGTCCCGTCAACGTATCTGGCGCGATACCCTGCTCGACCCATTTCACCATTGTCATTAACACACTATCCGCAGGATCAATGTTCAAAGCGCCCGCGGTAGTATACTGATTCGACCCTCCAACAAACCAAGCCCCATCTCCGGATGTACAATGATCTAGTCCAGCTACCGGGAAAAATCTATAAAAATCATCTAGTTGAGAGGAAGGCAGACCCATATCCCTAGACACGCCTTCGTAGTAATCATAACTGTTTTCGGAAGTTATCATACAGTCTGCTAGGCCGTGGTACATGAGGATACGAGTGTTATTGTTTTTAGCGTCGGTGAGATCTGTTTTCTCGGTTCCGACACCGAAGAGGTCTTGTTGGAAGTCGTGGTCGACGACGTCCCAGTTGAAATCGTTCTGGATAGACCAGGTTGGGTCGTTATAGAGTGCATACCTGGTTAAGTAACCTCGTCAGCTGCATCATCCATGGCAGCATATGTATACGTATACACGCGCAGGATTGATACGAAATTTGAGATGAAGTCGAAAGGGTCATAACTTACTTATACCACTCATCACCGATATAACCCGGCACACCGCCATACATGAAAAGATAACCCACAAACTCCTTCGTAATAGGATTCAACCTCGGGCTTATGAACTTCCCATCGTTCCCATAAACCGGTGAATAAATCTTTCTAACCGTCAAAACCTGGGCAGCGGTGAGACACTGATGAGAAGTCCACGTCTGACCAGGTCCACACAGTAACTCCTCAGGTCTAGGTTGACACTTCATAGGATCTTCGATAACATTATCCAAAACCCCATCAATCCCATCACATTGGCCAACCACCATCTGATGAACCGCAATCCACTGATCTCGATTCAAATGCGTAGCCGAACCAGGTGGACCAGTAATCTTAAACATATTACTACCAGCAGCGACAACAGCATGGAAATTCACTGCAGGCGCAGCAGACACGATACCGTCATACTCGTCAGGAAACTCCTGGGCGGCTTTTAAACCCTGGCGTCCACCTGATGAACACCCGATATAATAGGATTTATTGATCAACGATGAGTAAAAATGGCTCACAGCGCTTTTACCGATCTTCCCGGCGGTGTGAAGGGCCCTCCATGCGTAGTCTTTGACTACTTCGGGGCGGTTGAAGAAGGGGAGCCCTGTATCACCAGCGTGTCCGTTATTATGACCAACGACTGCGAAGCCGAGAGATGTTCCGTATGTCATGTCGTTATATTGGATGCCTGTTAATATTCACATCAGCACCCGGTCATGCATACCAAACCAATATAAGATAAATATTAACATATCTAGGGAACTTACACCCGCCTAACCCGCCATTCCCCGTCATCAAAAACCTCTCCCCTTTCGACTCCCAATTTGTGGGCATAAAAACTTCAACAATGACACTAGATGTACTGCTAGTAGTTACATTGAGTCTAAGACGACACATATCTGCCAACGATATAGCGAATTTTAGACACCGGTTCGCGACAGGTTCAGGAAAGGTTATGTTTGTCCCCTGCGCGACATACTCTGCGAGGAGAATATCTGTATCGACGGCATTGAAGCTATCCGTGAGGTCTGAACAGCGCTGTTCGAACTGCGTCTCCTCTGTTGCGGATGAGCGAGAAGAGAGAAGGATAAGATATAAAGTACTTAATCTAGCGGTGAACCTCATTTTGATAAATTATAATTTTTTATAAGATTCACCTGGTAAAAACTTTTAGAATTCCAGTCCATTGTCGGGTTCACTTATATATATAAGCTCGTAGACGCTCAGACCTGCGCACGGGTGGCAACTTATCTCGTAAACCAGAATTAAGCCAGCTACGTTTGAGCTAAGCCGGATCAACTTAATTGCAACCAACGGATGCCTCTAGACCACTAACGGATGACTGGAGATGAAAAGATCGCGCGGTTCCGGCGGTAGTGGACTAGAGAATATTATGATCCTTTGTAGCAACGCCTCCTGAGCTCGAGCGCTCGTTCCACAGTGATCCACAGCAATTGCAATCGAAGATACGTGTACAGCCTTACGTTAAAGGGCGGAAGACGCTAGTGAGAATAATAATACGAAGCCCAGCAGCCGTTTTTTTTTCTAGAGTAATAATCCAATAATTTATAGATCCACATTATCAGGGAAGCTCGGTGGTCAAGCCTCCGGCAGATCAACGCTATAGCACTTACTTGTATACTTATACGGAGACATTCTATTTAATAATTTTATTTTCGGGATATAAATCGATGGATCCATGGAAAACCCTGCGAAGAGCTAGAGCCGACATCGAGCTTTTCCGTCAAAAGACCAGACCAATTAATCACGAGGTTTTCGAGTCCTCGGGTTCCCGAAGAAGGTCTTATAAGTACCTAGGTAAGTACGCACCTTAACTAATTGACGGAATTTGGATGATATCTTGCACCCCAAAGGAACACAGAGCAAACCACCGTACGGGTTGCTCCGACGCCCCTTCACTAGTGTTTAATTGGTAAGTCTTACTTAACACCACCTCGTCTCGAGATTGGGAACCGTCGGCCTCGCTAAATAAACTTTAAGCTATTTTGAAGATCCACCCACGTGTGGATCTTGAAGTCAGCCATTGAGGAGTTCTCGAGTGCTTTACCGCAGTGTAACGGGATGCGTAGTTGCTTTCCAGTCATAGTGTGACATGCTAGTAGATAGGTTGATTTACAGGTTAGTTCACAGGCTAGTAGGCAGCCAGCTACACGAGTCTACCCGCCTACGAGCTAGCCTATAACCTAGCTAATAGTTAGTAGACCAGGCCGTGGGACGTCTGGGTGCTTAGTGTGACCTAAAGTAAATAGAGTGGTTTCCAAACATGGTTAGGGGGCCCACTTTGTCGTTCAACATTTGGGACGCCATAAACACATTTGGGACGCCATACATATCGAGACAACGAGATCATAATAGTAATATATATATGGCGATAGAGCCCGGCAGGGTGATTTGTGTATGTGACGAGCTCGAGATGATGCTCTATGGATCAAAAGTAGCGTTGGTTAATCAATTCTACTTTATCTACTCTAAAAGCCTAAGCACAAGTTGTTTAGTGCCAAGGCTGTCTAAAAGCTTAGTTAGGTTAATTAACTAGGCATTTGCATATTTGATTATAATAGTACTTCATAGCTCTTGATCTGGTGGAACTCCATGTGCAACGTGACCAGATAATATAAAACACAGGAATGTATCCGCGGTTTCTAAATGCTAAAATCCAGATGTAGAGCCTAGCGTAGTATACACGGATTTCATTTGATTGAAATAAATTAGTATATAAGTCATGGCGGGGGGGCTGTTAGAATAATTAATACTTGGGGCTCAAAATTTACCGACAAAGATGACCTAGGCCTTAAGTTGAATACGCGCGCATTATCTTACAGCCTTTTAAGCTTTTCAGACCTTTATTCAAAACGATAAGAGAAAAAAAGTTGAGGAGAAAAATGGTATATAAAATATAGGATTGAATAATTTGTGACGAGCTATTAATATTATGCATGCTGTTACGAATGACTCAAGTACATAACCTATCACGGTACGAAATAAGTTGAGTTATCGCAGGCTCACAAGATGATGACGACCAGTGCAAACGCCAGCCTTGGTGCCTGAATTCAAGCCCAATGTACGCAACCCGCAAAATGCCTGAATCCTGCCCAACAGCCGCTATAAAAGGTAGTTCCGGTCTGAACAAACACGAAAACCCATGACCAATTCAAAACCACCATCTATCGATATTGATCTATATCTATCGTGATCATATACTATCGATAACTACTAGTAGCTATAGTCCTGCATAAATCCGTTCAGTTCGATCCAAAGTTGGAGAACAAGGTCGGGGGGAAACTTCGAAAATGGAAAAACTAGAATACCTCACCCTCACAGACGCACCGCTCACAATCTCCTCTCTCCCCGTCGAAATCCTACGAAATATCATCGATCAAGTCGTCCTCTCGACAGGCTTCTACGCTGCCCTGGAGGTCCGTCTTGTCAATAGTAAGGCCAAAGCCCCCTTGTCAACGTTCTGTGCCACCATGGACAGAACAACACAAAAAATCCAACAAATTCGAAAGAACGGAAATCCGCTTTAAGGTACTAAGATGTATGCGCATATTCTAGAACTATTCGATATCATCGTACTAGATTCCGTTCTCGATACCGATCGTGATTCCCATTTAGACACGGGATCTTTAGATATAACCCCGGATCTAGCATATACAGCTCTTTACCGTCGAGTAGTCGATACCGCCACTCGTTTACCCCTCCTCGTCTCAAAGATCCGGAGCTTAACCACAAAGATCCATGAATATGAACCATCTCTCCCTATCGACGGGATCCGAGAAGCACTTTGTTGGACGGCAATACTAGAATGTGGTGGTGTAGCCATATTCAACTGGCGAAAAGGTGGGTTCTACACCAGTATCAACAAAAAGCATGACAAGATAAACCAAGAGATACAAAAAACCGATAAAGAGGACGAAAAATGGATGGATTGGTATCTATCTTCGATTTACGCCTATTCACACGACTTTGAAAACTTGACGAGAATCTATGAAAGAGCCGAGGAAAAAGGAAAACCTGTAGATCTTGACTGCGAAAGTGTGGTTTTCGGAACTATTCCTATCATCGCTGCGAGATATGGAACAGAAGAGATGGCGATATGGGCATACGATCATAGCACAGTATGTAAACCAAAAGGTCCCGTTCGACAAGAATTCATACGATATACCGCTTTATTCGGCAGAATCGGAATAATGAAACACTTAGTCGAAGAAAAAGGTGATAGGGATGAGAAATACCTTGCATTCACAGATACTCCGAAATGGGCCACCAGTTTTGGACAAATCGACCTATTGAAATGGCTGATAGCAGATGCCTGGATGGTATTTGAGGATGTTTCCAAAGAAGCGAAGTATATCTTCCTAGCTGCTTGTACGCATGGAAATACAGAGATCGCGAGGTGGATTGTCGAAGAGGAGGAGTTCGAGCCGGAACCTGGGGAGAAGACAAAATCGTTGAGACATGGAAGACCCTTGTGTTTAGCGACACAAAGTGGGAATGTGGACATAGTATCGTGGTTATTAGGCCTCGAAAATATGGGGACAAAAGATGAGATGCTCTTGTCTTTCAAATGGGCTATGAGGTATGCAGGGCTAGATATGGTCAAGCTGTATTTCGAGAAAGGGCTTCCAATTGACCCTAGTCAAAATGATTGGGTGGGCGGTAAAGTTGTAAAGGCAGCTATTGACGCTGGGAGGAAAGGGAGAGCAGAACATCTCAGGTGGGTTATGGAGAATGGAGTGGTATTCAAGGGAGGCGATGAGCATGCTGTAGTGTATAAGACAGCTGAAGGAGGGAGCCTCAAGTGTTTGAAGGTGCTAAGAGACCTGTTAGAGGGGTATGAAACTATCGCGAAAGAAGAAATACAGAACGCCTGGGATGTTAAAGACAGGCGGGCTGTTGAGACACTATTAACAGATGGGGTCGAAAAACCAAAAGGCTTCTGTGAGAATACATTAAACGGCTTGAAATACCAGGTACGGGTAGTATCAACATCCAACTGGTCAAGGAAGAAGTGGGGTTATTGGCCATACCTGTGGAACTATTCCACTCATTTTTAACATTTGGAATTCACATCTATATAGAAAATTGGTGTTAGTGAGGAGCTTACCTTAGAGCTGCTTTATTAAACTAGGTATATGTACCTAGTCGCCGGCTCCTGCGTGTATCTACCGGCCTTACACAATTTAGATCAGTAACCTCCAAGCATAATAGCCCTCGGATACTATATGCACAATACTTTTAAGTTTAAAAAGAAAGTGAAAAAAACATTAAATTTTAATTTTTGGTGATATCTTTCTAACAGTTATAAAAAGGAAAAAGAAGGAGGAAAGGAGAAGGAGAGGTAGGAGGAGAGGGAAGAGAAGGGGGGGGAGGAGAAGGGGGGGGG